TAGTGGCTTTCCATTTACTTGATATTATCATATTCCTACACCTTGTTAAGTATGCCTTCTCTAACATGTTTGTAATTTGTAACATTATATTTCAGCTGGGAGCAATTGTTGAAGAAGGACCAGATTACTGTGTAATCACACCGCCAGAAAGATTAAATGTGACAGCAATTGACACCTATGATGACCACAGAATGGCCATGGCTTTCTCTCTTGCTGCATGTGGAGACGTTCCAGTCACTATCAATGATCCAGGTTGTACCAGAAAAACATTCCCTGATTACTTTGAAGTCCTTGGGAAGTTTACCAAGCATTGAACAGCTACTCTAAGTACTTCTATGTAGATAGGAAGAGAGAGAGAGAGAGAGGAATCATCCTTGTGCCTCTACAACCAAGCAAGTGCAGATAGAAGCCACCCTTTTTTATTCTCTTTGTTGCCTTGTAATTTTGGATGATTATATTTGCAAGTTGAGCTCACTATTGTTTCAAATATTGTGATCTTATTCTACTCAATAATAGTGCATTAGTGATTTGGTTCTTGGATCTTCTTTGTACCTTTCTTTGGGACAAACTCTCACATTTGTTTATGAAACTCTTAACTATTTGTCTACTCAAGAGTGGTGAATTAGTGATTTGGTTCTGGGATCTTCTTCTAATTAACAACTAGAACTGAAACTAGTAGTGATCAGTGATCACCATAATGTGGGCTCACATCTTTCTTCCTATAAAATGAACAAAGCAATCTACCGATCTTGGCGACAAAAAAGTTCAGAGAATTTTATTTTTCAAATAGTTGTTGGAAGTTAGGTTGAATGTTTTCCAGGTTTTAGTCTTTTGTTTGTCTGAACGAAGTGCTCGTGATTTTATTAACCCTGCATGTTTCAAAAACCACAAGTGAAATTTTTCTTGAGTTTGTATTCTTCAGTGTCAAGCTGGAGAGTGAAGGAGAAAGAAAGGACGATTGCCACTACCTTTTGCACAGAACATAGTCTCTAGTGGCTTTCCTTGCACTTGATATTCCTACACCTTAATACATATGCCTTCTCTAACATGTGCGGGCATAATATTTCAGATGGGAGCAACAGCTGCAGAAGGACCAGGTTACTGTGTAATCACACCGCCAGAGAAACTAAACGTGGCAACGATAGACACATACGATGACCACAGAATGGGCCATGGCTTTCTCTCGTGCTGCCTGTGGAGACGTTCCAGTTAAGGATCCTGGTTGTCCCAGTAAAACATTCCCTGACTACCTTGAAGTTCTTGGGAGGTTTACCAAGTATTGAACAGCTATTATATAGACATTTATAACCAAAACAATGCAGATGGAAGCAACACTTTTTTATTCTCTGTATTGGCTTGTAATTTTGGATCACTACTTTTGCAAGTTGAGCTCATTATTGTTTCTAAGATTGTGATCTTATTCTACTCAACAATAGTGAAAATTGGTGATTTGGTTCTTGGATCTGCAGACCCTTTTTTCTTTGTACCTTTCTATGGGACAAATTCCATCACATATGTCATATGTTATGAAACGCTGAACTATTAGTTCATCCCAAAAGCACTTTTTGTTTGTCATTGCATAGGTTTCTAGCAGCACCGTCCTGGATCTACTATATTATGAGAATAGCCATGAGTGCTTTATACTTTATTAGTAAACTACAAGTTGCGTAGATTTAATCACGTGTCCATGTCCAGCTTACATTAACTTGCAGGGCATGGAACATGATGCCAGGATATTAAATAAAAGGCTACCAAGACATGTTCCCCCGTCCTTTTTGTATCAGATTCACATGGAGATGGTGATAGCAGAGTAAAATTTATGTTTTCAATAACATACATAACAGCCAATGCATCTTCAGGATCAACTGTACTTAAAAATGCAGAATTCTTGGTTTCTGCTACGTTATTAATCAACTTGTTCTATTAAATGGAAAATAGTCCGCTCATACCTCGTGAGGAATAAATTATCGTGTAAAATTGAAACACGATTCATATATCAAACTATAACTTATAAGTGAGAAAGAATGACTTCTTACTGGAAATGAACTAAACACAGAAAAATTGAGTAAAATGAGAAGGGGGAAGGCTTTATTCTAATGAGGAGTAAAAGATGAATTTAAAAAGGGAGATTCACTATTATACTCAATATATGAGCCCAAATTTATAAATAAAACAAAAAAACAAAAAAAAAACCCTATATGAAATGAACTTTATAAACACACCCAAAGCTCATTTACAACATAACAAAAATACTTTTAATTTTTTTTAAATTACAAAACTGCAATTAATTTCTTAAAACAAACCTAACCCAAAAACCTCATAAAAAAGGCCCAAAACACTCAATAGGGCATCAAAGTAATTTAATAATCAAAATTAAATTCAATAGGGGCAAGCTGACATTTTTTAGGTTTTTTTTTGGGTTTGTTTATAGAAATTAAATGGTGCAGGGTTTATTTATAGTTTTAGTGCTAAAAATAGGTATATGACTAAATATCTCTTAAAGAAATGGGATAATCTTATTCCTAGTGGTAGTAGCCAAGATAAAGGCAGATAAAAAGGGGTTGGAAAGACCAAAATTAGTCTTACTCTTTATGGTCAGAATTCCAAAATGTAAGAGCATTATCGATGGGTGCACCAGTTGATGTATATCATAAATGTATTGGAGTATGTTGTAGGGAACGTGGGGCACAGGAGTAGGTGCGATTTCTTCAGCATTACTCTTCATTTTGAGTTGAGGGGGCAATTGCCAAATAGCTTTTTGATGAAGTAATGCAGTTTGGGCTTCTTATCCTGCAATAATATTACATTTGCAACTACCCACATGATCCTAGTCTGCCCATAAATTGCAGTATAAGATACCAAATAAGACTTCTTGGAAAGATGCTTTTGCCTTCATTTCAAAGTTAGTTTTGCATTATAAGTACTGTCTCTCATAGCCTTTAAATCATGTTTGTATAGTTAAAGGGTGAAATTATTGTGTGATACTGGAACATAAAAACGTAGGGTTACTAATTGACGGATTATGTAAAATATTGGTGGTCGATAAATTTTGACTTTAAGATATGATATTAATAAATATACAAGTGTTGTAATATGAGTGAACTGGTTACATCACAGAGCTGGTGGTACAGTCTCGACTAAACAAGATGACAGAAGGATGAAAATGATCAACCTTTATATAGAAAGGCTTCTTGCCAGATCAAGATGTAATTCAATGTAATAAGGTTGAACAATCACACATGACAATCACGGTCTGCTTATGATGGAATTGTAAGCTTACCTACCACCTAATAAAAAAATTAAGAAAACAAATGTAAAGCCTACTTTGAAATACAAATTCCAATCATTATGATCATTTTGTGTTGCATTTGTCAACATAATCATGATCAGCTTATTCATCTAAGGGGGAAAAAGGACATTAATTATAGTCTTGGACAATTTTGTAGACGAAATGGTATGCAGACCTTAATAATAGCTTTCACTAATAGAAAATATAGAATACTCAAAAGTTTTCGACACTTGTAATCGCATAATAGTTCAGTATATTTATGATATAATTCAATCAACTCATTTTTTCATATATAAAAAATGGGGAATCGATCATTTCATCTTACTCATTGAATGTAATGTGAAATAGGAAATATGTGAGGCATGTAGATAGTTTGATTTGATCAATGAAATGTAAAAGCTCAAAAAATTGACACATAACATGTTATTTTTTGATGTTCAAATGGAAATGTTCAATGTAGAAGTTCAAACAATCGAGATGTTCAAATTTTCTGAACTTTTTTTTAATACTAATTGATGTAACACATAACATGTTCTTCTTTGATTTATCATATATATATATATAAAGTATAACATGTTATTATTTATAAAACTATAATTGTAGCGATTAATGTATTCTAAATCTCTATTATGAGATAATTGCAATTCTCAATCTCTATATTTCTTACATGGGGAATGCTAGTAACATTCTTTATAACCTTCTTTTTTAAGTTAGAAAGAAGGTTAAAAGAGAAGGTTGGTAGCATTCATCTTCTCACATATTTCCACGGTGATAAACTAAAAAAAAAGTCAAAATCTCAAGTAAGCAAAAAAAAAGAGTCAAAAATGTCATCCACACCATCTCCAACAAACCACATCCCCACGCCTCCTCTAATCCCAAACTTAATTATAACTCCAACCCAAATATAGAGAACTCTCTCACACAAAATATCCCAAAATAAATGGGGCAAAAATTTAGAGGTGTTCACAACCAATCAAATGAAAATCTTATAGCTTGAAATTGGGTAAACCATTACTCCCTCCTTGCATTCCTGCATCTCCATTAAAACAGTGTTTGAATTTAACAGCCACAACAAAAAACAATATTTGAATTTACTGTTTTTTTATCAAACAAACAATCTTCGATTGTTTTCCTGTTCAAAGCAGAATGAAACCAAAAGTATCAACAGAAAAATGACACCAAAACTTATCTTTGATGCTTTGCAGAAAACTACCATCAATTTAACAGATTTAATTAAGTTGTACAGTTATTTGTCTTCTTGATCTCCATTACTGCCCCCGTTTCAATAAATATTACAGTTCTCTGTCTTCTTCATCTCCATCACTATCTCTTCCTCTCTCCTCTCTCTCTAAACAGTGATTAACCAAAATATAAAGCTTTGAACTTTCTTTTTTACTCTTTCTGCGTAGACCTATAAACCCAAAAGGAGAGAAGCCACTGCACCAACAACAACCTATCTCTCCAAGAAACCAGAAGATTCCCATTATCAATCAGAACATGAAAAAGAGCTAAAAAGATAAAAAGAAAAACACCAACCAAAGCCCCTCACTTTTCTTATCTTCAACACCACCACCACCGCCACCACCAACCCCACCACAGGAAATTTCAAGGTACCCAGTTCCTCAAACCCTAAACCTGACCCAAATCCCAAACTTCCCATTCACAATTCACCGAACCAAGAACTGGGTTTTGTCCACATTTTCCATAGAAAATGTCCCAGCTCAAGCACCTTGACAACAGTCCTCCAACTCCAGGAAAGTTCAAGATGGACAAGTCTCCTTACATTCACAGGCTTCGTTGGCACGGCTCTCTTGCCAAGCTCACATTTTGGTCTTTTATCTTCTTGGGCTTGATCTTGATCTTCTTCTTCCGGTCACCGTCGTCCAATTCTCTACCGTCCGATCCCTCTCGCCGTTCTCTCAGAACCTACAATTGGGGTGGACCCGCCTGGGAAAAACGGGTCAGGTCCTCGGCCCGAGTTCGGTCCCGCCACGGAATGTCGGTTCTGGTCACTGGGGCGGCCGGGTTCGTCGGGACCCACGTCTCTGCGGCGCTCAAACGCCGAGGAGACGGCGTGCTTGGTCTGGACTGTTTCAATGACTACTATGACCCTTCATTGAAGAGAGCTCGCCAAGCGCTTTTGGAGCGGTCTGGGGTGTTCATTGTGGAAGGCGACATCAATGACTCTGCTTTGTTGAGTAAGCTTTTCGAGGTTGTGGCGTTTACCCATGTGATGCATTTGGCTGCTCAAGCTGGTGTGAGGTATGCCATGGAAAACCCTGGCTCATATGTGCATAGTAATATAGCTGGTCTTGTTAATCTTCTTGAAGTTTGTAAAAATGCCAATCCACAACCTGCTATTGTTTGGGCTAGTTCTAGTTCTGTTTATGGACTTAATACTAAGGTACCCTTTTCTGAGAGAGACCGGACTGACCAGCCTGCTAGTCTGTATGCTGCTACCAAGAAGGCTGGTGAAGAAATTGCACACACTTATAATCATATCTATGGCCTTTCCCTTACTGGGTTGAGATTCTTTACGGTTTATGGTCCCTGGGGAAGGCCTGACATGGCCTATTTCTTTTTCACGAGGGATATATTGAAGGGGAAGACCATTCCAATCTTTGAGGCAGCTAATCATGGCACAGTTGCAAGGGATTTTACCTACATTGATGATATTGTGAAAGGCTGCTTGGCGTCATTGGATACTGCTGAGAAGAGTACTGGGAGTGGGGGGAAAGAAGAAGGGGCCTGCTCAATTGCGGGTTTTCAATTTGGGGAATACATCACCTGTGCCAGTTTCGGATCTTGTGACCATTTTGGAGAGGCTTTTGAAGGTGAAGGCCAAGAGAAATATAATGAAGTTGCCTCGTAATGGGGATGTTCCGTTCACGCACGCAAACATCAGTTCGGCTCAGAGGGAACTTGGGTATAAGCCCACAACAGATCTGCAGACAGGGTTGAAGAAATTCGTTAGGTGGTACGTCAGCTACTATTCTGGTGGGAAGAAGGCTTCTGGGTGATAAATTCTTTTGATTGTGTGGTAGATCCTTTGAATTCTTGTTCATTATAATTCTTATGATTGTTTTTAACATTTCCGTCATTGCCCCGGGTATCAGTTTTCCATATCTTAATGATGTAATGCCATATGAGGAGGAACCTTGTGACCTACAGTGAAGAAGTTTTGTGGTTGGGGGACATTGTTTTCTGAGCACTCCCATGCTGTACTAAGAGAATACGAGGACCATCTCTCTTTTTTCTTTTTTTTTCTTGGAATGTAATTGTTGGAGCTACGGCGTTGTAGAATTAATGACCGATAGAGCATATGCTAATTGGTGGACATGTATCATTGCCATGCAATTCAATAAAATAGCACACGATAGTTTGGTTCCTTCCTTACTACTATATGAAGTGAATCACAGTTACTTTTGTGTAACACCTTATTTGTTTATCATAAAATTTGTTTTGTATAATTGATGTCCATCGATTCCTTTGCTGCATTTTTATGGATAATCTTGCAGCTAACTTTGTTGCCCTGCACTCTGAACTTTTAGAGCCAGCTTAAGTATGTCATGTCGCTCATCTGCAAGACTAAGCCTGCATGCCCCTTTGTTGGCTTAGACTTAAGGACAGATCATTCTTGTATGTCAGGTTTGCACTTCAGTTTTCTTTTGCTTCCTGGTTTATATTGTCATTAATACAGATGGCATGTGGGATATGCTCAAATTATATGTTCTTCTAGGATGTTTATTCCTTGTTTGAATCTTCTAGGAATGTCTGAAAATTCATTACTAGAGTTTGGTAAGTTATAGGTGGAATAAAACTCAGTTTTGTGTTTCTTTCTAGTTTCTACATAGAGGAGTGTTTTACTGTATTCCCCTGAATGAAATAAGAAGCCAAAGAACTTCTAATCATTACTCTGATTAGTATATGGATCTCTCTATCATTTTGTTCTCTCCCAATATAAGGGTTCTTATTAACTTTTTTCTTATCTTTTGATGAAAGGCAAATAGTATGGAAGTACTTCAAAAGTGGAAAGTGAAAAACTTCCCAATCAGAGTACCTACAATTCACCACCAATGTAGCAATTTCCGATTTTGGATATACTCAATTTGATATGTACACATCCATTCTGAAATGATAATTTTGGCAATCCAAAAATTTGTTTATATATCTTCCTTTTTATCTTCAATTTCCTTTGTTAAAATTTTGCAGACTTGACCTTTTTCTTTGCTTCTTACTCTGATTTTGAAAGACCTTTTCGGCATTATATGTATCCTAAAACTACCACAAGTAACTTTGTCATTCTTTTCTGAGTCATGTTTCCTTATTAGTGCATGGGATAGTGTTGTCTATTGTCTTTGTTTAGTAGTGAGTTATGATAAAGATGATAATTACATAGTTCAAACACCCGGTTGGACTTTTCCAGTATGCAAGTAGGGTAATTAAAGATTGAAAGGTTTTGCATAAGCAGCAGTATGTATAATAGCAGTGCCCTGGAAGAAAAGAGTTGCTTTGATTTTCATTACAATTAATTTATTTCCTATAATCATTCTCACACTCTGCAAATTTTAGATCCAGATGGCAAGGATTCTCTTGGCTTTGTTAAACTTTTTGCAAATGCTTTCTATATTAGTTTGTATTTAAAGGCTGATAAGTTGCAGGAACATTGAATCGTTGAGATTATTTTGCTTTAGGCGGTAAATGATGCTTCAAGAAGTTCGAGAAAGGGTAATATTCTTTTGTCAGATATCTGGCGTATAATGTTATCAAAACTATTAATCTGGAGCTACATTCAACAAGAAACGATCTAATTGTGTAACATATAACATGTGTTGGGTAAAAGAAAGAAAATATTAAGTTTTGGCAGAACATGCAGAAAAATTATGCTTATTTCTTCAGGAGTATGAGGCCAGAGTATACACATTGTCTCCTCTATGTGTCAAACCTGCTGATTTCTAAAGGTTGTCTTCCTTCTTGTCCCTGACATTTGACATGTAGAATGGAACAAATTGGGAAAGCTTCAAGTGTAAGGAGTTTTCTGCTTGTTTAACATCAAGTTTATTTGTGTGGTTGTGGTTGTTTCGTTTTGTCTGTCATTATGTGCTTTGGTGGGAGGCCGCCCCCCCATTAACAATTGAATTATTTTGATGGCCTAAATCTTGGCTTCCCATTTGGACACTTCTGAGAACTGAATTATTTTGATGCCTGCTTTAACTTGTCAGCAAGCCTGGTAACATGTCAAGAATCCAATGATTTGGCTCCACATGGATTGCTTGAACTGACATCATTTGGATTTTGCTAAATTGAGTCAGCCACATACGTAGCCAATTGTTATGAGATTCTTTGTGAGAGCCTCAACTAACTGAGTGCGTGAACGACTGATGCTAACATACATCTTGACATAACATTAACGTAGTTTAAAACTTACAGCATTGTTTGCTTCATCAGGAATCAAACACAATGGTAATAGTCTCATCTTCAATCTCATTATCGCTAAGCTCAAACTCTGGTGCTAATAACCTCCCAAGTGGGCAGTTGTGCAGCTACAAACTATTGGTTCCTGGCCCCCCAACAATGAGTTGGAAAACAATAGCAAATAAGCAGAGGCAGGCAATTTTAGTTATATGCATGGCCCCAAATAAAAGCCAAGAAGCTATGCAGCTATTACTGCATTTGTACCTTCTCAAATGGTCGCCTACCAAACTTCATTACTGCATTTGTCATGATTTCCTTGCTTGTCTCGCAGAATGAGATGCAACTTATTACATGAATCTCAAGTCTCAAGCGTGTAACATATTTTTTTAATGGGCTTATTAAATGAATCTCATGTGTTATACACCATGTCCTCACAAATCTATGACATTGTACAACCATTGTGGAAAACGCATATGGAACTTCATATACATGCGACATCATTATATTTAATCGTTAAACACAAATGACTCGGAGAAAGCATCATATGACGTTCTACTCAACCAAAAATGATAACTTAAAAGAACAATAAAAATCAAAGCAAACCCATATAGCAACTAAACATTTTATACAGTCCAAAAATAAAAAAATAAAATTGTTATTGGCAACTTAAACTACTCTTTAGAAATTAGATGCTCACTTATGATTGGGCGGACTAGTGAGATATTAAGGATGTGCATGCATTGTTGGGGCGTCCCACATCGAAAAGGAGCAAAAGGAGACCTGGCGACAGTGGCATACAAGACGAAACGCCATCAGCTTTGTAAAAGCACGCAGCCGCGCGCTGAGCACAAAGCGAACTATTCTTTCGCCTTTTACTAAAGAATACCGTGTGCTCGCCGCAATTAGCGGCATACGCCAATTTTTTAAAGGAGTTTCTCTTCACAGAGAAGCTCTTACAATGTAGTTTCCAAGTATTTATATCAACTGTTTTTTTTTCTTATCTCTCATCCACCTTAAATCTGAATATTTTTCAAAATTATTGTAGAAGTCATTTCAATAAGGGCTATATGCAGAGAAGGCTGGGACTTTCATGATCAAGAATACTTCTGTTAGTTTGGATTCGATCGGATTATAAAGAACTTTCATTATACACATAAGTACTTTTCTGGCAACTTTTAGATATAAAGCTATGACTAGAGCATTAAGCAGAAACGAGGTAGGCATAAGAAGTCTGTTTCTTGCACTACCATAACGAAGAAATGACAAATTTCAGAGAATAATGAAATGACAAAGCACAAGAACCAGACCTTCCAATCAAGGGAAGGCCTGTCTAAGTAGCAGACACCAGAAGTAGATTCTATTTCCTTTCGATTTTCAGACCGGCAACTCATAGTACCTCAAAGAGATTCTGTGCATACTTCCTTTTCCAGTGCACCAACCAAGCAGTGCAGGTTTGGCATCCGCAAGAAACCCTTCAACATATTAAAGAGAGAGTCTTATAGATCAGGCAATTCAGCATTGCAAGTCAAATTGCTTAACTAGTAATTTCTGTATGTCACAAAAGTTTGAGAGAAAACCGCTAGATCATTATCATAAACAATGCAATGTTTTGATTGAAACTTGTGCTTGATGGCCTTAGTATGTGCGACTACCTCAAATCTCAAATGAAAGTTATCCCACATCGGAAGATAGGTAAAGAGTCCTTCCCAGTATGCGGATAAAAGGAGACATCACCAACATTACAAACCACGCAGCCACGCGGTGGACACAGAGCGAACTATTCTTTCGCCTTTTACTAAAGAATACCGTGTGCCCGCCGCGATTAGTGGCATACGCCAGTTTTTTGAAGAGTTTCTCTGAACAGAGGAGCTCTTACAATTTAGTTTCCAAGCATTGTTTTCTAAACCAGAAAGTTTCTACTCTTCTTCCGCTCAGCCTTGGCAAGATCTCAATGTAGATATAACCTAAAAGAATACAAATCAAATAAATTACCAGCATTAGCTGAATAATGTCATTGTCTTGGATACATTCTTCACGATCATTACCAGTATAGCTCATTATTTCATGACAGTCATTACCATTTAAAAGTATAGAGAAGGAATAATTCAATACAAGCGGTGGCCCAGTAAACAATACAGGGGCGCGGGTGGTGCTATACTCGGGGTTTTTTTTATAATAAAAAGGGTATTACCGAATGGCTATACTACGGGTTTTATTATAAAAATATTATGGCCGATCGGCTATACTATTTTGACACGTGGCGAAATGGGCTCAGTGACGGGGAATTTTTTATATATCCGCGCGGCTATACATGGATTTTTTATAATAAAAATAGTATAGCCGCACGGCTATACTGTATCTACACCTCGCAAAGCCAGCGTCAGCGCCAGGCGGGTCCTCTTTTTTCTGTTTTTTTTTCAAATATTATAGCCGCATGGCTATACGTGGATTTTTTATAATAAAAATAATAAAGCCGCACGGGAGTATTTTTTTTATAAATAGTATTATAAATAGTATAGCCGCGTGGCGATACTGTTTACATAAAAAATCTTCACTTATAAATACCCTTGGCCTTTTCCAAAATGTCCCATAACCCTAATCAAACACATTACCGCTAATCACTTGCCCATCAGTTGGCAATCCTCGTGAGAAGTGAACTTGCAATCGGCTCATGCTCTTTAGATCAGACTCTAATATTGATTCTAAATTCTTCCTATAGGTCCCATGCACGCATACTATAAACCCTAACTACTATGATCAGCTTCGCATGTGTTACAAAAAGGATCACTGATACATCTCATTAAGCTGGGGCAGCCAGCCAACGGGTCAAAAACGAAAAGGAGAAATGGAATGATTGTGTCGCGACCGATCCTGGTTCAGAAAGGTAATCGGCTTTCTATCGGGCCACAATTCTATTTTCTCGAAGTACTTGACTGCACAACACCATCAAAACCTTCGGTCAAGATTACCAAGAATTCTGAAACAATTGGTGAACTTAAATGCACTGAACTTAGACCTCAAAAGGGTCACAGATAAACAATGTGGAGTATTGTCATCACAAACACTTAGGAACTACATTATTTCATCAGATCCCTTACAAACTTGTCTGCAACTCGCCCAAGAGTTGATGAACCATGAGATAAGTTCGATCAAGTCCACCTTTCAATTGGCACATTTGCAAGGGCCAAAGAAAAGCAAATTCAGGTCTCTTCCACCAGAAAGTGTATATATAATTGGAAACTTTTGGCAAGTGGAGTCTACAAATGGCTCTCCCCAAATAAGTGTTCGTATTCATATGTGTGATTAGAAGTCAATAAGAGTTCATCATCACCATATACAAAACTCTAATGTTGTGTGAATTGTCCCCCGTACCCATTCCATTCTTTTCTTCGTTCATCATTTATTGACCCTGTTTATAGGAAGCAGGTGCAAAGTAGAAAATATGCTACAGACTACAGAAGCAATGCTGATTGATCAGAGACACGTTCATGCATATAAAAAATCTACATAGATAAATAGCCCTAATTAAAAACTTTACCACTAATCAGTGCACATCCAGAGACACGTTGAACGCACACTGCACATCCAGGGGGAAAAACAGTGAATCAAACAAAAATGTATCGTTTCAATAGAAAACACTAATGACTCTTTTTATTCTCTACACGAACAAGTTATGTACACTACACTAATTTTTTGATTGAAACTTGTGCTTGATGGCCTTAGTATGTGCGACTACCTCAAATCTCAAATGAAAATGATCGTCCATTAGCAAAAGTTATCCCACATCGGAAGATAGGTAAAGAGTCCTTCCCAGTATGCGGCTAAAAGGAGACATCATCAACATTGCAAACCACGCAGCCACGCGGTGGACACAGAGCGAACTATTCTTTCGCCTTTTACTAAAGAATACCGTGTGCCCGCCGCAATTAGTGGCATACGCCAGTTTTTTGAGGAGTTTCTCTGAACAGAGGAACTCTTACAATTTAGTTTCCAAAATCATAACATCAATAACAAGAAAGATGGACTTGCAAGACCTTTCTTCCATTAAAATTGATTTGGTACTTTCATTATATACATAAGAAAAGTACTCTTCTATCTAGCAATGTAGATATAAAGATATCACTACAACATCAATTCAAGCTGAAAACTGAAAGCCCCAATCTCATTTCCATTTCTGAGGGAATTGCTAACTACTACGACCAGCTTAACATGTGTTGCAAAAAGGGAGAACTCTTACATCTCATTAAGCTGAGGCAGCCAGCCAACGGGTCAAAAACGTAAAGGAGAAATGGAATGATTGCGCCCCAACTGATGCAGGTTCAGAAAGGTATCAGCTTTGTATCGGGCCCCGACTGATACATTCTTCACGGTCATTACCAGTATAGCTCATTACTTCATGATAGTGATTATCATTTAAAAGTGTAGAGAAGGAATAATTAAATACAAGCGGTGGGCCAGCATCCTTTTTAGGTATGATATACTAGGTTTTTTTTAAAATAAGCCGGGCAGCTATACCAAGGTTTTTATAATAAGAAATAGTATAGCGTTTGGCTATACTATTTTTACATGTGGCAAAATGGGCGCTAGGAACCCAGCGGGTGGTCTTTTTTTAATTACAAATAGTACAGTCATTGGGCTATACGGGGGTTTTTTTTTTTTTTTTTTTTTTTTTTTTGATAGAGGGTATCGCCGGCCCGCTATACTACGGTTCTTATTTTTCACACGTGGTGAAACAGGCGCAGGCACCCATAAGGTGGTCTTTTTTTTATTATAAATAGTATAGCCGGTCAGCTATACAACGGTTGTAATTAAAAAATAGTATAGCCGCACGGCTATAATATTTTTAAAACGTGGCAAAATGGGCGCAGGCGCCCAGCTGTTGTTTTTTTTTTTTTTTTTTTTTTTTTTTTTATATATATAATAGTATATCCGCGCGGCTATACTTGGGGTTTTTTTTAACCTCCCGCTCCCGGGCTATACTATTTTTGACACATGGCGAAATGGGCTTTAGCGACAGGCGGGACCTCTTTTTTATATAAATCGTATAGCTGGTGGCTATACTCGGATATTTTTACAATAAAAATCGTATAGCCGCATGGCTATATTGTTTTTACTCCTGACAAAGCCACGCCATGCGGATCCTCTTTTCTTTTTTTTTCTTTTTTTTATTATTATTATTTTTTTTTATACAAATGGTATAGCCAGCCGACTATAGCCAGTGTTTTTTTAAAATTTTAAAAAAGCGTATAGCCGCCCGGCGATACCCGGTGTTTTTAAATTATAAAAAAGAGTATAGCCGGTCGGCTGTACTTTTTTTTTTTTTTTTTTTTTTTTTTTTTTTTTTAATATATATATTTATGAATGGCTGTACTCTTTACATAAGACAGGGTCATGAATATAAAAAATCTACACTTATAAATAGCCCTAATCAAATACATTACCGCTAATCAGTTGCCCATCAGTTGGCAATCCTCGTGAGAAGTGAACATGCAATCGGTTCATGCTCTTTAGATCAGACTGTAAAATTGATTCGAAATTCTTCCTATATAGGTCCCATGCACGCATACTGCACTGCACTGCACATCAAGGGGAAAGAAAAAGGGTAAAGAAAACAACAAGGTATCCAAATTCTTCCTATAGGTCCCAGAGCTCTGCTTTCTTATTATCTTCATATTCTATCTGAAACTCAACAGAGAAGCTTCTACAGATTAGTTTCAAAGTTTTTCTTCTGTTAATTTTTAGTAGCCTGCAGAGGATTTAAGACAGAATTTCGAAACCAAGTCTAACACAGAGTTTAGAATTGCGAAATGCTTTTAGGCACAGTATTGGCAAAAACCCAAAAATCATGACATTTTGCAATTTACTATGGATTAGTCACTTAAACAAGGCAATAACAACTATGGATTAGTCATTTCGCATTGTATTTTTATACTCCTGAGTTATATATTTAGTTTATCGCTCTGACAACACTTGGTATCGATTCCTATTTGCTAGGCTAGTTTATTTTCCCTCAATATCAGCTTATCAGTTCGTCAGTTTATCAATTTATCAGCAGTTCTCTTATAAATTTTTATTTATAATGGATTCAATCGAGAAATCTTCAATTATAAATCATACTTTTCAGTTGCATTTAAGTTTGTAAGGCTTTCATTTATCATTTTACACTTGTATCTATTCATATTGGACTAGAAAAACCAGAAAACAGTCTACATACTTTTTAGTCTGATCTGGCATTTGCTAGTCCGATCTGGGCATTTTAAGCTCGATCAAGGTCTAATCATTCAGGATATCATAGACACCAGTGCATGAAAGTAGAATTTTGAATTCCTTAAAATTATACAAGGCATAGAAAAGAATTAATCTGAGCCAGTTTCCAATTCAAAGCACAATGACTTGATTTAAAAGTCAGATTAACAAGCGCAAACCACTAAATCACGTCATAAATTAATCAATCTCTTTCTATTGGGCTTAGCCAATTCCATTAGTGGCACACCTACCGCAAAACAAAAGTTGGATCATTTTAAGCCCTGTTGCTTGGCCTTAAGTTAATTCTCTCTCTAAACTTGATCCAGCAAGAGGAGAGGCAAGAACACTGTTGAAGTGTGCTTGGTCCCACTATCTCCTCCTGGATTGAAAAATTCACTTTGCATGTCAGAATCTGCATCTAAATCAGTCTGGTACTGCTCATCTGCATCAGTCCAGTTCTATGCCAAGTTGGAGGCTATGTTGCACTGACACGGCAGTGAGCTGAAGTGTCGGTGTGTCTGACACTCGGACACGGCGCGGACACGCCTCTGACACGCCTTGGACACGGGTCCTTGGACATGTTAGCTTGTGTGTGAAAACAATAAATGTTGGAAGTGTGAAAGGGGGCACGGTCCTATTTTGACAGGACACGGTCAAGACACTTCCTGACACTCCCCGACACGACGCGGAAAATTTTGAAAATTTTGAAAGGTTGCAGAGAAGGCGTTGTGTGACTGGCGAAGCAAGGCCATTGCCTGGAAGCTCCAACAATCACCTAGATGATGGGATCCTCCTGCGTAGTGGACCGCTCAATTAGCAGATGAAAAGTTGTAGAGGCAGTGTAAATGGAGGTTGCGGCGCTGCTTCATGAAGGAAGAAGACATCCTGATACCGTATTTTTATTTTGCCCGTCGTTTTTGAAGACTGAATAAAGAAACGAAAAAGAGTGAAAGTCATTGGTGATACAGCAAACTGCCCCGGTGGGCCCACTACCCAACCATAAACTACACCCCAGCCCAGTTAAATCCAAAATGTTACCAAATATAATAGAAGATTATCCAACAAAACAAAAATTATTTTATCCTATACCCAGCCAACAAAATGTATATATATGTAATTAATATGTTAATTTTATAATAATTCATATCAACTTAATATAAAAAGAAAAAAATTTAGTCATATACCCATTCTTAGCACTAAAACTATAATTTCCGTGGTTTTTATTCAATTTTTATCGATATTGATAACATCCCGATATTTCCATTGAAATTTCCGTGTTTTTGAACTATCGATATTTCCGATACCATCAATATTTTAGACATTGTGTAATCCAACCTTTCCAACCCTTTCAAAATGTATTTTTTTAATGAGAGATTCACTATAATACCCAATGTAGGAGCCCAAATTATTATAAATAAATAAAAATAATAAAAAAAACCATATGAAATGGACTTTAGAAACACACCCAAAACCCATTTACAACATAACAAAAAAGCTTTTGACTTCTTTTAAATTACAAAACTACCATTGATTTCTTAAAACAAACCCAACCCAAAAAGCCCAAAACACTCAATGGGGCATTAAAGTAATTTAATACGTAAAATTAAATTCAATAGGGTCAGCTGTCATTTTTGAGTTTGTTTATAGAAATTAAATGGTATGGGTTTTATTTAAATTGTAAGAAAAACTTGGAAATTTTTATTGAAAATTTGGAGGATATTTATTTAGTCAATTATCTATTAGTTTATCACAAAAAAATTGGAACCAAATGCATTGCATGATGTGTATAAATAATTTAAGTTGATTATACAACAAGCTGACAAACACTGTGAGTGTAGAAAATATGTAGTAATTAATGAAAGAAGATTAAACACGCCATAATCATTTATATATATAATGATTTACTATAATATTTTACATTTTATACATTGCATCGTAAGATACATGAGTGATTTAGTACCACATAAATTTGGCATCCGCAAGAAACCCTTCAACATATTAAAGAGAGAGTCTTATAGATCAGGCAATTCAGCATTGCAAGTCAAATTGCTTAACTAGTAATTTCTGTATGTCACAAAAGTATGAGAGAAAAACCGCTAGATCATTATCATAAACAATGCAATGTTTTGATTGAAACTTGTGCTTGATGGCCTTAGTATGTGCGACTACCTCAAATCTAAAATGAAAATCATCGTCCATTAGCAAAAGTTATCCCACATCGGAAGATAGGTAAAGAGTCCTTCCCAGTATGCGGATAAAAGGAGACATCACCAACGTTACAAACCACGCAGCCACGCGGTGGACACAGAGCGAACTATTCTTTCGCCTTTTACTAAAGAATACCGTGTGCCCGCCGCGATTAGTGGCATACGCCAGTTTTTTGAGGAGTTTCTCTGAACGGAGGAGCTCTTACAATTTAGTTTCCAAGCGTTGTAGTTAAAACAAGAAAGATGGACTTGCAAGACCTTTCTTCCAATAAAGTTGATTTGGTCATCTCAGATTCTCAATAATACTTCCATTAGATATAAAGATATCACTGCAACATCAATTCAAGCTGAACACTGAAAGCCCTAATCGCATTTCCATTGGTAAGGGAATTGCTAACTACTACGACCAGCTTAACATGTGTTACGAAAAGGGAGAACTGTTACATCTCATTAAGCTGGGGCAGCCAGCCAACGGGTCAAAAACGAAAAGGAGAAATGGAATGATTGTGTTGCAACCGATCCTGGTTCAGAAAGGTAATCGGCTTTCTATCGGGCCACGATTCTATTTTCTTGAAGTACTTGACTGGCACAACACCATCAAAACCTTCAGTCAAGATTACCTTGTTCTCTGAAATGTAAAACTTCATTCCCTCTGCAACAAAACTTCAGGCTTAAGAAGTCCTCTATGTTTCCTCAACTACCTCAATAAAGAATAAAAGGTGGTGTGCTCATGACAAACTTAAAAGAAAACTTTACACTTCGATAATGAAAGGTTTGCAAAACCTTACCTTCTAAAGCTTTTCTGACATCGAGATAGATCAAAACATTAACATCCCGTCTCATACCTAAAAGAAAACAAATCAATTACCAGCATAAGCTGAATAATGTCATTGTCTTCGATATATTCCTCACGGTCATTACCAGTATAGCTCATTACTTCATGATAGTCATTATCATTTAAAACTATATAGAAGGAATAATTCAATACAAGCGGTGGCCCAATAAACAATACAGGCGTGCGGGTGGTCCTTTTTTATTATAAATAGTACAGTTAAAATTTAAAAGCGTATAGCCGGTCGGCTATACAAAGGGTTTTTATTTATAAAACCGTATAGCCGAGCGGCTATACTATTTTTGACACATGGCAAAATGGGCGTAGGAGCCCAGCGGGTGGCTATACACGGATTTTTAATAATAAAAATAGGATAGCCGCACGGCTAAACTGTTTTTACACCTGCCAAAGCCGGCGTCAGCGCCAGGCGGTCCTCTATTTTCTCTTTATTTTTTACAGATGGTATAGCCGCGCGGCTATAGTTGTATTTTTATAATCCTGGCGAAGCTGGCGCTAGTTTTTCCTTTTTGACAAATAGTATAGCCGCGCGGCCATACCGGGTTTCTTTATATATATATATATATATATATCTGTCTCTATCATGAAGCATCTTTGTTTTTTTCTCAGCCATATTTTGTTAAGAAGCTTTTAATTTGTTGGAGGGCAATCTATGAAAATGGGAAAGCCTTTTTTTTGTTTCTCAAAAACAAAGTCTAGAGTTTTAATTCACGTTAAAGTCTAGAGTTTGCCTAATTATTTATCATTTTTCAATCACTAGCTAGAACAAATGACAAATGACATCCAAGTTTGCTTAGCATCTTCCTTTTCTTTTTTTTTAAATTACTAGCCCTCTAAACCCAAGTTTTATGTAAGAATAGGACAGAGCCTACATAACATTTAGAAGCATTTAATTTTTGTAGGAGTATTTTCCAGCTTCATGAATTAACTTGTTGGAGGGCAATCTATGAAAATGGGAAAAAGCCTTTTTTCTGTTTCACAAAAATCCCACATAGAAAAAGAAGCGAAAGCATCAGAATGAGAGCAGCTATAAAAATAGAAGAAATGGGACATTTGAAACCACGCAGCCACGCGGTGGGCACAGAGCGAACTATTCTTTCGCCTTTTACTAAAGAATACCGTGTGCTCGCCGCAATTGGTGGCATACGCCCATTTTTGGAGGAGTTTTTTTCAACAGAGAAGCTCCTACAAGTCAGTTTTCAAAGTCTTTCTTCTGTAATTTTTTCTCATCTAGGAGTTTTTTTCAACAGAGGATTTAAGAGCATCTCCAAGGGAGATGTCAAATACCAAGCATCAAATTTAAGTTTGATGGCTGATGTGGCAATTTGATATCTTACACAACTTTACACTCCATCCAATATGTCAAATTAAATTATTATTTTATTATATTTTAGTGTTGATTTATTTTTAATTAAAAATAAAAGAAAAGAAAAATAATAAAATTTTGACACATCGGTTGGAGTGATTTGAGATGTTATTTCTAGCTGTTAAAGGTCTATGTGGCACTTTTGACACATCGGTTGGAGATGCTCTAAGACATAATTTTGAAACCAAGTTCAACACAGAATTAGAATTACAAAATGCTTTTAGGCAGAGTATTGGCAAAAACCCATAAATCATGACATTTTGCAATTTACTATGGATTAGTCACTTAAACAAGGCAATAACAAACATCGACTTGCAAGACCTTCCATTAAAATTGATTTGGTTATTTTCACATAGTACTTTTATACACAAGAAAAGTACTTCTCTAGGAATGTAGATATAAATATACTACAACATCAATTCAAGCTGAAAATCAAAAGCGCCAGTCCCATTTCCATTGATTGCTAACTACGACGACCAGCTTAACGTGTGTTACAAAAATTACATCTCATTAAGCTGAGACGACCAGCCAATGGATCAAAAAGGAAAAGGAGATCCTTCTTCATAAAAATTTAAATGAATAAAAACTATGAATAAAAAAAAGGAAAAGGAGAAATGGAATGATTGCACCCCAACTGATGCAGGTTCAGAAAGGTATCGGCTTTCTATCGGGCCACGATTCTATTTTCTCGAAGTACTTGACTGGCACAACACCATCAAAACCTTCAGTCAAGATTACCTTGTTCTCTGAAATGTAAAACTTCATTCCCTCTGCAACAAAAAATCAAAAGAAACAAAACAGGCATAAGAAGTCCTCCATGATAAAGAATAAAAGATGCTGGGCTCATGGCAAACTTAAAAGAAAATTTTGAACTTTGAAAAATAAAAGGTTTGCAAAACCATACCTTCTAGAGCTTTTCTGACATCGAGATAGATCAAAACATTAACATCCCGTCTCATCCCTATAAGAATACAAATCAAATCAATTACCCACATAAGCTGAATAATGTTATTGTCTTGAATTCATCATTACCAGTATAGCTCATTACGGCATGATAGTCATTACTGTTTAAAAGTATAGAGAAGGAATAAGTCATTACATGTGGTATCCCAGTGAATAATGCTAATAAGCCCAAAAGCTTCCAAGAAACCAAGAATTCTGAAACAATCGGTGAACTTAAATGCACTGAACTTAGACCTCAAAAGGGTCACAGATAAACAATGTGGAGTATTGTCATCACAAACACCTAGGAACAACATTATTTCATCAGATCCCTTACTAACTTGTCTGCAACTCGCTCAAGAGTTGATGAACCATGAGAAAAGTTCGATCAAGTTCACCTTTCAATTGGCACATTTGCAAGGGCCAAAGAAAAGCAAATTCAGGTCTCTTCCACTAGCAAATTGTGGACCATCTACCTTTTTTCAATCTGACCAGTATGCACAGAAAGTGCATATATAATTGGAAACTTTTGGCAAGTGGAGTCTACAAATGGCTCTCCCCAAATAAGTGTTTGTATTCATATGTGTGATTAGAAGTCAATAAGAGTTCATCATCACCATATACAAAACTCTAATGTTGTGTGAATTGTCCCCCGTACCCATTCCATTCTTTTCTTCGTTCATCATTTATTGACCCTGTTTATAGGAAGCAGGTGCAAAGTAGAAAATATGCTACAGACTACAGAAGCAATTCTGATTGATCAGAGACACGTTCATGCATATAAAAAATCAACATAGATAAATAGCCCTAATTAAAAATGTTACCACTAATCACTTGCCCATCAGTTGGCAAGCCGCGTGAGAAGTGAACATGCAATCGTTTCATGCTCTTTAGACCAGACTCTAATATTGATTCCAAATTCTTCCTATAGGTCCCATGAACGCACACTGCACATCCAGGGGGAAAAACAGTGAATCAAACAAAAAGGTATCGTTTCAATAGAAAACACTAATGACTCTTTTTATTCTCTACACGAACAAGTTATGTATTGAGAATACAAGAAAATTGCACACTAAAAGATAAACCTGGAACTTCTTCAGATGTAAGGATGGGCTTCAACAATCTTTCAGATTCAACTATCTGCCAATATGCGCATACAGTAGATATAAATATTCAATGTCCAAAGTCAACAAGTATAGATGGACGTTCAACCCAAAAACGCATGTCACGAATAAATTGGTGAAGAAAATTGTCTAGAATTTTACGAAGTTTAGAATAACGTTGGTGCAAACAAATATAGTGGATCCTCATCCTTAGGCTAACATTTTACAGAGTTCAGGATAAACAACACTACTTTGTATTCATGTTGAAGAACAAAAAGTTGGAAAGTACAAATATCGGTATTACGCTATTGAAATTGAAAACAAGAACTTCATAATTTACTACATAATGGTCTGAAACTAAGAGTACAAGAGAAAATAATGAAAGACATCTAGTCTTAGGGTGTAATTACCAAATCTCTAGCTTGAACAATTTTACAAGTCTTAACCAGAGATTCTTCTTCTAGCTAGACTCGGACCTGACAGTGCTTTGAAAAGATTATGCAGAGAGAAACTAGTTAATCCCTGGCTCTGCTTTCACAAGACTACACAGAAACAGTAAAATCCAAGAAAACAGTTCCAAATTCAAGCAATTAAAAATGGTTTGGCGTCTCCACAAAACGAGCCTAATAACTCAAACTCAAATATTAAAGATAAATGAGAATATGTTACCGTTGTTGTGTGGCCTTGGTTTGCACGTATCAGAAGCTCCCCATTTTCTTCCAAGAGGCCGAAGCGCTGCTTATTATCCTTTCTGACAGCCTGGTAAGAAACAGCAAATAAATAAACATCCTCCTTAGGAAGTTATCTAAAAATAACTGACTACTAAAAGAGTGCTCACTAACCTCCTTAATTTCATCAACAGTATGTGATCTCAATGGAATATTAGCAAATGTCTGTATGTTCAGCTTTAACAGATCTTGAACCTTCACATATCCATCACTTCGCATATTCAAATTCAACTCAGCTGCCATATGGCGCAATATACGTGTCCTGAAAAGATAACAGAGGGGCTGAATTTAAACAAACTACACCATTCAGCTGCGCTACATTACCAATATTTAACAAAAGGTTTAAACTATTTCGCACACATTGAATACTTAAATTAAAATTAGAAGCTACAAAACAAACAAAATGACTAAGTGGGTATTGTAGTACTTACAACAATCTACCAAGGGCGTCAATTTTATCTTTGCCAGAGCCACCCCCTCGATCACCACCACGGCCCCTTGATCTTTCTCTATCATCCCAATCTTCTCCTCTACCACCACTGACCACAAAATACATAATCACATATTCACAGTATAATTATATAACACACTCCAAATTTTCTCTGCCAAAACAAAATTTTCAAACTTCTAGTTGGTTGCTGAGAAATGCCCGAAAAAATTGGTATATTGCAACGATAATAAAGTACAATAAAACTGATAATGCAATAAGGGCAATCCCGTTTTTGCTAAACCCAAACATTCTCTCAGAAAAACAATGGAAATTCATAATTCATTTTTTTTCTTCTGTCTGAAATCGTTCGCAGAAGCGAACAGGAGAAGAAAGAGAATGAACAAAAAGATACCTTCTGGAGTTACGAGCAAAAGATGCAAAAGAGGACCCGCCGCTACTGCTATTGTTGTCCATGAGAACCCGAGCAGGATAGGTGGGAAGGAGAAGAGGATGAGATTTAGGGCTACGTGGAAGGGAAACACAATAGTAGCATAGAACTGGAATTTTGTTAACGGTGACAGTCCCCCGCATGAATATTACAAGAATTTGCAAAGCCGAGAGGATGATGAGGAAGGAGACAGGGAGAGAGGAGACTGCTCAGAAACTCTCTGTGCCACAGGCGGGGGGCGTCCTTTCTTTTTTATAAATAGTATAGCCGGTCGGCTATACTCTTGGTTTTTATTATTAAAAACATAGTATAGCCGATCGGCTATACTATTTTTGAAACGTCTACAGCCCAGGCGAGTAGCTATACTCAGATTTTTTTAGCCGCACGGCTATACTGTTTTTGACAGGTAGCGAAGCGTTGGCGAAGCGTTGCTAGGCTCCAGATGGGTCCTCCTCTTTTTTTTTTAATAGAAAGCGTATAGCTGCTTGGCAATACTACGGTTTTTTATTTTAAAAAATCATATAGCCGATCGGCTATACTATTTATTAAAAAACCTCTCACGAAGCAAATTTGCCATATAATATCTTAGAGGTATAGCCGTACGGCGATACTCCAAAATAGAAAAATATTTAAAGTATAGCCGACCGGCTATACGCGATGAATACAATATTTTAAATACAAATTTATAAATAAACCAAATCCTAGACATGTATTTATAAAAAAAAACCCAAGCATTATTTAAACATAGAAACACACCCAAAATCAACCCCAAAAACAACAATTGTATATTTTTTGGGTGTGTTTATAAAAGAGTTTTGAGTGTGTGTAATGATGAGTTTTGGGTGTGTTTATAAAGTGTTTTGGGTGTTGGGTTTTTTTATAATTTCAGCCCCCATTTTGGGTGTTTTAGTGAAACTCCCTAGGCCAGTCATGCGCTATACACGATGAATATAATATCTTTAACGTATAGCCAACCAGCTACACACCAAGAATAGAATATTTTAAAAGTATAGCCGTACGGCTATACCCTTTAAGTTGCATAATATGGATTTCTCTTTTTTAATTACTTTAATTAGCAGTTATGTTTTAGTTATTATTTACTTAGTTAATAAATAGTATTTAAATATTTTATTTAAGAAAAAAATAGAAAATTTGAATTACTGTTTATTAAGTAGTATAATTCATGAAGTTAATTAAAATATTTAATATTAATTATTCACTAAATAAATAATAAATAAAATATACTTACTAATTTAACTAATAAAATCATTCAAATATATTATTTAATTACTAAAATTAATTAACTAAACATACTAAGTTTATATTTATTTTTAAAACATAACCTCTCCCGATGAAATTGTGTCGGCATAAATCTATCTTGGCAAACTTTTTGCCATATTAGACCTCTCCCAATGAACTTTCGTCGGTAGAGGTAACATTCGTTGGGAGAGATCTTATCCGGCAAATATTTGTCACATAGATTTGTACCAACGAAAGTTCGTTGGTAGAGGTTTTTTATTTTTTTGTTTTTTAATTTTAAAATTATTATAAATTTTTTTTTTTTCTTTTTTCTTTTTTTTAATTATATGTAATTAAGTAATATATTAGCCTTTTTGAATTACTTTAATTAATAATTAATGTTTAATTATTATTTGCTGTGTGAATATTTAAATATTTACTTATTTCATAATTAATTGTGTAGCCGCGCAGCTATACTATTTAAAAATTAAAAATTAAAAAATCATCGGCCGCCTAGTCGATAGGCGAGTGCATAGGGGCTAGCCGGCAATATTTTTTAAAAAAATAAATAAATAGTACAGCCGCCCCTGCTATACTCGTTAAATATATACTTTGATCTTTTTTCTTTTCTTTTTTTCCCAATTTTCGTTTATTGATAAGATTAGCTTAGAGCATTTTCTATAACTATTTGGCCATTACCAGAGTCTCTATTGTCTCCTTTTGATTTTTTACTTTTCCAGAATTATTACCTTATAAAGAATTTAGCATGTTCCCATTTAATACTCATATTATACACGTATGTATATATTTTTTAAAAAATACTTCCATTTTCCGTACACATCTTAAAGACACTGTAAAATAAACATTTTTTAAAAGCAAACATACAATACACGTACGTATGTATTTTTCAAGTTTTTTTACAAAATTTTCAATATCACACATAAAATTCACGTATTATACACATAATTTTCACATATTATTGAAAATATATTGGGTCCTTTTTTTAATTTATTTTTAATAAATAGTATAGCCACGCATCTATACTCTTTAAAAATATATTGGAATCCTTTTTTACTAATTTTCGTTTATCAATAAGAGTAGTTTAGAGCATTTTTCACTACTATTTGGCAATTACCTAAGTCTCTATTGTACCCTTTTGATTTTTTACTTGTCCAAAGTTATCGTACAAAGAATTTAACATGTTCCCATTTAATACTCGTATTATACACGTAAGAACATATTTTTTTAATAATACTTCCGTTTACCTTACACGTCTTCAAGATCCGATAAAATACACATTTAAAAAAATAGCATGCATACAATACACATACGTACATATTTTTTAAGTTTAATACACGTGTTTTTTACAAAATTTTCAATAATACACACAAAATTCATGTATTATACATTTATTTTTCACATATTATAAATTGAATATATACACGGGTCCTTTTTTTAAATTTTTTTCAATAAATAGTATAGCCGCGCAACTATACTCTTTAAATATATACTGGGAACCCCTTTTGTTTTAAAAGTTTTTTTCTTTCTTTTTCTAATTTTCGTTTATCAATAAGAGTAATTTAGAGCATTTTCCATTACTACTTGGTCATTACCGGAGTATTTATTATCCCATTTTGATTTTTTACTTTGCCATAGTTATTACTCGTATAAAGAATTTAGCATTTTCCCATTTAATACTCATATTATACACGTACATACATATTTTTTTAATAATACTTCTTTTTCCCATACACGTCTTAAAGACTAGGTAAAATACATGCTTTTTTTAAAAAGCAAACGTACAATACACGTACGCACATAGTTTTTCATGTTTAATACATGTGTTTTTTTACAAAATTTTCAATAATACATGCAAGATTCACGTATTATACACATAATTTGCACATATTATTGAATATATACTAGGGTCATTTATTTATTTATTTTAATAAATATATAGCTATCTTTAATACTAATTTATATATATATGGGATGTTTTTTTTTTTTTTTTTTTTTTTTTTTTTTTTTTTTTTTAAGTAAGTTTTTTTTTTTTTTTTTTTTTTTTTTTTTATTTTTTAGTTCGATCGATAGAGTAGTTTAGAGCATTATCCATTACTATTTGGCCATACTTGAGTCTCTATTGTCCCCTTTTGATTTTTTACTTTTTCCAAAGTTATTATCCGTATAAAGAATTTAGCATTTTCCCATTCAATACTCGCATTATACACGTACGTATGTATTTTTCAATAATTCTTCCATTTTCCATACATGTCTTAAAGACTCATTAAAATACACGTTTTTTTTAAAGCAAACGTATAATACACATACATACATATTTTTCAAGTTTAATACACGTATTTTTTATAAAATTTTCAATCATACACACAAAATTCTCGTATTATACACATAATTTTCACATATTATTGAATAAAAATAATATATGATTAAATATTAAAATATTTTCAATTCTAGAGGATTAAGTGAGAAAATTTCTGTTTCAGGGTGTAAAGTGAGAATTAAGACCCTACAGTTCCCAATCAACCATGTCCCACCCAAACCGATTGCACAAGCTTTCCCTCCACCTGCTTCTCCTCCTGTGGCAAGTCATCACTCCTCCTTCTAAGCTAAGTTGTGAATGTCTTTAAATATTTTTATCATGAATTCATTGATTTTTTATGCGATGATCAAAGATCATTCACTCTTCCTTGTCCGCATGAACCATGATATTGACATGCGTTAGAAAGTTATCAATGAGTTTAGTTTATAAAATCTTGTAGGAACTCTTTCGCGCTAACAGGAAACATGAAAGGAGATCATGCAATTTCTTTTTTCTTCCTTTATTTTGTTCAGTGAGTTTCAGAGTGATTGTGGCTTTTAGGTTGGGATAGCGGTCTCTGTTCATTCATGCTTATACAGTATGAAAAAGGAGAATGATGAGACGCGCAAACGCTAAGACATAAAGGGACAAGTGTGTATATAATTGTCCATGAAAAGTGAAGTGAAAGATGTGTCTAACAAAGTTACTTGGTTTGGTGCATATCAGATTCCAAAGTGAACTCTGGGTATATTTTGCTTATCCAGTTTGTCCGATTGTTGTGGAAGAGAATCAAACCCTTCCTATATGCTAATCATTTTCCTGCGACTTTTTGTTAGAGAGAGAGAGAGGTCTAAATCCTCATCTTACCCGTTTTAGACAATAGGGATAGAATATAAATAAAAAATTTAAATACAAAAGTTTGAATCAACATGTCAAAAATGGAATGTAATCTACATGGCAAACTAGTCAAAAGACTTATATCAACAAACAATAATTCGAGGACTAGATGTAAGTAAACTGAAGTTAAATACAATAAACACATGAATTACAACATGAATAAAGAATACTTATCGATTGATTCATACTCAATGAAGAAGACATGACAACTATGGGAATGATCATCTTCTCTCTGCAACACAAGAATGTTCTTGTTATCAATAGGTCAAGCACGCCACAGAACTTGTGTATTGTGAGAGGCGGGACCGATTCTTTTATATTGAAGAAACCTTAACACTATCTCTCCTATTATAGATAGAGTAAGAGTTTAAACAAAACTAATACATTTAAGTGATTGAGTCCTAGTCAATATAAACTAACCAAAGTCTAACAATAACTGATAAACATAAATCTCATTATCTCGTTCTAATATGATAATCATAACACGTGATTAGGCTAACCCACATAAGTCATCTTACACTAGACCCAACTATTGGTTGGATTTTTAGACCAACCTCTATCAACTTTTCTATAAATAAATAAAAAAGGTAGATATTTAGCATGTCAATATGTACTATTAATGTGAATTACTGTTGTAGGTGTTATATTAACATATCTAATATTTGGCCAAAGGAGGTCACGCAATAAAGAAAGAAGTTTTGAGCAAAGTTGTATCTCATAAATTTTTGTGTGTGAGACTTTAAATAACTTTATTTTAAGGACATTTTTATACTGCCCACTCCGCATTGTATTTCAACAATTCAAACCATCTATTTTATAGGATACAATAATAACATTGATATGATAATCATAAGTCATTCTTGTTTCTTTCGTAGTATTGGGAACTTTTAGGTGAGGCTACGAAGCAGGTTGGACTAGCGAGGAAGCTTGTCACGAGCTAGCTCAAATGACATATATATGGAAGATATATTAGTGGTGGAAAAGCTAGCTGGCTGGTTCTGGTTATTGCAGACTTGCAATTAGTTGTACCCTAACCCTACCAAAACTCATATATATATATATATATATATGTGTGTGTGTGTGACATGTCTGTCTTACCATATTGTAAAGTCCAACAGAGTGGTGAGAGAGAGCCGTGAGTAAAAACTGTCGTGTTCTGTTTTCCACGAGCATATAAACACCACAAGCCCTGTAAAAGTAATGCCTACGGAGATAAAAGACAAGGTTTCATAATGTACAAGTTCACATGACATGAATATTGGGCTATACAGAGTGAAAAAAAGGAGTTCACATGAAGCCCGACAATTAATGGGTCCACTCTCTCTCTCTCTCTCTCTCTCTCTCTCTCTCTCTCTCTCTCTCTCTCGGGGTCAAGATCAAGCTGTGTAGAAGCAACTTCTGTGTTTTCATACGTATATACAAGTTCTTTTTTGAAGCAGCATATGGAAGAATGGAATACAAGGTTCTACGTACTTGAGTTTGACAGGAGGAGGAACATCGTCACGAGCCCTAAATTAAACACAATAATTTTTACTTTAATATGAATCCTTCTTCTTCTTTTTTTCTTAGTAGGGCAGGCAGCATCTCACAGCTCAAGAATTCAAACTACAAAATAAGGAAGTTGTTATTCATACTCGAAAAATATTCATCATAGATGCACTCCATGGTTTACTGACTCATTGAGTATATACAAGTGTAAATTAAAATTTTGCGTTTCTCGGTTATTTTGTAAGTTTAATATACATTGTTAATCCTTTTTTCTTTTCTTTTTTGACACATTTAAATTTTTTGAGTTAATGATTGTTTGACATGATACCAAAGTCTTCTTAGTAACTCGATCATGATCTCAATTCCCGTTTCTGTATATATATTTTTTTTTGGTTGCATGCTGAGTTTGCACAAATCAGTAGTGTAAGTTTGATATATTTTGTTGGTTTTCAGAAATCTCATGGTTTTTTTTTGGGTTAATCATTTTATTAGTCCCTGAACTTTGACCGGATTTGCATTTGAATACCTTAATTTCTAAGATGATTCCCGTGGTCCTTTAACTTTAGTTTCGTTTGGACAAATGGTCCTGCCATCAATTTTGTTAACTTTTTCTGTTAAATGCAGAGGCAAAATGGTATTTTTATATTTAAAAATTGAATAAAAAATTATATCTTTAAAATAACAATAAAAGAAAATCAAATAAAAAACCAACCCAAAAAAAAATCAAGTTTTTGGGGAGTAGAAATTGGGATAGAGGGGGAGAGGGAGAGAGTTTTTTTATTTTTTTATAAATTTTTTATTCATATTTAATCAATTTTGATACAAAAATATCATGTTGTCCCTGCATTTAACATAAAAGTTAACAAAATTGACGACATGATCATTTGTCCTAACGAAACTAAAGTTAAAGGATCATAAAAACTATTTTGGAAATTGAGATACTCAAATGCAAATTTGGTCTAAATTCAAGGACTAATAAAATGATTAATTTTTTTTTATTTTTCTAATAGTAATGAAAGTTTGATGGTCATCATTTCCCTTTACAATCCTAGGCCTATGGTAGCTTTTATAGAGTGAAAACAATTAGTCACAATCTAATGATATGTTATTAAACTCTCAATATGAATCGTGAATTATACTTTCCTGGTGTAGTCAAAATTAAAGTTTGAAAAGACAATTCAAAAAGTATGGGAAAAGACAAAATTACCCAAAAAATAATTAAAAGTGAAGACTAATAAGAGAGACAGTAGAGCATGGTGAGTCAGCAGAGAAAAGAAGCATGGTATTTTGCTTGCTCACCTCAGGCTCACATCCTTCTTAATTGACAGAGACACCAATGAATCCAAAGTACTGCCATCCATGTTTGTGCCATTGTTTTTACCTATGCTTTTTAGGCTTTTTGCCTTCCCATCCCCTGCCTTAAAGTGGTCTCACTAAAAGCACCCATAGTCCATTTCAAAAACAATGGCATCGCTTTCCTGATTCCCAATTATTATTTCCAGTTTCCACTAACTACAGTTGTTTTCATCATGAAAAATAAATAAATACAGTTCGAGTTCATAATGTTCAATTGTGGATCAAGTTAAACTGCTGTTGATGCAAAATTTATACGTTCCTCAAGTATATAGTTTGCTGCTTTTGCAAGAGTAATCAAATAGTTCATTGATGCTTTAGCTTTTCATAATTTCCGTAGTAAACAAAATCATAGCAATTCTTATGACCATAAACAATTTAGTCTTGAGATGCAGATTGAAGTTCCTATTTGCCACTGCTAGTTTGCCAATTTCAAACATGGGCAGCCAAACTGTGCTAACTTCTAATAAGTATTTGGCTTGGTTTCTCGGTTTTTTGGTTCCAATGCCCACCCCTAGCTAATACCTATACAATGAATGTTAGATAAATTTTACTTTTCAATGCTCACGAAAATACTGTTTTTCAATGGGATCCAAATGCTTATGGATGGATAGAACATTACATGTGTGGCCTACATTTCAAATGCAGGCAAACGAAATGAGACCATATAAAGTTCTTCAATAATTCTGAATCATGGATGATGAATTCACTGAGAACTTCATGCATTTTCTTTTGATGAATAAGATTTCCTTGTCTCCTTTAAACAATGAACTGGTTTGAACAAAATGTGTTCATAGGGGCCATATATACAGTTGTAGGACCCATTGATTCAAATTTAGGTGGAGGGCCCCATAATTTTGATATGCTTTAGCTTCCAAAAGAACTGCATTACATAAAACACTCAAAACCATCACATTTACATGAAGCAGGCATATCATGATTCATGTATGACGGTGCAACTCTGTTTTCACCTGCAAAGTCCACCGAGATTAGAAACCTCTCACTTTCAAAACCTAACTTCACTCTCTGTCTGAATCCAAAATAGAAAATAAGCAAAAGATCAAAACTCACTCGGACACTCTCTCCTCGAACTTATAAATCCCACATTTTTCCAGAGAGTCAAAACAAAAGCAAAGCAATTTCCACCTTTTCCTACCCATTTTCTACCGTTCTCCCTCAAACCAAACACCACTGTTTATCTTCTCAGGCATTATGCAGAGTCTTTAGACCACCCATTTCACTTCAAAACCTCACAAAGCCAGCACAGCCCAGAAAGCAAGAGTTGAAAAAGATCCAAAATTTCCCACCAACCCCTCAAACCAAACATGCATTTCACTTTCTCCATTCTCCTCCTCCTTCTCTTCCCCTCTCTCTGTTTCTCCTCACTTACTGAGCTCCCTGCTCTTATGGCCATGAAGGCCTCTCTGGACCCACAAAACCAGTTCTTGACTTCATGGACGCCTCACTCTGAGCCATGTAGTGGAGCTTTTGAAGGCGTGGCTTGCAATGAGCAGGGCCTTGTGACCAATATCTCTCTTCAAGGGAAGGGTCTCTGGGGCCAAATACCCCCAGCTGTTGGTGGCCTGAAGAGCTTGACTGGTCTGTATCTTCACTTCAATGCTTTGAGTGGGAAAATACCAAAGGAGATTGCTCGTTTGAACCAGCTCAGTGACTTGTACCTCAATGTCAATAATCTTTCTGGAGGAATTCCTCGTGAGATTGGTAACATGCCTAATTTGCAAGGTGGGTTTTAAAATAGAAAAAATTTCATTTTTGTTATGAGTTACAATTTTGTGCTTATGTTAGATTGAATGTTCAGATTTTTTTTTCTTTTAAATGTCTTAGAATTTCTTGTTTTCTTTGTGAAATAAAAGTTTTTACTTTTTGATTATGAATATAGAGGCAGTGAAAAGCTTTCTGCTTTACATCTCACATGGAGAAAAGTGGGTGCATTGACAACTTTTGCTCACAGAAAGATTGCATATGGATTTCTGGGTGTTTATTATTATTATTTTTTTATTTATAAATTCTGAAATTTAGAGGTTGAAATTGGTGCACTGAAACTTGAAAAGCCTTGTTGTATTATATCTTCCCTATTTATTTTTCTTAATTCATATTCTTGTTTTCTCTACTGGATTAGGTTTGAAGTGGTATTGTCATTTGCATTTACCAGCTTTCTTGAGATTAAAACTAGAGTAACTATATCTTTTACAAATTATTTCATATGGAATGAGCTTCAAAGGTCCTTAGCTCTAGATTTAATTTTTATGGTCTGTTCAAGAAATGAATTTAAAACAGTTTTGGTATTCTAGCTAAGAATGGAGGGAAGGAAGAAAGGAGTGGTAATCTAACAGTTTTGAATCAATTAGTTATTCAAAAAAGTTTGAATAGCATAAACTTTTCAGAGTTATGTGTAGACCAGTGATTAAACATATTAGTTTAATCGAGTTTTCTTTGTTTGGAGTGTGCAGTTTTGCAGCTGTGCTACAACAAGTTGACTGGGGGCCTACCGACACAATTGGGAGATCTTAAAAGGCTCAGTGTTCTTGCAGTGCAATCCAATCAGTTAACCGGGGCAATTCCAGCAAGCCTGGGTGAGTTGGGGACGCTAACAAGGCTGGATTTGAGCTTTAATAGCTTTTTTGGTCCTATTCCTGCAAGATTGGCTCATGCTCCTATGCTTCAAGTCCTTGATGTTCGAAGCATAGTCTCTCAGGAAATATCCCTCCAGGTAATGTGGTGTGATGCTCTCAACCAGTTAAAAACTTATGTTTTATTTTCTTTGTAAGAATTTTAAGTTGACCATTTGCATTTGTGGATGTAAATACAGCTCTAAAGAGACTGAATGGAGGATTTCAATATGAAAACAACCCAAGCCTATGTGGGGTTTGGTTTTCTGGCTTAAAAGTTTGCACAGCTACTACTACTCGGAACCCAAACAAGCCACAACCATTTGAACCTGGTAACTTTTCTGCAAAAAATCTTCCAGACTCACCTACTGCAAGAGAAATCCCTGAGTCTGCAAATTTAGAGTCCAATTGCAGCCAAACCCACTGTTCAAGAGCATCAAAATCCCAACAAATTGGTATAGTTTTTGGGGTGATTGGAGTTATTGCTGCTTTAGCTGTATCTGGTCTCTTACCTTCTCATGGTATCGTCGCCGAAAACAGAAAATTGGGAGTACTTTGGACACTTCGGATAGCAGGCTTAGTACTGACCAGGCAAAGGAAGTTTACAAGAAGAATGCATCTCCTCTCATCAATCTGGAGTATTCTAACGGGTGGGACCCGTTGGCTAGAGGTAGCGCTGGGTACTCTCAAGAAGTTCTTGAGAGTTTTATGTTCAATTTAGAAGAAGTGGAGCGTGCAACTCAGAGCTTCTCAGAAGGCAATCTGTTGAGGAAGAGTAATTTTTCTGCCATCTACAAGGGAATCCTAAGGGATGGATCAGTTGTTGCTATAAACTGCATCAGCAAGACAAGCTGTAAGCCTGATGAAGCTGAATTTTTGAAGGGATTGAAGATATTGCCCTCATTAAAACATGAAAATCTTGTTAGGTTGAGAGGCTTTTGTTGTTCAAAAGGCAGGGGGGAGTGGTTTCTTATCTATGATTTTGTCCCCAATGAAAGTCTGTTACAGTATCTCGACATTAAGGTTGGCAGTGGGGAGATTCTTGAGTGGTCAACCAGGGTATCTATAATCACTGGCATTGCTAAAGGTCTGTGTATCTCTTGCTCAATAAAGTTACCATCATTGTTTTTGGTTTTTGCCTTTTTGTTCTTCTTACCATCAGTGTATCTCTTGCTCGATAAAGCAATAAGAACTCCATAGGAAAATTTGACATATTATTCCCTTCTATTACTTGGTACTAAAATTTGACATAATATAACTCCTTCTAATAATTGGTGTATACTGAATGTTTGACATATTTTGGCGGCAGGTATTGGATATTTGCATGGAAGTATGGGCAATAAACCTGCCATAGTTCACCAGACCATATCAGCTGAGAAGGTGCTTATTGACTCCCACTATAACCCCTTACTCTCAGATTCGGGCTTGCACAAACTCCTTGCAGATGATATTGTCTTCTCGATGCTCAAAGCCAGTGCTGCCATGGGATACCTGGCTCCTGAGTACACAATGACTGGTCGCTTCACTGCAAAGAGCGACATTTATGCATTTGGTATGATTGTTTTTCAAATCCTTTCTGGAAAACGTAAAATCACCCTGGTGAATCGCCAAGGGGCTGAGGCAGGCAGATTTGAAGATTTCATTGATGCAAACCTTGAGGGAAACTTTTCAGAATCAGAGGCAACCAAACTTGGAAGACTTGCTCTTCTTTGCACGCAGGAGTCTCCCAGTTACAGGCCGTCCATAGAAAATGTGGTGAAAGAGCTAAGTGGGTTTATCTGCACTTGATTTTCATATGGAGTTATTGCCACAATTTTCAAATCACTAGAGAGGTTTAGATGAAGCAATTAACTGCTGACTGATGGCTGAAGCTGTGTTTTCTTCTAATTATCGTGTCCGGTTCTTGATCACTGAAGTGTTCGTGAATGGTATGTACTGGTTTGCTGTAATTTATGGCAGAAGTGATTTTGGTGGGAGGAAGCATCCTTTGATTATTTGTCTTTGTTGAGGGAGGCAAGTTGGTTCAATTAGCAAGACATTATTTCTAGTTTTTATGTTCAACACGTAGAAGCTGTTGTGTTCCAACAATGTCATTAGGTTGCTAGTGCATGTAAAGTGTGAACTAAACTGTGAACTTTCCTTTAAACTCAGATGTAAAATTGTAGATGGAAGCAAACTCAGCTTCCTAGTATTGTACGTTACCTTTGATATTTATAAACTGCCATTGTTGGAATTCTAAACAAGTTGCAACCATCACTTGTGAAATGGAAAATGTTTTGGATCAGAAATGGCTGGCTAGGAAATGGACAAAATGGTTCCAGTCTACAAAGCATGCCCAACTCTCAACTAATTTTTTTAATTGATTTCTTTCATTTGAACTTGGACACACATAGGTCCAATTTCATTGCTTTTGCTAAGGTTGCGTGTGAAGCCTTCTTGTCGTTTTTAACCTGCCTGGCTTTGTTCCTTTCCTTATCATTTTTCTTCCAAGAAGAAAAAGAGAGAGAATTAAGGGTGTGAATGCTGTAGTACACAGTACTGAAAGAGTTCAATCCACCCAGGTCCTTCTACTGAGGAAAGGCTTGATGCATAGGTTCAGCAATAAATTCTAACTGACATGACATGCCATGAAGTTCCTCGAAAGGGACTTGATTACGAGAGTTAAAATCAACTAGCTCTTACTCAAGGGATATTTCTTGTTACAAATATAAAAAGGAGCTTCTATTGACGCTCCAAAAGAGTCATCATACATCCCTAGTGCAATTTATCTGTTGTGTTATTATGACGGGGATTACATGATGACTTTTTTCGAGTGCCAGTAACAGTTCCCATACTGAATTTCAGGAAATATTATTGAAAAAGAAAAATGAAAAAAAGGGGGGAAAAAGGGTTGGGCTTAGATGTGGTACCTAAGTTGTACAAGTTGAAGTTGGCTTGGTAAAATATAACGGGCCTAAAGAATAAATAAGACGTGCCTTGCTTAGCCCATGATCCATTCATAGCCCAATCTGACTAACCACCCAAAAGCAGCTAGAATGAAAACACTTTTTGATCGTTGACATTGACATGGTCAATTAATCTGAATTACAAAGTTTCTTAAAAAGGGATTAGATGCCATTTAAGATTAGGGTCGTCAGGTGGTTTGGATATTTATGCAAAACAAATAGAAAAACAGGGATTTGATCCTTTTGGGGTTGTTGTCATCCTGTTGCTTTCAAACATGAGGTAGGTGAAGGCAACAGCTTCTCTTTTTCCAATTTACTAACTATTTCTAGTTTGTCTCTGTGATGACAAACAAACCAATATTTTTCCAAGAACTAATAATGTTTACAACAAATTACAGAAGAGCTTTGTGGTTTTATTATGTACGGAGAAAAACTTACATAAAATGGATTCGTGTTATCTATATATATGTCTCTCATCGTGTGGTGATGAGAGAGATAAGTATATGAGTTATGAATCCGTGATAGCCAAGTTTTCTCGTGAAGAGGGTTAGGACTCATCGGCTTCCGTGGTAGAACATATGTTAGATCTATATTTTGGCATTTAACACACGTTAGATTGATCAATTGTGCATTAGAAGGATTGTAGATTACATAGGAAAATATCTCATATCTTCTCAAAAGTTATTCTTTGTGTTGAGCTAACAAACAAATTACGTTTACGTGGGACAAATAGACAACAAAACATTTTTAGAAGTCACTTTTATGCTTAATTCTAGTTGTTTATGGCTCTTTGGCAGTCAGTGAAGTCACTCTTAATCCAATCTTAAATTACTTGACTACTTCACAAACCCTTGACATAAATATCTTCGCCCATGTTTAAAATAAATTGTATTTTTAAATTTTAGTTATATTATTTATATGGTTTTTTTAATAGTCATTTAATTTTATAGGGTTTTCTTAGGCGTGCAGGTATTTAATTAATTTATAATAATAATATAAGGTTGCCTTCAGTTGAGTCTATATATATATATATATACCCAGACCTGGAATCATGATGGCCGTGCACTTAGAATGGTGCATATATAATATACATATCTAGATATATGTCTACTTGGCTTAAATCAAATAGTAATAACGATGCGATCTTATCATTTTTGCATCACCAATTAATGTTTATTTGTACAACCTTGTTGTTGATTAGATATATAATATTTCTATGGCAAGTTGAGGGTATACTGACTCAGTCAGTACAATATATTGTCATTATCTGTCCCACCCCCTCGACATTAGTTATGCAAGTTGCCTTTGTTATATATACATATATATCCAAATTAATCTATAATAACTAAGACTTAGTCATGTGTACTCTAGCGTGTTGAAGAATATAGTCCTACATCCGAAACTTAAGTAAATAAAATACAAATATAATGAATGGTTCTGCTATTAAAAACACCGAGGTCTTTTGAAATAAAACCTCACACCTACTGGAATTTATAAGTGATTAAGTTGGGGACAATATTGGTATTATTAGTAGTAGGCCGCAGGCCCGTCTTTCTTAAATTTAACATGGTATTAAAGCGAGTTGATTGATTGGACTTGAATTACTAGGTTTTTACCCCTACCCGTTACCCAACATGTGATATTCACATGTTGGGCTTGAAACCCCACACCTATTGAGATTTGTAGGTGATTAAGTTGGAGACAATATCAGTATTGTTAATAGTGGATGGCATACTCGTCTCTCTGAAATTTAACATAGATATCATATATGCCAGTTATATAATTAAGGGATAGTAATATCACATCCTCATAGAAGCAAGCTATATCTCTATTTAATTGTGCAATTATGCAAGTAACATCCGTTAAAAAATCTCATTCCCAAGCAATGAAGTAAGCAGTATTCGTTAAGAAATATAATCAGAAAATACGGTAATTTTATTATTTGATGAGTGATGTTATTTATACCGTATATATTTGATATAATCCACATAGTGGGTAGGCCATCTGTTTAAGATGTGATCATCAAAATAATACAAATAACTTTATTATTACTTCATTAATACATTATTATTATTATTTTTTTTTATATATGTCTCCCGGACACGCATGATGTGTTTGGAAGATTTTGTTAAGGTATTGTTGTCCTTGAAGGTACATTACTAAAGGTGATATTTTTCGAGAGTGCTACAACGAATCATTGGGATTTATGATCATGTTGACTAGAAATACAAAAACCATCATTATCTCATCAGACATGAAAACATATACCCACAATCAGCTCACGCTATTGCCCTGCCCTACCTACCTAGCTACCCAATCAGAAAGATGCCTTCACCAATTATGCTCAAAAATATGGTGAAAACATTTTGTATTGGTGAGTTACACCTCTATTAGAAAGGCGGTACGCAATATGATATTTGAAGAGCATGACTCGGCTTCTTAAAATTGAGAAGGAGCTCCTCCTTAAAACCAATGGGATTTTATCAAATTCTAGCAACATTGACAAAGTTTCAACAACAACAAAAATAATAATAATTTAACACGTGTCAAAACCACATTGGTTGTAAGGAGGAACTGCTCCTCAATCTTAGAGCATCCACAATCATGTTCTCTATTTTTTAGTTAAATTTTAGCTAAAAACATATAAAAGTTATTTTAGGAGCTCTCAATAAAATTTAAACTTCAATCATGCTCTCTAGTATAGGGAGTCATAAATGCTATAACTCTTTTTAATTGGCCAATATCTATTAAAAATAATATAAAAAATAGTTAACATTAATTAAAGGTTTGAAATACTCATTAAATAAAGCATCATTAAATTATAGGGAGCCACTAGGAGTTCTTTCTCTCTCCTCAGATTTAGGAGCTCCTAAAGGTCTCCTTATTTTAGGAGGTGAATAGAGAGCATGCACTGGCGGATCCACAGAGGCGCAAGGAGGTGCAACTACACCTCCCCTCGCCGGAAACTTCCTTGGGGATGCCAGAATTTGCCCCTTTGCTAGTGCCCACCAATTGTTCGACTAAATGCCTCAAAGAAGTTGTATTTTTTGCTGCATTGTGAGACCCTGAATATTTACCTTATATTGTTGGGCTCGATCTCACGAGCATGTAGGAGAAAATGGCTCATCAATTGGAGCTCCACAACTAAAGTTATGAATTTTCAAAGTTTTTCTACAATATTTGAAGTTAAGTTGCAGAGGCACAATTCAAGGAAGAAGAAGACTCCACATCAGACGTCAGCGCTTTTGATTTTGATTCTTTTTTAAATTGTCCAATAGCAGGCCAACACATGTCTATTTCTAATTGGTCTAAATTAAAAAACTCATATGTGTGCCAAAAAATTCACTAAAAATTACCCCCAACTTTTAATCATGTGTACTTTTGTTTCATGACCTCCAAATTTACATGTGCTTTTGGTTAGATTAATTGGTATTGACTTTTGTTAGATTAAATATGTAATTGACATGGATTTTGTTCATATTTGATATGAATTTTGGTAAACTAATTGTGTCAATGACAAAGATTTTGTTCGTATTAATCGATATCCATATAGACTATAATCAATTAGTTGTAGAGGTAAAACTTTTATTTGTTTTAATTATGAATGACATTAGTATTGGTTAAATTCTAAGGGCATTTGGTTGTATAATTTTTTTTTATTGAATTTTTAGACTTATTTTTTTTAACACACTACACAGATGTTAGGACTTGAACCCAGGGCATTGCTTGAGTCCTTTGTAAAATTTTAGCCTTTTAAATATTGCACCTCCCTTGAAAAATTCATCGATCTGCCACTGAGAGCATAGTTGGAGTTGTATTTTTCCAAGTCCTCCCTAAACTTTGTCTAAATAGATGGTTTAGGGAGCCCATTGTTGATGTTTTTAAAGAGCCAAACTTTTTCCATATAAAAATGTGATAAGTGTAGCATTATCCTTACTTTAATTAATATTCAACGGTGCTAATGTACAAAATCTAAGAAAAAATTTCTTCATTCTCAGTTGTTGCAACTTGGATCCTCATCAAAAAGTAAATTAATGAATGTTTATGCCGCCCAAAGCAATCTAGCCATCGTTAACTTAACCTTATCCCCGATTTAGAACTAGTACTCCTTCTGGTTTAGGCATCTTAAATTATAATTAATTTAAGAGTCAAAATTATAATACCGTACGTACAATTGTCAACTCATGGTGATACATGGCACATAGAGGATAGGCAGGGAGAGGAGAAAAAGATAAGAGCCCTCAACTTGCAAACTGATGATCAATGAATTTCCTTATATATATCTATATATGTTATTTAATGCCAGAATCGCACACGTCCTAAAGCCTCCTAACTGCAAGTGTTCCCAAATGTCAACTCTAGCTTTGTTGTTTGTACCAAAAGATAGCTAGGCGACAATTCTTTCTCTTTCTCCCAAACCATATTTAAAACCAAATAAATATATCACACACCTTGCTCGTATACTCCATTTGAATTTAGTCCCTCTTCTTCATCATCATCATCATCATCATCCTCTCTCCCTTTCTCTCCCTCGCTCTCTCTCAAACCATCCACACACACAGAGAAAAGAGAGGTTATGAAGCTCATTTGGTCGCCAGAAACTGCCTCAAAAGCTTACATAGACACTGTGAAATCAGTGAGTAATAGATCAGATCTCTTGGTTATGATGTTATTATAAGCTTATTTTGCAATTAAGTAATTTATTGTTTACTAATTAATTTTGCAGTGTGAGAAACCTAGAGAATCCGGGGTTCCCGAGTTTCTCTCTGCCATGGCGGCCGGCTGGGACGCGAAGCTGATTGTGGAATCCTGGTCCCACGGCACTCCAATAGCCACAAGTCTCGGCCTTGCCATGGCAGCACGCCACACGGGCGGACGACACGTTTGCATAGTCCCGGATGAAAGGTCGAGATTGGAGTACATAAAGGCAACGAGAAATGCCGGGGTTATGCCCGAAGTGGTAGTTGGGGAGGAGGCCACGGTGGCGGTGTTGGCGGGTGTGGATTTTCTGGTGGTGGATTGCAAGCGGAAGGACTTCACTAGGGTTTTGAGGAGGGCTAAGGTGAGCCCTAGAGGGGCGGTTTTTGCATGCAAGAACGCAAGCCAAAGAAACTTATCTGGATTCAGATGGCACGGTGTGGTTGAGAGGGGGACACGTGTCGTGAGGTCAGTGTTTTTGCCTGTTGGAAAAGGGTTGGATATTGCTTATCTAGGGTATGGTGGTGGAAGCGCTAGTGTAGGATCATCAATCAAGAAGGGTCCCAGCCGTTGGATCAAGCATATTGATCAAAAATCAGGGGAGGAGCACTTGTTTCGGGAGTGAGTTCTGAAGAACTTAAAGCGGCCAATATAGAAATGAACTGTTAAGTGCTTGACAAATAAATAATCTTCAAGCAGCTTAACAATTTACTTTTCTATTATTTTCAAGAGTCACTGTTATTGGGATTTAGGATATTCCAATGAAGATTTTGAAAGAGAGATCGCTATATGTATGTATAATATGTTGTACATACTTTTATAAGGCTACTTTTAATATCAAGGTCATATGTGTATATGTACTGTATATGCCAGATATATTAACATATACAAGCCTCCCAATTCTCAAACTCGAACTCGCTATTGAAATAATAAAAATGCCAACGGGGTCTAGTGTAGCGGAAAGTGGTCTTCACTTGTAGAATAATGATCTCAAGTTCGAACCTCCATAACATATTAGCAACGTGTGAAAAATCCCTCTCTTTCTTTATAACTTTAGCAATAAATAAATAAATCCAGGTATGATCTTCTAATTTTGTCTCATCCATCTCGCATGTTGCTCAAGTCATACAGTTCGTACCAATTTACAAGTTGGTGGAGATTTGACTGAGGTGCAACCTATGTGCACTATATATCCACACCTTTCAGCATGTTAATTGATAGAACTTCTTTCGTAACAGGTTTTTTTTTCTCTCTGAACAAAAATTTTGTAACATCTTACTTTGAATTATTATGTGGTCAATACTATTGAGATATTGGGGTAAACTAAGGGATTGTTTGATAACAATTTCAATTTGTTTGATAATAATTCCAATTTCAATTTGTCAAATAACAATTTCAATCTCAATTTTCAGTTTTTATTTTCACTTTTTTAAAAAACTGAAAATTAAAAACTTATTTGATAACTAATTTAAAATTTTATTTTAAAAAAAAGAGAAATTTCATTTGAAAATCAAGAATTGATTTCATATTTTAGTTTTCATTTTTCATTTTTATTTTTTTCATGTGTCTCTCTTGTTTCAACCATCACTCTCTGCTCACTCAATACTCACTCTCTACTCTATTTGTCGCTCTCTTCCCTCTACTCTCTCATCTTCGTTTCTCTGCCCTCTTGGTCCGTCTCCTCCCTCCTCTCTCGATCTCACTGCCTTAGTTCTCTATCTCACTCACATCCTCCCCTTTCTTAGATCTCACAGTCTCTAGCTATCCATCAAAGGTAAGCACATTTCTAAATTTCGCTTTATTTGTTATTTTGTTTCTTTCATCTGCTTTAATTTGCTGGAAATTGATATTAATTTAGACTGCTTTTGGCTTTGGCCATTGTTGTGTTAAAGCATCTGTAATTTGAAAGAAAACGGGACAAACTCTCTTATCTTTTTTTTTCTTTGGGTTTTTTTTTTTTTTTTTTTTTTTTTTTTTTTTTTTTTTGAGCTTCAGTATGTGATTTGGTACATAACAAATCAAACCAATTCATTCATTGGAACTAATTATGCAACTCAAATCAAATTGAGCAAGTCGGTGGCCATAAAAACTTGAGACTATATGTAGTATATTATGAGAGCAATATATGTTAGAAGGTTTGCTTAGAATGGGGTGAGTAATAATATCTCTCCATATTGAATTTTCTTATAAGTTTTGCTTGAGTAGAATGCATGCAATAGTAATCTATAGGCCTGAACAATCTCTTAGTGTTTAAGAAGAACTCGTCTCTGTTCTATTCTTCTCCATCTTGGAGGAATGTACAGACTAATTAGGAAGCAATCACAAGACCAACCAGTCAATATAATAAATCAATCAATATCTTCCAACAAGTAGAACATGACACGGAAAAAATTAATACAAAAACTAAGATGGGATATAATGAGTGGGAGCTCTAGATTAGATGCAGACCAAGATGGCAGTCTGATATAAGGCTTGACTGACTGTGTTTCTCCACATTGCTAAGGAGACAGTCAATTTGTCTAACCAGTGACTTTTCCATTAGTTCCTTTGTTGGCGGCTCCGTCAGTAGAGCAAGCTTACCTAGAAGAGGCACAACCATATTTCCCCAGAATAATTGAATTGTTGTAATTGCACTCTGTCCACAAGACATTGTGGTAATGGATGTTGTTGTCTTGCCTGAGCTAGAGGGATATGAATAAGGTTGTTTGTTTTTTTAATGCTATAAGTATGTTATGCTATGCTTGTTGGACGTTCGTTTTTATGTTATGCTTTGTTCTAGATGTGAAAAAGGTCGAGGAACATTTCTGATGATGATGATGATGTTGTGGAAGTTGAGGATAAGGGGAAAGATGGACCAGAACTGAAAACAATGAGGATCTATTTATTGATTTAATGGATGAGGAGATCACAAAGGGCAACTGAAACTTTCTCAAATTAGTTGATAAACCATGATCAAAAGTTGATTAAATTATTTGAGGATACAACAATAATCAGAAGACATGCCCATCCCACAACCAAATCTCCCTCAGATTCAACATATAGAAGCAGATATAAAACTAGAAGGTGACGGTGATACTAACGGGAAGGATGAAACTCAAAATGCATCCACATTCCAAGAAAACTAGTAAAAGGAGAAATCATATTAGTGATGTATATATTGTCTTCTATGATTCAATTGCTAATTTGAGAGATCAAAGAACATGAATTAAATAGTTGAGAAAAGATTAGTTGGTTCTTCAAAATCGCATAGTAATAATGTGGTTGAATCAACTGTAAACGGATATTGCAAAAGAAGAATTGATTGCCCCATCACATGCACAACCTTGGTTTAGGTAGAGCTAAAGCCCGACCCAAATTTTTGTAAAACTTCCCCAACCTTCTTTAAAATAAATAAATAAATATGATAGTCCAGCTTATATCCTATACACCCAATCTTCTTCTTGCACTACTTTTTATTGTGATTTAATTATAAAACTATTTAAAAAATTAGAAATTATGAGGTTTTTTATTTAGAAATTTATGGGTGTTACTTTTGTATTTTATTTAAGGAAGGTGCGTTATTAAGTTATTAGAAGCTATGTGCATGTTTTTATTATTATCAATAAAATTCACTCATACTATCGAGTTTTGTTTTATGTATAATTGGAGAAGTTCTTGAAAATATAGTTCAAGATGTATGAGTAAATAATAAAAATGTTTAATATGTTATATACAAATTGAGAAATATCATAAAAATAAAGTAGACACTGCCAAAATTTATGTAAAATTTTGGTCAAATGCAAAGTTTTGCAAACCATGAACGAAGAAAGGCATGACAGAAAAACATCTTCACCATATCCATGGGTTGCGGACAGACCATAGCCCCATGTTCAACAAATAGAGTTTACAATTAGGCCCATTCTTCAAATGAATTTTCAACAATAGTTAGGCCCATTGTTATTAGGTAAATTTCGACTAAGTTCAAATATAAACGTGAAAATTTGTATTGGAAATTGGCATTTTCTGGAAGACAAAAAAAACAAAAACAAGAAATTTGGTATGCATGAAGAGTTATTACAAACCCTAGTAACCTATAAATTACAAATTTATATGACAGATAATAATATGTAAGTTTCTTACACAACATACCTGGCCACTCAATATTTACTAGTATTGTCGTGTTAAAATAAAAATTACTATGCCACTTTATTTATTTATTTATTTACATTAGCATAAAAAAATTTAAGGGCAAGTACAGCCATAACCCCAAAACGCATGCAAACTGTGAGGACATACTTTATATATGCAGAATATATAAAGTATGATCTTCTAATTTGGGCAATAGATTTTTACCAACACATATTGTAGGTATGATCTTCTAATTTGGTCTCACATCTTGCATTGCATGCTGAGTAAGTTATACATAGTTTGTCTAATCTTATATAATAGCATTTGAGAGGAAGTAGTAAATGTTCATTAAAATAGGGTTCTCAAGCATTATTTTGTAATCTGGACATATTAGTTGGTATTAATATTTTTGAGATATTGGAGTAAATTAAATTGCATGTACCCTCCTGTATGCTTACCTAATTTGTTGACATGTGGCTCTTGACTTGCCTCAAACGTCGTGAATTTTCTCGAAACACTCTATCTTCTTTATCTTCTCTCCTTTTTCACAATCTCACCATTCACCGGAGACAAATAAGCCTCAACCATCAAATCTTGTTTCTCATAAATTCGTATTTGACAACAAAAAACAAGTTCTTACATCTAAACGCATTTCCCTTTGGTTTCTCTGAATTTATGAATACATTGTTGTTGGGATTGCTAATTGGTCTTGCAATTATTTGCTTTTCCTCCATATATTATTATCGATTTCAAAAACCTAAAAACAAAAAACAAATTTCTTAAAAAGTGTTGATAGATGAATGAACAACGAGATGGATGAATAATCCACTCAGAATATATACAAAATGTATGAAATAGAGAGCAAAAAATCAAATCTACTCAAGCAGTGAAATTGATAGCAATAGAGAAAATAAGAGCAAATGAAACAAAAAAGAAAAGAAAAAAAGATTGAGTATTTGAGAGCATGTTCGATTGGTGAGTGGTGAGATTTGAGAGTATGACTTGATGAATCGAAGAAGAAATGTCGGTCTTTTTTGTTATCTAACAGGAGTTAACAAGGTTTGGGTATGTTAAGTCAAGGATGTGTCAAAAAATTAGGCAAAGAGACAGTGAGGGCACAAGCAATTTGGGTACATGAGATATGAAGTTAAGGTCATGACCATGAAGTTTATGAATGAATGAATTAACATGTATTATGGTTGAAGTATTAATATTTTATGTCACTTATTAAATTGTGCCACCACCACTAACGTACACCACCATATTTTCATGGTCGCCACGAGCACCATTGCTATCATCGTTGCCACAACCAGCCCAATCATCATCACTGCCATCGCAACTACTATTGCCACCATTACCACTAGTTTGCCATTGCAATCCCACATCCACCACCACCACCACAACCATCATTGTCGCAAACCACTCTTGCCGTCGCCAACTGCCTAATACCATCCTCAGAACTTCTCCCCCTACCACCATCATCACATCACCTCTCATTTATAAGTTCATGCCCTTGAAAGGTTAAACTTAATAATATGTTTAAATCTCATCATGCTTTTTGATAGCAAGCGATATCATTTTATTGAGATGAGGAAGTAAGAAGTTAAAAAATATTAAGCGACCATCTCTATACATAAAGGTTCGATTGTCTGTCTAATTCCATCATACTGTTTAGTTGGCCATTATTTTTTGAATGTCTTGATACTTTTTGTCAGCAAAATTATTTTAGGTCTCAAAACCCTTAAACACATTACCAAAATCGTAATTTCATTTTTATGTGTTTAATATTATTTTATTACATTTTTTCTGAATTTGACAATTTGAGTTACTGAATTACCTTAGCCACCTCTCTCTTTATTTTAGGGTTTCTCGGCGGGTAACAGAGAGAGGCAAAACTAGAGCGACCAGAAACGGCACAGAGACGACAAACCAGTCGCCATGGGGCGTATGCACAGCAGAGGGTTCGTTTTTTCTTGTTATCTGAACAGGCTCTGTAAATAAGCTCCGTGAATCCTTCTTGCATTCAGTTGATTTGTTTGCATTTGACCCATTTTTTGGTGGTTGTATTTTGTGCCCTTTTTGCAGTAAGGGTATATCGGCTTCAGCTCTTCCATACAAGAGAACCCCCCCGAGCTGGCTGAAGATCTCTACTCAGGATGTGAGAAACCCCAACTCTAACTCTTGAATAAGTAATTGGGTTATGTTGTGATTTGTTTGGTAAATGAGAAATTGAAGTAAGTTTTGAATATTTTGCTCAATTTCATTCCGCACTTTTGCGAAAATGAACAAAAAAGAAGAAGCTGTTCTTACCCATTTGGTATCAGACAGTAAAGGATCGTTTTTTATCTGGTAATTACGTTTTGTGGGTCTTCTTTAGCCAATTAGCAACCGAACAGAGCCTTATTAGTTCACCTCTCTCGGTCTGTCTTTTATTCTGTGAATGGATTGATTTATGAGATATATAGTGAGAGAAGCAAAAGATGATCTTTTGATATTTGATGTTTTTCTCTCCTTTTGATTTGGAATTATTGGGTTTCTATTCTATGAAGTAACGGATTATTTTAATTTCATTTGGGCCCATCTTTCCTTGCTGTCTGCACCAAATGAAAGCTCGAGTCTGATTGTTGTGTCATACATACTCATGATGTTCTAAGTAGCATCCAGTTTTCGTACTTACAAGTCTGTTAATGCCTTGCGATTGTGGTTGGGATCTTTACAATTCTATCATTGAAAACCATAATGACCGTTTCTTTTGTTTGGTTCTAGTTGAGTGGTTTTGGCATTTTAGAATAATCAAAACTTCAAGTTTGTTTTGCATTCCGTGTTCATTTAATCAATTTTATTATGTCTTTATATCTACAATGAATGATCACATACCTTTGTGGCAATGGCGAATGCTGCAAACCCAGTCCTCTTTATTGAATGAATGAGAGCATATTTGGTTGTCTGTTAACTACTGATATTTCCAAGAGAATTGACTTACAATGCAAAGGAACTAACACAAATTCAATTTTGTGTATTATGCTTACCATGTTGGTTTTATCTTTAAGGTTGAGGAGAACATCTGCAAGTTTGCCAAGAAGGGTTTAACACCCTCCCAAATTGGTGTTATTCTACGTGATTCTCATGGGATTGCTCAGGTGAAGAGTGTTACCGGAAGCAAGATATTGCGTATACTGAAGGCGCATGGTGCGTCTTTTTATTATTATTATTTATTTCTACTGCCATATTTTGTTTTATATTTGAAGACAAATGAGTAAATGATTTTGTTATCCTTTTTTCTTTGTTGGGTTAGGTCTTGCCCCTGAAATACCTGAGGATTTATACCACCTCATCAAGAAAGCCGTCTCAATTAGAAAACATTTGGAAAGGAACAGGAAGGACAAGGACTCTAAATTTAGACTGATTTTGGTTGAGAGCAGAATCCATCGCCTTGCTCGTTACTACAAGAAGACAAAGAAGCTTCCACCAGTATGGAAATAGTAAGTATTTTTTTTCTGTTTACTTTTGTCTTATTCATGTGAGGGGTTTTCTTGGCCTGACTTGAAGACACCTAATGGGATTGTTCACTCTAACACTAGGTAGAGTGTGTTATCCTATATGGAAAATAGGATGCTGTAATTTAGGATTCTACTGCTTACTGTGAATGATTTTGCCTTTCCCCAGACATTCACAATCTGAAGAACCCATTATATGTGGGAAGCTAATTTTCTTATATGCTGTCCTCAAGAAACTTGTACATTGGTAGATTGCTTTCCCCTCAGACATGAAATCGATGTGAGATATGTCTAATGTTAGTGTTTGGTTTCCCCCCATTTCCATAAACGTTCTAGTTACAGGGTGGCATCTGTGAGAGTGAGGCTGGAGTGGGTTCTCTATATGAAATTATCTTCTTTTCATGACTGTTTATACAAATTTGTGCATTGAAGAGCATTGCTTCTGCTGCTTGCTGAATTCAAATTATATCTTATTTTGTGTCAACTAGTTGTTCCTTAATTGCTTATATCCTTTGATCTCTTTTTGCAGTGAGTCTACCACCGCCAGCACCCTTGTGGCTTAGGTCGGATATGATCGGCACCAATTCTAGCTGCTCACATTGAAAACTCAGGACTAGTTTTTAGTTTGTTACTTGTTTGCTTCAAGTTTGGAACTTTATGAAAATCTTCATTGTGGAACTCCTTGGTAGTTGATTTTGTTTGCATTTTCAAGTGTTCACAAATTTTTTTGGCAGATTTATCTTTAATTTTTCAATTGGATTATTTGAATATCATTGCATCATTTGGATCCTTTGTCTGGAACATGTTTTGGAAGAAGCATGGGAGTCATTGTAGGCCGGTTTTGGCTTAACCGATAGCAATGCGATCTTGACATAAGGATACTTCACACAACTGAATGTTCACAGAATTTGAGTTTGACATTGTTGTTCCAGTCAAGTATTGTTTCAGTTTAATGAACTTTATGTCATAAATCTGTAATTCATTGCATAACCCTCCAATCAATTTATCAGTATTACATCTTATGTACAGTACAGATAACAAATGCGTCTGCGTCCGCGTCTGGTCAGATACTCAAACTATATCAATTTATATTAGCATACAAGTTTTTCAAAATCTATTTCGAATACTCCACATGCCCTTCGGAGTTGAAGTTTTATCTCCTACATTGCCTTCACCTACAAATTTTGTCAAAAAAAGAAAAAGGAAAAAGGAAAAGTGTTATTGTCCTAGAACTGCAACAACTAATAAACATGAAGTTAAATTCATAATTGAAACTATAGGGACAAAAATTAAATTTCGCCTTTCAATTGTGGGCATCTTATTTAAGATATTTTGGGTTTCGGCTTTGAGTGTGTGTAATGATGGATTTTGGATGTGTTTATAAATGGGTTTTGAGTGTGTGTAAGGTGGATTTTGGGTGTGTTTATAAAGTGTTTTGAGTGTTGGGTTTTTTTATAATTTCAGCCCCCATTTTGGGTGTTTTAGTGAAACTCCCATAATTTTTTTGGGGTCAAGTTTGTGGCCTTGAATTAAGTTATGTGAATCAACCCAATTATGACATATTGTGTACCTAATTATGTAATGTTTAATTCAATACAAGCATATGTGAGTTAAGCCAATTGACTTTGGTAGTGAACTCACGCCCCTTACACTCAAGTTCGTTCTATCTCCCCATAATTTACATTTTTTTTAAGGTTTTTTAGGTTTTAGACATAAAAAAATTTTCACTTTTGGAAAAAGCCAAAGCTTTTTCAAAAAAGACAAAAAAACCGCTCAACTTTCAAATCAAAGACATGCAAATGTATTGGATTCCTTAGGAAATCTAAAAATAAATAAAGTCATTTTTGTCCATTTTCGCTTCTTTTAAAATTTTTCTCTCTCCTTTTGCTTTTTCCAAAATGTCCCTTTTTTTTTTAAATTTTAAATTTACATGTTATTTATACAAGACAAAAGAAATTCGCTCGTGTTTTGGGAAAAAAGAATAATAATAATTTCGTGTGTAGAGACAAATTGTCATTGCAGCTTTGGCCTTGTACAGTACCTCGTGTCATTTTATTAGTGGTTGAAACTTTGCATTACCATACACCTGCGCACACGGGATACAAGACTCAGCACGTTAGTAAACCCTAACTCATTTCTTCTCTTTATATTAGCATACTGCCGCCGCGAAACTCTTTTCTTCTTGGCCGTCTTCTTCAGTGTCTAACAGAACTCATCACCCCTCTCTCTCTTTCTCGCTCAATTCTCGGTACGTTCTATATTTTCCCCTCGTTCTCTTTTTGTTCGGTACCGATGCGCACTACGGATGTGAAATTTTTTTGTGATAATTTTGTATTTTTGATTTTTAGTTTCTTTTTGGGTTTACTTCAGAATTTCAGTTGCTGTTGTTTTGGGATTCAAAATTTCTAGATTTGTGAACTCATAGGTGATTGTGGTATTGAAATTTAATTGATGGTGTTTTTAGATTGAGTTCAAAATGAGTATATGGAATATGCATATCTCTATCTGCTCCTGTCTTCAGCTTATGGAATTTTGTGTTTAGTGATGTAATATCAAGTTTTACAAGCAAATAGCTGATTGTTCCACTTTATTTTCTAGAGATGCAGTTGGAACCTAGCCCTTTAGGAAAAGGGTTTCATATATTTGTATATAAATCTGTTAGCTGTTACATATTTTGTGTTGATATGCTTTGTGTGGTATGTAATACACACATTTTGACCTTCTTCAAATTTGTATGTGGATGACATATTGCTCTAGTTGATCTTAGGCATTGATTTGATTTGTGTGGGTTGCAGAAGATAATCGACAATGAGTCGAGGAGCTGCAGCAGGTCCCAAGGGGAAAAAGAAGGGAGTGACTTTCACCATTGATTGTGGAAAGCCAGTGGAGGACAAGATCATGGACATTGCATCCCTGGAGAAGTTTCTTCAGGAGAGGATCAAGGTTGGAGGCAAGGCCGGTGCACTTGGTGACGCCGTCAGTGTGACCAGGGAGAAAAGCAAGATCACTGTCACTTCTGACAGTAACTTCTCTAAGAGGTAATTTGATTGATCTTTTGTGATTGCTACTTGTATGACTAATTGGATGTGTGGTTAGTTTATTGAGTTCATGAGTTCATTTATATAGTCGGTGAGATTGATATCAGACATTGGATTTTATTTAGTTCTGATTTCTGTTTAGAATGCTTTATTTATGTAATGTTGCACCTGTGTATAGAGGATCAGTTGTATTTTGGACTGATAACTGGTCATCCTGGTGATGATAGTAATGGTGCTTTCAACTGTCAGGCTCTTATAGATATCAGAGGACATTAAACGGCACACCCATCCGAATGTTAAAGCCTCATTAAGTTCATTTGCTCGAAAGCATCATAACTTTTAACTGAAATCCACATTGTTTACAAATATTGAATGTTTGATACTTTGTTTTTACTCTTTTATTAATTTTATCTACTGTTTGTAGAGGCAAAAAAGATTGTTAAATATGTTAGATGTAATATTTTTACAGAGCTCAAGTATTTACATTGAGCTATTTTGTGGTTGAAATACTGAAATGATAAACTCTGACAAAACACACCATGAATTTTGCTGTGTGCTTCTATTTCGGGGATTGTGACACGTATGGTGTTCCAACGCTTTTGAAATTTTAGTATGTGGAGAGGTGTTATAGCTGTTTTGCCATTACACCCCTCAGTTAAGGGGTTTTTTTTTAAAACGTTTATTTTTTTAAATCAGAGTAGATCCTTTTTTGTTGTTGCATTGTTTTACAAGTATATTTGTTGTTTTCCTGGGGTTCAGGTATCTGAAGTACTTGACAAAGAAGTATCTTAAGAAGCACAATGTGCGAGATTGGCTTAGAGTGATCGCTTCCAACAAGGATCGGAATGTTTATGAACTAAGGTACTTCAACATTGCCGAGAATGAAGGGGAGGAGGAAGATTGAGATACTGGATGATTTTAGTCATCGAAGGACCTTGTTTACTTATTTACTGTTTTTTTGTGTGGTACTTTGCTGAAATTAATGCTGTTTTTGAAGTTTTGTTTTTTTAATTTGGTGATGATCGAATTTTGCTATTAGTACATCAGAATATAGAAGATCTGGATTTTTAGGAAGTCTTAATTAATCATGTTCAATGAATGGATCAGGCACTATTCTCAAATTTTTGGCACTGCCATTACTTATCCTTGATTCTTTTGTTTTAACCCCTGCATAATTTGATAAGTTTTTAATTCAACTTTAGATGTACACGTCCTTCACACCTTCCCTTAATTTCTGTCACACAAAAAATTCTTGAGTCACTTTCGGTATGGATGGCATGCAATTATAACTCTCAGTATGGATGCAATGCAATTATCAGACCTTGATTGTATGGTTTCATGATTTGCTCATTTGTCATAATGATAAGACGCACAACACCAAATCGTTCCGAAAGTGAGGAAGAACAAAAGAGAAACAGAGAGAGAGAGAGATAGAGACCAGGTTTTCCGAAAAAAATGACGATCTCTTGAAAAGGTTTCCATTTCATACTGCTCAACACCAAATCGTTTTCCTTGTTCTCTTGACAGAGGCCAACAGAAAAAAGTGCTACTTTTGCTAACGGCAAGGCTCCTGTGGAAGTTTATACTTGAGAATCACAGATGCATATTTTTTGGACGAAAGCGAATCAGAGATGCATTAACTGTATGTGTAAGGTTATAAAGATTGTAGTCTTCGAATGCAGGGAAAACAAGTGCAAATATTATCAGTTAAGAAAATAGGTACCCTTAGCACTAGGAACATCTACAACTCGGCTCTGACCTTTGTCTATCAAAGCACTAGGAATATTGGTTGGCATTGCTGTCACAAAAACCCATGTACTTATAATCATTTTGTGGTTAAGAAATCAGAGAGATGGAGAGCCTGTGAAGAAAAGTGAGAAAAACTTGAAAATGATCAAAGCAGAGAGAAAATCAACAGGAAAAAATCGCTCAAATTGAACCACTCGTGTGTTTTGTGTGTTTCACTTTGCTTTATAATCAAAACTGATCAAGAGAAGTTGGAGTCGAGAAACTTGAATTACAATTGTACATAAACTGATCACAATTACAGAATGAATTGAATAAAAAATGTGCTAGCTCTCCTCTCCTTAAAAACCATGTACTTATAATCGTTTTGTGGTTCAAAAACCATGTACTTACATCTGATACCAATTAAAGAATAAACTAGACAATAAGAAACGTATTCTCCAAGAAATCAGAAGGCTCGGCATTTCCTGGAGCTGGTCAGAAACTTGTTCTTTGTCAAAACCCGACCTCGTCCCGGCTTAGACGGCAAAGGCATGTTCTTGATGTCGATAACTTGAATTTTCTTTCGCTTGTTTTGGAACTCTTGATAGCCTTGGTGAAGCTTTCGAACACTAGTCTCCAACTTCTCTTCATCATCCCAATCTTGCCGATGATGAAGATCATGATCAGTGGATTTTGAGAGCCCCTTAGGGTTTTGTTGGCTCTCCGAAAAATCAGAGAAGGCTCCGCACTTGCTCGAACTGGTCTTGCTCAAAACCCGGCCTGGCTGCGGCTTAGATGGCAAAGGCAAGTTCTTGACGTCAAGAAGTTGAATTTTCTTTCTCTTGTTTTGGAACTCTTGATAGCCTTGGTGAATCTTGCGCTTGCTATTCTCCAACTTCTCTTCATCATCCCAGTGTTGCCGTTGATGGTGAGCGTCAGATATTGTTGGCCCCGTAGGGTTTTGTTGACAAGAAGATGGAGGTGCTCCGCATAGCACCAAGCGGACGGTCTCCAAATTCTTCCCTTTGCCGTGAGATGGTGGTTTCTTGGGCTTCTCTTCAATTGCCATGTTGTGGTCATCAAGTTTGACGTTGTCGAACAAGAAGGGATCGAAAGTCGTGGTTTCACTTTCAAGGATGACGACAGCTTCAAGGTCATCGAGAGGGCAAGCGAGTCCAGCAAAGTCGTCATCGTCATCGTCAACGTCAACGTCAACAGGAGGCTCTCGCTCGCATCGCTGTTCCTTCAAAGCCTTCATCTTGTCTGAAAGAGAAAGTAGCTAGTGAAGTGAAAGAGAAAGTAGCTAGTGAAGTGAAGGGTCTCGATCGTTTGAAAGAGAAAAGATTATAGGGAATTTTGGAAACCCTAAATCACAGTAGCTAGTGTATACAAAAGGCTCAGGCTACATATGTATTTATAGTTTTCTGTTTCCTAATCTCATTGGGAAAACCAATATTTTATTCTAATTAATTCTATTGCACTTTCTAACCCTAACTTGCCACCTCGCCAAACGCTAGTGGCCCATCTTTGTGTTTTGTGCTTTCAAGAAGTTGGAGTTATTTAGAAACTCTCTTGTATTACCCCAAACAAAATACAATTATTTTCCTCTTATCAAGTGTTTTCTTTTTTGTCAAGCCAACCCAAAATACAATTAAAACCCTAAGCAATGCTCGTCTAATTTCACTTGAGTGTTACTACTAAACCAAGTATTACTATTTCTAATAATTACATGTCCTATGAAAATTCATTTTCATATATATATATATATATATATATGTATAGGAAAATATTATCTTACTAGAGAGTTCACAATAGAAAGAAATAATATATAAATATATCTATATAATCAGGAAAGGCTCTGAGCACAAGCAAGCAAAGGAGGCCGCCTCAAGCCTCCAATCTTATAGGACTTCCAGTTTTTATATATACATAGCATGATACTATACATAAAATTAAAAATTTTAAAATTATATTATACATAAAAATTAAGCCCAATTATTCAATCCAAAATTAAGAAGAGCCTAGCTTGAAAAAAGCCCACTTATTCATTAAATTAGTTGAATAAAATTAAGAAATTAAACACATTGAGCCCCATCTAACATGCTTAAACTCTGAAAAATAAACTTCTTAACGACAAACATTTTTTCGCTTTACCATTTCTCTCTCAATGATACAATGAAGGCTGAAGTCCGAACTATTAAATATGTGCGCTGATTGAGGATTTCTTTTAGTTTTGAATTTTTTTTTTTTTTTTTTTTTTTTTTTTTTTTTAGAATTTAGCTTTTTTTCTTTTAATATTAGCTCCACCAAACAAGCAGAGATAAAACTGATATTGGAAACTAGTAAATTGCCGGAAAAGCTGTCACCAAAGGCAAAAATATATTTGTATAAGCAACTTGGATACAAAGCTCATCAAACGTTTACAAAAGCGAGCTGTTTAAGGAGTGAGAACTTTCATTTTTTCAATTGGTTCTTTAATGTGTTAAAATTTTATAATAACAAGTGACTAATTTTGGGGTTTTCTCCTCAACTAGGCTTTATATGAGTTTTTGTACAATATATCATGTTTTAATGGGTTTATTTGTATTTTTTTTTGTTGGTGAGAACTACTATAATGTTTTAACTTCATTTCTTTTGAAACCAGTTTGCTTATTATTATGGCACAACCATAGTCGAATAGCTTCAAGCTGAGACTGAACAATTAACTTAAAGTTTGTTTTGAGAAATTCTTTGATCACATTCATAATTCAGCCAAAAAAACACTAGCCACAAAGGGCCATTACAATAGCAGAGCGATCTAACATCAAAATTAAGATAATATGGTGCACCTCCACTAACGATCACGCAAGATCGAAGAAACTCTAGCATATATCTGTTGGGCTCTTTTTCTGTCAGAAGGCTTGTCCGGGCTTATTCATTCTTGGACCGCCATAGAGTGATGAATCAAGCCTTCGTTGCCTCTTTTTATGAGTTAGTGAGAACTAACCCCAAAGCATCCTGAAGGAGAAGCAAGTCCTAGGGGAGTATTCTGTTGTTCTTCCAGCGGTTGCATGTTGTGTGTTGACGTTTCCCGCAGCCCTGAAAATGGCTGAAGATGATTTACTGATGTTGAACTGAGATTATATGAGCTTGGCATGAGAGCTTGGAGTGTGGGAGCTAAAGAACCACAAGTTTAGCAAATGAGAATGTTTATGCTTGGTGTTGAGGCCCAAAAAAGTCACGAGAAGCCCAAAGACATTCAAAACCCAATATAACATATAATGTTGGTCATGCGTTAATTCAAGCTGTATTTTGGGGATTAATTTATTAAATAAATATATAAATAGTGTACATGCCATGCCAAATCAATAATACATTTTTCCTATGCCAGTCACCTACCAAGCTCACATGAACCCAAGTCATGTGGTTTACGGGGCTTGCATGAGGGATTGTAGTGTGGAAGGTTACAGAGGTCCACAAGGCCCACAGAAGCTCTTGGATAATGGAGACTTTGGGCTAGCTACTTGGGAGCACCAAAGTCCAAGCCCATTACTTAGAGTTCTCCAATGTGGGTGAGCAAATGAGATATTTTTCAAGCACTTCCTTTTACCCATAGGAAATAGTCATTTTCCAAATGCCTAGCTTTATTCGTTGGAAACAAGCCTTTTCCAGCACTTCCTATTACCCACTGGAAACAAGCAGTCTACAACGCTTCCTTTTACCCATAGGAAATAATCAATTTATGGTACCTAGCATCACCTGTTGGAAAATAGCATGCCCTAGTGCTTCTTTTTAACCACTAGAAATAGGCTGGTTCCAGCACATCCCTTTACCTATTGGAAATAAAGGAAAACCCTCACCCTCTATAAATTGGCATTCATGGCTCAAGCAAAGGGCACCAATTTTTCTTCAGCCAACACTCCTCACCCAGCTGCTGCAAGCATCCCAGCAGCCATCAACCCTTCTTGGTTGCTGCAAGCTTCTCAACAACCATGAGAACTCATATTTCCTTAGCTGCTGCAAGCATCCCAGCAGCCATCAACCCCTCTTGGTTTCTGCAAGCTTCTCAACAACCATAAGAACTCACATTTCCTTAGCTGTTGCAAGTATTCCAGTAGCCTACACAGTCATTCCTTAGCCAGCACAACCATGTCTTCTACTTTCTCACCCTTGAAATCCATCATCTTCTCCATAAAGCCTCACCAAGCATAACTCCAAGCTTTTTTCTTCCTTCCAAGTTATAAACACCATAACCTTCAAACCTCAAGCTTTTCCTCTCATCCTCCTTCTCTTGAAACTCTCAAATCCCCATAGCCATAGCCACAAACAATAGATTATCAACACCTAAACTCAAGCATATCTAACACCAAGCCAAGCACATGCATTCTCATTTGCTAAACTTATGGGTCTTTAGCTCCCACACTCCAAGCTCTCATGCCAAGCCTAATAGTACCTTGATTCACCAAGAAAACCCTCATGCCAAGCCTGTGCAACATCAATGCACCATTTTCAACTCTTCGTCAAGCTGCCAAAAACATCAGCACAAAACACGCAATCGCTGGAAGAAGAACAAATTACTCCCCCGGGACTTGCTTCTCCCTCGGGGTACTTCGGGCATATTTCTTGCTAACTCAGAAAAAGGGGCATTAAAGGCTTAATTCATCACTCTATGGCAGTCCAAGAATCAATAAGCCCGGATGAGCCTTTCGACGAAAAAGACCCCAACACTTGGCTTGTGTTTGATATACTTGAGTTTGGGTGTTGAGAATTTATTGTTTGAAGATATAGCTATGGTGGTTTGATTGTTTGGCTGTGATGGTTGTTGGGATGCTTATAGCAGTAAAATGAATAGGGTTCAAAGAGCATGGTTGAGGAAAAAAAAGTTTAAGACTTTGAAGGCTATGGTGTTTGGTGGGTGATTGGCATAGGAAAAATGTATTAGCGTGACATGAAGTTATTTGGCATGTGCTTGAAATGCTTGGGCTTGTGTTACAATGACTTGGGCTTTTATGATCGAGCTTAGTGACATATCGGAATTAAAGGAATAGATTTTTGGCATGACATGGATGCTATTAGAATTTGTATAAAAGCTTGCGTAAATATTTATTTTGTCAAATTAATTTCCGAAAATATAATTCGAATTAATACGTGACCAATTTATCCCCTATTTCGTACGTCATATTGAACTTTAAATGCTTTTGGACTTGTCGTAACTTTTTGAACCTCAACAAAGTCAATAATGTAAATTTTGAGAAGAAACGAAAACTTCCAAGTCATTTTAATTTGACATGGTATTTGTAACTACCACAGCCCCAGACGCATGCATTTTAGGATCACATAACTTGTGCAAATTCTCAGCGGGTTAATTGGTGGCCTAACTAAAGCATGATTTTTCTAATTTTGTCTCATCCATCTCGAATGCTACTGAGTCTGTCACTCAGTTTGTCCCAATTTAAAATTTGCGATGAGTAGAACTTCATTGAACCATATCCATGTTTATCTACCTTTCAACCTCTAATCAAGATTTTGTTATTCATTTGATACTTGTTCTTATTCTGCATTTGAGATGTTGGAGTAAACTCAAAAAAATTTATTTTTAATCTTAATTCTCATTCTAGATGACATCCTAAAGCTTGCAACCCAATAAATAGTTGCAATGGCTACCTCGAGTTGGATGGAGCTAAAATTCAGCATGTTGGGATTTGCGTATGAGTGTTCATTCAACCGAAAAAAAGGAGTGCCTAGTGGGAGATTTTATCTATCAAAATGAGTGTCTTACCAGTCATACTCGCTAATCATCCATCCTCGTTTTTTGAAACTTTGCCACGTGAGTTGTTTAAAAGTCATTGGCTAATCATCCTTCCCCTTTGAAATTTTGTCAAGTGAGTTGTTTAAAAGTAACGGGAAAACTGTTGCTTATCATTGTGTTATTAAATGTTAGCATTTTCGATTTAATTGGAAATCAGTGATTTTAATGTGTTGATTCTTGGGAATTGTACAATGAGTGATTGTAATGTGTTGATTCTTGGGAATTGTATCATGGTGTTACTAAATGTTAGCGTTTTCGATTTAATTGGAAATAAATCAGTGATTGTAATGTTTTCGATTTAATTGGAAATAAATCAGTGATTGTAATGTGTTGATTCTTGGGAATTGTATCATGGTGTTATTAAATGTTAGCGTTTTCGATTTAATTGGAAATAAATCAGTGATTGTAATGTGTTGATTCTTGAGAATTAGACAATTCGCAATGTGTTGATAAAGCTGATTTTCAATAAATCTCTTCCCTGAACACAGTTCGATTGGTACTTTATATTTGGTGAGGGATGCATGGAGTATCCACATAATAGGTTCGGATTATTGAGTGATGCATGATTCAATGGAGGTTGAAAGGCTTAACAAAACATAATGAACAAAAATGACCATTTAAGTAAAGATGTTGAAATTAATAATTATTGGACAGCAATAAGCTACTCAAACAACCAAAACCAACCTACATCCCCTAATTTTCTTGTTACACATCGACTTACAAACACTATTGGCTCCCCGATGAAGAATGAACAGCCCAAAAATTACTCGAAACGACTCGAATTCCAGATGAAACACATGGGAAGAGCATATGAATTACTATTTTCCATCTTTTTGTCTCCAATTTATGCGTGGACAACTATCCGGCCTTAGTCTATGTTGATTCTAACAACCCTTTTGGTTCTCCCATCGGAGGTAGCTCTGGTTGCATTGTCTGATCCATTTCCTCTGACGCTTTGCGCTTGCTCTGCAGATGGAAGCAGCCCAGCTCCCCAAATTGCATTTCCCTTCTGTTGTCTGCTACCTGAACCTACATTGTCATGCCATTCATAACTAAGTTATGACACGAAGTGTGAATCAAAAGGGAGTGACCGGATTCTGAACCGTGACATTGCCTACGATATCTCATATACAAACTAACAGGTGACATAAAAGAAGTTTCGTCCAGTGCCTGCAAAGAGAGAGGAGGCAAGGGGAAAGGAACCGAAGAACAAACACACTAACATTACTAGTACAGACTCACAGGTTTGATGGATATTTGTCTTTCCCAAGTCATAAATCTGGCAATGTGAAACATTCCACATTTGTCACTAAGCACAACATAAGCATTACCACTGTTCTATCAAACATAACCATTTAAATGGCAAGCCATAGGAACTCCTTATCCCAGTCCACTAAAGATCGAATCCCCAACTTTCACTCGTTATTGCAACACATAATTTTCTTATCCTGTTTTACACTCCTCTAATATTTTTGGCCATTAGGGAACTCGCTTAATATCAAGGTGTGTAAAGATATTAAAGATCAGGATACACAGACACATTACTCAAGATTTCGCTCTGAAAAGCTAACTAGGACCCTAAGGAAGGCTTGGTGAATGCATACGACCTTCGATGTTGTGAAACCATCTAATCGTAAAATAAATAAAATAAAATGAAGAAACAAACATAAAGGAAAATGAAAGAAAGTCCAACAGGAAAGAACCAAGTAGTGCTTACCAGCATTACCATGCATATTAAATTCACCTCTCCAACCAGGTAAGTGTCCTTTAACATTACCGGTCCATGCTTCTTCAAAGCCAGGAAGATCATCTGCAAAAAGACTAGCAGTATCAGTTTTGATGTTCACAAATGTGAAAAATAATACGTATTAACGAACCACGTACGGCTGCAGGAACCAACCTTCATTCAAATTGTGTAAAGTTTGCAACATATCCACCTTTCCATCCGACTTAAGCTTCCTTGTAACAGAATGACCCTACATAAGCAATACATATATCAATTCCAATAAAAGGTGGCATATACATAATTAGATTTTCTTTCTGCCATCCTTCCCTATGCTTACTCAGAAAAGGGATTGAATTAAAAAAAGCCACAAACTGATCTATTCAATACTGACAAAATCACATGTGGAAACGGATTGATAAAAACGCCAAAAATCTGTAATGGTAACAAAACAACATGGACTCTCAACTGAATGACTATATGAGGAAACAATAACTTACAATCCAGTCCCATCAAACTTGAACAAGGATAGTAAAATGGTTAACAAATATTTAAGATGAAAGTCTACATGGATTTAATCTCTCAAGAAATATATTGAGCACAACCATGAAATGGAAGGGAGACTAAAGGGCAACGCACTGCATACACTCACTCCAGACTTGACCGTAAGAATACAACAAAGAGTGACTCTGAGTTTTTGCCACAGATGGTCACCCCGTGCATCAATGTTTAATCTCTTTTCCAAAACATGACTAATGCCTAAAACTACAATTCATTGTTGCAGGTGTTACAGCCATTGTTTTTTATACAGGCTGCATAACAACAAGAAAATACTATACCTTATCATGAAGTCCTCTCGAGATTCTGTGTGTTGCTTGACCAGTTGTTCTATCTGCTTCTTTGCTCTCCTCAAGCACCACCTGTTGTTCAATCACAATCAAAGTTAAACAAAGAAGAATGCAAATTACATATCAAATCCAAGAAACACATTACTTACACCATCACCGCCTGCCCTTCTGGTTCTTGTAGAAGTGTAATATGCTCCATCTACACCACCATATGTGACTCTGCAAGTCTGGGCAGAGAAACTACGACCCTGGGACTGTTCACCTTCCACCTTGTTGCGGTCATTTCTACAAGTCACATCCTTGCTTTTCCTATCTGCTAGATTCAACATGGCAACCATTATTTTCATTTCGGAAACTTCAATTATATTAACCTTCAACTTTCTAATTAAGGCGGGCATAGAAGATTAATTACCATCCACAACATCATCCGGATGCTCAATAGTTGGTTCTTTGCTTGAAACATATTGCTTTCCACAATTATCTCTCCCATCCTCAGTAACTTTATCTTCCCCTCCCTCATCATCAGAATTCAGTTCTTCTACTAATAATTCATTGGCTCTACCGCCCTGCGGTGTACCACTAGAAGCGGCTCTAGGACCAAAAATGCTAGATTCGAACATGCTACCAAGCGGCCGACTGAAGAAGGGATCGTCAAATGGATCCCTTCCACCAAAGAGGCTAGGAAACATACTTCTACGGGACCCAAAGCCCTGAAAACTATCTAACAAGTCACGTGACCGAGAAACCCCATCTCTAATGTCTCTTTCACTCTGCATATTGGTTGTGTTTATCCTTCTGGAAACAGAAAATCCCAGCATAACTTATTCTCTATGTTTATTATCAACCAAATTAAAAATTAAAAAAAATTAAAAACGAATGAATTAAGAAAATATGTTCCACTAAAAGATAAATTCTTTAGAACGAAGAAAATAAAATTCATAAAAGATGAATTGTCCAATCCTAGAAACCAAGAGCTCCCAATAAAATCTCCTTAAGCGTTTCAGATAATTCAAAAAAATAAAGTTAAATCTAGCAGATATAGTGTCTCACTAGATCACATAAATACTAATTAATTATTATCAAACTCTGCATTTACTATGATATTAACATCTAATGAACATCTAAGTCATTAATGAAAACTGAATGTAGCCAATTATTTCCGAGGACTATTGCTTTATGATTTATTGCAATTTAAGTTGAATGCTCGTGAAATTCAAATAAAAATTAATAAATTTCGCAGCTAACGAGCTCAACAGGTTATGGATAGCAGATTCTATGGAGAGAATTAATCAAACAGAGGAATTAGAAATTCGTTAAGGCCTGTTTGGAAGCCGAGAAAATGCGAGAAAAACAAAAGATCAATCTAGGTGATTTTGGTTCGTCGTACCTGATAGAAGGAAATGAGACGAACGTTTGAGAGAGAGAGTGAAAGAGAAAAATCCAGAACGTCCCAGGTGCTTCTTTTGGTTTGGTTGGCTGGCTTTATATACTTGTACGTTTCAGAAAGAGCGCGCGCCACGGCGTGACACGTGTCCACCTCCATTGGTCTACGACATTCTCGATGCAACCATGAGTCCATGACTTGACTACACGGCTTGGACAGGTATCACATTCTAGCAAAGAAAAGGTTTGAAAATTCAAATGTCTAGAATTACCAAATTACCCTCATCCTCCAATTTTGTAAGCAGGAGAAAAGTGTCCACCAAAAAGGATAAAAAGAAAACTCTTGGGTCCCATTTTCCTTTCCGAAAGATAAAAAAACCGCTCCACTCTCCGCTTTCCCTCTTTTGCTGAATTTTTTTTTGTGCTGAAGTGGCAAATTTTTTATTAGAATCGACTGGAAGGTGAAAGTCGAACTTGAGACATCTTGTAACATAGCAAAGAGAAAAATCATTAGACTAAAAGTTAGTTAGCAAAATGACCGACACCTTGAATTGGCCGATGGCACTTGATTTAGAGTGTACAACAATTCATGTTGGATAGAAGTCATTCCAGTAGAGAAATAAAGAAAATTAGCTGAGCATTTTTTAGTGAAATAAAATGTTAAAACACATAACGTAGTTGTAAATTTGAAGGCCTTACCCTATTAAAAAAATGTATTGGCGAAGTAGAAGGGCAATAACAAAACAGTTCCATGTGACAAAAGGAGAAGCATAAAATTCAATGTGAAATTAGATTATTTCTTGGATACATAGCATACATTACACTTGATTGGCAAGGCCATGAGATTGATCCTGTAATTTCAATGAATGGTACAACAAGCCTAAAGGAACAACATCATCATTTCATGCCACCACATGAAAGTTTCATTTTCCATATGTTACACTTAAAAATTTCCCAACACATATTTAACAAAAATAAACACCAATCAATCATGCCAGCCCCACTACCGTAAAACACTGCGACCCATAAACCGCTCTTCTTGATCTGCATCTCAGTCATCGTGTTTACAAGAAGATGCCCATAGGAATGAAAAATTGTGAGCCCGAATTAGTCGCTTGTGATTTGATGAGAGTTACAACTGCAAAGGGAACTTTTTGTGAATGTTCCACATCTATTGTTACAAGGAAAATTTCTGTATCACTGACATGTCAAAACAAATGGTATCAGAACTCTTGGGAGTTAAACTCAGGCCTCGACGGATACTCAAGACCCTGCAGCGCTGGTATGCGTCGCAAATCTTCTTCGGAATAAGCAGGGATGAACCAGTATCGTTTGTCCATACCAAAAACCTGATATGAAAATAGCAGAATTCCAGCTGTAAGAGTAATGCTAAAAGATCTAACACCTTAAACACAGGTGAACAGGCGCACATCCAGGCCCATCATAAGTATACTACCCACATCATTTTAAGATTTAAAGACAAGACATCCAATAAAATTATGAAAAACAAGGTAATGTATATTCAAAGCATAAACACTTCTAAATTTAACTTGTTCCAGTGTACAGTGTCAAACAAACTGCATTACAGATTCCAGATCCATGCTTCCAGAAACCTAAGAAACTGGAATAGATCACTTACAGTTATGCATTGTTCATGGTATACAAGGTCTGGTATTGAACAAATGTAGGGTATTGAATAAACTTAATACCAGATTCTGATGATCATGTGCATTTTGTTTCAAATATTGTATAGACAAGGTTCTTGTCTGAACATCAAGATCAGGTCAAGCCTCCGAATCAGAAATATCAATGCAAGGGGTCCAATTTCTATACACCACATATGAAAGTTACTACTATTACAACTATCATTACACAGATTAACAAGAATTTCAGGTCAAACAGTATTGTCTAGGAAAAATGTTCCTGCAGGCATTCAAATCTGGGAAAATAGAAATTAGTCTTGCTTGCCCATTATTGGACCTCAACCTACCATAATGTACTACATAACAATTGTTTGCAAAAGACCTTGATGACCTTTGTTTTAATTGGAAGAAAGAGAGTAAATTAATTAAAGAACAATTTAACTTTGTAGTGCGTATGCCATGTGACTATCAGTGCCACACTCATGATATATCACATACCAAGAAAACCATCATTATAATGTTCTTCTAAGAGTATAGATAATCTGAAAACTAAGGGCAACCTAATGAATTTATGCATTTAGCTGTCTGCTGCAGAAAAGATCCTTGTGCTTCAAGGCTTCCAGCAAATGCCAAATTACATTCAGGACTTACTGATCCCTATATTATTATCAAACATCAAAACTTTTATTCCTCCTGATGAAGACGCTAATTTTGGAATTGTGAAACCCAATTAGAACTTACTCTTGAAATGCAGAATTTTGATTAAAATTAAAAGATGCACTGAATAAAGTAAATGAAATACATTGATACATTGGAAATTGAACCAACCTGTTCAAAATTCTTTTTTCGACCAAGGTCATAGCGCCATTTAGGAGAGGTTTTCTTCTCATATGCCTGATCACAAAGAATAACCCCATCAGCATCTAATTCCACACTGAGACTCCTTTGCCCATAGGGAAGGGCAAGATACTGCAAGACTAATGGAATTACTTATATGTTGGTATGACAAACCCTAATCCGTGATTACTAATATAGTGCAACTAAGATTTTCCACATCGCTAGTTGCCCAAACATTGAAAACCAAAGTTAAATATTTAGAAGTCGATGCATGTCAATCTAGGGACCTCCAGTAAAATGTGATATTGCAATCCAAGGAAAGCCATATAACAGAGGCCTCTCAAGGAGACTGAACTACCATACCAAGTATCTAATCTTTGCTATATGAGCCTCGCCCTTTTGGCACCTTTAAGATGTAAGCATAAGGCAACGCCCAGTTAAAAGGAAGAATGCAAAAACCAGAGATATTGTTAATGGATTGAAGCAAAAGACTTTACCTCAATGGTTGTGGTATTTGCAGCCACTAACGATATATGCATGATCAGAAACCCCAAAACACTTAATGCAAACGCAAGATTTAACACTGTAAATAAAGCAGCAATGTTAATTAGTTACACGGATATCCAACCACCTCAGTAAGTAGGAATATAGGTAAAATTAGATAATACCAAAAGCAAGAAAGGTAGTTGCAAGGGTGCTAGGTGTTCCAGGTATTTCTCCTTCACTAAAGAATGAAATAAAATGTGGCAGCAAGGATAAAGTTACAACACTTGTCTCCAGAAATGTGTAAAACTGCATTGAGATTTAACAAAAGAATGAAATCAGTATAAATATATAAAGTTCATTTGATATGTATTCATGACTTAAAAGACCATAATATCCAAGAATTGAAACTTTTACAAGATAATACAAATCAAGTAGAGCATACACAAGAACTTCTCCATCATAGTCTGACAGGACAGTACAATACAATTCATCTCCAATTGATTAACTATGTAGCCACAAACACTATTAAAAGCAGATTTTCCAAATTATACATGGAACTCCATTTTAGTATCAGTATATAACAAGCAACCACTGCCAGTACAAACCAGACTGAGGAAAAATAACTCATTGAAACAAAGAGGGACTGCATTCTTTAACAGCACCATAAGAGTCCCTTGAATTACCTTAAAACTCATGATTTCTACCAACCTAAAACTTTTCACCAAGTGTACTGCACCTAACTTACAGATATTTAACAGCAATCAACTCCCCTGAATATCCAGCACCAAGCATACTATAATGCTTGACACATACTGTAAAGTTCCTGCTTTACTAAATTACATATTTACAGTATATCAAGTATTTATCATTGCCATGCATCAAATCGTAAGCTGATATTTTGAGATTTTTAAATAATATAATTGCCATACTGACATAGCATAAGATAGTAAAGTAGAAGAATTATAGTGTTTGTGTGAGAGGTAACCAAGTTCATAACGAAATGTGAATTGAGTTGCAAGTCCCAGCCAATACCAACAAAAAATTATGTTCTCCACCTCTTCAAATTTGCAACTATCAGCTTAGAACATGCAGTCCAGGACCATTTTACTAATGCCAGAAAAAACTCATTACAAAAGCTTGGTTTTTGCTTTATATATAATCCACTAATCACATTATATACAGTCCATGAGCCTAATGATGAAACAATCTCTGCAAGGTTATACTCCTTGAAATCCAGCAATTATTCCAAAGTTAAATTATGGAGTTCCGTTTGAAGAATATGATCTAGAAGGTGAGATGACCTATTGTTCAGTTATCTACCAGAAGGAAAAACATCAATTTACCCTATGAGAACTATGGAACAATTCTGTTAAAGTGATACTACCACCATGGAAAAATAAGCTGAGTGGTACATTCAGGAGACCCTAAGTGGTCACGCTATGTGACAAAGATATACAGGCGAAGTCAATCTAGATCATTGTCTGTGGCCTGTGTCTGTGGCCTATTGGCATTCCAGGGAATGTACACCAGAGTTGAGCTTAAAAATTGTTAAAAAAGGATGGAAATGTAACATATTTAAGCTTTTTCTTTGGGAACAATGAAAACTTGCCCCAATACCTAACTTCTAATCAAGATACCTTTCTTTCAAATGCTCACGACCTATATGCAGGTATCTTTACAGTACCTGCATGATTATCACTACTCGTAATCATGTACGGTGTCATATAATCTGAGAGACTAAAGTTAAAATCAACTCAAATAGTCATTGGAAGAATGTCTTCAAATCATCAAATCAGTATTCACAGGCCAGGTATGGAGAAAACAAGTTAAGCATAGTAGAAGAAAATGAAAATGGAATCCTCGGTAGATAGAACCGTGTCAACTCATTCATACATAATCTCCTGTGAAAAGTATTTCACCTTACGCAGTGAAACAAACTTACCAAGAATAGTAGAAAATACTTGTAATTTAAGGCCCCAACACAATTTACAACCCATACACAATGGTGATCCATTTTCAGTACACACCGCCCACCTGAAAGTTGAAACAAAGAATCATCCAACATCAAGCTCTGATTTAAAGATATAAGAACATAACAAAGCAAAACAAAATAAAATATTGCTAAAGGAGATTATGAAAAAACTTCACATATTGCGACTCACAAACTGAGCAATGATGGCAACGAGGTGGTTTCAGCTGGTTGCATTTCGGCAATACCGGATTCTTTGATTAGATGGGTCAGTCTGCAAACCACTAAAATCCGACCCAGTCAAGGGGTCAGCCTCCCCTCTCTCTTCATCAACAGCAGGCCTCCAGTTAGGTGGCACACAACCGGGATCCGTCAAAACAACAGAAAAGTAGCTCCATAAGAGCATCACCAACTGCACAATTATAACAAGTCTTCCACTTTTAGCTTTATTTTCTCTAATACCCTTAATCAGACACCAAATTTTGATTCCTTAAGCTAACAATAAACTAACAAATTATCCCATTTACCACACCAAACACTCTTTCTGTCTGAACTAACAGGATCAAAAGGGGGATAGAAACAAGCAGTTAGCTTTAAGAAAATGATCAAAACAACAAAAATAAAATTCTAATAATAAGATTTCTAGAAACCACTGCCAAAAGAGACTCCAAGTAATTTCAAACTTCATGGAATAAGTTCAACCTCCACCAACATAAAAAAAAGGACCTGACTGAAGAAATTATTGAAAAAACAAAGTTCGCAGATTTTAGTAATATACTTCAAGAGGAAAAATGCCAATTTATACAACCGAAAGACACAGATTCTAAAACCCAAAAACTCTAAACAGAAAACCCATCAACACCACAAGAAAAATGTTAAGAAAAAACTCAAAAATTTAATAGTTTTCGATGGTTTACCAAGCAATGGAACAAGATCAATACGACAAGAGCAATGAGAGAGTCAAGGCCACCGTTGTACAAAGCCGGGCCATAATTAGTCAAAACGACAGTGTAATAGGTGACACCTACGACCCCAAGCACCAGGAGGATCATGACTGACCCCAAACCTCGCAAAGCTGTGCAGAACTTGAACACGTTCCAAGCCATGGTCACACCAGATCTATGCATAATATTTCTCAAATACACAAAAAAAACCATAAAGAAAAATCTTTTTTTTCTTTTCTCTGTTTGATTTCTCAGAGCTGAGTGTGATCTAGGGTTTATGATTCAGCTGGGTAGTTTGGAGGTTCAAGCTCACAGATATGTAAAGCAGAGTGGGAAACAGTAATTTGAAAAACAGAGAAAATATTTTCTCTATTTTGTTTGCGCTGTTTGCAGCTGTTTTATATGTTTTGGAAGCGAAATTTATGGAAAGGAAGGGTTTAAAAGGGATTCCAGGTGAGGTGTGAAATTGGAATCCATCTTGTTAGAGAGAAGATGAGTTTTTTTTTCCTCTCTTTTGTTTGTTTTAGTTTTTATTTTCATTTGGGTGAGACGAGATGAGTTTTGACGAAACCAACAAGAAAATAAGACCTTTTGTCATAATTTTATTTTATTCTTTAATTACGGGATGGATTGGATTTTATGATTTTTTTTAGGACAAGTTTTCGTAATTTAAAAGTTCGGCTAAGTTGGCTAACAGTTCGAACCCACATAGCATAATAGTTGTGTGTGTAAGAAACCTTTATTCTTTATAATTTAGACTATTGTTTATATTAATATATAATAATAATAAAGTTTAAACTAAGTTGCAAGTTATTCTAGCAACAACTTTGTAGTTATTAAAGAAAAAAAACTAGTTCCGCATAAATAAATAAATAACTAGTTTTGTATTTTGAGCAAGGTGCATTTGGTCATAGTCCATAACCATAAATCTAGAAGGTGGTGGTCATCATTCTAGACTAAGAGGATTTACTTTGGGAGTTGACCAGGATTTATTTCCAACTTTTGTAGTAGCACTAGCATACATGATTTTCTTGGATATTTCGTAACGATATTGCTTTCTAATTTCTACTATTATATCTAAGAAACATGGAATATGTTTGCCCAAGTAATCACGAAAAAACAAGTTTAGAAGAAATGGAGGCTCAACAAAGCATCTCATGCCTAACACGAATGTAATAATAATGGCCGCACCCGCAGTACAATTCATAAGCCAATCAATCTCACACGAAAAAGAAGCACAAATTGTATTGAACAAGCAAATGAGTCACTTGATTGCACTCACGGGTCTGAAATATTTGCAAAACTCAACACGCCCTTTGACATCTTCTACATAATATCAGTCTTTGAATGAAGACCTCACCCAAACCGGAGAGGGAACAGTACTATCCCTTTGAGATCAATGAGGTATCGCAGTTGTCCATGCCCATGTAGATATCTTGAGTTTTGTTTTCTGAAAAAATGGATAGTTGATATACAAGAAAGTTGTTTATTTTCCGGAGAGGAAATATATATGTATTTTGTATTAAGTCAATGGAGACTCGACATAAGATCTTTTGTGTAGAGATAAATACTCTTAAGTACTTATATAGAGTCCTTGTAGGCCGGCAGGAGCGTTATATAACTTAAATCTATTTTTAATATCATTTTGGAATGTAATTGTCATTCTTTTATGTTAGTGTTTTTATAAGTTGTCTTCAAATAAAGATAAACCAGTAGAGTTCAGTTGAGAAGGTCAGGTCAATACATGTATGACCCAATCCATCAATCAAGCCAGGATGATCTGATTCAGCATTCAGCCATCTTGCAAGGAAATTCTAGATCAGATCAGCTTCTCTGTATCTTGGGGACTTGGACCAAGTTGAACCCTTTTGGGGGTAAGAATGTCATGCATCTCTCATATTAATATTATACATTTTCACCTTTTAAATGCAATAGAAACAAACAACTTACTTGAAGTCCTCTAATATTTCTAATGATAAAATATTTATCCCCACACCGATGGCAAGGATTTAGTCTTGACTTCTCTTCTCTTGAATTTTTATTTTTATTTATTAATTAAAAAAACATTGAAGCAACCTAAGAAGCTTGTTGGTTCAAGCTTCCGACTGTGGCAATTATATATCCTCTATCCTTGAATTAATGCCCTTGGTGACATTGGGAAATTGGAGTGCATGGAAGGCTAAAAGCTTTATTGTCCAAAAAAATACTATACATTCTTGGTGTATTAATATTCTTCTTCTTTTTTTCCTAACACCTTCGGTTTACCTTCTCTTTCTACCTTCTCTCTCCTCATTTCCTCTTCAATATTGTTTAATTGATCGAAATCGTTCATTTTCGAGGTCATCTTATAAGGATTATTAATGTATTAAAAAGCATCCAAATAAAAAATTATTTAGCCATTTCATTAACAATCCATGCTGAATCAAATATTGAATTCATTTATTTATTTGATAACAGAGATGATCTTTAAAGGATCGCCTAAAAGATATACAGTTGTGATCATCAAACCACATTACAGAATAGAGAGAGAAAAGGGAAGAAAAAAAAAGAAGCTATCATTTCCCTTTTTTTACCACAATAAATCATAGTTATTATTTTTTCTGTCTCGCAGCTATGCATCAAAGCCCATGGCCCATTAAAAGCCCACATATGATCCAACAAGTCCAAACAAAGAACCGAGCCCATCGGCCGCCCCAACAGTGAGTTAGATACCCCAAGTTTTGAATCGGCTTTGGTGAGGTCACAGATGCCGAGCAATCTTCTGTCCACCACTGTGCCTTTGTCTTCTATTCTAGACAACTTTGTGCAAAGAATATTCATATAAAATTTTGTATCATTTTCATAAGCAAATATGATATGTTACTCTGCATTGTTTTCATCTTGGCCCCAGATGCATATTTAAAGGCTGCCTCACCCTCAAGTAAGGCACACTTTGTGTCATTGTGTTTGCAGGAGAGAAAAATGGAGAAGGGTCCGGTTTGTGTAACAGGGTGGAAATGGATTTGTTGCCTCATGGCTTGTTATGAGGCTTCTGCAACATGGTTACACTGTTCGAACTACGGTTAGACCTGACCCAGGTAAAATATTACCAATTCCAAATTTTAGTTACTGAAACATGCGACCCACAATACACGAGTTTCTTACTTGTTAGAAATAACTGAGGTTCTAAATAAAACCATAGATATAAGCTGTTAGATTGATAAAATGAGTTAATTAGGATTACAATAGGTCATGGTTCAAATTCATCCATGTACATTAACATGCATTTGATGTTTGGTATTGGGCATAGAATGCAAGAGAGACCTCAGCTTCCTCACAAGCCTGCCAAGAGCATCAGAGAATCTCCAAATCTTCAATGCAGATCTCAACCAACCAGACAGCTTCAATGAAGCAATTGAAGGATGCATAGGGGTCTTCCATGTTGCTCACCCCATGCCTACCAAAGAACTTGATGAAGAAGCAGTGACCAAAAAAGCTGTCCAAGGAGCCCTAGGCATATTGAAAGCCTGCCTAAATTCCAAGACTCTGAAGAGGGTTGTGTACACTTCTAGTGCATCAACTGTGGCTTACAGTGGCAGCAGCCAAGACTTGGTGGATGAGAGCTCATGGAGTGATATTGAATTTCATAGGTCTCTAAAATATTTGGGACTTCATATGTTGCTGCCAAGACCAAAACAGAGCAAGCTATCCTGGAATTTGCAGAAAAAAGTGGATTGGAAGTTGTCACTTTGATCCCTCCATTAGTTGTTGGTGGATATATCTGCAAAAAATTTCCCTAGCTCAGTTTACTTGGCCCTGGCCATGATTTTAGGTATGTATTGCACGTGCTTTTTTTTTTTTTTTTTTTTTTATTAAATTCAATCTAGTAGTTTCTGAAATCAATTTCCAAAAATGCATTAGGCCATCTACCAAGCTTGAAAAATTATGCAAAATGACACACCCCTTTTTTCCCCAAAAAATCAAATGTGCTGTTGATTTGGCCTAGGAAAACAAAAAGGATCATTGCATTTCCCAATTTCAAAAAAATTTGTGACCTGAACCAAATCTACATATTTCTTGTATGCAGGAAATCAAGATCACTATAGATATCTTATCAGGCCAAGTTTGGTACATGTAGATGATTTGGTTAGTGCCCATATCTTTCTTTTTGAAAATTCTGATGCAAAGGGGAGGTACATTTGTTCATCAAATCAGCTACCCATAGATGAAATGTCCCAATTTCTGTCTGCAAAATACCCTGATTTGCCCATACCCACAACTGAGTGAGTAATTCCAATTCCATTCTAATACAACTCCTTAATTCTTCTGTCATTTTATCTCAGATTATAGAAAATTAAATTATCTGTTTTTGACCTCCCCTTGACCTACACAGTTTCTTGAAGGGCATTGAAGGTTACAAATCGTGTGGCTTCTCATCACAAAAGCTCCTGAGTTCTGGATTCAAGTTTAAGCATGGACTCGATGACATGTTTGGTGATGCAATTCAATCTTGCAGAGAAAGGGTTTTCTTTAAATCAAATTCGCTAATTAGCATGACCCTTTGATTAGGGTTAAGATCATCTCCCTTTGAAAATCTAATAAAAGTTTAAAAAAAAAAAAAAATATCAATGTGTGGTGAACAAATTGACCATTATGTGAATTTTTGGACATCTTCAAAAGTTTTCAAGATTGATGTACTTGCGCCTAAATGCACATGTAATATGGTCTACATGATTGGATAAATAAATTTATGGCAAGCTTGTGGAGTGTGCATATGTTTAAAAAAGAGAAAATTGTCATTATACCATTAAAGAAAAACGTGAGCAACCGATGTACGCAATATCCTTTCTCTGACACATTAGTTGAGAGATTCTTTCCTTAACACATTAATTGAAGAGCCTATTATAGTTTTGAGTATTTTAAAAAGTTGGTATAGAGAGTATGATGAAGTTCATACAAGCAAGCATTGTGATACTCTACAAATCAAGGAAAAGGATGGATTGGAAAGGAAATGACTACTAGTTGGTCATATCTATTTTTTTTCCTTCCACATTATTATATTTTTTCAAATTAATTACCTCATCTATATTTAAAAATAAATAAATTATGATAATTCGTTGACATGAATCATAATTTTAATAATGAGTAAACGTAATTTAAGCTTGTGATCGGCTGGACATTATTAAACTAAACTAAATTAATAGTATATAAATTAATAATGAGTAGATGTCGAACCTTCGATGATGTGTAATATTAGTGTATATAAGGTTATATTTATAAATTAATAGTTGCATTAATAAAAGCAGAAATGCCAAAGATGAAATATTAATTTAATGTCGTTTATATCGTGGTTGATTTTGCAAATATAATAAAGAATTTAGTTATTTTAGGTCATGGCATTGTCATATACATGTCAAACTTCATTGCCCCCAAAAGAAACGTAAAGAATGTGCAGGCCTAGCTGTAATGACAAACTCACAAACTATTGACCCTTAATTATCGCAAGTTAATTAATTATCATTTATATTATCATACTTATAATTTATATTTAAGCTCGCTCAATGAACCTTAATTAGCCAAATCAGGCTCAGAGAGAGAGAGAGAGAGAGAGAGAGAGAGAGAGAGAGAGAGAGAGACAGAGAGACAGAGAGACAGAGAGAGAGAGAGAGAGAGACAGATCTCAATGGAAGAGGTTGGAGGGGGAACAGTTTGTGTAACTGGTGGAACAGGGTATGTAGCTTCATGGCTGATTATGAGGCTCTTCAGCATGGCTATTCTGTCCGAGCCACCGTTCGATCCAAACCTTCAGGTAATTCAGATCAAATGACCTACAATAATTGTGTTGATCAATGATGATGAAAACCATACCAAACAGTTGGAGATTGTATGAAATTTTGTTTGATCATATGTCAGTTTAGTTTTCTAGTGTAGGTTAATCTGCAGAAGTTTCTGTTTCCTTATAATTATCTCTTTGTTACATGTTGTTCCTGTAATTGTTTGATGAGCGCACAAGCAAGATATTGAACATATATATAGAGTAGCACTCAAGCACCAATAGCCAGTAAGTTAGTATGGCCCTAATCAATTTGCAGGGTTGACCTTCGAATGAGGAACTAAAAATAGTACGGTCGGATTATAAAATTTACACTCTGGAGTAGACTAAAGTAAGTAGTTAGCACTATATTAACTTACTAACTGGTTAGCTTTTGAGTGTTGCTGAACATATATATAATTCCAAGGATCTATTCAAATATTATCGATTGATTTTGAGTTAGGTGTTCTAATTCTCTCACAGTATTAAAGAAGGTAGCCACGTGTCCGTTTTCGGATTTTCTTCGGTGTTTAATTTTCACTTATGGCCTTTTTGACATATAATTTGATGAGCTGATCATATTTATATATGGCAGCTGAAAGAAAGAGAGATATCAGCTACTTGACAAACTTACCAGGAGCCCCAGACAGACTCCAAATTTTCCATGCAGATCTCAATCAACCAGAGACTTTCAACGAGGCCATTCAAGGCTGCGCTGGAGTCTTCCACGTTGCTCACCCCATTGACTTGGAAGGCAAAGAACCTGAGGAAACAGTGACCAACAGAGCTCTGGAAGGCACCCTAGGCATTTTAAAGGCATGCATAAACTCCAAGACAGTGAAACGCGTCGTTTACACTTCAAGTTTAGCCACAATATTGTTCAACAGCAAAGGCCTTAGTGAAACTGATGAAAGTACATGGAGTGAGCTTGATCTTTGCAAAAGCAGCAACCTTGTGAGCTCTTCATACTTGGTTTCTAAAACAGTTGCGGAGAGGGCAGCTTTGGAGTTTGCAGAAAAGCATGGCTTGGATCTTGTCACTGTTATTCTTCCCATTGTATTTGGACCCTTCATTTGTCCAAATATTCCTGCTTCTGTGTACATGGGACTGGCTCCCATATTTGGTAAGTATTTTTTAATACTACATAGTCCTGCATCTGTGCACACTAAATTATTTTCATGTCACGTTTCACCAAATTTTATTCACTAAATAACTAGTAGTATTTAATTGGTTAAGATAGGAACGCCCATTTTAAATTTTATTTATTTATTATTAATAAATAAAGTTTTAACATGTACATTAGTATATACTTTATATTATGAAATCCTCAATTCTTTAATTGGTTGTATTGTTAAGTAGTTATTTTTTGACATATGTAGGTGACGAGGACAAATGTAAATGTCTTACTAACACATATATGGTACACATAGATGATGTGGCAATTGCACATATCCATCTTCTGGAACATTCTAATGCGAAAGGGAGGTACATTTGTTCCTCAGTTCAAACAACAATTCATGAATTATATGATTTTCTTCCTGCAAGATACCCCGACTTTTCAAATACGAATGACAGAGTAAGATTATGGTTTCTCCTTTATATTCTTATTAGAATGCTAGTATCAGTTTATGTGAATTTCACTCTACATATGTTAAACTACTCGGTGGTTGTATTAATTGAGGTGTGGCTTAATTATTTATGTGTGTGTAAACAACTGACACTAACGAATTTATTGTCGTTGATGATGCGAAATATACCGAGGCATATTCAGTCTTTCTTATTGTTTTCTTCTTTCTAATCTATACTTTTTCAGCAACTTAAAGGAGATTAAAAGTTACAAAAGATCAAAAGTCTCTTCAAGGAAACTGTTGAGCACTGGGTTCAAGTTCGAATACGGCCTCGGTGAAATGTTTGATGGCGCTGTGCAATGCTGTAAAGAGAAGGGTTACTTGTAAATCAGGCTTGGTTCAAGCAAATAATCATTGTAATCCTTACCATGCCAAGTGTGAATAACCAATTTTACTTTTTCCCCATCTTTTTAACTTTTTCTAATATTTTGTCCCGTGATTTATGTGTGTGTGAATCATATGTTGTTGGTATTTCAATTAAAAAAAAAAAAAAAAAAAAAAAAAAACCTATTACCATTATCAATCATAATCCAAATCGAATTCCGTCTAATTGCACCTATGTGTACATAACATGCAGAGGTAAAATGATCCCTACACGTCATGAGCACATTAGCACAATTTGACAAAAATTTTTAGTTTAGAACCGAGATTAATAACGGGCTTAACCACAAGAGTATTAGTGAAAGTTTTTCCATGACATAAGTAATTTGATGTATGATCCACGTCGCATGGATCATTTGTGCAAATTGGCCCAATAATTCAGTCATAAGATTAGAACACGAGGAATTGGGAGTGAGAGGACCTGCTTAGAACATGAGATCAGCAAGATGCAACACAGACTGATCCCATTAACTCAAAACCAACCCCCCCCACCCCCAACAGTCCTCCCCCCGCGCGCCAAAAAAAAAAAAAAAAAAACATCCCTTTATCACCTCAGAAGAAATAATGATGGTTCTAGGGGCGACAGCGACACCTTTTCTTCCCCCTTCTTTTTCCTTTATCATAATTTCGAGTGTAATTCATTGTTTATTTATTTTGACTTGGGGTAAAATTGTAATGCATTTCAACTTGGCCCAACAAACAAAAGAAAAAGTCCTAAGCACGTCTCTGTTGATAGTTACCCAAGATGGCAGCACCAATTGAAAACAAAGCATTTCATGAAAGTCACTGCATGCCCACTCAGAAAGTTACTACACAATAAAAGCTGACAAAGAGCCCTCACCAAAGATAAAGACTTCACTGTTTATATCTTGAGATTATAATGAGCAAATCAACCAGACTTGTGGATTGAAGAAAACAGAGAGATGGAGGGAGAGAAAGGAAGAGTGTGTGTAACAGGTGGTTCAGGGTTTATAGGGTCTTGGCAGGTCATGAGGCTCCTTGATCATGGCTACTCGGTCAACACCACTGTCAGATCAGACCCAGGTAAAGCCACTACTTCACTTGATTGCCAAGCCATAATATTTTAATGGAGATTTCTCTGTAAGTGTGGTATCTTGTGGGATTTTCATTTTCATAAGGTCAAGGGAAAAGCCCAGTCTTCATAGTTTCTATTGTTCCTGCCTCAAAAAGTGTTTCTGTCTTCTTATCCAAACCACTTAATTTGTGTGCACATGAAAGTAAATCATAGCACCTTTTTTTTTCTTTCTCTTAACAACCAGAGAACAAGAAAGATCTAAGCTTCCTCACAAGTCTACCAGGAGCATCGGCACGGCTAAAAATTTTCAATGCGGATCTCAGCAACCCAGAAAGTTTCAATGCAGCCATTGAAGGATGCATCGGATTGTTCCATGTTGCTACTCCAGTTGACTTCCAAGATAAGGAACCTGAAGAAGTGGTGACCAAAAGATCAATTGATGGAGCCCTTGGCATTCTAAAGGCATGCTTAAATTCGAAAACTGTGAAACGAGTTGTATACACCTCGAGTGCATCTGCTGTCCAGTTGGGCAAGGAGGAGGATGGAGAGCAACTGGATGAGAGCTTTTGGAGTGACATAGATTACATTAAAGCTGTCAAGCCATATGGAGGCTCATACATGATTTCAAAGACATTAACTGAAAGGGCAGTTCTTGAATTTTCAGAGAAATATGGATTGGATGTTGTGACAGTAATTCCTTCTTTTGTTGTTGGCCCCTTCATTTGTCCAAAGCTCCCCGGCTCTGTTCAAACCACTTTGTCTATGGCCTTTGGTATGTATAGCTTGAAGAATGTGTTTGAATCCAAAGTCCAAACATATTGTAAAGCATCTTCTCTGAATCATGTTTTAATGCAGGTGACTTTGATCAACTTAGCTTTATTATCAATACATCTGTGGTGCATGTGGATGATGTTGCCAGAGCACACATTTTCCTTTTTGAACATCATGAGGCAAAAGGGAGATACAATTGTTCTGCAGATGTCATAACACTTGTACAAATAGCTGAATTAATCTCTGCAAAATACCCGGAAGCTCGAATACCGTCAGTAGAGTGAGTTAAACTATTTTTCTTCACATTACTCTAGTCTCTTTTCCGTTTCAGTCTAAAAAATGAAATTAAAACTCCTTCGTTTTCTTGGTTCTATCTTTCTGTGCAGTGATTTAAGTAGAGTTGAAGGTCCGAAATTTTCTACTCTGTCATCAAAGAAGCTATTGGATGCTGGTTTCAAATTCAAGTATGGGGTTGATGAGATGTTCAGTGATGCAATTCAATGCTGCAGAGAAAAGCATTATCTGTAGCTCCTTCCTGGAACTATGATCTTATTCTATGGAAATGGAAGTTTGATACCATAACAGAAAACCAATCCCCTTTGTTGGATGGGAAAAGGAACTTTGCAAGTTTGATACCAATAAATGCGCATTGTGTGCTATATTGATTCCTGCAGAAAAAAGAAAAAAAAATTGGGATCTCTAGTATGAATAAAATGCTTGATTTTTTCCAAATGGCCAACAAAAACTATGCAACCACATATTCATAGGTAAGGTAAAGGTATCAGATCTTACAGATGTAAGAGCTTTGTCTTTCTTTAATGACGTTTAAATTTAACAGCACTTCTCCATGTGAGAGAGACTATGGTGGTGAGATTTCAAGTTCAGCTTGGAACATTGGATGGGTGTATATATGCAGACCATGAAATGCAAATAGCAAAAATGTAATGGAATGGAACAATGAAAATCTTCTTCCAATCTTGTCCATCAATAAAGTCTTCCAAGAACAAGCTTAACTCCTTCCTCATTCCTTCTTACTTTCAAATCACGGTGTGGTCAGGTAAGTAGGAATGGGGCATCTCAAAGGGGATGAGCCAAGTATTTTTCTTTTTCAAAGTGAGATGTTGTAGAAACTAGAATTTTACTTATATTTTTTTTAATACAAGCGATAGTATTAAAAGGGGGAGGGGAATTGCACACACACACACGAATAAGGGGTCATGAGGTTTGAACCTGAGACCATTAATCTGCATGTCCAAACTCTTTTTCATTGGGCTAGAGCCGATGCAAAGATTTGTTTTAGGCATAATATATATATATATATATTTAGCTGGAGGAAAAAGACAAACGAATGCAAACAAAAACGACGTCGTACTGACAGTCTTTGCTCGTCCGTAAAAGTGAAATTTAAGCGAAGTTAACGATTCATTTGACACGTCCAAGCAAAAGTATAACGACCTTCTCTTCCTTCCCGCTCCTTTCTCGCCTCTCAAACTCAACTGAATCTCTCCCTCTCTCTCACTCTGAATCATTCTTTGATTTATCTTCTTCTCCATTGATTTTGAAATCGAATAATCTGCGTTTTTGCTACGACGATGTCATTTTCAGATTCTGATTCGTCTTCTCATGGCGGAGCCACAGAGTACAAAATTTTCCGTCAAGTCAGCCGTGACCGTAAGCTGTTTCTCGCACCAACATTTTGCTTTTCACGTTTTTTTTTTCCGTTTGGTTCCCGAGAAAATGTCTGAGCGGCGGTGCTCCGTTCAGCTAGAGTCATGAATGCCAAGAAAATGTAGAATAAATGCCATTGAAGCTCTTGATTATGCTTCATTTTGGCACCTATTATTGCTTTCTAACAAAACGCGTGAGAGGAATTGAAATCAAAATTTAACGATGATCATTTTTTTCTTCTTTGGAATTTGTGATAAATAAGAAATGTATGAATTGGGTTTGTAGGGTTATTGCACGAAATGCTTGGATCAACCAGAACAGAGAAGTCCAAATCTTGGAAGGTAAATTGTTCAATTCAGTGTTTTTATTTTATTTTTTAAAATTTTCTTTTAAAGCAGCTAATCTATTACTTTTTAAAATTTTATAGAATTTTGTATTAATTTAGTTATGTGAAACTTGAATTCTACCAAGGAATCAGTTTAATTGATTCTCTAATACTGTGGTTGTTTTTAATCATACTTCATTGGTTTTGATTTTGATTTTTTTTTTGCCCCCAGGTCCTCATCATGGATAAAATAACAGTGAAAGTCATGTCCCATTCATGTAAAATGGCAGATATCACAGACCAAGAAATTTCATGTAAGCATACCTTCCAATTTTCTTTGTTCATTTTTTCCAATTTTCAAGTTCAAGCAGCTTCTTTCCCCCCTGGAAAGGAGAGATGAAAATTGATTACAACATTATAAACGTCATTGTTTACATGTCTGCTAAGATATCTTTAGCTAAATATTCTACAATTTGTTCCTTATTGCTTTTTATTGTTAGTTGGAAATTACTAGGAGCTGATTCTCTTTTGTTGCAGTGGTGGAAGACCTTTTTCGAAGGAGAGAACCATTGCCATCCATGGATGTTATTTATTTCATCCAGCCAACAAAAGAGAAGTACAGTATTTTTCAAAACATAAAATCATTGATTCTTTCCTGATAATTACTTATCGTTCCACATGAAACTATGGAGTACTGTTTATCTGTAATAGTAATTTCTCATCTCCTATATACACTTGCATATGTGAGGCACATGAAATCTCAGCATCAGATTCAGTTATGGTGATGTCCGGTCATGCAAAGGCTTGAGAATATGTTGACAATATACACCCCACAAATGGGCATGTCAAGCCTTGCAGCATAATATGAAATATCTTAGGCCTCTCCACTCATTGAAAACTGGTTTTGGGTAGGGTGCTCTAATTCTAATAGCTTATTGATAAAATTTACCATGTCAATCACATCTCTAACTAAAATGATAGACCAATTAGTTTCTTTAATCAGCTTTAGAACATTCTTTTCTTGGTTGAGCTACTTTCAAAGGAAACAGAAGAGGTTACAGAAGCTTCAGGCTAGAAGGATATTTGTAAAAACTAGCCAGGGAACCGATGTCTTCTACCTTATTTTGTGAATATAAAGAAACTAATTGGTATTTGGTTTCTATTTTGACATGCACCTGAACTTCTACATTCCATTTTCCTTGTTCCTACCTTCTCTCTCTCTCTAAATAACTTTCTATCTCTTTAGCCTTGCTTGTTCAGAAGTATTCAAATTTACAATTTCATTTTCGTCTGGACTATTTGTAACCCTATCTTTTGCTAGCATGCAGTATTGTCATGTTCTTATCTGGACATGGAATCCTGGAAGGGAGCCTCTGTACAGGAAAAGTAAGAAGGATTTTTTTTTTTTTTTTTTTTTTTTTTTTTTTTTTTTTGAATGAACTTTTTATTTTTCTGAATTTTAATCACTTACAAGTTCAAACAGCATTATGCTGATTGTGGTTTTTTTGCCTGTTTCAATTTCATGGTTTCAGAGCATTTGTATTTTTCAGTTCACCTATCCCAAAGGAACTTGTAAATCACATAAAGAGTGATACAAGTGTTCTACCCCGCATAGGTGCATTGAGAGAGGTCAACATTTCCTCTTGTTATTGCTCAGTACTTCTAATGGTTCTTTTTACTTTTTAATTCAATTTTTTTTTAAATCTTATATTTGATTGGCATATGCAGATGAATTTGGAATACTTTCCTGCGGATAGTCAGGTATTGTAGTAATCTTTGGTTTATCATTTTTTATGCATGATCCATCTTTGGTCTCTTTAGTTTCGGTTCCCATCTTCCAAGCACCATCATTTCGAAAGCTTTACTTTTTATATATGACACTTATTATTTACTATCCCATTTCCTTTCTGATGGTACTATTTATGGAATGACTTCCTATTCTTTTCAGTTCCCCTAGTTGCAGTACAAAAAGTTCACTTTAGTTAGTGTGCATTGGCTTAACTGTCCACACTTTTTGCATCAAACTAATTAAACTATTTATACTCAATCTGTGGAGTAGAGATAATGAACTCAAGTGAAAGTTTTCTTAAAATTTCATGACATTGTTATAGAATACTTGAGACTGCAAAAGTGCATGGGGTGAAATGGATTCTGCTTCTCTGTGACAAGTTGGGGTGTTAAACAGTCTGGCCACATTCAAATGTTGATCCACCGTTTTTGTGTAAATTAGCCTCAGAACTGAGCATAATATTGTTTATATGGGCACAAAGTCAAAACCCGTGTATTTCATGTTTCTTTTCCTGTTGGGCCATTCTGAGTCGTGCCTCTCTTTCTTAATCTTAAATAAAATGTTAGAAAAGGAACCTGTAGGTTCTACTTCACAAGAAAATCAGGACTATCTTTGCTATTGAGCACCTCTGATCTGACCATACTGATATTTGAGCTATTTTCGAAAGCATGTAGGGGGTGCTTTCTTCACTGGGATCACTTTATTGCAGGCTTTTAGCACTGATCAAGAAAGGGCAATGGAGGAGCTCTTTGGTAATTTTGGGAATGCTCGCAGATTCGATGCTTGCTTGAACATAATGGCAACTCGAATTGCCACGGTTTTTGCTTCTTTAAAGGTATCATTTCTTGTATTTACAATGTTGTTTTGTATGATATGTATCTTACACTCTACCTAAATATTATAATTACTGCTAATGGCATATTTGCTACATGATTAATTTTTTTTAAGATCGTAGAAACAAAGACATAGCCTTTTTATTTTTGGAAACAATAAGTTTTCTGGGAATAAAATGGGTGTTTACTACCTTTGTGTTTGGTACAAATGTCTAAACAAGTTTGGACTATCTCAGGAGCTGCCATTTGTACGGTACCGCTCTGCCAAGGCACTGGATGAATCTACAGAAGCAACACCTAGTGATTTAGTTGCTACAAAGCTTGCTGCTACTGTTTGGGATATAATTTCAAAATATAAATCTTCTATTCCCAACTTTCCACAGAAAGAAACATGTGATCTGCTCATATTGGATAGATCTGTTGATCTGGTTATTATTCCTTGTCCTATGCCGACTTCTTTTTCTTCTTTCTTTTGTTCTTTCTGTATGCTGTTATATTTTTATTTGTTGAATGTGTTGGACTTGCATGAATAGATTGCTCCTGTCATACATGAATGGACATATGATGCTATGTGTCACGATTTACTGAATATGGACGGGAACAAATATACGCATGAGGTATGTCTTCATGTTCCTTTTACGACCTTTGGTTTTTGTTTAAATATTCATTTTGTGTATATATATATAGGGATGACGTATATTGTATATTAGGTTCCTAGCAAAACTGGTGGTGATCCTGAGAAAAAGGAGGTTCTTTTGGAAGACAATGATCCAGTATGGCTTGAGCTTCGCCATACACACATAGCAGATGTATATTTCATGATTTCAAACATTTTCCTTTAAATGAATATATTATAAATGTGAATACTATAGCCCACTAACTGAAATATCAGGCTAGTGAACGATTGCACGACAAGTTTACCAACTTTGCATCAAAGAACAAGGCTGCACAACTCCAACAGAGTGCAAGGTTGGTGTTAGTGTCTAGAAGGCACTATTTAGAAATTGTTTTCCATTTGATGTAGAGAAGTTTTATCTTATTGGTCCTGTCTATTCTTTTGATCAAAAAATTGTTTTACATTACACGAATGCATAGAAAATGGACATCTTAGTAGTTATGAAAATGTAGTCTCAGAAGCATGTCCAGACCACTAACTCATCTTTTTTGTTTAAAATAAACACATGTCAATGCTGCATGAAGATAGGCTTTGCATCATGGGTGCTGAAGCTTATTCTCAGATTGTGTAGACTAGGATGAGTGTTCTTCGATCTTATCATTCTTGAGAGAACTGTAATATAGGAGAATCAATCATAGACTTCAATTGATGTATCTCATGTAACCTGATGGTAATATACATATTTTAAAAGATCGACTTTCGGGTATAAGGATATATGGGATATTCAGTATCAAAATCTTTTGTTTAATTTACAAATGCAGCTTCATTTTATGGCTCTAAAGTTTGGATTCATTAGAAGTGTGTATGGATCTTGAATTATTGTTATCATACACTACTTATATAGAAGATTGACTTTATGCAGAGAGGGCAATGAATTATCTACACGCGACTTGCAGAAGATGGTTCAAGCTTTGCCACAATACACTGAACAAGTTGAAAAGATTTCTCTTCACGTTGAGGTTTGCTCTGATCATTTTCAGGCATAGGTGCAATATATAGCATTTACTTTTAAGAGAGTCATAAAGCATTTAACCTGTTTACGATGTTAATAAGGTGGCTTTATTTCTCTTTGCATGTTTTGAGGAACACAAGTCACTGAGAAGTATTTATTTAAGTAAATGAATTAAAAAATCAGCAAGGACTATCTTAAACTTTTTACATTGTAATTTCTTTGTTGGACGTTTGAAGCACAGTAAATCAGGTCTGTTTTGCACTTTTTTTATTTTTCATAACTAAAATAAGAGGGGAGAAACAAGAGAGGAGTGACATGAAACATGTGAGGAATAGATGAGGGAAGCTGATAGAATGGAAATCAAGCATTAAAAACCATTTGAAGTTATTCCTTGTTCAAAGGCAGCCGAAGGTTTGAGGATGGGGAGTGTTAGAAATGGCTTTTAGAATGCAGAGAGTTAGAGTCGAACTCTGACACTGAGGTTAAACACTCTTACCACTAGAACTTTCTCACAAATTGTTTTTTGTTTATGCTCTAAAAATTCTTATATTCATTTTCCTTCCTCTCTCTCCCTCATCTCTCTTTCACTTTCTTTTCTCTTCCTCTCTTCCTCTCTTCCTCTAATTTTTCTTTAAATAAAGGATGGGGATCAAAAGAGCTATTAAGTATTTGGTTCTTTCTTTAAGAACGTATCCTCTAGAACGCTTATTTTGTTGCCTGCATTAGCAAGAGTCCAAGTAGAAATGAATAAAGTGATCATTTTAAGGGTGTGATAGGGATTAGAAGGATTGGTGGTTAAAATTGGTTTTAGTGGCTTTAGACTTGCAACTGATTGTTTTGCTTGATTATTTGAGTCAGATTGCAGGGAAAATTAACAAAATTATTAAGGAAACGGGACTTCGAGGCCTTGGGCAACTAGAGCAGGATCTTGTCTTTGGAGATGCAGGAGCCAAGGATGTCATCAATTATCTGAGGACCAATCAGGTGATGTACAGAGGACATTAGTCCACTTCTTCTAAGTACTTGTGGATACCCGATATTTTTTAATGGAAGACTGTTCAATTTATGCAGGATACAACTCCTGAAAATAAGTTGCGTTTGTTAATGATTTATGCCTCTGTATATCCTGAGAAGTTTGAGGGAGACAAAGCTACTAAGCTAATGCAGGTAGCTGTGTCAATTCGTGACTTTTTTGCGAGACAATTACTATATTAGTACAATTTGTTCTTTTCTTTTCAAAGTAAATTCCAGGCCGTCAACTCATTTAGCTTCACACCTAAGTAAAATAGCTGTTTAGTTTTTAATTTTGGTTTTGGTTATATTTATAATCATTGATAAGCTGATACATTTCATGTATACTGTATCATGTATATATGGTTATTTATGTTAACTTATAGCTGAAAAAAAATGTTGTGTTAATTGCTTTCTGTTTATTTACTTAGTTGGCAAAATTATCAAGCGAGGACATGAAGGTTGTGAATAACATGCGGTTGCTAGGGGGTTCATCAGAGTCCAAAAAGACATCTAGCAGCTTCTCGCTGAAGTTCAATGCTGCAAAGGTAAGCACATCTAGTTGTGGAGATGCTTATTCGAGACTAGTGTAGTGGAGTTTTGTTTCAGAAAATAAGCACCTGACAGAGTAAGGCCTCAGTTTAAATATTCTTGTTTAAAATCAGACAAAGCAAGCAGCGAGAAAGGATCGCGTTGGTGAGGAGGAAACATGGCAACTATCTCGGTTCTATCCCATGATAGAGGTACGTAAGCTTGAACATAATGCACTCCACAGGTTACAACATCTTAACATTTTTCAGTTGATCATTTTAATGGGAATTAGCAACCCCACACTGCACTCTCTTTCCTTTCCTGACAGATGGGGGGAAAAAGAGAGATTGGTCTTGATGATTGTTTATTATAGTATATGGACAAACATACTTTGAAGGAAATAGATGGTAAAGTTGTATGGTCAAATGGACAAGTTTGAAGCAGAACTAATTTAGAAAGCTCATTAAGATAGCACGATACATAATTAACTGAGCAGCATCTGATTACCTGTTTTTTTTCAGGAGCTCATAGAAAATCTTAATAAAGGTGAATTACCAAAAAACGAGTATTCATGTATTAATGAACCCATTCCAGCTCCCCAAGGGGGTAGCCTGAGAGGCAGCCGCTGTTCATCAGCACAGACAAGCCAATCTACCACTGCTCCTCATTCAATGAGATCAAGGCGAACTGCAAATTGGGGACGGGCTCGGCATTCTGATGACGGATATTCTAGGTAGCCACACAGTGCCTAATCTAGTCAGAGTTAACATGCTCATTCCCTAATTGAATGTGCATACAAGGGCAGCTGTTGAATTTAATCTTCTGAGATTATTCTAATCCATATTGTCGTATCTCTAATCCATATGGTCATATCTCATGTCATTGCAATACTTTTTGTAATATGTCTAAAACAGGATACACTATCTGGTTCTAATGTTTGGTTGTTGATAACACTTGAAAGATTCTTTATGGTTTTTGGAAGATGTGAATATGGCAACTTTGAACTGCCATAAGTCTTGGATATCAACTAATTATTGCTCTTCTTTATGGTTTTTGGAAGATGTGAATATGGCAACTTTGAACTGCCATAAGTCTTGGATATCAACTAATTATTGCTCTTCTGCTACCTTTGTAGTGACTCGGCTTTGAGAGGTGCAGCTACTGATTTCAAGAAGATGGGGCAACGAATTTTTGTATTTATGATTGGCGGGGCAACTCGATCTGAGGTAGAATTTGTGAGGAACCTTTTTTCTTGGTTTCTTGATCTGCACTTTAGTGCTTTTAGATCTTCCTCTCATGGTTTTTATCTTGATGCTGTCATCAGCTACGAGTTTGCCACAAGCTGACGACGAAATTGAGAAGGGAAGTAATCCTGGGCACTACTAGTATCATTGAATCCCCACAGTATATTACGGTATATATGCACATAGTATTCATCATTTCATTTCAATCTGAGTTGAATTGTTTATGTAGTTGCTCATGATTATTCTTGATGTTCCAGAAACTGAAGCTGCTGTCAGAAAAAGAACTAGCATTGGATGGCCTTAAAATCTAAAACAGTGCCAGTGAATAGCCAAAATGTATCTTTGCTCTTTGAAATCAGGTTGGCTACTCTTGAGCATAAAAATTAGTAGTTTTATGTTGGTTGAGTTGAGAATTGAGATTGAGGAGAACAATATGACAATGCTGGTTTTGTTTTCTACAGATTCATCACCCGTCGAAGGATGGTTGTGTACCAGTTCATCACAAGGACCAGTTTTCGTGCATATATACTTTCTTCTATTCAATATGTTCATATCAGAAGAAGGCGTGGTGGCTTCCAAATGTTAAGGGGGCCATTAGGATGCTGCAGCATTGTAATATTGAATCAGCGCAATGTGTTAAATATATATAAGATTTTGAAGGATTTCATTCTGTTCTGGATCTTGTCTACACCTGACTGAAACGTTGGGTGTTTCAGCATTGTGATATCTCAATTATTATTTTTTTCATACTGAGTTTTTGTAATGAATTTCTCTAGAGGTGGGTTTTTGTTTCAGGGTACCATAGGATCCAATGCAAATTTAAGTCTTGAAAGAACAAACATGGTACCATAATTAGCTGTATTCGACCCACCTTAAAAGTCAAGGGACCTAACATGAGCTTATAAGTAGTTGGGTTATTATGTGGCTGGCTTCCTTTTTCTTGTCTGTGTTTATGTAATATTGTGGGATTTTAAGGTATTTGGGTGGCTCTGTGTGTTGTGCATTTTTTTTCGTTTTGTGCCCCTTGGGTGTGGCAGCTCATCCCCTCAACTTGTCCCGGTGATGTCGTCTCAGGCGTTGGTGGCTGGTGCTCAGCTGAGTTTTGTTAGGGTTCATTTGCTATCTTGGCCTTGGTTTGGGCTTGTGCGAGCTTGTTGTTGCTTTGTTGCTGAACTCAGATGGTTGGGTCTCACTTTTATGTTGTATTTTTGCAGGGAGGCTATAATGAGGAGTTTAAAGTGAGGAAACTATTTTGAAGAGGTCAATCTCACCATCAACAAATGTAAAGAGAAATAGTAAATTTAAGTTTTAGCCATAAAAAAATTTCACTTTTGGAAAAAGCCAAAGCTTTTTTAAAAAAAACATAAAAGCCTCTCAACTTTAAAATCAAAGACATGCAAATGTAAAAGTTTCCTTAGGAAATCCAAAAATAAATAAGGGCAATTTTGTCCATTTTGGCTTCTTTTACAAAATTTCTCTCTCCTTTAGGTTTTTCCAAAGTCTCCTTGATTCATGGGACCTAAATATTTTAAATGTTTTGATGGTGGGATCGGTCTCCTTAAAAAGCCTCCTCACTTTAAACTCCTCATTGTAACCTCTCCTGTATTGCTGTGCACTTTTGTGGGTTTCTAATGAACTTCCAACTAAAAAAGTAGTTGGGTTATTCCTCAATTTGCCAATTGCTTTTGGGGTAGCAACTTCCTTCATGGTATAATTTAAGATTCATTAACTATAATTAGTTTAATTTTAAATTTTACAACTTTATTCTCAGAGGCGGTTCCAGGATTCGAAAGCCGACCAGACAAAACTTATATAATAAACTCAACGATACGATTGAATTTCATTAATAAACATAAAAAGATACACATACTAAAGGGGGACGTAATGAGCCTTACTCTCAAATGCATATATATCTACAAATACAAAAACTAAAATAAAAACCAAAAGTAAAATTAAAAGAAAAAAATAGAAATTTTGTATTATTTCACCTTAAAAAGAAAGATAAAATAGGGGACTACATTAATTTAAAAAAAGCTGGGTTTATATCAAGAGAAATGGGATGGAAGAAAATTGGCAGAGCTAGGTTTTTATTTATTTTTATGAGTTATGACTTCATTTCTCCCATTGTTTCCTTTTATAGACATCTATTATGACACCTATTTTTGGTTTTCCACCTTGAGCTCCACATCCCCATCAATCATGCTCAGTAATTTCTGAAACATCTGTCTCTGTGCAAGACAAAAAAAATTAATAATGATAAGTAGTGTAGGTAATATTTTTTTAACAAAAGAGAGAAGGAAAAGGAAGAAAAAAGAAAGGGAGAGGAGAGAGAGAGAGGAGAGAAGATAGAAGAAAAAGAATGAAAAAAGAAAAAGAAAAAGAGGAGAGATGAGAGAAGGAGAAGAAAGAAAAGAAAAAAAGAGGGAGAGAAGAGAGAAGGAGAAGAATGAAAAGAGAGAGAGAGGATAGAAGGAAAAGAATTATAATTCAAAGAGAGGAGTGTAGGTAATATTTTTTTAACAAAAATTTGGGCTGGGCTCATTTTTATTTCTAATAATCACAAATGCGGAAGAAGTCACTCATTTTGTCTATTACTGTAAAATGCGGCTATATAATCAAATGATTGTTATTTATGCAGAAAATATATATCTAGATATTTTGTAACGAATGTAATACAATCTGTTTTTTTTAAAAAAAAATTTCCAAATAATACAATCTAGTATTTCAATTGTTATTTTTTTGCCAAATAGTACTTCAATTGTTTGATTTTAGATATTGGAGTAAATTAAACACGCGAGATAAGTTAAGGTTCATTCATTGGTCTAATTTTAAATTTAAAATTTGCAATTTTATTGTTATTCTCATTTCTATTTTTAATAATCACAAATTTGGAGTACTTAGAAAAAGTACATGTCATGTGAATAACATGCGGAAAAAGTCACTCATAATGCCCATTATATTTACTGTGAAATGCAGCTATATAATCAAATCCTTGTTATATATATATATATATATATTTTATCGAATGTAATATGCTCTTGGGGTTTCAATTTGTTTGATTTGAGATATTGGAGTAAATTAAATACTGGGGAACAAATTGAGCTGATGTTGGGCAGCTCAAGGGTCGCACCTTCAGCAAATTAGGACCTCGAAGTTTATTTTCACTGACAGGGACGGCGGACCTATTAAAGCTCACAATAGTACTTATACTTTCATAACATAACCCTAAGGTTTATGTGATCCATTGGTGGCCATAAATACAAATATATGAAATCTTGATTTTAGCCTACTAATATAGAAGGCATTGTCGTAAGGAGACCGTAGCAATTTTCGGTTTATTTTTCTCATACTTGTGTATTTTTTTATAATTGTTGTAAAATTTAGGGTTTATGATTTAGAATTTAGGGCTTAGGGTGCTAGAATAGCCTCTGTAGGCACTGCATCTTGCCCCTCTGGTGAGGTTGGGTGGTGCACTCAACCTATTCGATGAATTGCCTCAACCAAAACCAAGGCTTGTTGTGATGCTCACAGTGGCGGATCCACTTAAGAGCAAGTGTAGGCTATTGAAGAGAGATGGAAGGAGAGAGAGCAATGGAGGCCCTGAAATTAGGTCTGAAGTGATGTAAATAGGAGGAATGGGAAAGAAGGCACGGGTCTTTCAAAGACCCTTTGAACTTCCAACTTATCATCAAATAAATAATAAATTAAAGCTTTGAAATTGGGTTTTCCAAAAAGGCATCTGTTGAAAATGAATGCACGGTTCTTTCAAAAACCCTTCGAACTTCCGACTTACTATTAAATAAATAATAAATGAAATTACTCCCGTTATATTTTTATGATGAAATAAACTCCCTTTTTTTCTTCAAACAATAGGAAAGATGAATAAACTCCCTAATCAAAGTTCTTTTTTTTTTTTTTTTTTTTTTTTTTTTTTTTTTTTTTTTTACTTTATATAGTTTTAAAAAAATAAAATAGATTACATAGTTTTTTTTTTCAAATTTGATTACATAGTTAACCTGCAATACATATGTTTCCGCCATTGGTTGTGGGATTTTACCATTGAAACATTAATTTAGTCCATTGAGCTTCTAAACTCTTTAGTCATCCTGACCAAAATTGCACCTTTGTGAAAAAAATTTTGGGTCCGCCAGTGGGAAGGGACCTAGAATTTCAAAATGGGGTGAGTTAAATTTACTTTACTTACAAACCTGCTAAAAGGATAGAAAACTCGATGATACGATCATATTTCATTTACGAGTGGATTTCATTTATAACAAAAAAAATACACAGAGGAACATAATAAGCCTAACCCCTCAAAATGCATATAGCACATGTACATAGAAACTAGTAAGAAAAAAAGTCAAGAAATAAACATGCAATTCAAATATAAATAACACGTATATAAGTTGCAACTTTGTTAGTCTTCATAAGTTAAAATAACTAATTATTGATTCATTATCTATATTATGAACAAATTCTATTTGATACAAGCAAGAACACCAAAATTAATTGCAAATCAAGCTAAAGGATGGTCTGCGGTGAATAGCAAGGGTTGGTTAAGCTAAAGGATGGTCTAATGCGTAAGAGACAATGATTTGTGGAGTTAGTTAATGGGATTTTATTTAGGTAGGATAGGGGTGTGTGGGGCTTATTTGGGTGGTTTGAGATATTAATTTGAGGTATAAAATATCTAGGTTAGCATGTCCATAGAACCATGCTTGTCCATGGCTGATATATGGTCGTTTGACCCCATTGACCCGCTTCGCTCTGCCACTGCATCTTATAAGTTAGGTAGGTAGACAACTAAAGCACTAATAAGGCTCCAATTTGGAAGAAACATTTTGCTCGAAATTATCTGCAAATGTTTTGCTAAACAACTTTTTATTGTTTGTTTATAATCAAAGGAATTTGGGAAGTTTTGTCATGCATTTGAATTTCAATATAATCCATTAGAGTGTAAATAACACCTGCCCATCATACTTTATTTTCCTAGGATTTTCTGTATTATAAGTGCATTGATGACAAATATAGAGTAGTAATAAAAACTTTAAAAAGGAAAGTAGTTTGGTGGTAGATAGAAAAATGATTAAATTAAGTATGCGAAATTTAGGGATAATAGTCTAAATCATATATCCCTATTTAAAAACCCTTTTATTCATTAAAATAAACCTCCTTTTTTTTTCCATCCGATGAAAAAGAAAAACCCTTTTCCTTTTTTTGAAATCTATTTATTAATTTGCAAAACCCACTGTGTCTCTCTCTGTACCAAGCTTGGAGCATCTCATCTGTATCAAGCTATCTACACCTCCTCCCATTTTTCCTTTTCTCCAAACGCATTTTGATCATCGTCACCGTATCCAAACCCTCACGCGCCAATCTTCTTCGGTTGCCAATGGATCCGGTTCTTCCGATTGCGGTGCTCTCAATTCTGATCGGCGCTGTCATCGCTCTAGCCTTTTTTGGTAACTACTTCCGGAAACGGAGCTCCGAAATTCAGTCCATCTCCCAACCGGAGCTCCAATCGGACCCCAAAAAGCAGCCCTCCAAGCCTCACCAGACCAAGAAGTCTCATGCCAAACCTCACTCTCATACCTCTGACAAGGTAACGCCGAATCGCTTTTCACGTGTCTTTAATTTCTGTGTTTGGATGCCGAGAAATCGAGAGAAAATGTATGATTTTCCGTTTTATTGAGTTGCATGTTACTCAGCGTTCTCGCCCTTATTACAGCAACACTATGGAACACTAATTTGTTGTTTTTGGTAAAAATGAGTTTGCTTTGCTTGAGGATCGAGTGACGTGAATTTGATTTTTAATATTGATCTGTTGGATCATGAAACGCAGGATCAAAATAAGAAACATCATCCGTTGGACGTGAATACTTTGAAAGGTCATGGAGATGCAGTCACTGGCCTTTGTTTCTCGTCGGACGGGCGGAGTTTGGCAACAGGTAATGCAATCAAATTTCACTTTTTTTCAAGCTTAATGCATCCCATATGCTGTCCTTTCAGAGGATCAATAGGACGTTTTCTAGTATTAGACTGAGATGCAGACCTCAATATTGCTGGTTTTGGATGATCTAGAATCGTGTATCCTTACTTGTTTGTGTCTTTGTGTACGCGAGTGCCTTGTGAAAGGTTTGTGTTGAATATAGTTGGCATGAATTCACGAAGTAATAAAATAGTTGTGAATCGTGATAAAAAAAAAATAATAATTCAAACCGTAGCAAGCTACTGAGTTGATGGATCCTTCTCCTGCTTGAGAAGTCAATCATTTTGCAACAACTTATGTGTTATATACTTGCATACTGTGGTGGATGGCTTTGATTGTGATTTGTGCTTATATCTCTATTACTTACAATTTCCTACTCTTACAAACAGCTTGTGCGGATGGAGTGCTCAGGGTATTCAAGTTGGATGATGCTTCGAGTAAAAGTTTCAAGTATGAATTTCAAGTACCCTTTGTGCATTACCACTTACCAGATAACACTGCAATGTTAGTTATGCTCATTACTTCCGTTGCTTTTCATTTATCAAATTCTGCAACATTTTCAACAGGTTTCTGAGAATTAATTTGCCTGTTGGAGGTCATCCTGTTGCAGTTTCATTTTCTGATGATGGATTATCTTTAGTTGCGGCTTCTCAAAGTCTTTCCGGTTCTTCTTTGTACATGTATGGGGTGGAAAAACCCAAACCTTCTGAGGAAGTAAAGCAGCAGCCCAAGCTTCCCCTGCCTGAAATCAAGTGGGAACATCATAAAGTTCACGAGAAATTAGGTATTCTCACCTTATCTGGGACCACCGCAAGTTATGGGAGTGCTGATGGGAGTACAATTGTTGCTTCATGCTCAGAAGGTATCTTCTTATTTTCTTATCCTGCAATAGAAATTGCACGCATGCTTTTATTCAACATGTTCCTCACTTTATGTTACTTAATGACACTTAAATAATTGTCTATTGAAAGGATATTGATTCGAGTTTCCTTGACTGATTTAATTAATGGTTTTTGAAATCTTGTGATGCTAGAAAGTGGTTGCTCAGAAATTTTGGTTCCTAGCCTTTAAAGGGTTGAATAAGGTGTACCATTAAATCCAATAAGATCGGTTCACGTTTCAGGTTTAAAAAAATAAATAAATTTGAACTCCACAAACTGAACCCAAAGTGAATGCTTTTAAAAATTTCAAGTTATGCTTCAAAATGTTTTTCCTATTCCTTTACCATACACTCCCCCACTCTGAATCAGTGCATTAACCTTAAACTCTCTAAACCTATTTTACTCTTTTCATTTTTACTATCTATGGCACCTTCTCCTGCCTCTCAAGTCACAACCTCACCTCCTCTCCTCCTCCGGCCATTCCCTCGCAATTTCCACCCTTCAGCTGCTTCCTACCTTTCTTGCAGTTTCCCCTCTCTCAATTCTCATCCACTCTCAGCATCATTGTTACAATGCCATTGTCTCGCTCTTACCTCTCTGTCTCAGCATTTCTCATTCCCTCAACTCACCGATCTATCTTTAGTCCTCTCTGTCTCTGGCTGTCATACATGCAACTGAAATAACCTTTATGGTTACACTTGTAGCAATGAATCAGTGGTATCCCTTTCCTTTTTCATTTCAATGAGTATGCTGCTGTGCTTAATCAGGTTGGCCCTCGTCGTCTTAATAGTTTCAAGAGGTCCCATCTACCTGTATGTATGTTTGTACCTCAATTACTTAAATGAGGATATTTCTTTGAGGATTATATCACCAATAAATGAAATGCATTATCTTTCAATGTTCCAGCCAGATTGTCATCTCAATCTTGATACTGTTTTTTTCCTTCTTCTTTTTTGGCTCGATATCCCATGCCCCATCCAAGATTCAGACTAGAATTTCACATTGCCCATGGACCATCAAGATTATGATCTCAATATGAATACTGGATATTTCTGCACAGTTGCCATTGATAGAATGTCCATTCCTTGTGGTTCTTATATTTTTTTTTACCTTTAGGAACTGACGTCATACTTTGGCATGGGAAAACCGGCAAGATTTTGGGGCATGTTGACACAAATCAGTTGAAAAACACCATGGCTGCTTTATCACCAAATGGGCGTTTCCTTGCTGCAGCAGCTTTTACTGCAGACGTGAAGGTATTATCTATAAGTTTTCTATTGGTTGAGTCAAAGTCCACCAGAAATATGGGGGTATGTAAACAAAATTCCAAATTGTTAGAAGTTCTGTATCTGTGTCTGCATCAGTAACTTTCTGGATGCCGTAATCAACTTCGCTGTTACTTGGCATGTTAGAGCTATAAGGTGCTTTATGGTAGACAATTAAATTAGGCTTGTTAACATCTCAGATTTTCTTGACAGGTGTGGGAGATCGTATATTCAAAGGATGGTTCAGTCAAGGAGGTCTCAAAAGCTATGCAACTTAAAGGGCATAAGGTTTCTTATATGTTTATGTACAATGCAATTACATAATCTGATTTAATGCATGTATTCACAAAACCTCTCTGTCGGATCCATTATATTTTTTAAACTAATCGAGATCAAGTTAAATGTTTAGCATTGACCGGAAGAAAAAAATAAAAAAAAGGTTAAATGTTTAGTCTGTGTTGTTGTCCCATTTCTTCAGTGAACTATATTTTTCGATGTTTTGTCTGTTTTTAAACATGCAAAATCTTTTTCTAGTTTTATTTTCTTCAGGAGATAATATATTCACTCCGAATGTAGCTTCCCACAGTCCTTGCACTCACATATAAGGAGTGCATAAAGCTACTTTTGGAGTGCAAATAACAATTTCTTAACTTTTTAATAATCAGTATAATTTGAATTCTTTGAGCTGTACAACTTCTGATTCTCTTTTTTATCAGCAATTCTTTGACTGATGCTTGATTGTATGTGCTATATCTTAATGTCATCTGGTTGTTTTTCAGAGTGCAGTAACTTGGTTATGCTTTACTCCTAACTCAGAACAAATTATCACAGCATCCAAAGATGGTTCAATAAGAATTTGGAATATCAATGGTATGTATAACTTAGTAAGATTATGCTCTGTATATTTGCTGTCTTTGTCATGTATAACAGCTAATTGCAAAAACAGCCTCCTCCCTCCATATACCCATGTAATCTTAGTCTGACACATGGAGTACTTATCAACTGCCTTATCAACACAGTAATACAGAAAGACATAGTAATCCAACTGAATAAAAATAAAAATTGAGTCGTGTTTTGCACCAGTTTCTTGTTGCCATATATGCTCAAATTTAGAGAACACACTTCCATTAATTATGCTACTTAATATGGTCGGTCTTGCAGTTGAGTTATATAATATTATGGAATTTTTATTTCTTCGCCTAATTTGGAGCAATGGTCCCTGAATTGGTTCTATACTAAATGTAACTATTCATCTGCATGGCACTTACAAAAATTGCTTAGATTTATGGGTGGGTTTGTTTCTGATAGATTGAGTTGGTATTTTTAATTTGCCATACTAACCTTCTTGTTGTCTGTTCTCTCAAAGTTCGATATCATATGGATGAGGATCCGAAAACTCTGAAGGTGTTTCCAATTCCACTTGATTTGGGTGGTGCAACTGTGCAGTATGATCGTCTTAGTTTATCTCCTGATGGAAAAATATTGGCAGCAACTCATGGTACAACACTACAGTGGCTATGTGTTGAAACTGGAAAGCTTTTGGACACAGCTGACAAAGCCCATGAAGGTACGCTTGAGTGTTGAGTTTTTTTATTCTTTATCATTTCCATGTACCTTCGTGGTTCTCTAATACCATATTATCTAATTTATAATTAACACTTAGCTTCTATATTTTGACACCCAATCTATTATGGTTCCTTAGCTTCTATAATATAACTGCTATTCAGACTGTTGTGGAGCTTTGGATTGTTATCACAAAGATAGTTTCATTGTGAATCTTCTTTAATCTTTCTTTTTCATGCAGGTGACATCACATGCATTGCATGGTCACCCAAGACAATTCCAATGGGTAAAACACTTCACTTAAATGTTTTAAGTTGTCTTCTAAGTAGGTTTTATACATCTTTCCCACTCCACTGTTGACGAGTTTGGCACAACAAAAGACAATTTTGCGAAGGGAATTTATTTTGTTAAATGTGTAAATATATGCCACCCAGCTTGTGCAGACCAATTTTTTTACCAAAAACTTGGACAGTCGAATTAATGGTGTGACATCAAGGATAAGATTGTTGATTCGTTGGAACTTGGAGAGATTAAATAATCAAGACCATCCAATTAAATACAATCTGGCTGGGAATTATTTATTTTCATTGTTGCTTCGAAGATAATAACATTGTGTTGTCCTCTCTATAGGTGATGAGAAAGTATTGGTTTTGGCCACATCAAGTATCGATAAGAAGGTAAAACTGTGGGCTGCTCCATCTCTCCCTGCACCATAAAGGAATTTTGTAGGCGTGTAACGAGCTCATGCGAGGCTTGTAGGAGCTCCTGATCTGACCTGGTTGGCAACGGCATGAGAAATGTTTTGTAAGTTCTAGGCCCTAGGTTAAGTAGTTCTAACAACTTCATGAAAGCTTCTTCTCATGGCGGTTAAAGGGTAGATCATTGAACTTGTGAGAGCGTTCATACTGAGAAGAAAAAAAGAAAGAAAAGAAAAGTGTTGTTTCACTGGTACACTTGGATTTCAGAGATTTTGGTGATGGTAAATTAATGTTGCACAAGGAACTGGACCAATTGATTGGTTTGAGTTTTCCTTTTCATGTACAGAAAGTGCTTTTACACCGAAAGTTCTAATTTCATTTTAGCTTTTTTTCCCTTCCCTGTAAACTTTGGAAAATCAATTCTCATCAAGCTATTTGAAATATATATATATATATAGATGCTTTATTGATATAAAAGTTTCATGACATAATACCACCAACACTTCTTTTACAAACGGAATTACAAAACATTATCACTTTGATGCAGAAGGGTCTTAGAGACTTTTCACCTTCTCAAGGACTTGTTTGTGAGATCGATATCCCTGAAGATTTACACAATTGTTGCATTAGTGCTACACAATTTTAACTGTTTCATTTTCAAGTCAAACAAAATTAGATAATAGTAAAAGCTAAACATGAAAGAAAGAAATCATCTTTAACCTTGTTGGTTCCATAGATGTAATCGCAATAAGTGAAAATCGATGCAAAGTTGCTTTTACTATGCTCCCCAACAAAGTGGTGGTAGTCATGGTACTCTGCACCACCATAAAATGGGATGTATTTTGTTGGAGTCCAAGGTAACAAGTACCTGTATCGTATACATATGTACGTTATTTATTGTTGGTAAGGAAAAAAATCGAATTGTTCCCTATTTTGGCATACTGCATTAGGATCTAATAACATGCCCTATTAAATTTCGGGTGCGAAGATAACTACTCTAGCCAATAGCACAAAGAAAAAAGTGTTGGCTTACTTACCCGCTATGAGTCTCAATGGCCTCCAATTGCCGCAAAATGAACCACAACCAGTATGTGACAATATGCCCCGGAACCAATGCTGGGCCGAGAAATGATGGAAGGCCCAGAATCAAAATCTCGGCCCAATGGGCATATGGTGCTGCAAGCCCAATTGGAGCAGTGTATTCGTGGTGGACCCGATGGATCTTTTTGTAGGCCCATTTTGTATGGAGCATCCGGTGGATCCAATAATTTGAAAAATCCTCTATAATAAAATACACCACTATTTGCCAAAATACTTCCAACAAGGATGGTAATGGCAAACTCGTCCGAATCCCTATCCACTGCAACAACATTCAATTCAACAAAAAGAGGTGGCATGGCCAGCCATAATGGTCTGATCAAAGGATCATGTCATCTGGTCATGGTAGAGGAAGAAGAAGAGGAAAGATATATATATATATATATATATATATTTTAAATTTTTTATTATAGAGGAAAACTTCTTTTAATAATAAATTTTCTTTAGAGGTAACATTAGATTTCAAAATTTCGAAAGAAAATTTGACGAACTAACCAAGCAATTGCTTAGAACAAAATTCATTTAACAAATAAAAACCAACTTTGTGAGTATGAAACAAAATTCCATAACCCAATTTTCCCATTTCCCATTTTTTTTTGCTTCATCTTTTTTGGAGTTTTAAGCTTAAAGCTGCTATAAATAAATACCTGGATGGTGGGGTATGAAATGACTTGCAGAGGACCAACGACAAGAACAAAGGTGCGCATGACATGTTTGTAGCACTTGAACATGTTAGAGAAACAGTCCTTAACTTTCGGTTGAATCTTGAACTTGTCCATGTTCTTGAACCAGCCAAGCCCTATGAACACGTACGGCAGAGGAGCTAAGGTGTAGAACAACATCACGAAGAGAATGTTATGGCAATGGAGGATGAAATCAGGTTTCTGAGCTGAGTATTGAAACCATAGCTTCTCTGCAACACTTAGAGCTCTGCCAAGGGCTTCCTCTGCTTCTTCAAGGCTCTGATAAGGCAGCATTTTTTTGTTTTTTTTGGTTTACTTAACTTGTGTTCAATATGTGAAGGATTTTATATAGAAGATAGAAGGAAATCCCCAAGCTATAAAAACAGTATTGGACCAAAAATAATTAGGCATTGAATGCGAACAATGCCAAATCCGGGCAGAGCTAGAAGTGCTTCTATTTCTATCTATTGTGTTATCTTTTTAGCTAATCGAGGTGACATCTATATGTCACGTGTATGGGGTCTACTTAATACCAGAGAGGTGATATATAAGATGAGTTGAGATTATACAAATAATCGATAGTGGCAGTTCTATACGTGTTTGGGTAGTACCATTTTGGATTAGTATCGTCTCTACTAGTTAACCCTAATGTAATGATCAGTGTATAACTCAATACTTAACATTAGTTCATCTATTTTTTTAATTCGTGTTTTGTTCTAGTGGCACACGTATCTCCTAAACTTCAACTCAAAATAGAAGATGTTATGGCTAAATCAAAATCAATTGATATGCACCACACACAATTAAAAGAAGGCTTAAATGCTAAAATGGTCCCTGTGTTTTAGCCCGTTGGCCAATTTAGTCCATGTGTTTTCAATTTGGCTAATTTGGTCCCTGTGTTTCGGACCATTAGCTAATGTAATCCAATCCGTTAAATTTTTGCTAAAATATTAATAAAAAATATAAATATTTGAATTCAATCTATAAAATAAATAATTATGAAATGAAAATAAGATTTAAAATCTAAAAGCAATTAAAAATCAAAGGACAACACCATTTCAGTAACACCCTTTCTCCCCAGCAACAACTCAGCCACATGCAAAAACCCCAACTCCCCAAGCCACAGTCACCCACCCCACCCCTCCCCTTCTCTCTCTCTCTCTCTCTCTCCTCTCTCTCTCTCTCTCTCTCTCTCTCTCTCTCAAGAACAATCCCTAACTCCTGACCATCTCCCAGTAGAATATTCACCATGCAGTCATCGCCCCACTCCCCCAACCACATTGCTGAGCAGCCCCACGCCCATCCTGTTTTTTTTAATCTTTTTTCTAATGCTATGTTTTAGTTCTAATGAAGTTTTAATATGTTTTTAAATTAATTTCAACAAAATTTCTAGGTTTTCAAAGGAAGAAGAAGAAAAAAAGAATTATTATGTTAATTTAACGGCAATTTTAACAGAATGGGCCACATTGGCTAACAGTGCTAAACACAGGGACCAAATTGGCCAAATTAAAAACACATGGACTAAATTGGCCAACAAGATAAAACACAGGGACTATTTTAACATTTAAGCCTTAAAAGAATGCTAACTATACCTTGGTCCTACAGCCAGGGCAGGTTAGGCAGCTGCCTAACCCAATGTGGTTTAATGAACCATTTTCTAGGTCACGCTTTAAAGGTTATAGGTGTCAAAAAATTTAAACAAATTGGAAGTGATTTAGTCATCTGATTGTTAGAAAATAGATAGCTGAATACAATATTTCGATTAAATACTAAAATTATGACAATGTTAATCAAATGAAAATTTATTTAGTTTATAAGAATGATTCTTGCATAATGATCTAAAAATGAGTTATTTCAATTACCGGACCACGTTATGGATGAGGAGAAGAAGGTGAAGAAAATGAGGTTGCTAGCATATTATCCCTCAATTTAGAAACCCCAACAAAACAAAATCAACCGTATGTGTAATTTTTGCAGCCCACCACCATCAACTAATGTAGAAGTTACTGTGGTGGTATGTTAGTGACAATTGTATATTCAATGAAAATATTGTTATAAAAAATAATAATTTTTCTTTTTCCGTAAAGCCAAATTCAAAACATTTATATTATAAATAACATATAAACAAATTGGAAAGCTTTAAAGGTATAATGAAAATGAAGAAAACAAAATAATAGGTAAGTAAAAGGAAAATAAATAATAAGTAAGAATGTGAGTTTGGTACGGTGAAGCACGTCAAATACGCTGTTCTAAAGCCTTTGTAGCCTCCCTACATGCAGGTACTGACGATCTACAAGACTCCAAGATATGACCCCTTGTGAAAATACCTGCAGGATGACTCAAAATGCCTAGAGGAGGGTGAATAGGCCAATTTAAGATTCTAATCAAATAAATAAAAGTAAACTTCGGTAGCAGGATTGATATGGCTTATCAATCCTGTAACGTGCTGGGCATAAAATAAAAGAACACGCAGAGAATTATTTTACGTGGTAAAACCCCACCTCTGGGGAAAATCCACGGGACTCCTCAGTCCAACACAAATCCACTATAGAACGATGATTACAAGAAGTACTCACACACTTATCCTAGACACATTCTAGATAATGTTTACCGACTTCTTCGTAACTCAACTTCTGTCACGGGATGATCTTCGACACTCCTTATGTTGAACGCAATACTGGCCACGATTGCTTCAAGCTCACCGGAGGAAAACCGCCACCACGGTCTTGGTGCCCTCAACCGTATGAGTCACCGACGTGCATATGAATGCAATATGAATGATTAAAGTGTTTGATAAATCACCAAGTAAACATTGAACACTTGATGATTTATCTCAAATATACGCACAACAGCTTTTCTTAGAATTCTATATGCTCAAAACAAATATCTCAAAAGCTGTGTAAATAAAAGAATGGCACATGATCTTTTATACAAGACTTGTTCTCTCTCATGGGAGAGAAACCCAATAGGCCACGAATATTAAACTTCCTATTGCACCACAACCTATCATCAATAAGAGATTTGATTCACCTTGGACTCAAAGTAATGACGCCTCTCTTTAAACCAAATTAACTAAGAGGTAAGCAACGTGCAAAGTCACAATAGGAAAAGATAATATTTTAACTTCAATTAAAATAGAGTTGAACTAGGAAAGTAATCTCAAGAGATAAAATCTAATCTTATTAAAAATAAGATTAAGATAAAAATACTTTGAGTGAAAATAACTCAAACTAGGAATCCTATAATGAATGCATGATTATGTCATGATTTACCTGAAATCAGATTCCTCATATCGGTCAAGTCATGCTTTGGAAACCTGAGATTGAAGGTGTTGCGCCAAAACGTCTAGTAAACGATATTCACACACTAACTCCCAACCTATGCTAGAGTCTAGGAAATGACAATACAAATTTCATACTAACACCTTGTACACAAACTCAAGATCCACTATGAGCACGTTCATAGATAGATATAGATATCTAAGTCACATAACCATTGCCCAAAATAATAATAATATAAAGTAGAGAATATATGTAAAAGTAGAAAATGAAAGAATTAGAATGTGTATGTGATATTCTGATAGTGTATTGTGTGTGTTTCAAATATGAAGGATGAGTGACCTTTTATAGGCATCCAAAAACATGTAACTTTCACCAACAATAAAAGTTCATGAACCAAAAAATTAAGACATTCACCAACCAGAAATAAAACCTGAATATTAAATATTTATAACCCCCACAATAAATAAAATAAAACAACCAAAATAATTAAATAAATAAAATGGTTAAAATTAGAAAACCTTTTAAAATTCCAACAAAGATTAGTGTGGCTTGTTCAAGCTTTAAAATTTGGTGTTTAGGTTGGGCGTAGTTTGGTACGATTTTTACTTCAATTGCAAGTCAACCATGCCTTCCACCACAGGGACCACATCCCCTTCTCCAAGGGGATGTTGTTGTCACAAAACTGCTCGGTCGGTATTCACGAACTTGGCAGAAAATGTAATGTCCATCACGTCGAGCACCATAGACTAAGCAAATAAAAAAGATAATAAGTGAAAAATATGATTTTACAATACTTAACAGTATAGCCGCGCGGCTCTACATATGAATATTTTAAAGGTATAGCCGCGCGGCTATACTCTTTAAATATAGCCGTTGTTTAGGCTTAGGCTTAGCCAGAAAAAGAAGGTTACTTTGAGAGAGAGAGAGAGAGAGAGAGAGAGAGAGAGAGGAAGATGAAAAGAAGAGAAGAGATGGTGCAGAGAGAAAAAAACCGAAAACGGTTTTGCAGAAGCAGCAGCAGAAACCGTAGCCAACAATAAAGGCCTCCTGGAGGAAATTCTTGTGCACGTGCCAGCTCGACCTCTGGTCCGCTTCAAATGCGTCTCGAAGCGGTGGCTCTCTCTTATTTCCAACCCCAAATTATGTGACCGGCACACCCTTCAAAACCCAAGCTCCTGCTTGGTGGCCTCCGCCGTCTTTTCTGGCTGCAGCGAAACCAAGTTGGGCTTCGGCTTCATCCCTCTCGATGATGATGATGGTCGTCCAGCCGGGGCTCCTGGGTCGCGCTGGAAACCTCCTAACTTGGTCCCAAATGAGCATGATATCAGGATTTTTCAGTCCTGCAATGGGCTCTTCTTGTGTTATCTAGTCAAATTTGCGTATTTTTATGTTGTGAACCCCACAACCAATCAGTTCTTGAAAACCATTCCTCCAACAGCGGTTACCACGCTGGCCGCTGGTCTCATAAGTTATGCTTTGGCTTTTGGTTCTTATTACCATCACATATAGAGATATATTCGTCTGAGACTTGAAGTTGGAGGCTTCTCGATTCTACTTTCCATAAACAACCTGTACACTATAATAGGCCGGTGTACAGTGTACTGCAATGGCGCAATTCACTGGAGAGGTTGGGATGCAGAGTTTCATACGATCACATGGATGAAGAGCGCGTTGGATGGGTTGATAGCCCTACTTTTTATGACCACCATATAAGGACGATAAAGGTGAGGATACATATTTTTTCGAAACTCCTGGCGGTCATTTGCATCTTGTTCGTGTTTATTGGCGTTGTCAGACTCAATTTGATGTGCTGGAGATGGGAAGAACCTACTCTGGCTGGTTTGTCAAGTACCATGTTGATCTTGTCCATGATCCTCCAATTCCCATTCCTGACCTGCTACAATGGGAAAAAAGAACTGTTCTTCTGTTTCTTGTTCCAGATCTCAATGAAAATGGAGGTGGAGGAGAGGAATGTTCATCCCTCTTGCTGCATACTCCTGGTAAGGTCATCTCTTATAATCTCAAGAACAAGACCTTCCAATCTTTCGAGTTAACTTCCAACCCCGACTCTATGACAGTTTGGGGTGGAGAATGTCGATATATGGAGACTTGTGTGTGAGTGTGAATCCCATGCTGCTGGCTGCTGATTCTCTTTGTTTTTTCTCTTTTCTTCTTTTGGTTGTAAGATGAAGAATGTTAATTTGGTAAAGTCTATGTACTTGGGTGGTGTATAATATTTGACAATTGATATCATTCTAATTATGCTATTTCATTTAATTTGATCTAAAGTTAGAATCAGACACATCAGAATCAGATAAAACAATATTATTTAAAAAAAAGAACGCCAAAGACGGCAAGCAACCCATCTCGATTATTAATACTTAATTGCTGCTTCGAGTACGAGATGGTTAGTTGGGACACTAGTATTACCATGCTGAGGAAGGGCAGAAGGTGATATAATAGTCTCCATGACGTAGTCTGGCTTCAGGGCCACCTTTTGTCAACTTCTTCCAGTTGAGATATGTCCCATTTGTGCTGCAAAAGTCTCAATTCAATCAAATATGTGATAGTTTGTATATGAGCTGAAAAACTATCATAAGAGTTGAAGCATGTTGGAGAATTAAACCAAACATGCATCATTATTGCATTTAAGAAGTTTCAATATGTTGAGTCTTTTCTTAATCTATGATTTAATAAGTTCATGTATTAATGATAAGAGAAGCCTTTATATAGGTCCTTTATCATTGTTATTTGTAGTGGTGCTGGATTATATGAAAGAGCCTATTCTTCAAAGAAACTAGTGTCCATTTATTTTTTGCTTTATTTCTCTTCCTCCTACAAATTGGCATCAAAGCCTAGTTGAAACACTTTCAATATGGCAAATGCAAATTCAAGCAACGGACACAATTCAGCTTCACTTATTCCTTAATTCAACGGTGACAACTATGATTATTGGAGCAACAATGTGAAGGTGTTGTTAAAATCCATGGAGTTGTGGAATATGGTTGAAGACGGCTATGAGGAACCTGAAAATGAACTTGCACTCACTCAAGCACAAAGAAATGCATTGAAGGAAAATCAAAAGAATGATAGTAAGGCCCTTTTCCACATCTATCAAACAATTGAGATGTCAGTGTATGAGAGAATTTCCAAAGCTGAAAATGCAAAGGAAGCATGGGAAAAAATTCAGACGACCTATCAAGGCAAACAAAGTGTGAAGAAGGTTCGACTCCAAAATTTGAGGAGAGAATTTGAGAAGTTGGAGATGCAAGAAAGTGAAAGCATTGAAAAGTATTTCACAAAGGTTACAACAATTGTTAACCTAATGTCGTCAAATGGAGAGATTTTGGAAGATGCAAGAATTGTTGAAAAAGTCCTTCGTAGTTTACCACCGAAATTTGATTATGTTGTGGCTACCATTGAAGAGTTAAATGATATTTCTGCTCTTTCCATAGAAGATTTGCAAGGAAAATTGGAGGCCCATGAAATCAAAATAAATTTGAGGAATCCTCCTCCCACACAAGCGGAACAAGCTCTAAAGACTCAAGTTACAACTACGGGAGGCAATTGAAATCAAGCTACTGGTTCTAGTCAAAGCTACGGTGCGGTCGAGGTGGTAGAGGCGGAAGAGGAAGAGGAAGAAATTTTAACTTTCAAAGTGGAAAAGGCTCATCAAACAATTCTAGTGATGGTGAGAAAAATTCCAGTTCGTCATCATCATATAGGGGAAGAGAAAATGGCTTTCAAAAAGGAAGAGGACGTGGTTATTTCAAGTGTTATTATTGTGACAAGCCTGGGCACATAATGAGAGAGTGTCGATTCAAGCAAGAAGATGAAAAACAAAATGGGGCAACTGGGTTTATGCATGAAAGCAAGGTTGGCGATGGAGAGTCCAAAGAAACTTTATTGCTCGCATGTCATGGAGATAGTATGGATGATGTGTGGTATCTAGACAGCGGAGCTAGCAAGCATATGACTGGTAACAAAAACCTTTTTTCATCTCTCTCTGAAATTGATCATGGACAAGTAACAATTGGTGATGCTAGAGCCTATAAAATTAGGGGAGTAGGTGAAGTCTCTTTTAAATCCAAATCTGGAAAAATTGAGAAGATGGCTGAAGTTTATTATGTTCCTGGTTTAAAGAGTAATTTGCTAAGTATGGGTCACCTTTTGAAGAAAGGATTTGATATTAACTTGCATGACGGCACTTGTTTTTTGTCAAAGAAAAATCAGATTGTTGCAAAGATAGGTGTTGCTGCAAATAATTTGTTTCCGCTCAGAGTTCAGACAACAAATTTGTCTTGTTTTGTTGGTATTGAGAAGGGAATTTCCAAGCTTTGGCATGATACATATGGGCATATGAACTATGCAAGTCTGAAGTTGCTGTCAAGTAAAGAGATGGTAGATGCGCTGCCTCAAATTGATCATATAGATGATGTTTGTGAAGAATGCCAACTAGGCAAGCGGCATAGGAATTCATTCCCTGCACATTCCTCATGGCGAGCAAAGAAGCCACTAGAACTTGTTCATTCTTATTTATGTGGTCAAATGTCAGTAACATCTCATGGAGGTAACAAGTATTTTATCTCATTTATTGATGATTTCTCAAGAAAAGTTTGGGTTTATTTCCTTAAAGAAAAATCCGAGGCTTTTCAAGCTTTCAAAGATTTCAAGGCTGAGGTTGAGAAATCAAGAAGTAGAAGCAATTCTCTTCTCCTTCTACCCATCAAATCTTCCCACCAAATCAAAAGTTCTAAACTTTGAAACCATGTCCAAGATCATCCCAAAGAAAAGACTTCTCAACTGTATCCCGGAAGAGGAACCAAAAGAACAATCCATCCACATGGTTCCCATCTTCTTTTACCTTCAAAATGAACATAGAGCAGTTGGTGATTATTCTTCTGGTTCCTCTTCTGGGATGCAATTGAGAAGTCTTTTCTTTGGGATGATCTTGGACATGGTTTCCAAGTTTAGAACTTTTGATTTGGTGGAAAGATTTGATGGGCAGAAGGAGAAGAGAGTTGTTTTTGCTTCTTGATTTGGGGAGGAGAGAGATTGCAGAATTGCAAAGATTTGGATGGAGAGACAGAGTGAGAATAGTAGAGAGAACAGAGCGAGTTTGTGAACTGTGAATAGAATAGCAAGCAAGTTTAAATAAACTAGAAGAAAAAAATTATAGCCGCGTTATTGAATTTGTGAAGTAGACTAGAGAAAAGAGTCGAAGAAGGAAACAAGGGAGAACAAAGATCGTTCTTGAATTAATTGAAAAATAAAAGATAAAATAGCCGTTATGTTATAAAATTAAAAGATGGTAGAGAGAATTGAGACATAGAGAAAGCATAGGAATTTGATATTTTATTGAATCTTTTTTTTGTATCTTACAATGAAGGGAGGAAGTCTACTTATAGGCAAAGTCTCTTCGCTTCCCGTGAATGTGCAATCATGTCTTCCAATATGTGGATTCCACTTCCACAACACTTTCATCATGATATTCTACATTGTTTCCAAATGTGTGGGCTCCACTTAGACTTTACAACATTCCCCCTCCAAATGTGTGGACTCCACTTAGACTTTACAACATTCCCCCTTGGAGACCACCATGAATGGAATATGCTTCGTAAAAAACCTTGCCAGTAAAACCTAGTGGGACAAAAATTGGTTGAAGGGAAAAAGAGCACATAACCATGTGTAACATAAAATTCTGTGTAATTAACTACTTACTAGAGAGTTGAATTGAAGAATACCCACCTTGTTATGTAGGTCATGAGCCTGAATGAAGCATAGGGGCTTTCTTAAATGTAGAACAAGGGCAATTTTATTTTTCAGAAACATAATTGTTTTCAATGAATTCACTTTTTTCATATTAAAAAAAATATGTGGCTAGCATAGCGTACAACATAAACATACAACATACAACATGATTCAAAACTCCTGAAGAGTGAGAGATGTATAAATTTTAAATTGAGCTAGCTAGCTTCCCATACTTCTCAGATACAAGACTACAGGAGGAAACAGAGAATCCAATCCGCTGCCCCGTCGGGCTCGGCTCACTGTTATCAACTGTAAAATTTATTCTTCTCCTTGTTACCTGCAAGAAGATATAGACAATCCAAAACTAATTAGCATATATATATATATATCACTACACAAGTTTCAGTTCAGGGAAAAGAATAATAAAGTTTCAGTAACTAATTCTGATATATTAGAACCAAATGTCACATTTTATTTCAATTTTATTGTCCAGCAATCACACAACAGTTATTATGCAGCAAATAAAACAACATGTACTGAAGCTTCAATATTTTGTATAGGGGAAGTGATAACAATATGAATGGAACTGATTAACTAGAGAATAACTTATTCTAAACAGCACCAGACTTCGCATACATTGATATACAGGCAGGATTTAGAGAAAAATCAGGACTCCTAAATAGATGCGCATACATATGCTCAATTAATATCTAAATTAGAAAATTTCGAAAGGTTGGATAACCACATTTCTTTCTGGAAAGGATCAATGGACCACTGAAAAGAGTAGTCAAGAGAGACGGATATGAACTCAGGAGATAGTAGATCAAACATTTTATACACGGTCAAGAAGCAGAAAAATATTCATGTAGAGGGCCCCCAAGTAATCTGGGAAAATGGACTATAGTCCTATTTTTTTTAGCAGAATCAAATTTTATGTTGCTCTATTTAGTTGAGGTTACTTGAGTTCATATATTTCCATTTCGGGTGTATAACTTCATATCTCTACTTCATTTTTGCAGCATATTACTTTTTTCTGCCTGAGTTGCCGTATATTAATTTCACACATGCAAGTAGGTGGATTAACCAGATCATCAATGTGTTTGCTAGCTTTACAAAAAATCAACTTCTCTTAGCTTGAAATCACCAAAACTCCATCATACAAATCAAGCATTCATTTCACCATTTTTCCAAGGTATCTATTACACAAGGAAGGTTAAAAATTGCAATCCAAGTAAACCTCGAGTCAAATGCTGAGCATAACCAGACAAGCATAAGAAACTATGGCAAACTAAGGATTATACGAGTGAAAGTATATAAGTAGGATACCAAAAATCAACATATACTGAAGCCACTATCATACAAGGACAGCCAGGTTAAATGATGTGTTGACTCTATCCAGAAAAAAAAACACAGGACCAAATCATATGTGCCTTACCTATTCGCTATTTCATTTGCTTCAGAACATGACAGCTTTGTACCATTGAGCCTTTCATTAAAGTCTTCAATAGCATGTTTTGTTTGTGCAGATATTCTATTGACCTCTACAAGCTCCCTCTGTTTAATCTCCAGAATGTGATGCAACTAACTCAGTTCATCAAGGTAAGCTCTTGCAACTGATTCTTTCAATACTTTCTTTTCCTGCAAGATTGAACAACACCTGTCATCGATAAGTAGATTGATGTACTTGGTTGTTCCAGGAAAAAGGACGAGAGAGAGAGAGAGGGGGGGGGGGGGGGGGAGAGAGAGAGAGATCACAGGTCACAAGCAGCATACGTTTTCATGACACTCAACAGCCAGACGATTCTCATCGTGCAATGTATCAATTGTAACAACATGATTTTCTAATTGCTTCCTCAATTCCTGAATATGGTAGTTTTTCAAAGAAGTTAATTATATTGAGTTTCAAAGACCAAGTAACAACTGCGATATATGTCATCAATCAATTCTGTAATATCATAAAAATGAGATACCATGTTTGACAGTTGAAGACTTCAAAAACCATCAAGAGATATAGGACCCTCAGGAGAAGCAATGCCAAAACCTTTTAGTCCCTCCATCTCAGTAACAAAATCCTCTGTACAAAAAAGAGAAAAGAGACATCAAGAAATAATGAAAAATTGTCACATACAAGAACAAATAACATTAAATTGTCCACCAGACCCACATCCACAGTCACGCAGATCATTTGATCTACCTAGAGAACACAACAAACTACAACAAGGCACAGCATCCCTACATTCTCTAATTTTCTTCTTTTTATTTGTTCGTCTTATTTCTCTAATTCTCTTTCAAATTCTTTCTCGTTTTGAAAATTTCACGAAATGAACCCATAAACCCCATAAGAAACCTTTGCCCGCAACAGTGTTGCGCAACATTTTCCAAAACTCTTAGAACAATCATACGAAAAAAATATATATATACTCCAATCTCTGCTTTCAACAGTGACAGACATAAGTATTGCTTAATCGCATTTAAAAACCTGTTCCACATCACAAATTTATCTTAACTAAAAAATATGTAGAAGCTCCTAGAGGTCTAAGGTCTTTCTCTCTCCTCAGCTTTAGGTCCTCAAAAGCACTAGTCCTTGAGAATAAAATCAATCAAGAAGACCAGAAAAAGATTGTGGAGAAAAAACCCATTTACAGTAACAATAGAGACATCTAACAGGAATCGGAGCTTTGCAGCCTGAGTCAGAACATGTCCACTACCACCATTACCAGATTCCACGATGAAGAGGTCCATCAAAGGGTGAACAGGTCTCCAATGAAATTACCAAGGAACCGGGACTCATTAGGCCAGAGAAGATACCGAGTCGTGGGTAGTTGCAGCAGTCCCACATCGACTCCAAACAAAAACTTCAATTTTTTTGCCTTTATAAATATCTTCACCCTCCGTCAAATATTTTTTCCGATATTTTAAGGTCAAGATAGATTGCTTGTTAAAGTCTTTGCTGGGCTACTTGTGAAACCCCTGGTTGGGCTTTAAGTTGAGGATTTTTTCATCTATCTCTAAATAGTTGGGCTTCTAATGAAAACCTCTAAAGTTGGGCTCCTGATGAAACCCCTAGGTTCTAATTAAAGTATCTTAACATTTCTTTTTGGACGCATTCAAATTTTCTTAACTCACTCATGGCAAACCCTAACCCTTCAAACATCGAAATCAGCGAAAACGATGAACTTCAACAGGACCAAGATGGGGATTTTGCCAAGTACCTTGCACAACTATTAGCCTCGAGTTCTAATCACAACGCTGCCGGAATTGCCGCTCAAACAGAATCGAGAGGTGTGGCAGAGGAAGGTGGAGAGAAGCGGAGAAGAATTGGAGGACCCAAAACGTCGTCGTGGGTTGGAACTGGCAGCCCAGAAGGCTCTCAAGGCAGTGAATGGAATCGGAGTGAAATCGATGGCCTATTTTGCTCTATCTGCTTGGACGCTTGGACCAATGACGGCGATCATCACATCAGTTGCCTTCCCTGTGGACATGTATACGGCATGTCTTGCATAACAAAATGGCTACAGCATAGAAGTTCCGGGAAGTGTCCTCAATGCAAAAAGAAATGCAAGTTGGAGGATATTAGGAAGCTTTTCGTATCACGGGTTGTTTCTGTTGATGAAGAAGCACGAGATAGGATTCGAGTACTTGAGGATAAATGTGCTTCTCTTGAGGAGAAGGTTGCTGATTATGCCAAGAAAGAAGCTGACCGTCTACAGAAAGACACCGAGTTTGGAGCCTGTTTGGGAATGTTTCTGGAAAATCTAAAAGTTCAACCGTTCACAAATTTTAAAATATAATTTGTAATTAATAATAAGTTTCTAGAAGCTGTATGAGTTTCGTGTCTTGTGGTATTCCTAGCTATGAGTTAATGAGGAGTCTAGATGCATCTTAATGCCATTAAATTGTAGTGGCTGCATCAGTTGTGGTGGATGTGGTGGTGAAGCCTAAAGACATCGAATGAATGATAATTTCCAGCAGTAATCTTTAGTTTGATTTGATCCCTTTCTTTCAAACAATATTCACCCACCGCACTTCCGTTCCAACAACAAAGCCATCAATGGACTTTGCTACGATTATACAGTTGATCACGTACAAGGACGGATCCAGGAATTTACTAAGAGTGGGCTACTTTTTTTTTCTTAAAGTAACTAGCATCTCTACCGCAAGTGCGGGAGACTTTTTTCCCATCACGCGCGTAGCGCAACTTATAATTTTTTAAAAACAATTTTATGCGCATAGCGTGATTTAAAATTTAACAAACAAACCCTAAATCATAAAAAGTTAACAATAGCAATTAAAATTTGAAATTAAATAAAAATAAGAAAGAAAGAAACTTACTAAGATTGAAGAACCACCGAAGATACATTGACACAATTTTGGAGAAGAAGAGAGTCACTTCTTCTTTGGTTCTCTCGCTTTTAGGCTTTTAGGCCCAAAAAAAAAATTTCGTTTGGCTTGGATTGCTTGGTTGGAGGCTTGTTTTTTGTTTGGTCAAATGGTTGGAGGCTTGGTTCTATTATTTTTCGTTGGTTTTTTTTTGGGCTTAGTGGATTCCGTATCCGCTCCTTGTGTGTAGGGTTAAAGATGGCTAAGTGGGTAGCTTCTTTTTATATTAGAGTGATAGGCTGACTTATGTATAGAGGGGTAGGCTGGTTTCTCAAATTCCTAAGTTAGCCTGCACCTTTAAGCCTATTTACTAAATCAGGATTGGGCTGGAGGGGCTCCAGCCCAACTATAGATCCGTCCTTGATCACATACTCACTTGCGTGGTGCTACCTTTGTTAGAGAAAGATTAATACAACAGATGATCAATTAAGATGGTACTAATCATAGTAATTAAGATTGGTATCCAGACTTGTTTTACCGAGCTAAGTTCGCGGATTTAGATATTAAAGATCATGCATGATCATCCAATCCAAGTTTATTTAGGGACGGGCTAAAACTAAAAATTCATCCATTGTTAATTTTTGTAGGTTTTTATAGTTTACAAATTACAGAGAACTCCTAAGTGTACGTAACAGTTGGCAAACTCGACCACTTTGCATATTTAATTGCTGATTACAAAGTAAATGATGTTTAGGGTATGTCATTACTGGCCTAATAACATCATAACAGGTCTTGTTTTAAAAGTAGTTCCTTTTTGGAATTTGACTAGTACTATTTCGAGAGTTCAGATGAAGATTATTCTATGTTGAAGGTTCTGAATTTTTTTATTTATTTTTTATTTTTTATGTACTTGTAATTTTAATCGAAGTTATAATGGAAAGTACATAATTTTTGGATTAGGCGTTGCATTGTTATTATTATTTTTAATTGCCTCTACTAGCTAAGGTTTACTACAATAACTGTTTATTGGTTTGTGAATTTATTTTATTGTTTGAAAAAAGGGGATTTTAACCACAATTGTGAATTCTATGGAAATCTTGAATATGAAAATATTATTTTGCATGAAGAGGTGGAGTATGGGTGGTGTTCAGTATCACAAGCTGAGTATGGAAGGGAAAAAGAAAAAAACTTAATAATACCACCTAATTTGGACCACAATGACGTAATCTGCGTCTTATTCTGACCAACCCATTTTAACCACAATGAAATTATAACTTTTGCTAATACTGGTCATAGAGGGAACATTGGCTCATATCGAAATTTTCTAGTAGAGACATGAAAACTAAGACTTGCCTAAGGTATTAGATTTCAAATCATTTTTATAATAATATTGCTTTTTTTTTTAAGGATAATATTGCTTGCATACAATGTTAGCGTATAATATGCAATGAAGGAAAATAAAAGAAGGAAAACAAAATACATTGCTTAAAGAGAAAAAAAGAAGTTGTTTAAATTGGAAGCTTCTAGAATATAAAGATAGCAGAAAAGAAGCCTCTAGAAAGACTAATATTATCGAGTGAGGGAAGGATATCCTCTTTCCTACCGGAAACAGGAATACTAATCCAAATGGTAAACTACCTCAATCTACCACCGCCACCCTTCCCTTATATAAACAAATAGAAACCCACAATTCTCATAACAACAACAACAACAACAAGCCTCTTGACCGAACAGACGAACAAGAACCGAACAAAAGATCGAGAAGAAAGTCAACATGAACATGGAGCCTCCAATGTGTGCGAAGGGCTGTGGCTTTTATGGCTGTGTCGAAAACAAGAACATGTGCTCAAAGTGCTACAAAGATCATGTAAAACAAGAGAATCCCAATGCTCAGTCGACCACGGTGGCTTCATCAGTGGAAAAAACTGATCTGGGTTCCATCGCTAGAGGAATTTCCTTGCTTTCATATCAAAATGATTCAGTTTCTAATACTAATGATAATATAGTGGATCAAAGAAAAACAGGTGTGAAAGCTGCAACAGAAAGGTTGGAGTTTTGGGGTTTGAATGCCGTTGTGGTGGAGTGTTTTGCGGAAAGCATAGGTATCCAGAAACACACTCGTGCAATTTGGATCTCAAGCAGGCTGGAAGAGATGTTTTGGCCAAGCAAAACCCTCTTTGCAAGGGTGACAAGCTGCAGTGCAGGATATAGAGACAGTTTATCAACATTTAGCATGTTATATATAATTAGGCTTCAACACTTGTATTTTGTGCACTTTATTTTATTAAATATAATAATAATTGAACTCGGTATCCAGACTTGTTCTTGTACCTGTTCTAGTACCTGACTAAGTTACCGGATTTAGATAGCAAAGATCATCTGTGATTACATGTTTGATTTTGGAAATAGAAATTGTTTGGCTCCGTGATTTTCATTCAATACCAATACATTATATTACACATAGAGTTCGAGTGATGTTTCTCTTACAAAGAACCGGACACAATCGACACGACATTGTTACAACAGTGACCAACGTTTTCAAATTTGATCTTATTTACATGAGATCACCCTTATTCCAGTAGAGAGATAGTGCCAAATACAAAACTGCTTTGAGGAATATGGCGGAAAAATTCCAGACTTAACGCACAGCATCAGGTTGCCTTTCTGGTGACGAAGCTTCCAACTCCGGTAAAATCTTGTAGGATTCATGCAGCCTACTTAAAGTGGGGAATTTGGACTGCACAAAAAATAAAGAAAAAAAGGAAAAACCAAAGTCACCTTGCATCTGTATTCTGTTTCCTTAGTTCATGCCATATTGTCATTTACTTGTGGGAGGCAGAATGTAGCAAATATATAAGGACCCAAATAAGTAAAATGCCAGCAGATAACAAAGAAAATTATATGAGAAAAATCAATACCTAACCCCGTTTTTCTGCATAATTAAGACACTCACATATAACGGGACCAGTCTTTTAGAGGAAGGGAGGGGGGAATAACTATAGAAACAGTTGAGAGTTGCGCCTTAAGTTGTTTGATAATATTTTAACAGAACACACAGTTTAACAGTGAACAAAATAAAGTTAACAACCAAAGCAAAGAACACAGAAGCGGACAAGAGTTTACCATGTTAATGTTAAACCTTGTAGTAGATACAAAAATCTGTGGAGCTAAGAACACATCGGCCTGCAATTAAAACCCTTTAGTTAGTCAGAAAGAGCTCAAGCAGCTGGAAAACAAAAATCTTCTATTGCTTCTAAAACTTCAATTAAAAAAAAGCTCATACACATAAACATCCAAGAATCATGGAGATATTATCACCATTTATGTCATCCACCAATATGTTGGGTTAGAAAAATTGTTGTCAGTTCACATTGGTTTAAATAATTAAGATAGGATTGCAGTTAAAGAATTGTAACAAAGAATCACAGAGCATTCAGAAGAGACCATATACACTTCATCTCCTGTGGCATATCTGCTAGCAAAATCCTTCAGCAACATCTCAAGAGCTACTGATGAGAAATAAACAAATAGAAAATGTAAGCATCAACTAGTAGCACTCTCGTGTAGTTTCACATCATGCATGTTAATATACATGCGCTTTTATATATGAAAGCTTTAATACAAGTGAAAATACAGAGTTATTTAACACTACCAGACATAAATGCACCCTGGTCTACTCTCCCACACAAGCTGCAACTAATAAGTCAATCATCAAGTGATTTTGCATATCAAATTATTTGTTCATTTGATCTCTCTCAATAATTTGCAGTCATACTTGCACATAGAAGACATAATAATAGGTGAATTGTCAATCTGCAAGTGGCTGTTGATATCCGTTGCTATCATAAATCAGTGCTAGAGAGTACAGAAGTTTAGGAATCATAAGGATGTGATTTTGTTATGACACTAAAGAAGTAATTCGCATTGCCTAGGATGACTATTATCAAATGGGGGCTTCAAATTGATCATTGCTGCTAAAATCAAACTTCTTAATTATCCAGATCCAACAACTGCATGGCCTGATATAAAAGAGGTGCACTGGCATCCTTAATATTAAATCTTACCGTACTCTAAGATCATCAAGGTAGCTATAATATGCAGGTGACTTCATCTGAAAGCATGCATAGCACAGATGACATAAAATCGGAACTAGCTTTTCTTTTCCCTCACATCTGTATTAGTGTGCGCTTTTGTTATGCAGGTGTAAGAAAACTTCAAATAAACAATGAGTATAATCCTTCTCATGCAAAACCAGTAGAGAAGCACATTTAGAAATTAGGGCCTAGCCAAAATAGACCCATACAACTAAAATAATCTAGACAATAACCCACCTATTTTATTACATTTAAATAAAACCCAATTTTGAATTGGATGCGAAAGTGTTCATATATTATGACATATTTACAAATCATGCCATCAACCCCTCTTTGTCGCAGAATATTTTTCTCCTTAAAAAAAATCCCTTAAATTTAGAATTTTAATAATGATTTTAACTAGGCATTCAACGTGGTTTCTATTTTTTTTTCAATCCATCAATTTCCTCTAAGAGTCACAATTTGAACCCGTGCATTAATTAGGGTTGACTATTTCTCTTTTTCTATTGGGGAGTTTGTTAGCATAAATGATATATTGGTCTCTTTGATAGCTGTGACATAGCATATGTGTAACAATTTTTGTATACTTAATATATCCAACATATCTAGGTACATTATAATTTTCCAATATACGTAGATAGGTACATTATTTAATATACAAAAATATAGGTATATTATTTATAAGAAAAAATAGGTTCATTATTGAATATGGTCCATTATAAGCAAATATACGTAAATAGGTACATTATTTAGTATATAAAAATATAGGTACATTATTTATAAGAAAAAAATGGTGCATTATTGAAACCATAACTAAATAAAACTGACCCACGAAACTTAAGCAAAATTGAAACACCATTATGACATTGAATAGCAAACAATTTGTTGGAAAAAAAAACGTTAAGATGCAATTAGGGTAATTTAGGAATTGAAAAAAAATATAACATTTAATATGTTAAGCTTGATTAGGCATCTTGCTTAGGTGGATCCTAATCACTGGGAAAACCCAAATTCACTATAGAAATATGTTACACAACAAGGCTAAGACATACGACCAAACTCCACTTCAAGGTGAAAGCTTCTCCTAATAAGCAGTACATGCAGAGAATTTATAATTAAAGGAACGAACATGTGCATGCAAATAATCACTCACCAAGTAAGCCTTTTTCTGTATTCAACTGAGCAAATGATAGTGACTCTTCAGGACCAACCTTTTCCTTGAGATGTGTCTACACAAACAAATGATAATAGAGTATATGTAAATACAAAATCAAGGATGATTACATACTACATAGGTACGAATGTAAAACCAAATTTCATTTTATAAATGTAGTACAAAGAAACAGAATATACCAGCGACACCATGTGAAGAGGCTGTATATTAGAGTTGATAATGCTTGCAGCCTGTGACAATATTCACTAATTGGCAACTCAGCAAGGAAAACTAAGTCCATGAAGAATTCAATCTTAACTTCTACAGAGGCTTCACCTTTCTCATTACCAGAACAAAAAAAAGCGATTTACATCAGCCTGCGACATGCTTTAATTGAAGAAAAGGAAAAAGGACATGCAAACCAGAATTTTTTTATAAAAAAGATAGGGCCTTTTGACTCCATGAGAGACTTGTTTGCAAGTCAATTTTTAGTTGAGAAACTTTTTAATACCAAATTCTTTAAATTTGATAAGGACTTCACATTTAGGACCAACTTACCTGGAGATTAAGAGCTTTTAGCCGACGGTCAGCAGGCAAACAACGGTCTCTGTGGATACTTGTCCTCCAGATACTAATTAAGAGTAACAAGAAGAGATTGTACTCAGATAACAAAACAAAAGAGACGTAAGTAAAACCTTCACAAACTGTACAATGATGGTCAAATATGAAGTATAATCTAATGAAAGGCCTTCAGGTCTATGGTTACTTGGCTGCAGATCACATGAATGAAATAATTCAGTTTCCAACAAATTACACTAACCAGAAATATTGCGTACGAGTCTGAAACCGTTATGTCACCATCAACCAACACCGGAACAAAATGAAGAGGATTCAAACGCTTAAAGTCTGCAACTCACAGATAAAAACAAGGGTTAGCTTATCAAATGTGGAAACATAGGCAAGATATATTATGTTGTCAAATTGTGAATCATTACTATGTGTTGAATAAGCATCCACCAAATCAAAAGCTTCAAATTAACCGTCTAGCAACATAACGTGCCAGACTATTTTGCAATAGACTATTTGCCCTGTTTTTATTTCAATATATAGAACATGAATGGCTTGTAATAAGCATATTTGCCCTGTTTTTATTTCAATATATAGAACATGAATGGCTTGTAATAAGCATAACATCGCTTCAAACCCACCTGGACTGAACTGCTCTCCTTTTGTGATGTTCACTGGTTATGGAAGTCCTATACATTCAATTAACAACAAATGAACAAAACCAAAAACAAGTAAATTCAATTCAATTCAATTAATATTTCGGACCAACAAAAACAAATTTCCCTAAACTTGAGTGAAATTAATCATGATTTTTAATTTCTTATAAAAAATTTGACAGAAACAAACTATAAGTCATTTATGAAAGCAAAATAAAACCTTTAAGACTTAGAGCGAAGCGGACGAACCAAGAGCAAGAGCTCTGCCAGTAGGAGTAGAGCAGGAGCTTTGAAGAAGAAGGCAATGATGAATTTTCCGACTTTTTCTTCACCAAAATTAGAAACCAATATATAAATTCATTCATACATAAATAAACAAATAAAAGAGAAGTGAAAATTAAAATTGAAAATTGAAAATGAAGTGGTACCTGCTGCTCGCTGCTGGCTTCCATAGCGCTGCTTGTCTGAAAGCTCTCAACAGTCAAAGTCTGAAATCTCAGAATCAGATTATAGTAAGTCAAACTTTTTATTTACTGCGAACTGCGACTGTTTTCCTTCTCCGCTGAGCCGTCTATGTTTATTAAATTATTAGTTTATTTTTTTTGTAAGTAATGTTTTATAGTTATTCTCCTCTTGGCCAAAAAAATAATTTTAATTGAGTTTTTCTATTTAAACTCCATATTTTTCTTTGTTCATTTCAATACTTAAAGTTATTCTATTTAAACCCGTATTTCTCTTTGTTCATCTCATATTCTAAGTTCACCTCAACTTCTAATACAAATTTTCACAATTTCTAGGAAAACTCCACTATCTTCTCAAACTATCCTTACAACACACCAAGGCCAGCAGGAAAAAAAAAAAAAAAAAAAAAAAAAAAAAAAAATAAACATCACCTCACACCCCACACCCCGTTATCTTGCCGCTCACCACTCTAAATTCACCTCAACCTCACATTACTTAAAGAAATAAAAATTCCAATAGAAAGCTAAACCCAAATATTCTAATGGAAACCGAAAGTGTGGTGCGAGCTACCTAGTGCCTCAATGGCAGGGTTCGAAACCCATTGAACACTTTGTAGTCATGGGCAAACCGAACCCTGAGCGAGAATTAATCCCACCCTTCGAATGTGCGGACACCTTGTAGTTATTAAAAAAAAAAAAAAAAAAAAAAAAAAGAAGTTTTATTTGACATGGCCTCGCTTCTCTCCTAATGCATAATGTCATGTGTTTAATATTTTATTATAAAAATAAATAAATAAATAAATTTATCAATGACATTGCAAAACATTGTAACATTAGATTCAACAAATTATTTTGATAGGAAACATTATATTAGATCTGAATCATGATTCCAAAATCATCAAATTCTACACTTTCAAGAGAAAACCCTACTCAAGTATCTCAAATTCCAAAATCAAAAGCTGCCCGTATCCTCCGGAAAATAAGATCACGACATCCTCTCTCCGTATTCTCCACCACAGCCACATACCTTCAATCAATCAAACTAAAACTGAAAAAAAACCCATTAATTAAAAGTTCAAATCAAGAATATGAAGTGGACATATAGATGTACTGGGTTAAGTATTAAGTTGAATGACATTTTTGTCTTTTTACACAATAATAAAACTTAAAACTTAATGATTTAAGTATTTGGGTGAACAAAGAAAAGTGTATGATTTAAATAAAAAAACACTACTTAAATCATTAAGCTCTTAAGTTTTATTATTGTGTAAAAAGACAAAAAATGTCATACAACTTAACACTTAACCCTAGTACATCTATACACACACTCCACCACTCTTCGTATTAAGTTTTAGAAAAACATAAACTCATCTACACCCTATTGCCAAATTTTCTCTTTCAATCCAAGAAACCTATTACACTCTCATTTTCTCTTCACAAACCTTAAATACGATATGCAAATAATGGCTTTTGGGGCGTCAATTAAGGTATGCTGCTTAAAGAGATAATTAATGTTACAATGCCATTAATTACTATAAGATCCTCAAAAGAAAAAAAGGGAAATTATAAAATGTACTAGGGAAATAATTATAAACTATATATTCTCAGTCTCCGATTGACCTCAAAACACCAACCAAGCTCTTCATAGCTTCAAGTTTCATGGTTGCCAAACTGAGGCGGTAATAATGTGGTGGAACGCGGCAACACCAGGAGGGACACCATGGGCAGTTTTAAGAAGGCCATTTACCATCCTGACAATATCAGGACAAAAGGAAAAGGACCAGGCAAACGCAAAAACTGTTAACATAAGACCAAGTAATTCACAATGCTATGAGGGTGTGGAAACAATGCAGGACAACTGCTATGCTATCGAACTGGATGGATGGAACTGGATATTATCATCAATGTTCAATGCTTTTGAAATTTTAATATTGTATTTCGGGGATACCTCTAAAAAATGTTTGATGAATTAACATCACAGTCACAATGATTGATGAATATGTCTACCAAGATCTGGGAATTAACACAGAAGAGCTTCTCAAGAACTGAAGCACTAGCTTCTTCGGCTCAAAATTGTGTTGCGCAACATTTCCAAAACTCTTAGAACAATCATACGAAAAAAATATATATATACTCCAATCTCTGCTTTCAAACCAGCTCTAAATCTTGACACCAGACTAATGAAGATGGAGCAACATAGTTGAAAAACTATCATAAGAGTTGAAGCACTGTTCTTCAACAGTGACAGACATAAGTACTGCTTCATCGCACCTAAAAACCTGTTCCACATCACAAATTTATCTTCAGGGATATCAAGGTAGGTGAAAAAAGAAGAAGAAACTAAGTTTTTAAAAAATGTAGAAGACAAGTATGGACAAGGTAAGTTTTTTCACTGAATTCAAAAGAACAAGGGCAATTTTCTTTATCAGAAACATAAATGTTCTCAATTTCATTTTGTTCATAATTGAAAAAATATGTGACTAGCAATTCTAAATGGAGCAATCCTAATTGTAGTGCCAATGTGCATGTCTCATAGAGCCAGGCATCTTGATCAAGCTCGCCCACATCACCATCAATCCCTTGTCGTGGTGAACCTTCCCCAGGGATAAATAGCATGCTGCACATAGTCAAATATTGGAAATAGCACAGATTCAAAAACCCTTCCCCACATAGGTACTGAGAAAAGGTTACCGTGGTTACTTAATTTCATACAGCACTTGTAAGGCATTCTTACCGTGGTTACGTAATATAAAGCTATATGCTCAAGCATCAAACAAGATACACCATTCAGTTCTTCAATAATAAGACAATTGGGACCAGGTTATAAAGTTTTTAACCAACTTAACTTCTCATTTTCACTTGAGAAATTAATTTTACTGGAAAGATAGCAGACTGTCAAAAATAGTAGAAAGCAGATGGTATTGCCTTTGATGTTAAAAACAATGATAAGTAAAAGTAACAGTATATTCCACTATAAGACTACTTGAAAGCAGCATCGTGATTAAGAAGGAAAAGTAACTAGTACAATCTTTAAACTTATGCACATCCTGTACAGCAACTATATGGTAAAGAATACCAACCTTAATTATTGCATCTTATATTTTTCTGCTTGATATCAGCAGGGGAGTGGAGGGAAGTAGACTTTGCTAGTGAAGTCACAGACATTTGAACCAACTACGCTCAAAGTCACCATAAAATACTGCTCCAAATCATAAACTACCTCAAATTTGTAGATAGAGTCCTGTAGAGTTGCAGTATCCTTTAGACAGTATTTCTCCTCTACTCTTGTGCTTGTAATTCGATAGGAGTCTAACCACCATGATTAAACTATCTTAAATCAAAGCCTAAGCACTGTAGCTTTGATTTCTGGTGAACAGTGGTATGAATTCTCTCAAGAAGTGTTAAAATGTGAGAATGATTAATGATGTTCAAAAAGTGCCTATCTAATTTGGATGAAATGTCATTATATAGAGGCCTGACACCTCTTCATCCAACAGTTATGTTAACTGTTTAACATATTCGAATTTCAAATTTTGGTTTTATCTGAAAAACGAATTTTCAATTAATAAAAATAAGTTATTAATTAAATCAACAGAGCCCTAAGGTCCAAGCCCATCTTTTGGTAATATATATATATATATATATATATTCCATGCCCAAACCATGAAGAGGCCCAACTTTGCCTCAACTAGGTCCATACTCTATTTAATATTTTTAAAGTGTTGGTGCTTATAAACCATGGAAGGAAACAACTCCCTTCCAATGTAGGACTAAATGCAAGTGTATTTTCCTGTACAAACTCTAACAAAATCTACCACCATCACCATTCCATATATAAACCTATAAACAAATACAACCCAACACACACATACACATACAATTCTTATAACAACAAGAAGTAGCCGAGGAAGCATTTTGGTTTTGCCTATAAATTCACTGCTATAATTTCCAAACAATTAGCAAAAGATCGAGAAGAAAGAAGCAATAATCTTTTGAAGCCAAGAAAACAAAGTTCATTAACATGAACATGGAGCGTCTAATGTGTGCAAAGCGTTGTGGCTTCTATGGCTCTGTCGAAAACAAGAACATGTGCTCAAAGTGCTACCAAGATTATGTCAAACAAGAGAAAAGTAATGCTCAGTCGTCGGTCATGGTGGTGGCTTCATCAATGGACAAACTTGATCGAAGTGGAATTTCCTTGCCTTCTTTTCAAACTGCAGATGATCCAGTTTCTAATAAAAATAATAGTGGATCAAAGAAAAACAGGTGCCAAAGCTGCAAGGGAAAGGTTGGAGTGTTGGGGTTCGAGTGCCGCTGTGGTGGAGTGTTTTGTGGAAAGCAATCTGGATCTCAAGAAGGCTGACCGAGATATTTTGGCCAAGCAATAACAATGGAGACATCTAACAGGAATCGGAGATTTGCAGCCTGAATCAGAGCATGTCCACTACCACCATTACTAGAGACGACGATGAAGAGGTCCATCAAAGGGTGAACAGGTCTCCAATGAAATAACCGAAGAACCGGGACTCATCAGTCCCACATCGAGAAGAGACCGGGTCGTGGGTTTGCAGCAGTCCCACATCGACTCTAAACAAAAACTTCAATTTTTTTAACTTTATAAATATCTTCACCCCCCATCTCGGTTCTCTACAGGGATTTGAAGGTCTGGTTGGATTACTTGTTAAAGTTCTAGCTCGGCTACCTGCGGATTAGGGTATTGAGTTTAGATGTTATTAATCTCTAAATATTTAGGGGTATTTTTCGAACCCTTGAAGTTGGTCTTCTAATGGAGAACCCTAAAGTGTCTATTTTTGGGTGGGAAGCGTCGAAAGAAAGCCTTAAAGAAAACCCTAAAGTTGGGCGTCGAAAGAAAACCCTAAAATTGGGCATCCCGCCGATAGACACCCTTGAATACAAGACTCTTCTAAACTCACTCCGGTCAACCCCCAACCTTTTGTACATCAAAGACGAGTATTTTCAACGCTGCCGGACTCATGCGGATTATTTTAAGTTCTCTGCAGATCGATTAGCCTCGAGTTCTAATCACAACGCTGCCGGAATTGTTGCTCAAACAGAATCGAGAGGTGTGGCAGAGGGAGGTGGAGGGAAGCGGAGAAGAAGTGGAGGACCCGAAACGTCGTCGTGGGATCGAACAACAACAAGAAGCCCCGACTTCAAGACTCTTCTAAACTCACTCCGGTCAACCCCCAAACCTCCGTACATCGAGGATTTTGAACGCTGCCGGACTCATGCGGATTTTGTGAAGTTCTTTGCAGATCGATTAGCCTCGAGTTCTAATCACAACGCGACCGGAATGGCTGCTCAAACAGAATCGAGTGGTGTGGCAGAGGGAGGTGGAGGGAAGCGGAGAAGAATTGGAGGACCCGAAACGTCGTCGTGGGTTCGAACAACAAGAACAAGCCTCTCGACCAAACAACAGAATCTCAATGCTCAGTCGACCATGGTAGCATCATCAGTGGAAAAAACTGATCAGGGTTCCATCGCTAGAGGAATTTCCTTGCTTTCATATCAAAATGATTCAGTTTCTAATACTAATGATAATAATAGTGGATCAAAGAAAAACAGATGTGAAAGCTGCAACAGAGAGGTTGGGGTGTTGGGGTTTGAATGCCATTGTGGTGGAGCTTTTTTTGGAAAGCAAACGTATCCAGAAGTGCACTCGTGCAATTTGGATCTCAACAAGGCTGGCAGACCCTCTTTGCAAGGGTGACAAGCTGCAGTACAAGATTTAAAGACAGATTATCAACATTTTACATGACTTGTATTTTGTGCACTTTGTTTTATGAAATATACAATGAAGAAATTGTTTGATTACATTCGTACGTGATTTATTTTCATACCAATACATTATATTGTACATATCTCTACTGTTATATAAGGCTTCACCAAAAAAGATGGACAAGAACAACCTGAAACGAAAAAACATAGACACTTTTAAACAACCCCAAATAAGCAGAGTCGCCTATGACAACACATGCAATGCAATAGTTGTACTAATTAAGCGATTAACGTTACCATATATAAATTATGAACCACGATTCTATTTACAATATTCAATAAGGTCAATCGAAGAACCAGTACTCACATATGTAATTGTTGACTCAAGTATACGGCTTCAATTCAAGCACTTTGTGCATGTTACAAATGCAAATAATAAAAATTCAACTCACTTGTGAGAGAAATAGCACAACATATGATTAGTTTAGATGGTACTAATAGCAGTAATTGAACTCGGTATCCAGACTTGTTCTTGTACCCGGCTAAGTTACCGGATTTAGATACCAAAGATCATCTGTAATTACATGTTTGATTTTGGAAATAGAAATTCTTTGGCTGCATGATTTTTATTCAATACCAATACATTATATTACACATAGAATTCGAGTGATGTTTCTCTTACAAAGAACTGGACACAATCGACACGACATTGTTACACCATTGATCAACGTTTTCAAATTTGATCTTATTTACATGTGATCACTCATTCCAGTAGAGAGATAGTGGCAAATACAAAACTGCTTTGAGGAATATGGCGGAAAAATTCCAGACTTAATGCACCGCATCAGGTTGCCTTTCTGGTGACGAAGCTTCAAACTCTGGTAAAATCTTGTAGGATTCATACAGCCTATTTAAAGTGGGGAATTTGGACTGCACAAAAAATAAAGAAAAAAAGGAAAAACCAAAGTCACCTTGCATCTGTATTCTGTTTCCTTAGTTCATGCCATATTGTCATTTACTTGTGCAAGGCAGAATGTAGCAAATATATAAGGACCCATATAAGTAAAATGCCAGCTGATACCAAAGAAAATTATGTGAGAAAATCAATACCTAACCCTGTGTTTCTGCACAATTAAGACATTCACATATAACCGGACCAGTCTATTAGAGGAAGGGAGGGGGGAATAACTATAGAAACAGTGAAGAGTTGCCCCTAAAGTTGTTTGATAATATTTTCACAGAACACACAGATAAACAGCAAACAAAATAAAATTTACGAAAGCAAAGAACACAGAAGCGGACAAGAGTTTACCATGTTAATGTTAAACCTCGAAGTAGATACAACAATCTGTGGAGCTAAGAACACATCTGCCTGCAATTAAAACCCTTTAATTAGTCAGAAACAGCTCAAGTGGCGGGAAAAAAAATCTTATATAGCTTCTAAAACTTCAATTAATGCACAGACATCCAAGAGTCATGGAGATATCTTATTGTCACCATTTATGTCATCCGCCAATAAGTTGGGTTAGAAAATTGTTGTCAGTTCACATTGGTTTAAATAAAAGGAATTAAGATAGGATTGCAGTTAAAGAATTGTAACAAAGAAGCACAGAGCATTCAGAAGAGAGACCATATACACTTCATCTCCTGTGGCATATCTGCTAGCAAAATCCTTCAGCAACATCTCAAGAGCTACAGATGAGAAATAAACAAATAGAAAATGTAAGCATCAACTAGTAGCACTCTCGAGTAGTTTCACATCATGCATGTTAATATACATATACTTTTATATATAAACGCTTTAATACAAGCTAAAAAACAGAGTTATTTAATACTACCAGACATAAATGCACCCTGGTCTACTCCCACACAAGCTGCAACTAATAAGTCAATCGCCAAGTGATTTTGCATATCAAATTATTTGTTCATTTGATCTCTCTCAGTAATTTGCAGTCATACTTGCACATAGAAGACATAATAATAGGTGAATTGTCAATCTGCAAGTGGCTGTTGATAGCCGTTGCTATCATAAATCAGTGCACGACTATTATCAAATGGGGCTTCAAATGGATCATTGCTGCTAAAAAACTTCTTATCTATCCAGATCCAACAACTGCATTGCCTGATATAAAGAGGTGCACTGGCATCCTTACTATTAAATCTTACCTTACTCTAAGATCATCAAGGTAGCTAAAATATGCAGGTGACTTCATCTGAAAGCATGCATAGCACGGATGACATAAAATCGGAACTATCTCTTCTTTTCCCTCACTTCTGTATTAGGTGCACTTTTGTTATGCATGTGTAAGAAAACTTCAAATAAACAATGAGAATAATCCTTCTCATGCAAAACCAGTAGAGAAGCACATTTAGAAAGCAGAATATGTTACACAACAAGGCTACGACATACGACCAAACTCCACTTCATGGTGAAAGCTTCTCCTAATAAGTAGTACATGCAGAGAATTTATAAGTAAAGGAAAGAACATGTGCATGCAGATAATCACTCACTGAGTAAGCCTTTTTCTATATTCAACTTAGCAAATGATAGTGACTCTTCAGGACCAACCTTTTCCTCAAGATGTTTCTACACAAACAAATGATAATAGAGTATATGTAAATACAAAATCAAGGATGATTACATAGGTACGAATGTAAAACAAAATTTCATTTTATATATGCAAAACAAAGAAACAGAATATACCAGCACCGACAACATGTGAAGAGGCTGTATATTAGAGTTGATAACGCTTGCAGCCTGTGACAATATTCACTAATTGGCAACTCAGCAGAGAAAACTAAGTCCATGAAGAATTCAATCTTAACTTCTATAGAGGCTTCACCTTTCTCATTACCAGAACAAAAAAAGTGATTTACATCAGCCTGTGACATGCTTTAATTGAAGAAAAGAAAAAAGGACATGCAAACCAGATTTTTTTTTTTTAAAGATAGGGGCTTTTGACCCCATGAGAGACTTGTTTGCTAGTCAATTTTTAGTTGAGAAACTTTTTTTTATACCAAATTCTTTAAATTTGATAAGGACTTCACATTTAGGACCAACTTACCTGGAGATTAAGAGCTTTTAGCCGAGGGTCAGCAGGCAACAACAGTCTCTGTGGATACTTGTCCTCCAGATACTAATTGAGAATCACAAGAAGACATTGTACTCAGATAACAAAACAAAAGAGACATAAGTAAAACCTTCACAAACTATACAATGATGGTCAAATATGAAGTAGAACCTAATGAAAGGCCTTCAGGTCTATGGTCACTTGGCTGCAGATCACGTGAACGAAATAATTCAGTTTCCAACAAACTACACTAACCAGTAATATTGCGTAGGAGTCTGAAACCACTACGTCACCATCAACCAACACCGGAACAAAATGAAGAGGATTCAAACGCTTAAAGTCTGCAACTCACAGATAAAAACAAGGCTTAGCTTATCAAATGTTGGAAACATAGGTAAGATATATTATGTTGTCAAATTGTGAATCACTACTACATGTTGAGTAAGCATCCACCAAATCAAAAGATTCAAATTAACCGTCTAGCAACATAACGTGCCAGACTATTTTGCAATAGACTATTTGCCCTGTTTTTATTTCAATATATAGTACATTAATGGCTTGTAATAAGCATAACATCGCTTCAAACCCACCTGGACTGAACTGCTCTCCTTTTGTTATGTTCACTGGTTTGTACTCGTACGGAAGTCCTATACATTCAATTAACAACAAATGAATAAAACCAAAAACAAGCAAATTCAATTCCATTAATATTTCAGACCAACAAAAACAAATTTCCCTAAACTTGAGTGAAATTAATGATGATTTTTAATTTCTTATAAAAATTTTGACAGAAACAAACTAAAAGTCATTTATAAAAGCAAAATAAAACCTTTAAGACTTAGAGCGAAGCGGACGCGCCAAGAGCAGGAGCTCTGCCAGTAGGAGTAGAGCAGGAGCTTTGAAGAAGAAGACGATGATGAATTTTCCGACTTTTTCTTCACCAAAATTAGAAACCAATAAATTCATTCATACATAAATAAATAAATGAAAGAGAAATGGAAATAAAAATTGAAAATTTAGTGGTACCTGCTGCTCGCTGCTGGCTTCCATGGCGCTGCTTGTCTGAAATCTCAGAATCAGAATAGCAAGTCAAACTTTGATTTACTGCGACTGTTAGCTATATCATATGCAAAGAACCGCGACTGTTATCCTTTTCCGCTGAGCTGTCAATGTTTATTAAATTATTAGCTATATTTGTTTTTGGCAAGTAATGTTTTATAGTTATTCTCTTCTTGGCCCAAAAAACCAAATTAAATTTCCCTCCCAATCTCAATGTGTAATTTTGCAGTATAATTTCATTTAGACCCTCCGGGGTTTGGCGTAATTACGATCAAACCCTACAAGTTTTGGAAAAGGTTTATATGGATTATTTTTATTTGTTCCTTTTCTTTCGGGTGCAATATATGGGCAAAAAATTTACTAATTTAACATCCGAACTAAGGGGGTGTATTCAATTAAGATTTTAAAAGAGTTAAATGGAGTTATAAAGTTTATAGAGTTCAATATAGTTCAATTGATTTATATCAACTCCACATAGAGTTTGATTAAATTCCTAGATTGATTTTAATGGTGTTTGTTAGAGTTTTATCATAGATTTTAAAGAACTTATAATACCATATGCAAAGAAAAAAAAAAAAACATCTATTTTGTTCAAATGTGCAACCAAATAAGGATTTATGTTTGCATGTTTATGAAAAATGCGCAAAAGTAATTTCATGTATAAAAAAATGATAAGTAAACTATAATTCTAAATGCATAAAAACGAATAAATATCTGCTTCATTGCTCATCTTTGACTCTCATCATTCATAGCATCTCTCCACATATTTGAAGATATCCCAACCCTCCATTGGTAATTAGCATTCTCGCGTTGTTGTTCTTGGTTTTGAAAAACTTGATCATAATTATTTCCCTCATTTTCTGGTGATGATGACAATGTTGAATGCTCGTTATCTTCTTCAATATGAAATTTATTAGAACGACACTCCTTGCAGAGAAAATTGTGCAACCCTGCTTATGTTGCCATCAACAATATCTTAATGGTTTCAGAATCATGTTTGTCTAATTCTTCGTCGTCCATTTCCTCTTCTTTTTCTTCCTCGTTTTCTTCATTCCATTGTACTTCATCTACTTCTTCCATCTCCATTAATAACAAACAAAAAATCTGAAGTGCACATATAACATTGTAACACAAGCAATACTCATAAGTTAAAACAAATCTGAAGACAAAACTATATAGATTGTAACATTAAAACTATATAGATTAAAACAAATCTGAAGATAAAACTGAAAAAGCATAAAGGCACATAAAACTCAAGCAATACTCATAAGTAACACACATAAATAGTACCCAAATAATTAATTCTAGGCCAAAGTTCAACAAATTCCAAACTAATAAAGTCTTAACACTTCTCCAAAATTCCAAATCAAAGTCTTAAAAATATTTTATACCAACATGATAAAAATAGTTTAAACCAAAGTTTCAACATAATCTCAAAGAACCACACTCATTCCATAAATAAATTCTCTAATTTCACCCTTACCGTTAGATTTCAGATTATTCCATCCAAAGTTTCGTCAAAATTGACACGTGAGTATCACGTGGGACAAATTTGAGGGGCAATTTGGACCTCACATGAGTGGGACCCATATCAAAGCCAAATCATATCCATCTCCTTTAGAATCCCCAAATCAAATTAGGGATACAACTCAAAACATTCAATATAGTTCAGGATTTAGACTTCATACCCAAAAAGATCGTATATTTAGGGCAGAGAAAAGTCAGAAAGGTGCGATTGTGGTTAGACATTGGGTTGGGTTGAGAGAGGCAACTGCTACAAAGATGCCTCTGAAAGTCAGAGATGGTGGGGAAGCTCTTTTTTTTACAGTAAGTGACTTTTTCTTATTTTCTCTTTTGTTTGATTCCTTCATCTTTGCTCTTCTTTCTTTTCTTTGATTTTTTTGTCTGGGTTTGATATCGTATTGTAAGGACATAAAACAATTAAGCATGTGATAATGGTCTTACGTTTGTCGTGTGGTTGATGACAATGCCTACATAAGATGACAGTCAAGATGCAGATAAGGCCTCCATGTATAGGGGGTAATGTGCATTGGATTGAAGGTCAAGATGTAGATGAGGCCTCTATGCTAGAGTTATATAGTTATGTTGTACACTTTGGATATGACTTGAATAATGTTGACTACCTATTTCAAACATAGGACAAGGGATTGGGTTCAGTTAAAGGAAGACAAAGATTACTTGGCAACTATTAATTTGGTTAAAAGTAAACACCATTTTGCCTTATACCTATCTGAGAAGATAGTAGTTGACCCCATATGAAAGTGAAGCAATTTTCTTACCTAACTCAAATACTAAGTTTGAAGATGTGGATGTTGAGGTTAAAGATGTGGGGGAGTATGAATCAAATGCTGAAGAAGAAGATGTGAGGGAGTATGCTGACGTTGAAGATGTAAGGTCGGAAGAACAAGAAGAAGAGTATGAGGGAGGAAATGGTGATGCTGAATATGTTGAGCAAGATGTTGAGGGTAATGGAGAAAAAGTAAAAGATGGAGAGGAAGAAGAAGATATAGAATACAGAGAAATTGATTTTGAACAAACTGACGAGGAAGATGACAATACCTTTCATAGGTATGTGATAATTGAGGATGTTGATGATAAAAAAGAACCAGGTGAAGTTGAGACTGATGAGTATGACACATAGGATTTTGAAAGTCTGAGTGAAGGAGAAGAGGCTGAAGAAGAAGGTAGGAAAAGGGGACTTAGAGCTCCAAAGTTCAAGCAATACAATAAGGAGCATGATTTATTGGATCCAAAGGTCCATATGGGGATGGAATTTCCTACAATTCAGGATTGGAGACGAGCTATTAGATATTATAGTATTGCATATGCTAGAAAGATAAAGTACTTGAGGAATGAGCCTTATATGGTGAGACTTGTTTGTGATGATGCACCCGAGGGAAATGAAGAGTCAATTAAGGATTTAACAACAACAACAAAAGATAAGGCTGAGGATGTGACCAAAAAAAGATAAGGCCGAGGAAGAGGATTTGAATTAGGCTTGTCCACGGATGTTTTTTGCTTCATTGGTTGGCAAATGACCTATTATGAGGGTCAAGACCTACAATCCAACCCTTACTTGTGGTAGAGATCAGACAAGTAGGTTTGCCACATCAAGTTGGTAGGCAGATAGGTTTGATGAGAAACTAAGGTCAAATCCAAAGATGTAAGTACCTGATTTCATGAAATTAGTTAGGAAAAACTGTTGCCTAAATGTCTCTAGGGATCAAGTATACAAGGCTAAGCAACAAGCTAAAGACATGATACAAGGGAGTATTGCAATCAATATGCTCGGCTGTGGGATTAATGTGAGGAATTGAAAAGGCAAAATCTAAAAAGCACAATTCTTGTGAAGACTTCATTGTAACGGAATGATCCCATTTTTTAGAGTTTTTACATATGTCTTGCTCAGTTAAGAAAAGAGTTCATAAATGGGTGCAAGACAATGGTTGGGTTTGATGGGGCACACATTAAAGGAGCTCACCCATGTCAAATACTAAGTGTTGTTGAGATTGATGCCAACAATGATGTGTTCCCAATAGCATATGCAATTGCAGAAACTGAAATAAGAGTTACATGGACCTAGTTTTAGAGTTATTCTTCAAGGATGTTGACATTATAGCAAGTGGAGCTGGTTGGGTGTTTATTACAGACAAGCAAAAATGGTTGAGCCAAGCAATTAAGAACTTAATGTCACAAACATTTGAACCAACTAGGCTCCAAGTCACCAGCAGTTCACTGATGTACGAATGTGGTCATTGCCACAGCCTTGAAATTGTAAGAATGTGAAGGTAAAAACTCCAATATTGTAACATTGCAAGGGCTTATAAGGAATTGGGCTACTCCCCCCATTGCCAATTAGTTTTGGGGTGGAACCTCAACTTCCTTCATGGTATCAAAGCCAGGTTAGCCCACGTGTGAAAGTCCAACGACCACACATGTTCCACGTCACCCAATATGGGTTATCCATGTATTAGGCTTGAAGATTTCGCCACACCTGTAAAGCGTGTGAGACTGTGAAGGTAAAAAGTCTCACATTAGAAAGTTAGAAAACCTTTCAATGGCTTGTAAGGAGTTAGGTTACTCCCCCCACTGCCAATTGGTTTTGGGTTGGAACCTCAACTTCCTTCATGGTATTAGAGTCAGGTTAGCCCACGTGTGAAAGTCCAACGGCCACACGTGCTCCACCTCACTCAATATGTGTTATCCATGTGTTAGGCCTGAAAATTCGTCACACGTGCAGAGGCGTGTGAGAATGTGAAGGTAAAAAGTTGCACATTGGAAAGTTAGAAAACCTTGCAATGGCTTATAAGGAGTTGGGCTCCCCCCCCCCCCCCACTTGCCAATTGGTTTTTGGGTGGAACCTCAACTTCCTTCATGGTATCAGAGCCAGGGTTTAGGGGTTAGGGTTTATCTCCTCCTTTGGCATTTCCTAAACAAAACACTAGATTACTTATCAGACATGTTTACAAGAAAAACCTACACAACCTACTTTACTTTGTCAAACAGATATTCAGTCCTTGTAACGTTTGCACACCAACAAACAGACTACCAGTGAAGCATAACCAGAACTTGGCACAATTAAACAGCAATATTTCATATGTTAGGAGGTTAAGCAAAATACTACAAGTTTTGATCCCATTGACAAAAAAAAGTAATCTCCCCCTAAATTTCATGTTTCTACTTTCGAAAGTTACTCCTCCTAAATCTCATATGTAATACAAAATATTATCCCTTTTTTGTTTAGGAAATCCAAAGGAACACATAGATAACTTCAAAAGAGAACGAATCCATAAGCACAACAAATGAACCGTAGATGCTGCGAGCTCGAGGAGGATGAGGAGAATCAATGGGCTGAATGTGCCCAGCAAATGACAGTAACAGCTCACTATAGGTATCAAGACGATCCCAGATGCGATGAAGAAGCGCATGCATCACGTGATGGGATGTAGAGAGCGAATCCATAAGAGCATGTTGCTCGATAGAGAAACCACCAAAAGTACAGTGAGCATCGTTGTTATGTAAAGTAACCTGGTTATTGACTTTGATGGTGTCGGACGATCCAATAGCATCTATAGACAGTGTAGGGACACCAGCATGAGCAGCCAAGGCTGTGATAATCTGAGGTAGAATAACGCTTGCTGTCAGAACAGTGGCATTTGTAGCACTAGCGACAATGAGGCTCTCACGAACATAGAACTTAGCACTGACAGATTGCTCAATCACAAGCTGGAAGAGATATGAGCAGCTTTCCAACTCACTTTCCCATGCTAGGAAGTGGGATTCAGATAATTGTGCGCAAGCATATACAAATACAGATCTACTGAGACATCATACTAGAGGAGAGCTCGACGGGGAGCGTCTCGGGAGAAGACACATAGAGTCAGTTCACCAGTTGACGGTGTGGAAGAAAATCTGGAACTAGCTCACACGAACTACCCGAGTGAATAGGAGTCAAACTAAGGGCAGCCGAAATAAAGTGAAAACTAAGCGGAATCGCAATCCCACGCACACATAACTAATCCAAACAGAGCAGCAGTGGCAGTGGAGACATCGAGGAAATTGGCATAAAACTTACAAACAATCTGGAAATTTGGCATGGGCAACCCACAAACCAATGGCAAAAGACAATGCCTCGTGAGAAAATCAACAAATGTGGGGCCGAAGCCAGAGAGATCGAAGTCCTCTTCAATTAACATAGGACAATGACATACCACGTCTGTATACTGGGTGGAGCACGCTTGAGAAATAAAGTGAGAGACCGGTGGATGAGGAGACGTTCTACCCACTCCAACCAACCCTGAGTGATGTGGCATGGATATTGAAAAAACAAAGGGACTGCTGGAAACATGCCTCTTTTATACAGTACCTGAAAACGGACGCGAGATTGATGACGGGAGTAGTTTTCAGCATTAGTTGCATGCCTACGACAAGATCCTTACGAGCATTCTTAAGCAACAAGAGTGGCCGTCCCTCTTCAATCAATCATCCAAAGTATATAAGTGTTAATTCATGATGGATAGAGGACCAATTAGTGTCATGTCAAAACTCATTAGATAGCAAATTCCTGCAAAAAAGAAATAAATGATAAGTGTGCAACAAATAATAACCAAATAACCCCTACACTAACATACAAGCAACATGAACGCCATAAGCTGACTACGAAGTTAGACTTCTTTTACAACGAAGTATTGCACATGGCTTAAAATACACTTAGGCAATCTCTTGAATTTTTAGGCCTTAACAGGAGGTTAGCAAAATTATTTTGGGAGACAAAACAACATGTGAGGTTTTGCTTAGCCTCCCATAAACAAACAACATTAAAAAATTTCAACAAAAATCTTCGATGTAGTGGGTTAAGGGTATGGGTGAGGTAATGGGTGAATCCTTCTAAGAAGACTACACTGGTCTTGGCCCTAGGTTTCTAGATGTAATTGTGTTTTGCAATGCTTGGATCTTGTCCAAGATCCACTTTCATAAGAGACAACTTCAATCTTTTATTGCCTTTTGATTCCCATGCTATTCATACTTCAGTCTTTCTATCTTTTACAAGCCCAAATCTTTAAGAAGACTATAGGTTTCTATTCTTTGTTCAAGCCTCTCTTTTATAGCATTCCAAATACAAACCTATTTTCTTGATGTGTTTTCAAAACACACCAATCCCTTTGACTGACCCATGATATTGATAGGTTCATCAGGGTAGTTGGGAGCGGCTGTGTTGTCCTTCAGATGGGTCTCATCCTCTTTCACCTTCAAAATGAAAGGTGCACACTATAGATTCTCGGCATAGACATACACCATTGGTGAAAAGTCATTGCCCTTTTCTTCTTAAATTGAATGACATGTTGGTTTGGTTCATCTTCCTCCTCTGGGATATTGATGAAAAGGCGCCTTGTTGTGTTTTTGTCTCACTATTTTGATGTAGGGATGTGAAGGAAGCAAGCAACAACAACAAAAAGATGAGCAAAGGTAGGTTGCACAAGGACTCCTAGTTGCTATAAGGTTTTTAATATATTTTAAATGGGTTTTCATATTTATAGCAACTCTAGGACGTAGCTCATATTGAGTGAACCTCGTCAACAAATTCTTGTGTTGTTGTGTGTTTGTTTACTTTTGTCTTTCTCAATCGCGTCTATATTGTTTCACACTTGTTCTTACTTTTGTCCTAACACCTCAATAGGTGGTTTTGCAAAATGCAAGAAAATAAAACACATCTAAATTAAATTATTGCCTAGAATTCTACTTATAGTCAAATATATTCAAGTATGACCAGAAATATGGATCCAACCATATACCACACAATGTCAAGCTCTTTACACTCCCTCATGTAAAGGAATTAGAGCATAAATGATCCCAATTACTATTTTCTCTAATTACTTTACTAATGTGATATATATATAAGTTTAAGAGCATTCGCAATGCACTCCTTAAACCACCTCCTTAATAAAATTTAGGGAGAAAGTAAGAAAACCCACCTCTAATCATGCGCCCTATCCAACTCCTACAATAGGGAGACCTCTAGAGCTCCTAACTATGAGTAGAGAGAATGAACTCCTAGTGTTTCCTTACAATTTAATGAATATTTTAAATCTTTAATTAATATTGCCGTGTATATATTATATATATTATTATTATAGAGATGACCATTTATGTTGAATTCAAAAATAATTATAGCATTTATAACTTCCTAAATTAGAAAGTATGATTGAAGTTGAAATTTTATAGAGAGCTCCTAAAATAGCTTTGGTGTATTTCAAGTTAAATTTTAACTAAAAAATAGAAAACATAATTGTGAATGCTACATGTCATCAATGTTATGATACTATCAATATTTTGACTTTATAATTGTCAATATGTAATTGATACATCGTTCATACTCATAGAGTTGTCTACACTCTTAATTAATTACATTTGAAGACAACGGGTGTTTGGCACATAAAAAAATAAGTCAATCCAACTAACATCTCATTAGTATCCACTAAATTTGTTCACCTAATATTATTGAAAGGTTTATCGTTTTTGTTGAAAAGATAAATTCGCGTTTCTCATAACTTTTTTATTGGACAAAGTCTAAAACTAAGGCCCCGTTCGGTAACGTTTTAAGGGGTTGTTTTCATTTTCAAAAAACAAAAATGAGGTAAAAACACGTTCGGTAGCTCAAAAACAGAAAACACTGAAAATGTTTTCATAAAATGAAAACAAGTTCATGTGTACTTGTAGAAAACAGAAAAAAGTTGTTTTCATTCTCATGGGAAACATTTTCATAAAAAGAACTCACATATTATTATTTCAAATTGTACTACTAGACACGTTTTCATTGTTTTTGTTTTTTGAATATGTTTTCTAATTAATCTACCAGATGCATTTTCATTTCCTAAAAATGCAAATTTGTTTTCTTGTTTTCATTCTCTGGAAATATTTTAAGAAAACGTTACCAGGACGAGCCCTTAATTTTCTGACAGAAAAATAAACTAATTTGGAGCGTCACTCAGCTCCCGCGCTGCGGTGTGTGCTTCAATCACCCATTACTGAGGTAATGTCCTATTAGGACTTGCCATGTCAACAACAGGGGTCCCACAACAGCCACCACCGTGAAATATTTGGACTTTCGAACTTTTCTGTTCTACTAGGGCTTTAAAGAAAGAAAGACGCTTTTCACTTCTCAGCAGGGTTTAAGAACAGAGAAGCAGCAACCGGTTTCTTCTAGGGTTTTATGAAAATTCTCTAAGTGAGCTCTTATGTTTTCTCTGCCAAACACAAATGGCGTTTTGGGGTGAGTTAACCTTCTTTTTTTCCAAAAACAAAAAGAAAGGAAAGAAATGAGCATCTTGATTTCTGAAACTATGTCAAAGAAAAACTGGAAGTACAAAAGAATGAATCTTGTGAACTATGATGAATTGGTTGAAGGCTATTCGGTTCTTTCAGGTCTCAAGAAATTGAATTTTATAATTATTTTTCCCAATTTTAAAGTTTTAGTAATCTTTTGGTTTTTCAATCTTATGTGTGGTTTTGATTGTTGCACTGAGTTCTCTTCAATAATGTTCCACATAACAATCGACTTTCTTCAATAATGTTCCACTGGGTTTTCAGTCTTATGTGTGGTTATGATTGTTGCAGGAACTGAAGTGAAACCCGGAAAGCCTTTCACTCATATCTTTGATGGCTTGAAAGGACGGCTTCACATTTCAGTGGTAATGCATTTAATAGAATGAGTTCTTGGTTTTCTTTGTTTTTTAAAATTCTTTCAACTTTTTATGCTGGGAATTTACCAAAGATGGGTTTTGTGACGATGCCTATGGTTCATTTTCTAGGAATTTTTTTAATAGAAACCCTGCCTTTTTGTGGGTTTGGTTAACTTTGTACTAGAATTTAGTTCTAATTGTATATATGTGGTGTGAAAGTTGAATAGGTTTTGATTTTGAGGTATCCTGAACTTGGTTTTAATTGTTTGGGTCAATAATATAGATAATAATGTATGTACATGTTACTATACACAGGCAACATTGGGGACTGGGACAGCAACCAAAAAAAGCATACTTCAGTGTAATGTAGGAAACAAGAGTCCAGTTTACCTAGCTCATTGTTTCCTGAGAAGCTGAATCATTTCAAATAATGTGGAATTTAGGAGTCTGAAGAAGTCATCTTCTCAGTTATTGGTCCTCGGAGTGTTCACCTCTCTGGCTACTATCTTGGTGGTCATCGGCATCGCAATTTAGATGATAATTCGTATCCTTTTGTTGAGTTGGGTTACTGTTTAGGCATTATTTTTTTCTCTACTTAATATTTTGGTAAAAAATTCTATGTTTTTACTGCAGTACTACCTAATTAGGTACTGAGAATGAAAGAAAATAATTATAGGATTTGTTGTTTTTTTTTGGTTTCCAACAATGGGGACCCAAGTGACCAGGTTTATTTTTTCGGTTGATGAGGTTTATTTTTCCTATTTTTCGCAGCAAACTAGGTGGTTCTGTGTTATGGACTTTTTTGTGGTTGCAAGTTATGGGCATTTTTCATTGTCTGGTTCATATGAGATTCTCTTCTTTTCCCTTACTATGATGCCAAGAGAATCCTATGGGGAAGATATTGCTGACTCAGAAACACAGAGATCCGTTAACAGTGAAGAAGATAAGTATGATGATAGTTTTATTGATGACGATGACCCGAAGTTTACCCATCTTCTCCTGTTTCTGATAGTGGAGGTACGTGTTACCAAAATATTTGCTTTGAATTTCCCTCCACAAATTGTAGCATGCATGAGTTTTAAAGTGTGGTCAGTGGCAGTAGCTCTATGGCATTATTTTGGTGTTTGTTGTAGACAACATACTCATGTTCATCTACATTGAGTTTAGAGGCATATTTTACCTTTTTTGGTCTCTGCGTCACATGCTCAGCTTGCTGCCTTGCATCTTTAGTTTTTCTCTTCTTTTTTTTTAAGTCAATGGCCCTTAGAGATGCATCATTGATGAATTTTTGCAATATATTCTGAGATATTTGCTATATCTGTATTGTAGATTCTGATTCTGGTTATCTAGAGGAGGTTTTGAATAAGAAGAGACCTCAGAATGGAAGGGCGGCCGCAGACGACTTAGAAAGATGTACCAATTGAGTGAGTCAGATGTGGAAAGTGAAGATGAAGACAGATGTCCGATTGCCTCTTTGAAGGCAAAATACGCTTCAAAGAGCACAACAGAGGAAGTGGAAGAAAAGTTGAGAAGAGAACCATTGATACCAGCAGCACGAAGACAGAGGATGGTGTCTTTAATGATACTGAATCAATCAAAGATGGTGATGATGTGGATATAGGTGGTCAGTCGAAAAGGTATTGTCCTGCTTAACAAGATAACCATGGCAACTTCACTTGTTTAAGAGAGTTATCCCTCTATCACAAACTAATTTTGTGCACTCATAATTATTAAATTAGATAAGTTTATTAGATCTTATAGCTTGTTAGTGTTTATTGTTATGCAAATTGAACACAAGAAAAAATATTCAAAAAAACACAGTACAATCAACTACCAATATCCTGAGATTTTCTGTATTACAGCATGATAAATGAAGCTTAAAAAACCAAATTATATTTCCATTTACCTTTAATGCTGGCATTGATATCTTCTAAATCATATGCTAGCTTGGGTAGAGGCTTGTCTGACATCTAGATTGCCAAATTGAGTTATTGATCCTTGTTTGTCGTCTTGATTGCAAATTAAAATGCAGGCAATTTGACCTTCCAGTAGATCTAGTGCCACCTTCTGAAGTAGGCCCTGAAAACGGTGGAACACCAAAGAGAAAAAGGAAAGAACGGCCAAAGGAGGAGAAAGCACTTGAAGCTGGTCTACTTGAAAACGAGGATGAAGCCCAGAAATATGAGGCAAGAGCTGACAATAGGACCCAGAATTTTGTGTGTGGAAGATGGACAAGAGCCTAAGGTGTCCAACAATAGGTGAGTCCTTTTTGCTTCCTTTGCCTCGAAGATATACATTCTCATGTCCTGATACTTTGTAGTGTGCATACTATGTATTGCAGTTGGGGAATTTACTGACATTGATGTTTGTTGGTCTTGATTTTCTTTATGTTATTGATATGTCCAAGTAGTAAAGCTAAAGTGCCAGATAATTTCTCGAAGCCTTTAACAGAGGTCATCCCCGAAAATGGTGAAAGACCAAAAAAGAAAAGGAAGAAGAGGGTGGAGGAGAAGACATGTGAGGTTGTCAGCACTAACCCTGATAATGTTGTCAAAGAGGATAAAGGCCAGCAGGATGAGTCAAAGGGTGACATGTGCCAAGATCTGCCAGTGAGAAGTGAACAAAATCAGAAGTCAGCCAGGATGGGTGAGTACTGTTATGTGGTTTTTCCCTTTTGTTATTGAAGTATGCCAAGATATGGAACTTTTGCCCCAGGTTTATCTCAATCCCACAAGATATTTTCTTCTCGTCCCTTTTACCTTGATCTTGGAAATAGCATGACAGGACAAGACCAAGGAAATGGATTGTGTAATGATAATATGCACATCCATATCAGGCCTTTTGCATATGCACACGTGCAGTCAGGAATGCATTTGCGCTCCTGAGTGTAGACACATATTTCATCTGTCAAAAGATTGCAATTTCTATTGATCAAATACGTATTGTCCATTATTATCTCCTGTGTGGGAAAGCATGGGCAAGTTAAACATCTCCCTACGGCACTCATTTCCAATATCTATGCGATTTTCAGGCGACTCATCTGTTTGTGTGTGATTTTACAATAGTTATCCCATGATTACGTATAAAATTGTCTGTCCATTTTTTCAGGAGTTCTGGCCATGATTCAGATAGATTTGTTGATGGTCAATCTGATGAGAAGAAAGTTAAAAAGAAGAAAAAAAGTAAAACCCAAGCACATGGGGAAGCTGTGAACACAGATGTACCTCTCTCAGTGGCAGAAGAGAACACTGATGCCAAGCCATCTAAAATTAGGACCTTCCCAGTGGATTGAGTATTGAGGAGTTAGAATCGGGAAAACCAGATGGGAAAATTGCTACTTCAGGGAAAAAGGCACGTCTATTTGAATCCGTAGTTGATCTATTTCATACTGATGCTGATTTTAATTTTGTTTGTTTGTATCTAACCTTCCATTGCATAAGGTAGCTTAGAATAATATTCTTTACTCTGAACATTTCTTCAAGAGCAAAATTAAAGTAAAGGATTAACGGAATGTTGATTGTAGTAGCTCTGTTTGATTTCAGATCAGCGTTCACTATGTTGGCAAGTTTGAAAGAGAATGGAAGAGTATTGACTCAACTGTTGGCAGTGCTCCTTCCAAGTTTCGCTTAGGTAATTACTGAATGAGATAAAGTCTCTTTTTACCAAAAAATTGTTCTGCTTTGTATTTACATCTGTTGCTTCTTGCAGGTCAGGGAAAAGTTATAGACGGCTGGGATGTTGGTCTTGATGGTAATTATGTAACTTGATTTGTATTTTGTAACTTGGTCTTTTGTTGAATAATTATAATTGCTTTTTATTTCGTTATTTGAAAACTCTTGTGATGCATGCATGATTCTCAGGTATGCAAGTTGGCGAGAAAAGAAGACTTGTTATCCCACCATCAATGGGGTATGTCTTTAGAATGTCAGCTAACTGATTTCCTTTTGTACATTTCTTTCTTTATAAACTCACTACTTGCTCTACATGCTTGCAGCTTTGGGAGCAATGGAGACGGTAAAGACGTGCCACCAAACTCATGGCTGGTATACGATGTTGAATTACTGAAAGTTCGTTGAGTGATCGATTCTACTGCCTCCGGTACGGGCTTTTGTTTTTTCTTTGTGCAAATTTTGTGATTTTTCTCCCCTTCATCAAATGCAAAAGAATGGCGGGAGTAGCAAAGTAGCTCAGTATAGTTTTCAAATGCCAACTTGTGGGAACAGCCTCAAGGCTTTGTGATAGAAAGCTGGCTTGTGTGACCTTAACTCATTTTGTTTTGTTCTCTCCTTTTGGGTTCTTAATCTTCACTGAACCACATACCCAAATGTAAAAGGTTTTTGGATCAATACACTGCCAGAGAAATACAACCGAAACATTCTATGTTGTTGTTGAGCAGCAGGCTGTGGAATGGAACCAGCCATTTAACGAGAGTGATTTTGCTTACCAGCCTAATCATGGTGTGTCATTATCATTTCATCAATTAGGCAATCGGCCCAATATCAGAAGGAAATAAAAAGGGAAATTTCTATATGCAAAGTTCGTAATTAGTAATAAGCTAACTAAATTTTTTGGGTGTTGGTAAAAAAACTAAATTTTTTTGGTTCGAAAGTAATAATTAATTTTGCAATAAAATTTTCATACTGATGCAAGGGATTGGTTTTCTTGTTTTGAAGCTGTTAAATTTCTTTTAACCCTATTTAATTTTTTTCTTTTTTGTCAGAAACCCTATTGAATCATTTCCACAATTCACCAATCAATTTTCGTCTCATATCTGCCTGCCATAGTTTACTCCAGTGTTGTGTTCTTCCATATAGAAGTGAAGCTTGGAGGAGAACAGAATGTTAATTGTCTGAAATGTTTCACATTGTTAGAAAAAAATATGACAAAACGGTGCAGTTTTACCCTACCCTACCCTCCCTCCTCACCCTAAACCCTAAGAAAAGCCTAGATGATGGAAAACCAGCTTATCTTGAATTCATCGATACAAAAACTATAAATCCAAAACCAAAAATTACCGCTACGAGAAGGACATAGGGAGCAAAGAAATAGAGACCACCAAAGACGGTTACAAGCGCAAGAATGATAATCATCTCAGGTCCTACTGCATTGCCATTAGAAGTGCTGAAAACTTGGTCCTGAAGATGAGAAGCTCCATTGCTTGTGCTTGGATCTGTTGACTTTGTGTTGACTTCAATCTCATCATCCTCCCAACCAGAAGAGTTTTGATCATTTTCCATGGATGTCTTGGGATCTTGGACCACTTGCTCTATGTGAGGGTTTTCGTTGTTGCATGCATCTTCTGCATGTGGATAATTAAATAATTACTTGATGAACATAAATAATATTTTGCACACTTGATCCAAATCAAAGACTAACATTTAACTAAAAGACAATAAAGAAAGACTCAGAATAAACAAGTTACCGAGAGTATTATCAGAATTAGTAATTAAGTTCTTATTTTCGAAAGAATCTTCGGCTATGGAGGAGTAGTGACAGAGACCCATTGCCATCAAGAAGAAAAAGATGACTGCAACTTTTGTGAAAGCCATGGATGACCTTAACACTCAAAACACACTACTTGGAAGGGAAGGGAAGGACAGAGAGAACGAAGGGGGTAACACTCTTATATAGGTGCACCATTGATTCTCTAGGGTTTTCTCCATGACCAACAAGGAAAGAAAGAACTCATCATACTTTCCTGAAAATTCTAGGGTTGAAAACTTAATTAATTTCTGTTTTCTTTTTTGTGAAGGAGAAGAAACCAAAAAGAGGAAAGCTTGGTTTACCAGTTATGAGTCAATGGGTCTATTGATTTGGAAAGCATAAAAATCTTTAATTGCATAAACTGTGTGTTGGGCACCCAGATTTAAATTTTGGAAAATCAATAGTTAACCCTAAACCATAAACTCTAAACCCGAAATTTTCAATTAAAATTAAGAACACCAATTTTCATGTAATTTTATCAAACTGTAATCTAAGCCTTCATCAAACATGTTTTAGGAGGAAAAGAAAAATTAGGGTTAATTTCTCCTAGTGCATTAAGCAAACCAAAGATACAGTGAAACTTAATTAAAGTGGGCCAAACTGTGCTTAACAAAACATAACGTGTTCATGTTTCCACACTTCGTACTTCCAAGATATTTACAGATCAAACCCCACATCTTGAAACAAAATTTGGGTTCTGTACATTGATGTAACTCTCGCCAAATAGCCACAAGACACCAATTAAAGCACTCAAGCACTCATTCCAACTTTGGCTCTGATCTGACCAGAAAATTCCTAGCTTCATCATCCGTAACTTCACTGCATTGGGAACATATAGGGAAAAAAATCAAATAAATGACTGCAGTAAGAAATGAGAAAGATACGATTGACTTGAAAACAAGCACTTGAAGAACCGGAATGAGCGTAAGGGGGCAAAACCTGTCTATAGCTTCTGTCTTTGAAATCAAGGTGAGCTCTTTGGATGCAAGAAATTCACAGAAACTGCTGAGGGCTTTCTCCTGGCAGAATACACATAGAGTGCGCAGAAAATCATTGAACTGTTTCGGTTCCTGCAGAGGACAAACTTCTGAGGTTAATGTGCAATTGTCAGGTAAGCCACAGCTGTCAAAGTACACCCGTACAAGTAAACTAAATGACACTAAGTAAGAATTTAAAACAACTTAAGTTTAAATTGTGAAGTGTCAGAAGGAGCCACTCCTCATTACAAGTTGAGGTGGGTAAATCACAAATTCATACGTCTTCATTTACCTTTTCTTTTTTCAAAGAAGTCATTCTCCTTCTAAGTAGATATGCGTCAAATTGTGATTTATCCACCTCATTTTGTAAGATTAATTTACTCATTACTCACAAGGAGCCAAGCAAATTTTCTTTTATGGGGAGATGAAAGGTCCTTTTTAACAAAATGTAAGAAGAAGAAAAAAGGAAAAGTAATAAGTAAATAAAATAATAAAGGATAATCATGGAAGCACAAAAATGACTTGCTCCATTTCACATTTATTTAACATTGATGAGAGAGAGAGAGGGAGGGACATACTTGCTCTAGGATGCAACCCTTGCGGAGGGCAATTAGCATTCCAGTGCCTTGGGATAATTATCCCCTTCATAAGAGTCCTCTACTAAGTCGTGTATTTTGTTTTTCATATCCTTAATTGCTTTGCCAACCCACTGTGGGTTATCTCTACGATTGATCATAGCTTCAAATCTGGGACAGGAGTAGCATCCCCAACTTTCTCAACCTTAACAGCAGAAGTATATCGCTGGAGTTAGGTTCATCAGAAATGTCAGCATGACCCTCGTTTGACCCAGATGGCTTGTCTCGTAAAAAAATCGCTACTCTTGATTTCTTCAGCTGCAAATCAGTTACACACATTTTAAAAAAAAAAAAAAAAAAAAAAAAAAAAAAAAAAAAAAAAAAAAAAAAAAAAAAAAAAAAAAAAAAAAAAAAAAAAAAAAAAAAAAAAAAAAAAAAAAAAAAAAAAAAAAAAAAAAAAAAAAAAAAAAAAAAAAAAAAAAAAAAAAAAAAAAAAAAAAAAAAAAAAAAAAAAAAAAAAAAAAAAAAAAAAAAAAAAAAAAAAAAAAAAAAAAAAAAAAAAAAAAAAAAAAAAAAAAAAAAAAAAAAAAAAAAAAAAAAAAAAAAAAAAAAAAAAAAAAAAAAAAAAAAAAAAAAAAAAAAAAAAAAAAAAAAAAAAAAAAAAAAAAAAAAAAAAAAAAAAAAAAAAAAAAAAAAAAAAAAAAAAAAAAAAAAAAAAAAAAAAAAAAAAAGAGAGAGAGATTGCTTTTTGACAGAATAAATGAAATTGCAACCATACTCACACATGTGTCTATATACAAAATTCAAGCAATCCAGTATATAAATAGCCAATACTTATATGTGTAATTATGAACAAAGTTCATCTGTAAAACTCTTATAATAAAAATTTCGACCCTAGATAAAATAAATTGCAATGGAAGGATTGTGAGAATAAGTTAGGACACAAAGTCTCACCATTTTGAATCCAAAGGAGTAAGAATGGAAATATGTTATGCAGAAGGGTGCAGACCAAAAGAAATACACAATCATGAAGTTACTAGGCTGTTGCACTAGAACATAAAGGATACAATCACCATCACGAGTTCCTCGTGGGAGTTGTTGTAGAGTTTCACAGTTGCCCATCAACTACTTTGATATTTTTTAAAACCACCACATGCTCATATCCACCCACTTCCTTTGTAGTTCATTTTCAGTTTCTGAGAGATCAAATAGCACCATTAATGAGTAATGCTCCCTCGAAAGCTACTAAAGATTTAAATTATAATACAATGGAATTACTGAAATGCAGATAGCAACCAGAAATCACAGACAAATTAAGTATAATCATTTAACATTGTAATTGCTGTAAATTATTTCATACAAAGCCAAAGGGTACCTTCTGTTCCAAACAAAACAACTGCTACTTCATCATATTTGCTGTAAATCAGCTGCAAAAACAAAATGGGGATGAACAAAATTAGATTAACACTGTAAAAGCAGCATTACAATAACCATCAACCGCTCACCTTCTTCCTCTGCTACATAGAGCAAACTTTTCTATCTCTGGAAGAGCTTTGTGCATTGATGGACTGACATCGATCAACAAAACCATGGCGTCCTAATCCCAATACATGAACAATATGTTAGCTTAAATATAAAAAACCTGAAAAGAAGTTGCCCAAATTTAGCAGCCTTAAAACCCTAAACCCTGTACAGATAGCAATACAGTGTATCATTTGATTTTGACATATCGTAGTTAATGGTCTTCTATTTGAAACCTTCAGAACCCAAACAGCCCAAATCAAATTGAAACAATAAAATAAAATTTTAAAATTTTAAAAAAGAAGAGTATTTTAGACGTGGAAGGAAGAAGAGCTTTTACTTGAAGCATATCAGAAAGAAGAAAGTTAGGATCTTTGTTACCTTGTTTCGAGCCATTGAAGAGGGAATTGGTAAAGCTTGTCGCGGAAGTTGGGTTTTGTTTCAAATGGTCTGAATGTTGCTGTGTGACTGTGATGTTCTTTCTTCTTCCCGCTTTTGGGTTGGGAAATGAAATGGCCAAAATTACTTCGTGGCCCCACAAAAGTTTGATTATTATATTCAAGCCCTTTATATCAATCAAATAAGGATTTTGATGACCCAGACCAACTATCCTTATCAAATTTAATAGTTGGCATTATCAAATCTAAAAATGTAAAACACGCAATGGAGTTCATAAAATTTGAATTCAAGACGTTATTTAACAAAATTTAAATTGGGCATCATTATATCATTAATTTGAAATAGGTTGAAGTGCCAATGAAAAACTCATTATATTCCTTATTTCTTTATTAATATTTGGTTTTATAATAGGAAGATTATCACGACTCACCTCTTAATTGAATGTCCGTCTTAAAGTAAATTTTAGAGTTCGTTTAATAGCACTCATTTACAAACCATATGCATCATGTAAATCTCCTTATTCCTTGATGATCACCAAATGTAATGATTTTATTATGAGGAAAAGTGGAAGTTTATCTTAAATTATAAATTTATATTTCTGAAAATCCATGAGTGTGATTCTTGATTTCTTACGTGCTCCACTCATATATATTTTTTAATACAAGTAATATTAGGGTGGGGAAATGGAACCTTTGACCTCGAGTGCACGGATAAATTATGTTAACTACTTGAGTTACATGCTACTTGCTCCACTATATTTTGATTCCGAAGGTTTAGTAGAGGCTCAGAGCCCACATGCACCCTCCAACCCAGAAAGCCCTAACCCACTTTCAAAGCCCACATTAGGACCCAAGAAGAGTTTAGAAAGAAATAAAAGCAAAAGTGAAACATGTGATGATAAAAGAGGCATAACACAGACGCTCAAGATTGCAGCTGCAAACACACAGAGACAGGGCACAAAGAACAGAGACTTCACAGAAAAAGAGAGAGAGACAGACCAAAAAACAATGGCTTCCATGGCTTACCCAACAAGCTCCTCCTATAACTACAAGAATTACAAAGCTTACAGAAGTTTCACCACTCCCCATATCCTAGTTTCTCAGCAGCAGCAGCAAATGACCAAAAACCAGTGACCCAATTGGTCGAAGGTGCTTATCTCCCTCTCTCTCTCTCTCCTCTCTCTCTCTCTCTCTCTCACACACACACAACACACACACAAAACCCGCATGGTTTTTGAACCAAATGGCTAACAGAAACATTGCATTGAAAAATTTGAAGGAAATAATACTAAGGACAGCGAATTGGCAGTGGTAGGAGCCATCTTCAACTTCAGGTGCTTGTCCTCTGCATTCATTTCAACTATTTTTTATGCTTCAATCTTATCTCTCCCTCAACCTCATGACATTTTTGGACTCACTATATTAATTGTTATGATTTTGGTGGAATAATGTTGATGGGTGGGTGCAGTGGTAAAAAGCCAGATTATCTTGGGGTGCAGAAAAATCCACAGGCTTTGGCACTTTGTCCACTACTAAGAATTGCATATCAACCTCTGAGAATGTCTCTGACCTTACCCATTATGCCCCACCTTGGTAAGCTTCTTCTTCTTTCTCTCTCTTTCTTAGATTGATTAGGGAGATGGATTCAGATTTTCAGAAGCTTTACCAACTTCATTTGTTTATTTTATTATCTTCTATCACCACTGGGATTGGTGTTGGTGGTGCCCAAACCCAAATCCATGGAATGATGAGAGAGTGGAACTTTGACCAAATCGAGGGTCAAAGAAGGAAGGCTGTAAGCCACTAAGCTTGTAGAGGACGAGGGCCATGGCCCATGTGGGAGCCAAGCCAATGACCTCGTGTTCAAAATTTCCCCTCCCACCACCGACCATTTTAAGTAAAATGTGGTGCATGTGTTTTTTTTTCTATTACAGGAACTACAACGGGGGTAGGAAGAAGCCCAGTCAACAGAGAAGTGGCTATGGAGGAACTTCTCCAAGTGGTAAAAAAGCATTTCAAACGTGTTTGCGTCCTTATCATATATGGCAACTTAAAATCCAATGATTTATGGCCATTGGACTTTCATCAGCAAAGATCAATTCTGAAAATTTTATTTTGCAGATTAAGTCAACAAAGCCGGACAAGTTCACACCGCGGATTATGGAGAGCAAAAATGATTATGTGCGAGTGGAATACCAAGGTCCCATACTAGGGGTAGGTGTGACTCATAACCTCAAAGTGTGCGTGGATGATTAATGGTCGTTGATCAATGTAGGTTTATTTTAGAACCCACGTCATTAACGACTATCAATCATCCAGGCGTACATTAAAGCAGTTGATTAATAGTCATCAATCAATGATTGTTAGTCATCTAAACGCGCATGAGCAATTGCAAGATAGAAGAATAATAACATGTTGATTTTCTTATATTCATGCAGTTTGTGGATGATGTTGAGTTTTGGTTCCCACCGGGCAAAGACTCAATAGTGGAGTATCGATCTGCATCCCGGATAGGGAGCTTTGATTTTGACTATAACAGAAAGAGAATCAAGGTGAAAACTACAAGCAATCTTAATTTTTACAACCAACTACATTCAACAAACAACTTCAACTGACTTCCAGACTTTATGACAGGCGTTGCGGCAAGAGTTAGAGAAGAAAGGTTGGGCTTCTAAGGACAGCTTTTGAGGGACACATTGCTGTCATGCAATAAGATCACATGCAATCAAACATTGCCTCAGTGGTCATGCAGATAGATCAAGATTGACCCAGATTTTCAAATTAGGCAACTGCAATCCTTTAATGATTTTTGTATTGAAGACTGAAACATAAAAATTCGAAACCTCCGGCAGGTTCCAAAGATGAGTTGAAACAGTCGACGTTAGTTGGCTAACAGATCTTGCTTGCATCGTGAAGGCAAACTAGAAACAAGTCTTGAGTGAAGTGTTTTGGTTCAAGAAAAAGAACTCATCCCAATCATATTAAACATTGGATTTAACTTGTACACAACTCGGTAGAGATTCTTAAAATCCAAATATTGATATTGGAGATACAAATTTTGTTTCCCAGTTTTTTTTATGCGATCTTTTGTTTCCCAGTTGCTTCTAACATCACTTAATGATAACAAAACAGAAATACCAAAGGTTTGAACAGGAGATTTTATGCGGAGCACATATGCAAGTTTCTAAATCATGTAAATGGCTGATGAGAACGAAAGAAAATCTCAAACAATTGAACTCCAAGCCAATACAGGTCAGGGAATAAAAGAAATGGTGCAGGGGTGGATAACTTACTTTGTTCACAAAGAAAATATCAGTACAGAAATGGTTCTCGACTGTTTACTGCTTTAAATGTTTCACCGTAATAGGGGAAGTTGAGTACAAACTGAAACTTTGCAACGTAATAAACAAGCCATTTCGAGATATGACCTACACAGAGACCTGGAATAGATGACATTTTCAGCTCTGGTCAAAACCGGCAGCATGGTCCGGGGTAGGCATCAATCTTTCCTCAGTTCCATGTACTCATACCGAGTGCCATCAGCATTTAGAACAACAATTTCAAGCCTGTCACCCTGTAAGACATCCAGAACACGTTAAAGAAAGAGGTGCAGATGAGCTTGATATAAAAACGGACAAATATGCAAAGGACCAAAAACTTACAGTGTATATATCTCTCTCTGTTGCTGAAGCAAAAACAGTTTTAACCAAATCTATTGCCTCTGCTTCAGAAAGTGGTGTAACGGCATCCTGCACAAGTCATATATTGTAGAAAAGGTTAGTAACAAATAACCAATAAAATGAACCAATTGGGTAAATTAGAAGTAATCAAAGTCAAGGGCAAACCACGGCAGGCAATAAGAGAGGGCTAGGCGACTTCAACTGATTATCTAAAAAGGGTATGATGAGTGTAGACCCGGAACCTTGGGAGCTATATCCAACCCTCTCATAGGAACCAACAGCATCATATGTGAAGACACAGCCCTTACCTATAGATTAAGAATTAAAATGATTTGTTAGCAGAAAGAGTCTCAACAGACAGCCAAAGCTTCTAAACTCTAATATTTACCTTCACTATCTAAACACCCAAAACATTGAAAGCATAGTAGGGAAAGAAGCGTTTGTAGTAAAGGGTGTTGGAAAGTAGTTGAGCCATTGCAGGGCAGCTCATTTGTTTGTTATGTTGATGCTGATAGATCTGGGAAAATTTGACAAAAAGAAAAGCCATCAGTTCCAGAACATACCTCAATTTATTTGGTGTCAAATAAATACAGCCTATTTACGATCGTAAACATCCAAACACCATTTGTTACAGACAAATGAGTACATGAAAAAAGAAAAGTATTGGAATAGGTGTTTAAAGCTTCACCAAGTGCTTAGCAGCCAAATGCTTTTGCAACGCTTTCACATCAGCTTGAAAACCAGACGAGGCTAATACAGCTTTGTCTGCTCTGCAAGTTCAGAAGACAAAACATTACATAAGACCCAACATCATCATCTAGGAACTCTGATGAACAACAGAAACTCTCTCTTCATCTACATAAAGATTGCTACATTATATCAGCAAGATGACTTTAAAGGGCTGATGTAAGCTATCAAGTATCTTCTGTCATTCATTAAGAACATCAGCTATCATCACATCTCTATCTGCAATAATTTAACCTTGAATCAAACAAACTAAGCTCATGTCCATGGTGAAAAAAAAACACTGAGCAGGCTTTGTTCAAAGTAACTAAAAATGATAACAAAAATGTTTTTTTGCTTCATAACTTGAAGCAACCCAGGCAACCAATTTGTTATGTTTCTAACAGCTTTAAATCCTAATGATATCACTTTACAGGAACATCCTACTGGAGCAAGTGATCATTAGTTGAAGAAGATACTGGTCACAACTAAAGTGATGCTCATATGGATTGGTCAAAATGCCAAATGTACAACCCAATTGCAATTGATGATTTATGCCTCCTCTCTAACTTTGTTTCCTAAACTTAAACCCCCTGTGGGAAACACAAATATATCAATTTTAAAAGTTATTTGGAAACTATTAATTAGATATTACTAAGCTTCTCTATCAACACAATACGTGATCATAAAAATGATAAGCAGTAAAACTGCAGGCATTTCAAGAAAAACCCCCGTAATAAGGATACATTTCCAAGGTTATGAACAAAATAACGCCATAAACTAAACCCAAAGCGCCTGCCCAAAAACCAACTAGCTTTTTATTTTTTTGGTTAAATAGCTGAGACATAATGAGAATACAATCTAACTCCAGTGATAATTAGAATAAACCCAAACCAGAAACGAAATAAAACCAGAGAAAACCTAAAAATGCAAAAAGGAAAAAGAAAAAAGAAAAAAACCCTAAAAGCAGTCGCTCAGATACAGCAAAAAAAACAGCCTTTAATAATCAAGACTTTAACTCTCCAACACACAGAAAGAAATATATACATATATATATATGTATATATCGAAATTTCTGAAAAAACATATATGTAAGAGGGTTTTATGGGTGAGTACAATTTGCAGATCTTAGAATAGTCGCGGGTGAGAATACTGTAACCAGTCGACATCCGAGTATCGGCCGCAATCACACAGTAATTGGCTCCCGCAATAGCGACACAGGATCTGCGATCATCACAGAAACGAAAAAATACCCACACAAAAAAAAGGAAAAACAATCATTAATTCGTACATATACAGAAATACATGAATAGATGCGTTTACACAAAGAGAGGGAAAGAGACAGTACCCGCCATTGTTGTCGTAGGGGGACCAGTTAGCATGCTCCTTGGTCATGGTGAATCCGTCTGGGTCAGTGAGAGAAAGAGAGAGAGATGAGCAAATTTAGGGCGTGGAGCTAGAGCTAAAGTGCAAAGTGAGCTCTGGGGACGCCTTCTTCAATTTTATTCTTTCAGATCGCTCGGTGTCTTTTGCTTCAAGAAATAAATGGAGTTACGACGTCGTTTGGAAAATGAGGGCTAATGAGGCCCATATCATACATATTGGTGACTAAATTGGGCCTAGCTTGGACCGGGCTGTCAATCCAGTTTAATCTTTTCGACCACGGTAGAGCCGGTCGGCTATACTCTTTAAATTGAAGATTCACATAGTATAGCCGCACGGCTTTACTATTCATTAAAAATAAATAAAAAGGACCGGAGTATAGCCGTTCGGCTATACTATTTATTAAAAAAATTAAATAAAAAAACCTCACAGTATGTATATCGTACCATTCCTAACCTCCCCTTCGCTTTCATTCAAAACCCAGAACAGCTCTCTCTTCTTTGGCACATTTACTTCAACAATTCACAACTACAGAACCCAGCCACCGCCATTTTCATTCAAAACTCACACTAACTCTCAATTCTTTAGCACCAAAAGAGTATTCCTCCCTTCAGTCTATGGCATCTGGGATGCCTTAACTAGCGGTAACAATGCCCGGAAAGCCATTGCCTCGGTTCCTCCCTTGTTACAGTCAATGTTGTTTTCTAAATTTCTCTTGACATTTGACATGTTCTTATGGTTTGGCATTAAAAGTTTACAACTTTGTTATTTGCTAAGGGTGATTTTTTCAGGGTCTGTAGCAGAATTTGATAAGGCAATTGAGTTGGATCTTCGCCAACAGGCATGCAAGTCTAGTTGTAGTTCTTGATAATTGCTTCTTCTTTTTTTTGTGGTTTTTGGGATACGAAACTCAATTATATGGGACTAGTGAAGCAAGGGAAGGATTTCCTGAGGCAAGTTAAACTATCATTTCCTATGGAAGGTTTCTGATCCAGAAGGTTTTTATTTTATTTATTTATCTGAGGAAGATTATGGTTGAAGTTAAACTAGGTTTTGAGCTTTAACTTTGAGGTACTTACTTTTGGCCATATGTAGGAGCAAACATAACCAAGTATGTTTATGAGTGAATGTGTAATTCTAGCTGACACCTTTTTAAGTGATTTTCACTTTCATGTATTGAGTGAAAAATGCTAAATTTTTTATACAGGTAATAATTCTGGAAAAGTAAAAAAATCAAAAGGAGACAATAAAGACTTGAGTATTGACATAATAGTAATGGATAATACTCTAAACTACTCATATCGATAAACAAAATTCAAGTAAAAAAATAAATTAATTTAAAAGAAAAGAAGGGGGGATTACCCCAGTATGGCCGCGCGGCTATACTATTAAAGAAATTAAAAAGGCCCCCGGTATAGCCGCACGGCTATACTATTTAAATATATTATATTTACAAAGTATAGCCGTATTTATTGACGCACAGCTCCCTCTTCTTTGGCAATGTATGACATTTCCACAATTCCATTTTAATTTATTTGGAATCTTTAATCTTTAATTTTGTGGTCAGTTGAATATTCATAACTTTATATGATTGCTGGAAGCTCGCCACTAGTCAGTCAGCTACGAACCATTCAACGTTTGACTCATTAATTTTGATTAAAACATAAAATTTTATAGAGCATATAATAAAATAATAAAGCTAGCCAAAGCGTTGTAGAACTCAAATACTTGGTTGGCGTCACCAGAAGATGGTTTCCGACTGCAAAGCAAAACAACAAAAGCTTATTTAAATTTATTTTGTGAAAAAGGCCAGAAACTGAGAGAAGACCAAAGCGCAGAAAACAGGAACGCACAGAAAGGGGAGAAAACAGACAGAGAGATACACGCAGTGAGAGAGTGAGAGAGAGCGACAGAGAGAGAGAGAGAGGTGATCGGTTATGGAGATGCTGTGGACATGGCTGTTGAGTTTCTTCTTCATTCTAGCTCTGTTATGCATTCTGGGTTATCAGGTAATTCTTTCTTAATTGTATGCCCTTTTATTTTTCAAAACATGCTTGATTCACAACCTAGGCCCATCTGGGTTTGTTATTTTATGTTTATAATGTAGTGGGTTTTTTTATTTTTTTTATTTATCAAATCAAGTATCTGTTCGCATATGCTTTTCGGTATTTCATAAACTTTTTCCATGGATTTAGAGCTTTTTTTCTCTTTAAACAAAATATTTTTTTTCGTTTTTGCAAGACTCGGTTTTTTATTTGTTCTTTGACAGTCCCCAAACTCTGTTTCCCTTTAATGTAAAGAAAGTATGTTATAGAGACCCCGGTTGGGTTTTTTTTTGGGCAAAATTTGTAGAAAGCTTTTAACTTTTGTTGCTAAATTTGTAAATAAATAAAAAAGTGTTTGAATTTGTAGTTATGCATCTCAATTCTATGTTTAAATTCTTATGCAGAACAACCTGAGTTTGTAAAACAAATAAAAAATGCATAAGCTTATTGATAATGAAAAGAATATTGTCTAAATTTTTTGCAGAAATCTAGTTAATGAAGGTGAACTTGTTTTTGGCCTAAAGTGGCCGTCAGGCCTATTTTTGTATAGTAGAACTGCTCCTACAAGCCATAGATAGTTAAGTCACAGAAATGGTCTTACATTGTCTGGTGAATCTGGTTATTTAGAAGTGGTTCCTGAAATGCTTAGATATATGACCACTGCAAATGTTGAATGCAGCTTGTGTGCTTGGTGGACCTCGAATTCGATTACATCAACCCATATGATTCATCATCTCGGATAAACAGTGTTATTTTGCCAGAATTTATTATTCAAGGAGTTTTGTGCCTCATTCTTCTTATAGCGCGACATTGGTTTATGCTTCTATTGGCTCTGCCGCACCTATATTATAATGTGAATTTGTAAGTTTCTTTCTTATCCCTTACTCAAATATTGCTGTGTATAGAATTTTATAAATCATGACCTCTGTGTAATTTGTATGGTACAGTGTAAACAAATTACTTATGAATATAGAGTGAGCTTATTTGACACCAATATGATACTTCCATCCCCTCTAATCTCGTCACTCATGGTGGTTATGAAGAAAATTCATATTGTAGAGAAGTACTATGGTTTACTTGAGTAGGATTTTAGTATAACTTTGTCAACTGAACAGTGTAAGAGAATGGTTGTTACAATCAAATGACTGTAGCATTCTGGTTTGTCTCTGTAACCTGGTTTACATGTGATTAACTAGTTGGGATAAGAAATTTATACTCAACTATAATTTGGTTTTATTGTCGTGGATATATGGCCAAGTTATCAACTTGAACTACTTTTGGTGAAATCTGGATCTTTAGAAGTCTTAGTTCTAATGTGAAAGAATTACATTGAAGACTGACTACTCGTATCTTTTATGCATTTTCTCTGTCTAGGATAATTTTGATCCTTACCATGAAGTGCCAATTGACTGCGATGCAGTTTGGGAATTTCGAATTCTGGTTGTGTGTGTGTGTGTGTGTTGCGAGGCAGTTTGGGAATTTCGAATTCTGGTTGTGTGTGTGTGCGCGCGCGGGCTCGGGTGCGTGTGTGCGGTTGTGTGTGTGTGTGTGTGTTGCGAGGCAGTTTGGGAATTTCGAATTCTGGTTGTGTGTGTGTGTGTGTGCGCGCGCGGGCGCGGGCGCTTGTGTGTGCGGTTGTGTGTGTGGGCGTGTGTGTTGCGAGGCAGTTTGGGAATTTCGAATTCTGGTTGTGTGTGTGTGCGCGCGCGTGTGTGCACGGGCTATTAGGCACATACCAAGTTGCTAGTACTGCACAATGGTGTCTGGGAGGCAGCATGTTAGATTATGCTTTGCATTGCAAATTATATTGAATGCTTTAGGAGGTTATACAGATATTCCTGTATGCACTGTATTTTTCATTATCTTTTAATGAAACATGTAAAGTTAAACTTGGAAGTGTCTAATTTGTAAGTTTTAGAGAGCAGAAGTTCTTTTTGTTTTTTAAAGCTCAGGAACGATTGATCAAGAACAGAATTTTATTGCTTTTTATGATTAGAAGAAGAAGAATTTCATTCAGCAAACCTCCTTAGGTACCATAATTTCTGATATGATTTGTATGCTCAGGTACATGACAAGACAACACTTGGTAGATGTGACTGAAATATATAACCACTGAGCTGGGAGAAAAAGAAACGGTTTTTCAAGATTGGCTATCTTTTGGTCCTATTCATCCTTTCTCTATTCTGGTATTGTGATAAGAATGTTGTCACAGCCTTAGTAAATTGTTTTTCGCTCTATTTAAGCACTTGGGTGAAATTAAATGTTCCTTTCATGTAAATGTGATTTAGGTTGCTTTGGAGCATTGGAGATGAATATGATTAACCAGGCATTGTTGCTCCCACCAAGCCTGCACACTGTAAGTTTATGTTACTCTTTAATTGCTGTTATGTGTTGCAGTTGAGAACCATACATAAGTTAGGCCATTGTGTTTGTTTGCATGTTGCGAGTCAATTGTTTATACTCGAGTCTTTAGGAAGGAAGAAGTGGAAATTGTATGATCATCTAATTTTTTCATATATATCGTGTCCGTTTCACCAAACCATAATGCTAAATTTCCCAAGTAAGCAATCTTTTTATATTTAGGTCAACATTGTAATCTCTTATTTTGTAAGAGTCAACTTTTGTTATCAAATGCATGTCGTGTATTGAGCTTTCCTTGGTTGTTGTGGTCTCGGTATCAGGTACGTCATTTTTCCAGGATGATACTAATTACTTTGGCTAATTCCAGGTTTCTACGATGGAGCCCGAGAGACGGACATGAGTGGATATGAATCAGGACTTGTGCAAATTCAGCTCGGTTTCGGCACCTGATTTGTCATTTAATTTTCTGTGTTTGTAGTGTCACAGATGCTCCACTTATATGTATGCGTATGCTTGCATTCGTCCCATTTTATCCATCAATTTTCTCTGATCACATTGTGAAGCAGCATAAGCTAGAAGTGGTTGCATATGGCTCTGCCCTATATTCCTTCAACAGTTCCATTCTAATTTGCAATGCGATCAATTTTCTTCCCTCTTATTTGCACACTAAAAACAAGTCGGCAAAGTACCTTTGTCCTCTCCTTGTCACGGCCTCTTGTAAATAAAAAGTTGTATTTAGTTTTACTAACAAATTAGACCCTGCTAATTTCACAATTAGACTGCAAGTAGTTGTAGCTTATCTGTGAACAAATATTTTCTCTACTGCTATGCTTCCAGATGTTTTCACTGTTTCGTAAAGTTGAGTATTACGAATTTAGGTGGATCTTGTGTATTTATTCATGGATTAATTATTACTCGCAAGTGTACAAAGTCAATCATAATATAGTATGGCAAATATGAGGTCATTCCCATGAGAATTGAGTTCAACTTTCAATTAGTCTAACCTAATTTACTTCACAAAATACTTTAACTACTCTAATTATATAAACAAGAAATTAAACACGTAGTATACTCACGTAAACACAAGGGGTTTTTGAAAGAATGATTTAATTACGACGAAATCAAAAGACAAAACAAGTAGAAAGTCATGAAACATAAGGATGAGGAATTCAAATTAATAAAATCTCTAGGACAATGAATTCACCACTAGTAATCCAATCTTGCCTCTTATTCACCTACCTATTAACTAACCATTTGATGTCACCGCTTAGTTTTCCTTTTTCATGAATTATCTATGGTATTTAGGCTAACTCGTACATTCCTACATGCAATTCGCTTATGGTATTTATATCAAATATCAACACAAAGAAACTCATTGAGATCAATGAAAAGCTCCAATAAGCATGTACACCCTAGGAGTATGGTATTTACCCTAGACGAATTACAAATCCTAATCATAAGAAGCAAGCCTCAAATTAAGAATGGCATTTACTTTAATTTGCATCTGATTAACTCAATTAAAAGTCTAGACGGTGATCAAGCATTAAGATAAACCAAGTTATTAAGCACAGTAATTAAGAATCCAACATCAAACGTCAATCAATAGATAGGTAAAATAAGAAAACTAGATTATTATACTAGAGTTACATCATGCCCTAACAAAAGAAAATTAGTTACACATTGTTGAGGCCTAAAAAGTCATGACAAGCCCAAAAACATTTAAAACCCAAAATGACGTACGCAATAGGAAATAAATTGGTCATGAATTAATTCCAATTATATTTTTGAGAATTAATTTAGCAAAATAAATATATACGCAAGCTTTTATACAAATTCTATTAGCATCCATGTCATGCCAAAAACTTATTCCTATAAATTCTGACATGTCACTAAGCTCGGTCACAAAAGCCCAAGTCACTGTAACACATGCCCAAGCATTCCAAGCACATGTCAAATAACTCTATGTCACGCTAATACATTTTCCTATGTCAATCACCTACCAAGCTCACATGAACCCAAATCATGTGGTTTATGGGCCTTGCATGAGGGATTATGTTGTGGAAGGTTACGGAGGTCCACAAGGCCCACAAAAGCTCTTGGATAATGGAGACTTTGGGATAGCTACTTGGGAGCACCAAAGTCCAAACCCATTACTTGGAGTTCTCCAATGTGGGTGAGCAAATAAGATATTCTTCAAGAACTTCCTTTTACCCATAGGAAATAGTCATTTTCCAATGTCTGGCTTTACTTGTTGGAAATAAGAATGTCTCAATGCTCCTTATTACCCGTTGGAAACAAGCCAATTCCAACACTTCCTTTTACCTATAAGAACTAGTCATTTTTCAATGCCTAGCTTTACCTGCTGAAAATAAGAATGTCCCAATGCTCAATTTTATCATTGGAAATAAACTAGCTCAAACACTTCCTTTTACCTATTGGAAACCAAAGAGAGCTTTCACCTTCTATAAATTGGGAGGCATTGCCGAGGCAAAACCAACTCTTGGTTGCTGCAAGCCTCTCAGCAACCATGAGAACTCACCTTTCTCTTAACTGCTGCAAGCATCTAGTGACCATCGACCCATTCTCTTGGCTACTGCAAGCTCCTAGCATCCATCACAACCATGTCTCCTACTTTCTCATCCTTGAAATCCTCAATCTTCTTCATAAAGCCTCACCTCAAGCATAAGCCCAAGCTACTCCTTCATCCTCCTACCTCTAGAACTCATAAATCTCTCTAGAAGCATAGTCACAAACATCATAGCCTTCAAAGTCTTAAGCTTTTCTTTCCTCAGCCATGCTCTTTGAAACTCTATTCATTTGACTATTATAAGCATCCCAACAACCATCACAGCCAAACAATCAAACCACCATAGTCATAGCTTCAAACAATAAATTCTCAACACCCGAACTCAAGCATATCAAACACCAAGCCAAGCACAAGAATTCTCATTTGCTAAACTTGTGGGTCGTTAGCTCCCACACTCCAAGCTCTCTTGCCAAGCTCATATAATCTCAGTTCAACGTCCGCAAATCATCTTCACCCATTTTTAGAGCTGCCGGAAACGTCAACACAAAACACGCAGCAACTGGAAGAACAACAGAGTACTCCCCTAGGACTTGCTTCTCTTTTAGGATGTTTTTGGCCTAGTTCTCACTAACTCAGAAAAAGGGGCAACGAAGGTCTGATTCACCACTCTATGACAGTCCAAGAATGAATAAGCCCGGACAAGCCTTCTGACAGAAAAAGACCCCAACACACATAATCATAGAATTCGACATAAACAAAAACATAAGAAAGAACAATAAAACTTAGCCAGTTGTAGTACTCTTCCGGCGTCTCCAATTTCTCCTAGTCTTTGTGTCCTCTCAAAGGAGTTGTTTCTCATGCTTAAATAAAGGCTTTTTTTTTATTACAAAACATTTCTGACGTTTGCGAAACTATCATATTGCATCCTTAAAGTTTTTTTTATCACTTATGGTCCCTAACGTTAATATAGGTGCTCTTAAATAGTCACTCTGTCAAAAAAACTATTAAATCCAGGGATATAATCATCAAATCAATCCAAAATTATAAAATATTTTTTTTTTATTTCTTTCCCTTCTCTCTTTCTTTCTTCTTCTTCTTTCCTCCCTTTCTTTTCTTCTTCTTCTTTCTCTCCGCTAGATTCTTCTTCTTTAAGCCTGGTGAGCGAATTGCCCTTGGTGCCTCTGGTGGGAATTTGAGAAATGTATGGAGGTGATTGAGGAAGAATCAGCTGCAACAAAAAGCGGGTCGTCGATTGTTGACCTGTCAACCGTATTGAACTCAGAGAGCATGCTCTGAACCTAGCCAGAGAGATCAGATGGGTTGTAGTGGACTGTATCAGAAAGCTGAGAAATCCCATCTTCTTGAGCAAAGCCCATGACCATCTCCAGCTGCTCGAGCTTTTCCGCCACTTCTGCCATGTCTGAGGCCCAAACCTTGCAACCCAAAACGGCAAGCAACTCATGAATGCCGCCGCCGCCAGCAAGCAACTCATCAATGCCGCCGCAGCCATCTTGGTCTTGTTCCCAAATTTTGGCCTTGCCATTCAGCACTGAGGATGTGAACGACGAGTATTCGCCCTTGGAACTATTTTGATCCGTGCAGCAGTATCTCTCTTCATTTATCTTTTTTTTTTTTTTTTTTTTTTTTTATTTGTTTGTTGATGGAGGAAGAAACAGAGAAAGAAGATGCACTGAGAGATATAAACCAAACCACAACCACTAGGGTGAACATGCTATCAAGCAGAGAGTAAGAAGAATATTGAGAGATATAAACCAAACCACAACCACGAATATGTTTTTTTCTCATATATATATATATATATATATATAACCTATCAGGTGGAGAGAAAGAATAAGAAGAAAGAAGAAGAATCTGGCAAAGAGAAAGAAGAAGAAGAAAAGAAAGGGAGAAAGAAGAAGAAGAAAGAAAGAGAGAAATGGAAGGGAAAAAAAATTATAATTTTAGATTGATTTGACGATTATATCCCTGGATTTAACAGTGTTTTTGGTAGATGGACTATTTAAGAGCACCTATATTAACGTTAGGAACCATAAGTGATACAAAAAAACTTTAAGGATGCATCTGATAGTTTCTCAAACGTTAGAGACGTTTTGTGATTTAAAAAAAAACCTTAAATAAAACACCACACGTCTATTCCTACCTTAGTTGGGCTTTTACAACAGCCCAAAAATAAAGAAAAATCTAATTAAAACATAAATAAGTAATTGACTCATCTTCCTACTTTGATTGGGATAACATGTTAGTTACTTTGCATGCACGTTTGGAATCATTCCTCCTCTAAGAAAAGTCGGGAAAAATATGTAAATTGTAGGTCTTTGTCTTATATTTCCAACCATATACTGCATGCTTTGAGGAAAAATCAGAAAAGTCTTCAAATAATCATTCTTCCACAGTAGCACAGTTTTGACGGGATTGCACCTTATGCTGACTTAACTTCAAAGACTGCTCTCATTAGCTGCTACAAAAATTCTAGAAAAATTCCACAATCATCTTCAAGATCTTAGCTTTTATCTCCAACTAGTCTTGTACTAAAACTCCACCAAAAAGTCGTATTTCCATTAAAAACCAATTACTTGCTCCATAAAGTTGAAAATTGAGAAAATAAAGTAATAAGTCATTTTTAAATCTAATTCTCCTACAAAAACTAAGTATAAAGAGTACCTAAATGTGTAATTTATGGACTTATCAATGATGCCTCCTAATTTGGTTTAGGCAAGGAAGAAACTTCCTACAACCTATTTTCTTATCGAATACCTATAAATTCGTATAATCGCTCACAAAATTCAAAAACTTTGTATAAGTTTGAGTTTACAATTCGTCTCATACTTTAATCACTCACAAAAATCAAAAGCCTCGTATAAGTTTGAGTTTACAATTCCTCTCATACGTAAACTCCACTCCACTATTGATCTGTTCGTTTCTGTGAGATGAATATTCCTCTATTGCAATAGAAAGTTTCACATTGGCGTGGACTTTTGCATCTAGTTGCAAAATGCAAAGAATATATAAAGTTAGCTAACATTGACCCCGTTATGGTTAGCAACAATGGAAAATGGGTAGAAACAGTCCGTTCATTTTTTTTTTGAGACATTTTGAAAAAGGCCAAAGAAGAGAGAAATATTTTGAAAAGAAGCCAAAATGGACAAAAATGCCCTTATTATTTTTGGATTTCCAAAGGAATCCTTTACATTTGCATGTCTTTAGTTTGAAAGTTGATGAGTTTTTCTATCTTTTTCAGAAAAGTTTTGGCTTTTTCCAAAAGTGAAAATTTTTTTGTGACTAAAACCTAAATTTACTTTTTTTCTTTGACAATTTCCTCTGTTGTGTTGGTACGGTTCGGCTAGGTGTTTGGTAGGTTAGAATCTTCTATGATATTAAACGTAATTATTACTAAAAGGAAAATTTATAAATAAATGATGAAATTAATTACCTGATTTTACTTCGAGTCAGGCTTAAGATTAGGTTAAAACGGTAGAAATTGACCCTTCATATCATATTCCTATACTATGGATGCTCCAAACTGTGCGAAGCAGAGACCCTATATGCTTAGCAGAATGAAAATTAAGAAAGTATTTTTGGTCACAAAAGAGTCTAAAGAGTCAAGGAATGATTCGAACTCTCGACTCGCAACCACAAGAGCTACAAGTTCCTCCAAACTAAGGTATTATTTAGCAATTCTTAAAAAGTGCTTTTAACATTCCTATGTTTGATAATTACAATTTAGTTTTAGTATAATTTTCTCATGGGTATTCAAAAAACGCTAGGGAAGATATAGTTTCCTAAGATTATTCTACTCGACGAACCCTAGATCAAAATGGCGATCATATCCCCTAAGTATGGTTTCGAAAAAATCAAACTCTATTCATATCTTTGTAATAATACACCTTCTTTCCTAGTCTCTGTCTGGAATAGGAATTGTTTGGTCGGTTTGAAGTTTGTACTATTCAACGAACTATAATTTGAGAAAGATAGACATGGAGGTCATTAAATTGGACTGAGGTTGAAATGTAAGAAACATGTGTATTACTTATCTATATAGTTGACTGCTGGCATAGACAACTAGCAAATAGCAAACCACATGACATGCATTTGGAAGGGTCTTCTTGCGTGCACCTGGACTTGTTTGAGTTTATTCTAGCTCTTGACTCAATAAAGTAATTTGAGAAAGACGGGCATGGAAGCCATTAAATTTATTATTATCCATAATTATTGATATTGACATTCTCACAACATAACATGTCGACGAACACTAATCATTCTTAGACCAGTCACATTTATATCTCTTCCTACATGAACACTAATTATCAAGTGCCACAGCATATATATACACTAAATGCCCTTGGTTTATGACTTTGGAGTTGGTATTTTAAGTTAAAAATTAATGTGTATACCTTGATGACACCTTGATGATATATATGCTGACGTAGTAGCAATTCTGAATGTTCTGCTTTCTTATATTTTTAGAAAATAAAAAAATATTTCTCCCCAAGCAGCTCACATCTCCAGCTTTCTTATGAGGAAAGTTTCCCATAAGCAAATTAATAGAAAATTTTGTCATGAGAATTATATATGTTCCAAAATGAAGACACAGAATTTAACTAGAGTAATAACATTAGGCATAATATTCTAATAATTTATTATCATTTTATTATCATTCCTCAACATTATAATACAACACAAGTATGTACGTATTCACACATCACCAAATGAGTCCCAACAGTGTCCTTACAAAAACAAAGAACTATCAAGAGACTAATGAAAGCCCAACTTCATCATCCCACAACTAAAGTTTTGATGAAGGGGGAGAAAAATTAAAGATGAAAAAGCCAAATTACAACAAAAATAAGTATTAAGGCTTTTTTTTTCTTTTTCTTAATTTTGGTGAGAAAATAAGATAGAAGTTTTCACATTGAGCTAGCCTTGAATACGAACCCTATAGGGCTAGGGCTAGCTAGAGCTGGATGGTTGTGAGTCTGTAGCAATCATGGACATGAGCTTCTCATTAAGCAACTCCTCTCTCCATTTCCTTGTGACTTTGGCTATGAAATCCTCAGTTCTCCTCTCCAAGTCAGTATCTATCTCTTCACCATAAAACTCTTCACTGTTGATATCATCTTCACTGCCATTATCATCTTCATCCTCATCATAACCATCAGAGCCATAATATCCATAACCCTCGTCGCAATCACTATCATCACAACACCAATCTTCGTCATTCGACGCTTCTTTTTTCGTATCGTTTTCCATTTCATACCACTCAAGATCTTCTCTGGATGGCCTGAAACTCCCTAGCACAAGTGCGATAATGATGACATTAAACATGAAGAACACTGCCACGCGATTCGACTTCACCACCACGATAAATTCGTAGGTGGAAAGAAGAAAGTTGTGACGCTTAGAATCTGGTAGGGACAATGAGAAGGAAATAAAAAAGATAAGAGGGATTGCAAGACAAAAGAGAAAAAGAACGCGTAGTGCTGGTACGGAAACTGCCTTCATACCCTCACGTAGAAAAATATACCAATGAGGCTTCTTTTTATAGCCCAGTTGAGAATTTTTACCATTAAATAATAGTGAAGAAGTTTTCTCAGAAACTTTGCAGGAAGTCTACTTCTGGAAGATTACATGTCCACGTGGCATTCTATATACCTATCATTTGTCAACAAGGCTAAGCTTTAGTACAAGTACTGAGAAATTTCTCAGCTTCCCTGCTTTTGGGCAACAATGAAGAATGTCAAATAGGGTAGTAGAATATTCAGAAATAATAATATCAATTAATTGAGTGTTTGGTGGAAATCTATACAACAAGTAAGATCAAGATAGTGGTCCACGACATGCATGATGCATGTAAGGAAAATAAATTAAGTGAGTGAGAATTTTGAGCAAACAAAGTGACTAATTATTTGATAATAAAAATATATGAACTCCTGATGAGGTCTTTGTTTATGATTACATGAAATAAAATTTACTCCAATGATTAGGAGGTGCAGCTTCTCAGTTAATCCTCTTATTTGAGAGGTAAGCGGGGCTTGGGAAGCATCAATAATCATGAAAAATTAAACCTGTCCTTATGGCTAAACACTTACAGCTCTATAAGAAATACATTCGAATTTTCTTTTACTTTGTAAAACAATAGGATTTGAACCCACAACCTCCGTGACAACGAATACCACTCAGAGAATATACAACATATGCGTTCAAGTCTAGATCTAATAGTTTAATAATATGATATGTTATATTGCCAGACGGTTTTGAATGTATCAAGCTAACCCCTTGCTCAAATTAGCCTATTTTAGGTCCATATGTTTGTTGATTTATTTATTTATCACTTAATTGTTTTTTTTTCATTTTCTTTTCTTCTAGAAAGCAGCTTGCTTTGCACAAAGACAATAAATGTCTTGCTTGGATGTAGATGTTATGTTCAACCGGTAAAATACTTCGAGGTTTCATAGGAAATCAATATCCAACAGTTTCTCAGACTATCTAGAAGGTCTGGATAGCTAGGTTATCTTTCTGACACTTCAACAAGTATGATCGAAAATTCTACAGTGGGTCCTCTTTCATGCTAATTAGATAACAACAATATCCACAGTTGAAGGTCGGTTGTTGCTCATCTTATTCGGGTCCCACCAAGATTTAGAGCAAATAGATTAAGATTATTTTGAAGTCTTTTCTCACTAAAATTCATTTTCCTGTGAAAGACAATTAAGGGGGGTGTATCCAATTCTAACTTTTAAATACTTTTTTTAAGTGAATGACTTTTCTAGAGTAGACAAATTCTTAATGACTTTTACATACTTTATAAAGTTAAGTGACAAACTTTCATATACTTTTTGTCATAGAGTTTTATAGACTTTTAAATACTTATTTTTATATTTATTTTACAAATAGCATTTATCTTTTATGTTGAATGAATTAGTCGGCATATATTGAACAAAAAATTAGAGAAAAAAACAATTGGATACAATTACATAAAAGCAAAGAATAGTTCTCCTTAACATTAGAAAATGATAAAAATGACAAAGTACATTTGAAAATGTACCATAAGGAAATAATTGGCATTCAACTAGTCATGATCTTGGAATGTTTGGGTGATAGATCTTGGAATGTTGCAGCTTCAACTTCATTTGGTATGAATGCATGATTATCATAGTCATAACTCAAGTCATCTATCCCCACACGTCTACTTTCTTCCACTCCTAATATTCTTGCATCCGTATCATCTCCCAATGCAATTGAGTTTCTTCCAATGGCAGTTCCATTCCCAATTGCAATTCTCAGAAGTTCATAGTCAGCAAAAGTGTCTGTCTGAAAGTTGACATGGGCCGGGTGGGACTAACAAAGGGAAAAAAAAAATACAATTAATGCATACACATACAAAATAATAAATTATCATATAATATATTTTCGAAAATAGAAGCTCACCTTAATATAATCTTTCCACACTTCATCACTAGCAGTGAACTTCTTTGTGATTGGATCCCACCCAAACCCAGAGCTATGACGCATAAGCTCAGAAAAAATATTATATCGTTGCTTAAACCATTTCAATCGGCTTAAGTATTGTGAATGATTCCTTTCACATCCAAGTTTTGCATTAAGAGCAGGAAGTATCTTTTTCTCAACTGTTTGCTTACTTAGCATTCCATTACTATCACGCCATCCACGATTGGCGGCATCAACCATGAGTTGTAGCAACTCATTGCTCTCTTCCAACGTCCACAATTTATAACCCCCACTAACTTTGCTCTTTCCTTTGTCATTTCCTCGTTGTGATTCTTCCATTGATAATTACTATATCACACGTACAAATCCTTATTAATTGTGTATATTTTCATAATAGCTTATTGGTAAACTGCATCCAATGCACCTTTTAAATTTTTATTTATCAAATCTAATCACATAGACAAGTAACATATTCTTATCAAAAGAAATAATAAATATTACTCAGTCATCAATAATATTTCATAAACACTCAAAAATCAACAGAAATGGTCAGATTACAAGAGTCTATATTCCAACAATTCTCCTAACCTAATATGTGGGATGTAATCAAATTGAGAACATTATATGAAAAAATTATCCATCTAATGAATTATGGGTAAAGAAACAGTACCTAAAGAATAAATTAATGGGTTTAGGGGCAAAAAATTATATAATAAAATATTGTATGCAAACATAGCATATGAGACAATCAATATAATAAAATAAACATAGCTGAAGGAAGTGGATGAGAAGAGATATTCATCAACAGAAACGTGTGGATGAGAAGAGAAGAAAAACATTCAATATTTTTTTACTAACCTGAAGGAAGTGGATGACAATGGGATACCAAAGTGGAGCCCTAACCATGAAGAAAAAAGATCCATTTGCATGATGCTTGATATAACAAAGGAAGAAGGAATTGGAGACGTTTGGAGACGTTTTGGTTCTATCTTCTCAGCTTCCCAATATTTTCATAAAGTCTGGTGTAAATTAGCAAGACTTTTGGTAGTAAGAATTACCTTTAAAAGTATTGAAAAGTCATTTATTTAACAAAGTTTTTAAAAGTCATTAACATTTTGGATACCTCAAAACTTTTAAATACTCTTTAAAACTCACAATTGAATACAACTAAACTTTTAAAGACTATTTAAAAGTCACAATTGAATACCTTCAGACTTTTAAACTCATTAAAAGTCATTAAAAGTTAGAATTGAATACACCCCCCTAAATAAAAGTTGAAGAAAAACCATCACAAACCCAGTCATAAATAGGCATATTGGTTCCAATTATTCCTATAACAAATCCCTTTGCTTACAACAGCAACAGGAGGAAAATCAAACTAGTTAACTATCCTAGGAAGCAGGTGCCCGGTTTTCACTTTGGCCAGGAGGCGAAGATCCGAGGTTTGGTTGTGGCTCACCCGCGTTTTGGTTCGTCACCTCCTTTGGTAACACATCTGGCTTGCCAGGTATGAAACTGCCAACAACGACCTGACATGCTCAAAGATAGGAAGGTAAGAGATACGCCCCAATGTACGGTTTATCAAAGCAAAAGTTATATGTCGATACTTGAAAGCTACATTTTTGTCAGGCCAAACTTCGGTTAATTTTACAATCTACTTGGACACAGTATGCTAGTTATCTTTTATGTGCGTTGTCTAAAAGACCTTAAAAATCTTTCTCACATCCTAACAGCTCCTATCTTGCAGAGGTGTAAAAGGCACGCGCGCACACACACAAAATAAACAAATATGAGAAAAGCCTCACCTGGACATGACCGGCAGCAATCAAGGATCCACAAACAGCTCCGCCTATACAAGAACCATTAGGACCTGACAGAGAGACACTCAAGCCGCCGCTAATTGTTCCTCGATTGTCATAGAACATAAACGATCCAGATAAATGAGCTATCTCAAATACACCCTACAAGAAAATTAGCAATAGATCTTAGAAAAACAGAAGTCTCCAATACAAACAAGACGAATTTCCCCACTGCATATTTTAGTACCATCATGATCAAAACAAAATTTCATACTGACTATCCATTGTATCAAAATCCAACCACTGACATTTACCCAAAAAGAAAAATACTTTACCAAAATAGGAATATCAGCTTTCCAGTCAAACCCAGTTAGTGAGTATACATTTGTGCTTACCAATGAATAGGATTTTCATGCTCAAGCAAAGATGTAAAATACACACTCACACACACCCCCCACAATATACATCTTGAAATGGAATGAGTGGCAGACCTCAAGTGTTATACTGCCCTCATCAGTATCAGGTCGACGCAGTCTAACATTGGAAACTGCTCCATTTGCAGATATAACCCAAATGGCTCTTGGCCCTTGTTCAGCTACTGATATAATCTTGAATGTAAGATCCTTAAACCCAAGAAACAAAAGAGAACAAAGAAATAAGAAGGGGGTAAACAACATTAATTTGGTTTGAGATAGAGAAAAACAACCTAGGAAAGCAATAAACATATCAAGTATAAGTATGAATAGAGTTGCATATTGACCAAACACACAGTTTTTTAAATTTTCAGAAGCAACTTCTTGTCATCAATTTAGAGTAAGGATTTGAAACAAAAAATACTTGCAAAGAATTTAAAAAGACCCTTTCTTCCAAATAGAACCTCTGAGACCTAGATGAACTTGGTGATTTATTATTAATGTTCTTAAAAGTTTTAGGTGTGGACATCTCTCCAGAGAGACCAACAAGTGGAACAATTGTTCCCCAAAGTTAAAGTCGTTAGGCTGTGGGCCAACAAATTATTTTAGATTAATGTCTATACATTAAAATATTACTGATTTCATCGATCATACTAAATGTAATACTAAAATGCAGAAACCGATACTCAAAAGGCATGGGAACACACACATGGTGGTGATCCACAGACACATAGAATGTTTCTAAATAACGCAGAAAACTTTACCGTCACAGTTCTTGCTAATCCTTGCAATACTTTTATACATTCAGTGAATTTTTATGGATCAACCAGGGTCAAATTCATGTCAAGGACAGACAGTGATCAAACCAGAAGTACAAATAAGAAAACTCTACAATCAGTAAATGACGCTATATTTTACCTCGCCAGGTTCGGCAGTGATGACATGGGGCGTATAATCTGTAGATGGAGTCACGACTACACTCCAGTCCCCTACAAAATAAAAATCATAGAAGACCAAATTCATAATACGAATTAAAAAGAGAATTTTATAATTATTCATCTCCATAATGTTTGCAGTAAAATATGATGGAGTTGCTTTTCATGATCAGTGGGCACAAGATTCTTAGAAATAATCGCAACCGATATAATCACTCTCTTAATCTTGAAAAGAAGCCACTCAAGGTGATGTAAGCAAGACAAAATGGAAAAATTAATATGCACAAAAATTTCAGCTAAGAATTGAGTCTTCCCACAAGAAAATTGGAATTACAACGTAAGAAGAAAACAAGACTGGACAGACCATGAAAAGCAACCAACCAAAACTGGACAGACCAATTGGAATTACAACGTAAGAAGAAAACAAGAAAATGTTCCGCAAAGAATTGTCTTTTCCCAATCTTCATGAGCAACAAAACAAAACTAGACAGACCAATTGAAATTACAATTTCAAAAGAAAACAAGAAAAGGAGTGATCATGAATGAAACCTTCAAGATGGGGCACATATGATGTGGACTCATTTGACTCATCTCCCATCTGTTCCACCTCCTCTTCACTGTTCAATGATCCCATTATTTATTCTCTGTGTCTAATTCCCTTAAACCCAAAAAATTTGGATTCAAAAGAAACAATTTTTATCTTGTGAGTATGTGAGACAGAACTAAGAAGATGATGAAACGGCACATTTGGGACTGGAACAAGAGGATCTCTATTTAAATTTGTCGGGAAAAGTACAAAAGGAAACCACCCGTACACAAAAGGAAAACATTATACACAAGGTAACAAAAATATATTAGGGTGGCCAGTTTAGCATGGGGGCTGAATCTAGGGTGGCAATTTTTTACACGAATCAAACTCAAAACGAAGTTGGCTGGTTCGGGTTGGACCATACCTTGACATGAACATGAATATGACAAGAGTTGCTAACATAAATAACAAACAGATTGGGTTTAGTATTGCATCATTCGACACAATTGATTAAATAGGTCGTGTTAGGGCTGACTAGTATTTGACAGATATACAGAATGATATGACATAAACACAACCAGTTACACGAATTTCAACCCCCTGGCTGAATGACGGGAGAATGGGTGGTGGGGAGGGGTTTAGATTTGGGGGAAGAGGTTAAAATGAATTACTAAAACTTGATGAGGTTATAGGTGTAGGTTGATGAGGGGCATTGTTGGTACCTTGGGTAGCGAGTGAGGGGTATATAGTGAGCAATAAAGTGGCTAAGAGAAAACTGTGCACGAAGAAGATGAAATGGAACGGTTGGGATTGGGACAAGAAGATCCTTGTTGAGATCTTTTTGGGGAAACAATACAAAAGGAAAGCTAGATAATGATGATCGGTTTATGGTGGGAGATGAACAATGGGTAAAAGGGGCTGAGGTGAAGGCTTGATGATGGTGTAGATAATAAAGGAAAATAGTCTTTTGTGTGTAGGTGTCGAAATAAGTGGAAAAGCTTATATATCATAGCAATCCAAAAGGAAGAAAGGCATGCTGAGTGGATTTGGGCTATGATTAGCTGCTACACCTCAGATTTTCTGTGAAACAAATTTAGAAGTCCGAAAACTACACTTTGTTACGTAGACTCCACGAAAAACCTCTAGCAGTAGCCTATGCAGCAAGAATAACATCCTACAATAGACCAAAGTTTGGCTGACCCTGATAGGAAGGCAATCTGGCAGTCCCATTGTGTGCATTAAACAAAGAACTACTAGAGGGTTAGAGTTTGATAATCCCTGAATGAAATATTGAATTTTGTTCAAAATTATTTGCAGGTCAAACAAAAAAAGAAACAGAACTTCTCACAACTCCTATTATACTCTAAAATGCTGATATTCTCCTTAACTAAATCAGGATGAGCATCCTCTGTCGAAAATTATTACGTCTTTTTAAGATCTAATGCTTTATTCAATTTCTACCGTCTTAGAGTATCTTGTATGTCTCCTTTATATAAAGAACAGGAAGACCAATTTTACCAAATTGAGGCCACTTTTCTATTCATACACTTCCAAATTTGAACAAGAGCATCCATCCTATAACAAGGTCCCACATAGTATTTTATAGTATGAATTCTATAAAGAACTACACAAACTGAGGACAAGTTCAAAAATCCAAGAGTATTAACACAAAATCTTCTAAGTCTGAGAGGCAGTTCCACTATAAGAAAACAGAACAAACTATTAATGCTGATCAAAAGTGAATCCAAACCATCTAACTTTGCAATCGAGAACTCGTACCACATTTATTATATCTTATTTTTCTCACAAAAGCGCATGATTCTCAAACCCTAACAGCATGCTATAAGATGCAAATTAGTAAATACTGAAATGGTTAAAACACTCACCACCCGATTCCATTGCCGGTGCCTCACGCTGCTTGGCATTTGAACCATCAGACCGTCCCCTCCCCCTCCCTCTCCCCCTTCCCCTTCCCCTCCCCCTCCCCCTCCCCCTTCCCCTCACACCCGAAGATAAGTTGCCACCGGTACCTGAAGCAGGTGGTGAACCTGGCATTTGTGACATTGCCATTGTCACCGTCCCGCCGGGGCCATATTTCCTTGGTCTGCCCCGCTTCCTCTTCACATTAGCCCCATCATCTCCCACATTCGTCTCTGCCTCTTTTGCTGGAGGCATTCCTGCAACCTGGGTCGGGTCTTCGTTCTTCGGAGCCCCATGATAAGCCGAGGAAGCTTCAGCTCTTACCACTCTAGCCCCATCAACTCCCACATTCGTCGCTGATACGTCTGCTACAGGCATTCCTGCAACCCGGGTAGGGTTTTCGGCATTCGGAGCCCCATGATAAGCCGATGGAGCTTCAACTCCTCCCACCCTAACTCCTGAACTCATCCCTTCTTCTGCCTCCATGCTTAAACCAGCAATCAACCGAAACCTGAAAACCTATCTGCAACTGCCACAAAGAGGCCATGAAAAAGTAAGAAACAAAAAAACAAATGAAACAAACAGAATGAACAATTCAAAACAAAACCCCAAAGTTCATTTGGGAAGACGATGACTCAATATCTCCTTCGAGCTTTGGCGATCAAAAAACCAGCTGAAACAGAAACCACACTCAAAATTTCGTAAAAAATAAAACAACTGTGTCAAGTCAAAACACTATAATTCCGTCAAAAAAATTGACCAGAAAATGACTTCAGGCCCTACATTTTATAATAAAAATATATAAATGCGTATATATATATATATAATAATAGTAAATACAAAGCTTTTTTTTATCTTTCCAACATCTAAAACTTTGAACCCACAACAAAAAAGTTTTCATTTTCTTTAAATAAAAATTGGAAAAGACAAGATTTCAGGTGAAAAGTTAGCTTTTTTTTTTTCAAACATTCAAAGATCAAGAAAACCAATAAAATATTAGTTGAAAAAAATGAGAAAAAATACAGCGAAGATCAAATCATGCAACTCAAAAACTGATGAGCACATACAAAACAAACAAAAAGATCAAAACTTGAAGCACAAAATCTTGAATTAAAAATTCAAAAATGCACCTGACACTTCAATTCTTACTCTCCTTGAGCAATCACTCAAATGCACACTTCACTCACTCAATGAACAAACAAAATCCTGAAGAAAAAAAAATAAAAAAAACACACAAGCAAATACGATTAACAGAAAAGAAAACTACTGTCTGGCTTACGAGAAAATAAAAATTTTGAAAACCGCAGCGGGGGTTTTGAGGGAACTGTCCGAATTGTGAAAAGCAAGAGAAAGACAGCGTGAGTGTAAATACTATTTATAATACAAAAATAAGGAAAAAAAGGAAAATACCAAGATAAAAATATTTTTTATGTATTTGAGTATTTGTTGCTATTTTGCTAAGTCCAATAAAATAAAATTTAGTGAAGGAAATTTTCACGTCCGGGACAAATTGGATGACAATTGGCTATTATGGTAAATATAATCACAGGGGTGTGCAATCAGAGGAAAGAAAATAAATGCCTTTTTTTATTTATTTTTTCCATTTAAAGCTGGAATGGTGGTCTAAGCAATTGTTTGAGTGGTTGGATTTTTTTTTCTCTTCAAGAAAAAAAGTTTAACCGTTTAATATGCCCCTGGTTCAGGTTTAAATTACGAAAAAGTCACTGAAAATGTAAAATGCAGATTGGATACCCTGGTGGAGTTGGTGGTGATTACGTCACATGCCGGTGAAGGTGATATATCCGACGGTTAGAATTTATGTGATTGGATACGCTGGATGGCACGTGGATATGAGGGACCGAGGAAGCATATGAGCAGTGGAACCGCTAGTGAACTGCTGTAAATAAAACCAGGGGCTTTTTTCTAAGCCAATTGAATTCTCACTTGGTAAAATAAATGAGTGGAAATAACAATTCTTCTGTTCTTATCATGATTTGGTATGAAAATGTGGCATATATATATATATAAGCAGTCATATGGTTATAAGCGTCGGTTAAAATGGTGTAGAACCTTCCTACTAAACGAATCACGTATAAAATGAACATGCAAACTCGTACGTTCATAAACGTTGATTAAAGTGGTATGGTATTGAAACTTAATACCAATAACCTAAGCATTGGTTAACATGGTATGAAAACTTAAACAACATAAAACTCATATGTTCTTAAACATTGGTTAAAATTGTATGGAAACTTAATACCAAACAACTTGGATACATAATGAACCTACAACTCATACGTTCATAAGAATGGTATGGAAATTTAATACCAAACAAGTCAGGTACAAAATGAACCTACAACTTGTACATTTATAAGAATGGTATGGAAATTTAATACCAAACAACTAGGGTACAAAATGAACCTACAACTCGAATGTTCATAAGAATGGTATGAAAACTTGATACCAAATGAACCTACAACTCGTACATTTCTAAGTGTTTGTTAAAATAATATGGAAGCTTAATACCAAACGAATCGGGCACAAAACAAACCAACAACTCGTACGTTCTTAAGCATTGGTTATGAAAACTTAATACCAAACAAATCGGGTACAAAACGATATAGAAATATAATACCAAGGACACAAAACAACATACAACTCGTAAATTCATAAGCAGTGGTTAAAATGGTATGGAATTGATAAGGTGAAAATAGAGGTCTTTGTACATGTGTCTGCCATACCATCCTCTACCGTTTAAAATGTCCTTCATATTATTCTCTGTGATGGTAATTAAAAAAAACAAGACATCATTTCTTTCGAAACTAATCAAATTGCGAGGTGTCATGTTAAACTTGATTCTCTATGAAACATGGATATTATTTTGAGCCTAGTCAAATTGGACATTGATATTATTCTCATTTCTCTCCTCACCTTCCATACAAAGTGTATAACAACAGTTTGTTCTTGCCTGATAAAAGCAGCAAAAATGGAGCATTTTGGCTACAAGGGCATGTGGTGAAATTCAACTACTTTCTATTCAACAATCTTAAGGCATGAAATACAAAGGCATCACCTTTCTATAAGGAAACATGCCTCCAGGACCCTTCAAAACATAGTGTCAAATTCTTTTCATATTGCAGACCAATAGAGTTTATTCACTTACTACTGAGTTCATACCTAATTGCTAGTTTGTCAAACTTGCATCGTGACGATACGATATAGCATGAATGAAACCAGCTCTCACCTCCTCAAACGAGTACTCAACAGGTTGACCAGATTTCTCAACCTTGTAAGCACCAGAAGTGAAAGGCGTAGTTGGCGTTGTGGCTGTCAGCATTTGAACCGACATCGTTTTAGGAGTGAGAGGCACCGGAATTGGCATTGTCTTTGGCGTTCTATTCTCTTCATCACCGACAAATACTGGCTTGGAAGGTGTCATGATTGGCATCTCACTGAAAAGATGTGCTGCTTGCATGTTTGTCTTCTGTTGTGTCTTCTGACCCTCTTGGAAATTTGCAATGTTGACCTTATATGACACTTCAGATAAGACAGGAGAGAGGGGTTTCCGAATCAATGGCGAGTCCAATTCAAGAGCCTTTCCAGCACTGGATGGATGCTTCTTTACTGAATGACCAGAAATCTCTGAGATTCTCCTTCCTGCATTAAATTTATGACGACTCATAAACTGAGGCATACAAATACAATGATGTTGAATAAGTTGTGAAAAATGACTTCACAGGATATTTTCATCAGTATATTTAGCCTAAAACACCTATCCAAAAAACCAGTCGCACCTACATTTTCCAATCATTGCACAATTTTAGACACCATTTTCCTATAATACGAATAGTGCAAGTCTTCTTTTAAATTAAAAGAAAACAACAGATCAAAGTTCGAAGCTAATGTTGAAAAATACCAGAGGACGGAGCGTCCACTCCACCGTATCGCTGGTGAGAGCTACTTCGATTCAGACAGTTACCCTTCTTAGTAGGGTGTACAAGAGTAGTAGCTTTTTCAAAATTTTGGCTTCGAATTAATAATGCCCCACCAAGGGAAATTTTTCTATTGGAAGCTTTCTTTCCACTCTTGGATGGACTACGCTTTGAGCCATAAAGTACTTCTTGCTCTGCTAGCACCTGCCCCTGAAATCTTTTCATATCCTAGGAAGAAAAGCAATATGAGAACTGGTTGAAGAGGAGCATGCTTTCAAAAATATATACATATATAATATCTAATTAAGACTCATGGAACAGGAGAAAGGTTCATACTCTCTGTCTTTGCTTTTCTTGCTCTTTCTCCTGCCTTAGGGTGCTGTACTCTGTGAGCATTGATAAAATTCGGCCCTACACAACGTAACATGGAAAACAATTTTGATAATCAACAGAAATGTGGATACGACCAACATATGGTTGGATAAAACTTCACCAAATCAAGGTTTGAAGTAGATATTACTTACACCATCATATAAGAATTCAAGTCCTCTTTCTCTTTCCCAAGCCGTGGTTTTTGAAGTCAATGCTTCCACCAGTCCTGCTCCACATACAATTCAAAACAAAGAAACTTACAAAATAGAGCAAAGGGAAAAATGGTAGAATTTTTTAATTTTCCATAACACATAATTGTATCTCTTGCACTGCCATACCCTTCCTGGTTCATGGTAGTAGATTAATACTAATAGCTGCATGTAAGAAATTCTCACTCCTTCCCTCTATATTGCTATGTGAGTGGGTCATGTGCCATGAAACAACTGGTATTTTGATACATGATTGGAAAGGCATACAAGATTTCAACTCAAACACATACATCATTCCTTTTCTCCAAACTGTAATTTAAATGAATCACAAACTAATTACAACAGGTCATCAAACGAGTTTTTACCAGGAATTTTGTTCACCAGGGCACGAGCTTTCTCTGCACGTTTCAAAGTAAGATGGGCACCTCTTCCTGCATTATAGCGATTATCATCCTGAAATCCCACAATACATTGGGGGAATGAAGTGAGATGGGGAAAAAATGAGCTACATCATCCATCTATCCATAAGCATTGTCCTTGTTCAAGAACTCAATACATGATAGAGGCCAAGTTAATGCATTTACAGGCACTACATTATCCTGAATCTTTCATCATTATTCCTTGGTAAAGAATTCCCCTCATGGGAAATATATGGTGAAATTAAAAAGTATTTCTTTGATTAATCTGGAAATATTTTTTTTTATAACTGAAATAGAAAGGGCAATCTCAACATGGTAGATGGAAAAACAGATTGTTCCAGAGAGAATAGAATGTTCAACCCTGTTGTACTCCTCTAGCCAGCATTCTTCTTGACATGCGGCCAACCACTTCTCAAACTTTTCTAGTATTTCTTTCCTGCTTAAAGCTTCCTCTTTAGCCATAGTGATTTGGAGCTCAAGTTGCTCCAACAGACATGCAGGGTCCACAGTTCCTGAAAAACGCTAAAAGCTAATTAGAGGTCTTTGAATTTTCTTCTGCGATTTATAAATCAAATCGTAAGACTTCCACAAGAAAGGACATTCCTTAGACATCAGAAATTTATAATTCAGTGTGCTACCAAATGACTTTGATAAGGTAGTTCTTCACCGTTAATAGGATGGCATTGCTAATAATTGTTGTAGTGATAAATAAACAGAAATATCAAGGGTAATAACAAAAGAAAAGAAATTACCAGACTCTAAAGCTTCATTTGAGTATTCCATTGCACTCAATATTTCTGTGACCATGTGAGACTGCCTGCATATCTCCTCTAGTTCCAGCCTCTTTTTCTGAAAAATCTCTTTCAGTTTACTTGATTTGAGCTGCTGCAACCTTGACACTTCTTCCTCAACCTGCAGAAAGAAAGTTCGTAAATTTAGCCAAACATATTTCAGCTCCCCACAAGAACTTTGCAACAGAATAGATAGAAAATGCATAACAAAATATTTCCAGCTCGAAGTGCTCTAAATTAAAAATGACATACTCACATGATTTAGAAAGTCTGTAGAAAGCATGTTAGGCTCAGTGATTTCGGATTCTGAAGCAGCTATATGCCTAGTTACATTCTGAAATTTGGTTTGCTGCTCTATGGGTGTATCCATCAGATTCCACATCTCCAAAAGGGCACTTGCATGATTTTGAAGCTATTGCAAATGCAAGGGTTAGAAAGGCTAACAGAAGGTAAGAGTGATAATAAAAATAAAGGTTGTGCAAAATGAAAAATACAAGAACTGCCTTACTGCCATACTTACCGTCTGCCATCTCTGTATCTTGACCTTTCTCAGCCTTTGTATCAAATTAGCCAAACTATCTACTGTGTTATTTGTTATATCTTTTTCTCCCTCAGAATCGTCCAAGGTGGGGTGGATTTCATGAATTGTGTGCTTAAAATCCATACCAAGAACCAAGCACAGTGAGTTTAGTATGTTCAGGTGGTCCATTACCAGATTCACACGGTTTCTCTGCAGGTGATATGAATAAACAAAAAAATAGTCAAATGACTCTGCAACTTCATTCCGAGGAAAAAGATCCAATCACTTCACATCTGAGTTTATCATCACAAAATCATCAAGGAAGTTGTGATAGATTGCACTAGACCAAACTCCATAGAAAAATGCCTCTTATTTTTTATAATCTTCATCGTTACTCAGACACTGGTTTCCCTCAAATATTTCATCAGTACACCTCACCTAGCTTTCCCTGAATTACTACTAAATCTCAGCATAACCACTGGTTTTTTCATGAAATAATTCAATAAACAAAAATGCAATGCAGAACCTACTTCCAGCTACGCATGGATTCACCAGTAGTGGCAACAAGAGTAAATGTGTTACAGAATTTAAGGAGGAAACAAAACCTTCTCATCTTCATAGTCAAGCAACTGTCTACGCAGTTCTTCTAGCCTCTTCAAGGACAAGTCGGTCTCTTCCACCACCATTTTGTACAGACTATCCTCTGTAAATCTGCATATTTGAATCGAGATTTTCTGTAATTGATCTAAGACAACAAAGAATTCGTCCCTTCTTTCAACTTTCCGCATCTTCATGTTCTCCAGTTGTGGGATAATGGTTTCAAGCTTTTTCTTCAAACTTCCACTGGCATTTTGATCAAACTGTGGACAAGAAAAAATATGTAAAGGTCCCCAACCAACTCAAATTTCTTCTTCGAAATGGAGAAAAGAGAGCAGAAATGCAGAGGATCATGTCTTTAGTCTAGAGAAGACTTACATGTGGTGGTTGTTCACCCAATGCAGAACATATGTCTACAAGCTCTGCTTCATAACTAGCAATTTCTTGCTGCAGTAGAGCTTTGCACTTTTTGGCGTCATCAACTTTGGTCCTAAATACCTCCATACACTCTTGTTCGATCGTTAGAATCATTGTATCCCTTTCGACATCAGGCACTCCAACTTCATCCCATATTTTCTGATTTCAAAAATATCAAAGTGAAGAAAACACAAAAATAGAAATTCTACCATCTGAATACCAAATAATGTCTAACAAAGTTGAACTTGAAAAACAAAGAGAAGCATGAAATGTTATTCATAATTAAATTGCTCATATTATAAAGGGAATTTAGGAAAACCTGCAGTTCCTGCAGCAAAAACTCAAACTTTGTTTCCAAATGCACAAACTGATTACTGCTACGCTGATTGAACATGGTGAAGTAACAACCTCACTGTAAATGGCAAAAAAATATGAGAATTCACAGCCAAACTAACAGTGTTTCTAATCAATCATCCAGTTATAAAAGAAGAAAAATCCGGAAAACAAATACAAAATAAAAATACAGGACCTATTGAGCGTGCTTTTTGCAGCTTTCAAATGACCAAAAACACATTAACATTTGACAAGGGTGTTCAGAATGCAATCCAATCCAATCCAATCCAATTTAATCGGTTCAATGACAGATCTCTAAATTCAAAAACCTACATGATTAGTTCATATGACGGTTTTCTTCATGAGTAAATCCAATGTAGTTGGTTTCCAATCTTCTTTGGTCTTACAGACATTTGAAATTATAGAAATTATGAGTAAATCGTTTGATAAAATTAAGTTTGGCACATTGTATAACCAATACATTTTTCTTCAGCAACCAATCTTCATTACACACCAAAAAAAACATCTTCATTTCACGTCTAATTACAATTGCATCATAACTTTTAATTGAAAATTCCAAACAGCGCGCATAAACAGATAAGCATAAAATGACATGTAATAAGCCCAGAAACTCAAATGACACGTCAATGCAACTGACAGGTGAGCAAGCACAAAGGCAAATAGTAAGAACGGGTGACAATTTTCCATCCATCTTTTGTTTGTTTCCCGAGAAACTACTAAAAATAGAAATACATAGAATCCATTTACAACTTTTGCTTCAAAAAAAAGAAACGAAAACACAAATTAAGTCAATGCACTGAATTTGAGAGAGTGGAGTGTTGACAAGTCATGCATTTTCCCGGCCAGTTTTCTGGGGAAACAAACAGAGCACAAGGAAGAAAACGGACCTTACTGCTGTGGAACTTTCCAGTCGGTCCGATAAGATTTGAGAATGGCTCCAAGAAAATGCAAATGCGAAGCCCTAACAAGTGTGAAGCGTTCGTCTGAGTGTAACGCTTGAATTTTTGGCTGAGAGCGCGAGTTTCGCGTGCGAGAGAAGGAAGGAACGGAGCGTTATATTGGGAAGAGCAAAAGCAAATGGTAGGGTCTGGTTTCTAGACGTCGTCGTTTCGTATTGTCCCGGCTGACGTGGCGTAACGCAGGATGTACTGATCGAAGAGGAGCGTTGGGGGACCGATTAAAAGGTGGTGGATTTGATCATTTGATGGATGGTATTGCTGCTGTCTTCATTAGTGGGATTGCATGGGATTCGTGGAACTAAATTTGGGCCCAAAAAGGAGTATATTTGAATTTCAAATTTTACAATTATTACATGGCTTTGCTGCAAATTATTATTTATTAATTGAAGACGAAGAAAAGAAAAAGGAAAAAGTCACTCGAACTTGAAATTTCTTTCGACGTTGAAATAAGAAATACTATTTTTATTATCTCGTAACTGCGTCGAATTTAAATCATAGCTTCTATTTATATTTCTCTATTTCAAAACAATATCCAATTCGTAATGGAAAATCTAGTAGCATATTGTGTCTTTCTAATAACTGGTCCCAACAAATTTAACTTGTAACGAAAGGCACACGTAGATAAATTCCAAAATGTTGTTTTTAAAAATATTCAAACACCCAACTTTGAGACTCTGGTGAAACTTGGAACTCGGATAGAGTCAAGACATGTGTCATAAACTCCAAGCTCGATTTGAGATTCGAGAATCATGACCGTAGACCAAGCACCCTAACTCTAGACCAGGTACAAGCGACAACGAACCTAGACCCCCAATATTTAACACTCGTAACCGAGCCAAAAACTTGAGAACAAGAGTCGGGATGCCAAAACTAAGACTCAATACTTCTGGGACCAAACTCCATACCACATACCATGGACCCATAACCTAAACATTTTCATATCTTTTGGAACGAAAACCATTTTTGTATTTAATACCAAGAGTGTTGTTAAATATTGAAAATATTGATAATACAATTCATACTACAATCCCATGACATCAATCATTAATAATTCATATGTGGGTTAGGCAAGTTGGCTATGGTAGTGAGCCCATCTCATTGCAAATCCCCTTATAATTAGATGAATTTAGAGTAATATAAACTATCGCTTGTGTATAATAGAATAAAAAATCATTAATCACCGATGAAAACAAACCAATATGAGCGGATTAATTAAGTTGTAGCACACAAAAAGTAAAATTTTATAACAAAACCAAACTAACCGCAATTTACAATTCGGTGGCCAATTTGGCTTCTTTAGAAACATAGGAAGAAGAAGAAAAAAACTAATGGCAAAGTGACTTGAGGCGGAAGGGCACGTGCTTCGTCCTTTAGATTTTTCTCGCAAGAAATGTTTCGAGAAAATTACCTAAATACCCCAAAAACCCTAATCGCCCCATCATTTCGTTTTCCTTTCCTATATATATATGTATTTCCTTTTCTCATTTTCAAAACAAGTAGACCTTTCGGCTTTTCTAGATTTTCTCTCAATCTATCGCCGTCTCACTTTCAGATCTATGAATCTCTCACTCTCGAATTTTTTTCTCCACCCTCTCATTCCTTCGATCTCACTAAAATAAGGTACGAAACTTCGAATTGTATACAGTATTTGAATGAATGATTTCATTAAATTAGATTTATTGAGGATTATTAATATACAATAATTGTCTATATTGATTGTGTATAGATCTAGTGATTTATTTTCCTTAGTTTGAGTTGTATATATTTGTTAGATTGGAGTGTGGTGGATGATTTGAGATTTGCTTCAATTTTGTTTGAATATTTGTTTTTGAAATTTGAGTTGACTTGAGTGTTACTACATGAAGTGCTTTGTTACAAGTATATTATAAACAAAATTTTATGTTTTTTGCATATTTGTGCTTTTGTGACCTTCAATTCCAATTTGTGTTTTTTTCCAAACACTACATCGATTTTGGCACTTGTATGCTAAAACTCACCCTAAATAGGGATTTGAAATTCTATTTGGTTCATGATTTGATTGTGAGTGATTTTTACTTGTTAGAAATTAGGAATTTTATGTGCAAATTAGGTAAAAACTGGAATTTATAAAATTACAACAAAATGTTTCACCATAAATGAGAGGAAATGAAGGACATTTTAGATTTGGAATAATGGTGGATTGCTTGGGTAATTGTCATTCTATCATACTTTTTTTTTCTATGCGTGGGAGAAAGATTCAAACTTGAGACTTGTCAACATTGAAATTTGTTCGCAAATTAATTTTTTTGGGAATGAAATTCCATGTATGATCCCACGAGATGAGAATAGAGGATGTTCATTCCCATGTTTGGAAATACTAGGAAATGTCATATTCTCACATTCTCATGTTTGGTTTGTGTAGTATTAGGAATTAAAAGTTGTTTATGGCTTGTTTGGGAATGATTTTGGATAGGCCAATAATCACTTATATGGAGAAGATTCTCCATATAATCATTGTCATGTGTTTCTCCATAAAATCACTTAAAATCACTTAAAGTGATTATATGAAGAAGTACATTGGAGATGCTTCTCCCTAAAAGTGATTGTGGCTTATCTATAATTACTCCCAAACGAGCCCTTAGTTTTTCAACAATACCCTTGATTTTTATTATTAAAATTTATTAATATGAAAAACATTTAAAAGTAAAAAAATAGTATTTAAAAAGAGTACTGCTATTTCCACCCCTGTCCTATTTCCCCACCTACCTTATCTTTAAAATTTTAAAGACAAATTTACCCCTTTGTAAAATGACTTTTAAGGACTAGGAAGAAAACCTCACTCATAACCCACCAATTCTTTAAAAAATAATTTTAAATTTTAAAACCAAAAATAAAAATCATGTAGTCCAACAACCCCCTCTCCCTCTCTCCCTCTCTTACCCAGCCACCTTCCCCGACCCACCTCTCTCCCTCTTCTTTTTTCTCTATCTCCTTCTTGTACAGCAAATCCACCCTTATTTCAATTCAAAATATTGAAATTCACTTCATCATTAGTTTATCCCATTCAACAATACAAACAACTCCAAATTCAAAACAAAACTCAATTCAGTTCATCATAAACTCATCCAATTTCACATCCCAAACAAACCCAAATGCCCCATTTGGTTTGCGAAAAAGATTTGATGGGAAATAATTTCTCATGTTTTTCCCAATGGATGGGAAATGGAAGATTCATTTCCCATGTTTAGTAATGCTGGGAATGTAACCAGGAAATACCACTTTATTTCATTTCACATGTTTGGTTTGCATAAGAATGTAAACCAAAGTTTGTTTAATTTTCCAATTATACCCATATAAAATCAAATAAAAAATTTATGCATTTAATGTTATATTGTAATTCTATATTATAATTCTAAATTGTTATTGAGGACAAAATAGTCATGAAAAATGTGCATTTAATGTTGGCTCATTTCCCAAACTTTCCCAGAATGAAGGAAAATAAAACCCGAGAGGGGAGGAGAGCTTCACTTTCTCCCTACTTTCCTATGTGTTAGGCAACCATTTCCCATGCATGGACTTACCAAACACAAGAAAGCAATTGATTTCCCATCCTTAAGCCTCATTTCCCATGTACCAAACAGGGGCAAAGGTAATGGATAAAAATTTAGAGCAATTATTTAGAAGCAAAGTCAAGGTTAGTGGCAGACATGCCTATACATCCCAGGGCCTGTGAACCCAACTTGATCCTTCGCATTCCTCTTGCCATTTGCTATCCGTAATTTTGTGTGTTGTCGCTACCTTGGGGCAAGTTGCCTTGTAGCTACAAGGAAAATTGAGAGAGTTCTATAAAGATTGGGAAGGGGCTAGATGGATGTCAGGTGTGTATTGGCTATGGGGAGGAGCCTCATGAACCATTTGTGTTTCAATTAATAATTAAAGGGTATTTTAGGAATATTGGTGGGTGAAAAGATAGGATTGTGTTTTTTCAAATTTACATGATGGGTGAGAAATAGGTGGGGAAATAGGAATGGGGGTGAAAATAATAACACTCTTTAAAAATTATAACATGGTTAAGTTAGTCCAAAAACTTGCATTAAATGTTTTCCCAGGTGGAGGAAAAAGTTTACAAAGGTAGGCATGGGAAGTTCATCATACCCATGAGTTAGATATTGTATTCCCAAAAATGCATTTACCAAACATGGGAATGTAATTTTATATCAATTCCCAAGCTCATAAAACTTTAAACAAACAGCTTCGTGATATACACATTGTGAGCCAATTAAATTAAGATTTTGAAGAAATTTGGTTTGAATACATTATTCTCTTATCATTTTGTATTACTTAGAGTTGCACAAAGTAGTTGTCCTAAATCTTCATATCAACGTGACACATAATGAGTAAGGATCAAAACAACCATTGCAGAAGAAACCCCTTAATCTTTCACAATGCTAAGGTAAGAGGTACCAACATTTTCCCTCTCTCTCATCTTGCTTGCGTTGTAGCTCAATCCTTGTTTTGTTGGTCTCTTGGTGTGTGAAGTCGGTTAGCCCAAAAAAGCCTTCAAACACTGAAACTACTCTGAAGAATTAAAGAAAAAAACAATTCAACAACAGAGAGAAGACAAACCAATCAACGTAATAAATATTTAACCTTTAAAAAGAACCCAAAAATTTTAATTTAAAAAAAAAGAAAAAAAAAGAGAAAAAGTAGGAGAGAGAGAGAGAGAGAGAGAGAGAGAGTGAGGCATATAGAGGGGTCCTGGGGATGAGACTTTGAGGAGACAAACCCCTCTGTGCCCCCAAATTTGTCAGGAAAGAGAAAAACAACCCAAAACATCACCAAAATCAACAACAACAACAAAACCTTTCGGAAGAAAAAAAGAAAAAAAAAGAAAAACAGAGAGAAGCAAAAAAACAGTAGAGAGGAGGAGAGAGTAAAATAGTATTGTCCTCTTTCTTCTTCTTCTTCAATCAATCCCATGAATCCTCACAAGACAGAAGATCTCTTCCACCATCATTTCCATCACCACCATCACCACCATGATTTGGGGCCACCACCTTCCCAGATCATGCAATCTCCGCCGTCCATTTCCCTCAACCCCGACGACGTCGTCCTCGACGACCCCGTATTCCCCCCTCTCCCCGAAATCGACCTCTTCCGCTCATCCTCCTCCTCCCCTTCTCACTCCTCCGACGAAAACGACGACGTCCCAAACCCTAACCCCAACCGCCCCGACCCCAACTCCGACCCGAAATCCCAACCCTTTTACATCTCCCCGGAGCCCCACATCTCGACCCAGTTCTACACCTTCAACCCGGAGTCCCATTCCCTCATGATCAAATGCCTTCTCGAGGGTCGCCTCGCCAACCCGGCCGAGATCCGGGCCGCCACGCCCCGACCCGTTCTCAAGTCCTGGCGGGTCGTCTGGAAGGACCGCAACGAGGACACCGCTTACGTCACCGCATGGAAGCGCATCCAGGACAAGCTCGCCGCCCATGTCGACCAAAACGGTAACGAATTCTTGTGTTTCAAGAACAACAACCAGCAATTCGTTTCGCACATTAATCAGTGGCAAGACATTGTTATGAGTTTTCATAGCGACACTGACTTAAAACACTTGGCGTTGAAGGAAACCATTGATAGGATTAAGCAGGTTTGGACTGTAGGTGCTAAGTTTTATGGCATTCCTGAGAGTTACATTAGGGTTTGTGTTGCTGCTTGCCCTGTGTGCTCCTCGGAGAATTCGGGCCTCTCCGGGAGGAGCAAAAGGCGGCGTTTTGAGTATACTGAGTCCTTTGATGTGCCTGCTAAAGAGGTGCCGACTAGGCTTCAGCAATTGGCTGCTAAGCATAAGGTGGTGTTGTGTATAAGGCAGAAGTATATTAGGTACAAGCCCTTTATGGCTGAGGTTAAGGACTATGCTTGTCATAGGGCAGGGGAGCCTGCAGCTAAGAAGTCGAAGATTTTGAAGAGGGAGCCCTATGCTTCTAAAAGGTGTGGCTGCGGGTTTCGAATTAGGGCCATTGTTCCAATTGCGAATTACAATGAGAAGGACAAGACTTTTGTGTATCAGGAAGAGGGGATGGCGGTGTTTAAGCTGTATGCTGTGCATTCGGGGCATGAGCCAGGTCCGTTGGATGGGAATGCAAGGATTATGCATCGGGTTGTGGGGCACAAAGGTGGGCTTTTGATGGATCAGGATACTGTGTACGGTGTGAGTGAGGAATTGGACAATGATGGGTTTGGGCTGTTGGGGAAGGATGAAGGGGACATGCAGTTTTTGGTTTTGCAGCAGGTTCAGGAATTGAGAGCTGAAGTTGGGCAGTTGGAAGAGAAAATTGTGAAATTGCCGCAAGAGCTTTTGGGTTCAGTGTCTCGAGATTTGTTTGATCTTGTGAATAAAGTTAGACAAATAGGAGAGGAGAGTTCGAAGCCAATGGATTTGCTACCAGACAAGACGCTTGCAGATGATATTTTGGTCGGGGATAATGATTTGGCACATTGGAGTGATCACCATCACGAACGTTTATATGTAGATGGCAAGGACGCTGATTTGATCGAGGATGATGAAGACAGTTTTGGGCGAACTCTTGGGGATGCTGTCCCCTGGGAACAGCTGAGGGCAGACTGTAGGAGTCCGAAGGATCTGATAGGTGACCCTTGCAAGCCAGAAAAGTGGTTGAGATGCAGTGATTTTGATGAGAAGAGCATCCTTAATTGCGAGGATACTAAACTAACCAAGTCCTTAAGACATGATGAGGGTATAGCAGGAGATGTAGGTCTTGTTGGTATACAGGTTGATAGCTTCTATCAAGGGAGTTCTAAATGGTTTGATTCTCCTTGTGGATTGGACCCAGGTGCAGATTGTGGGGATAGTGCATTCAGAAATGGGGAGATTGTTTAGTCTCTTGAAGAGCTGGTTAAGCCTTTCTAACATAGTTATGGGTGTATATTGTCCCTTTCTCAAGCCGGAAGTGGGTTGTACATGTATGTATACAGAAGACTGGAGCCTCAGACAGACTTGTAGGTTCCTTTACCTTGTGTTGCTTGTAAAGTATAGCCAATTGGGCTTCTCTGCACATAACTTATTCAGAACTATTTGTTAACCATGTTCTGGGCATTCAGAATTTTCAGATTGGTTCGTTTTTACAATGCATATTGGCTGTTGTTGAAATTTCTCGATACCCTGTGTAATCGTTTTTCAACTTCTGTTATAGGATTTTTTGCTTTTTGCAGTGTACCTTGGCTTTCTCTTTTTTAGTGCTTCTTTATAGTCCCCTAAATTCTGAAAGAACTCTACATACTGCACCTGTATGTTCCACACATTTAAACACTTTCACTTTGTGCAAGTTTGCTAATTTGTGTGAATTATTATGAAGGTTATACAGCTGTAATTCCTTGTATCAAATTGGATGGAAGATATAGGTGCTCCCTTCTGCGATGTATCAATTATAATGACAATTTTGCAACTTTGTGGTTTTCAATCCGAAATTTCATATATTTTGTGGAATGGTTTGAATATATTCCGGAACTTGTTTAGTGCTGGAAAGTGGTTCTGCATGGTTTATGGTGTTCTTTTTGTTTGCTGATTTTGTCAGGTATTTACATACATACCTTCTTATTACTCCCTTTGTGTGCATCATATATTTATCTGCTAATTGCCCCATGGATGATGGCCCTCAGTTTCTGATGGTCCACTGTGCCTCCATATAGGAAATGGGAAATTTAATGAATCTACCAGGTTACCTAGTCTCGACTAGACAAATCATACATGAAAATCTTGCTATGATTGGTAAGAGAGAACTTGAATTTTCTTGCCCCCAACACTCATAATCTGTGTATTAAGTATTATGTGATTGAAATATGGGATTTCTGTTTGCGAATTGGTTATACAGTGTGACATTCCATGCATTCCTTATCTGCCTCTGTTCTATGGTTTGCTAGTATATGAGGATTTGAAAATGTTTGGTCTTCGAGAGAGTGAAGTGATAGCTGCTTATGAAGAGTTGTCCTAACTATGATCCTGGAGATTTACAGTGCAGATATTGAGTTCCTATGCAAATTGGTATGTTTATCACTTCATGTAGGTTCCATATTTGGTTATTATTTTTCCTTTTTGTCCTGTGGTAGAAATTAGAATGTGGGATTGGCCATACATGCTCTGCCAAGTTACATAGATAACATTTTGGCAACCAGAATGAGATCGCCTTTGTGGTTTGGCATCTACAGAAAGATGAAACTCTGACTCTTAAAATCATCATACATGAATATATAGAGTAACAGGCTAGCTGTTCTGGAATTACCAGTAAGTTTTTATTTGGTTAGGGCAACACTTCTCTGTTTTTCTGGGCATGATGAATGGCAGGTGATTTCATTTGCGACTAGAAATTTTGCCACAATTTGAGTGGACTCGTCTGGACTGGACTGGACTTGGACTATGATGCCATCATTGTCCTTTCTATAAATATTTATTTATTTGGTCAACAACGGTTTTCTTGAAGGAACTTTGAATACCTTGTTTTTAGCAAAATTTTCAGTGAGCAGATTAAAGAAAGGTGAAGTTAAGTTACTAATGGTAATTAAATATTAGGGTGCACATGGGATGAGCTCTGCAACTTCATGCGTTTTGAAATATATCTCTGTTTGTGTATAGATTTGGGCCACCACGTATGCAAACATGCTAAAGGTTGTAACGGTTGAACATTGCTCTGCAAAACCTTTTTATTTTGGTAGTCTATTTTGTATAGGGCATTGACAGTCAAGGTAGAACCTGCTTTTATGCGTAACTTTTGCTAGTTCAATCGTCCACTCGTGCGTTTCAAATTTGTCTGCTGATGAAGCAGTTTATGCGTGTGTGTTAAATCTGACTGTTGATGAAGCGGTTTACTTGCATATGTCAAATCTGACTGTGATGGATTGTGAACCCTAAAAGCATCTTGAGAATTATATCAACTTTTTTATTATTTAAAGATCAGCATAGATTAATATTGGGTTATAATCTAATTGCTGTCTTGTCATCGACGAAGACAGCTGGTTTTGATGGTTTTGGCCCTTTTTGGGGTTTTTCTGACGATGACTTTGAGTTGATGGTGCCAACATTTTATTTAGTCTTGGATGCAGGATTAAGCGTGTGATGTTTATACATGGTGGCTTTGACTTCAAAGCAGGTTGAATTCTAGTTGGTTCACCCCATAGGGATGAAGAGATATATGCGAAGGTAAATTCCTGTTTCTGTGGATTTGATACTCTGATTCGATCATCATAGTCAACATTTGAGGTTTGCCTCACTTTTAATGGCTCAGTAAGTAAGAGGATTTCAATTTTTTAGTCATCAATAAACCTCATATTTTTATTTATCATTTCGTTTACAACATAACCCAAAACTCAACAATCCCCAAAACCAAGTCCATAGATTCCATCCATCCCAATATAAACCCAAAACTAAGTCAATGAATTCTATTCATCCCAATACATAACCCTTTGAAGCATTTGGAGCAGCTTCTTGACTCATAGCTTGCTCGTAGCTTGACTCGTAAGCAAGTACGAAGAAACTCAAAGGGAGAATCAAAACATATGTTTCTCTTGAGAGTCATAAAGACCAATCTGAGATCCGAAGTTTGGTGAAACACGGTCCTGAAACCAGCTACAACTTCTTGCAATGCTTCACCAAAGCTTTCCACCACTTTCTTTGGTTTCATATTTTGCCAATTCTGAAGTGGTAGCATGTAGCATGTTCTCAAGAAACCAGAAGAAACCCAGTTCACAGGGACCAATTTGCGGCTAACATGTGTGCCAGCTAAATCAATCCCCATGGATGTGATTCCTTCTGCTTATGGTTCTGTTCTCCCTATTCTGGTGAATCACTAATTCGATATTGTCAAGTCCATGCTAGACTCTACAGTTCTAGCATCATTTTCCCCTTCATCTTCGCCTTCATCATTTCCCCCTTCATCTTCGCCTTCAGACCGCTGATGAAATACATTCACCATCATCTCTCTATCTCTCTTACAGAGGAACCCAAATATTTAATCAGAAATGAATTAGAACTGGAGATGGCGGAATGCTTGATGTTTAGGTTATTTTTATAGTTGAGCTGCAGGGTTCTAGCAGTGTTATTTTGAAAATAAAAAGGGTTGTTCTGTAATTTTCTGGCCAGAGAAAATACTAGGTGCTGTTTGTTGGCAAATGCATGCATGATCCCGGAATTATCTTGCTTTCTTTTTTGGTCGGTTATTACCTGCCTACAAACCTCAAATTAATATTTTACTTTAATCTAATATAAACTACGAGAAAGAGGATTCAAACTCAGGTGCAGACTGAGGAACGCATTTACTCTAGCTAACTTGACTAAGCCCATGTCTGCAATTTCATATCCAACTTTAGATATTGTATCTAGTCATCTCAAGTTGAAATGAAACACTTTGTATCTAAAAATTTTGTCATTCCTCCAATCATTTTTGGGGAATTCATATTCATACTCTTATGTTATTTTATCCAAATGAGTGTTGAAATTTTAACAACAATTAATATCATATCCGGAACAAAGATTATCTAGTCATCCCAAATTCAACTGAAATACATTGTTTCTCATATTTTTAGTATTCTCCAATAAGGTAAAGCTTATTTTGGAAATTCAAATCTATGAGTTTTTAACAGCAACTAATTTCATATCCAACTTTTTACCTTATTTTGGAAATTCAAAATATGAGTTTTTAAGAGCAATTCATTTCATATACAACTTAGATATATTGTATCTAGTCATTCCAATTTCAATTTATATACATTGTATATCTAATATTTTATGATTCTTCCAATTAATTTAATGCTTATTTTAAATTTAAATCTAAGAGTTTTTAACATCAATTAATTTCATATCCAACTTAGATATATTGTATCTAGTCATTCCAAATTCAACTTAAATACACTGTTCACTCATACCACCGAAATTAGTAACACCACGTAGTAGTGTGACGATTACATCTTAGAATTTCTCCATTCAGATTTACTGACATAAACAGACTATACTTCTCATTTGGAATTGTTTTTCATGGAAGCACTTATGCTTTTAAGCGCTTCTAGCAAAAGTGCTTCTATTATAAATATGCTGAAATTTTCATAAGAAATAGAAGTACTTCCTGGAAAAGCACTTAGGAGTGCTTCTATGACCTAGAAAAACTTCTAAACTTTCCCATCAAACGCTATAAGAATAAGAAGTGTTTTTGATTGTCATAAAACGCTTTTAGCCTTTCCAGAAGCACTTCCAAACATATAATATATCTAATCACTCAAATTCAATCCAATAAATTATATCTAACATATTTATGTTTCTTCCTAATCCCCTGACCTTGTCTCATGCTTTGGTTGTACAAGACAAGTTGTTACTCTCCTCAATATATTATCGCCTCTATTTTTATTTATTTTTTAAAATTCCATCTAAATGGATATTAGAATTTTCACAACCGTAAAGAAGTGATCACCGGGCCCAGGTCTAAACTTAATTTACGGGCTCTCAAATTACACAACCCACGAGCTATCAATAGCTTATTTCTATTTTCTTAATTCCATTATTTTGGTAAATAATTAGGGTACAGTTAATTAGAGCAATTTATTGATTTAATTTATTATTATTATAACTATTAAATAAATAAATAATAAAAAGATATGTACTTTTGTCATGGGTCCCCTCCCTCCCAGAAAACATGGGCTTCGGCAAACTACTGTCCTCGTTTCATATGGGCCATTGGCTCTATGTCTCATACATTATGTCCCCGGATTCTAGATTAAGATGATTAATTAGATGAAAACCATATTTAAATATGCAAATATAATTCTTTAGCTCCATGGCATTGTTTTTTTTATAGGTGGCTATGGGTGCAACGGTGGGTTCCAATTCTTTGTGCTTGAGTGGGCCTAATAAGTATTTATTTTAATGTTTATTGAGAATGGGCCTAATAAGTATACTTCTTTGGAGATAAATAAAGGCGGGCCTAGTTATTGAGCCTTCTCATGTTTTTGGATTAACGAGGGACTATGTTGAATGGTTACAATGAAGGGTTGAATCTAATAGTTCAATAATAGCTCTACACGGAATCGTACGACTATTTAGGACCCCCTCATTTTACCCTTCATGCTTTTACTTTGCAATTTTTTTCTAGCTACTTTGTAATGAAATTTCAGTTTAAACACCAAAAAAATAAAAAATAAAAACAATAGATAAGAAGTTGATTCTTTTTATAAAAAAAATCAAGAAATTTAACATATTATGTTGTTAGATTCATTTGAGTTATGATATTCAAATACGAATTTAGATGAGTGACAAAAAAAACATTACATGTAGCACAAATCACGATGAAATCGATTTACCAAAAACCATGCAGGGTTTGTTTGTTGCAAGAAAGCTACAGAACAAGCAATGTGGGCCGGCATTTTTCAATCTAAAAAAGGTACAATTTTGATTAACTTGAGAAGCAACAAAATCTTTGCTTGCAAAAGCCATAACGTACGGCAAGAAAATTAATCAGATGTGACCAGTTGACAAGAGTTAGAAGTTTTGATGAGAAGTCGAAGGCTTGTTCAACCTCACTCCTGGCAAGTATCGGCACACGAACTCTCGCGCCAATGCCTGAAGATCTTCCCCATCAATAAGTTCTTGATCCAATGAGTTGAAAAGGCTTGTCATTTCTGCTGTGTGTGGCACTGTTTGTAGAGGATCAAAATGCGTCAAGTTGGAAGTTGGCACAAACTCTGAGCATGGTGGTGATGTCACATTGATATGGGACGAGGAATAATGAAGGCTTCTGGGTGGAGGAGGGCATTCGAGTTGAGGCAGCGGAGGTGGAGGCGGAGCGCGCTGCAAGGTTGCAAGGCGGGCCTGGACATAGGCTAACTCTGCCTGCAAATTCACTACCTGCAAACGATAAGATGGATTTAATTCCCTTGTTCTTCTTTCTTGTTGGTAAAAATTGATGTAGTCAAAGTGTTATAAGGTGAAAATATGAATTAATATTTAATTTAATTTCTGTTCAAGAGACACAACTAGGCCAAATTGCAAAGGTTTACACGTATATACGTGGACTAGTTTGATATATATCCTCTATCTTAATCAGCAAAAGCATATGCATTTGGAGCAACACTTTCATATAGTCAACCTACCTAACAGAGGCTTATTATCTTATGGAATTCTACCGAACTCAAAAGCTAAATATCTTTCCAATCTTATGGCTTTGACGTGTGGAAACTGGAAATGTGATCATATATATTCTAGAACATTTTGTGTATGCACCATATATACCACTAATTAATTATTTTACACATGATGAATAAGATTTTAGTACCATAAAAGCAAACGGTTGTCATCAAATAAAGCAAAGATTAGATATATATCTACAGTTATTTTCCTATACGGATATCTGCACGTTATTACTGTGCGGATATCATTGTAAACAAAAAGAAAAACAGGAAGGAGTAGCAGAAAATACATGGTGTTAATAAATATATATCTACATCAAGCCATTCCTTGTGATTAAAGGAAGAAGGTTTGGTATATTTCAAAACCCAGAGAGCGTAGGGCCCAAAATTTATCATCCATGCAAGAGAAACAATAATAATCATATCTATAGGTGGTATTAATGCAAAGAGATTAATCTATGTTTTCTTTGGGATACCAATAATATGAGAATGCATGGTTAAGAAAGTCAAAACCAGGTGTATTAAATATTTCTCGAATTACTAAATATGCTTGCTTGGTAGCTCCGGCAAGCAACAAGAACCCCCAAAGTCATCCACCCAATACACCACAGCCGCCACCCATCTCTCTCTCTCTCTCTCTCTCTCTCTCTCTCTCTCTCTCATGAGAAAAATAAGAAGGTGGAACAAAAGCTTTAGCATAATTTTCACAAACTTTGTATTGGAAAAGAAAGAGCAAGTAATTTTGACAGATCGAACCCTCCCATCTAGCTCTAATAATTTGCAAGTGATTAGACCCAGAAACCAAGAAAATCAGGCGCACTTTTGCTAGCATGGACTACTTATGTATCACCAAAAAAATTGCAACAAAGACTTTAAAACTTGTGGAACACGCAGTCTTTATCTAATCCTACAAATCGTAAACCTTGAAAAACGTCTAATATTACATGTACAGTGATACTTGTCAAAGAAATGACAGGTAGATGGAAATACCCACCAGGCGCATGTTAGTGCAAATATATCCACTACCATGAACTCGACATTGGCTTGCAATTGTCAAATTGCAACTAATTGAACAAAGGGTATTAAAGCCTACATTTGAGACACGGAATTTGTTATTTGTACAACATTTACTGATCACTTTTAAGATTTTTTCTCTAATAAAAATTGGTTTGTCCCATAAGAGTTAAGCTAAAGAGGCGATTAGTAAATGTGCTCCAAATAACAACAAATTCTTACCTGAGTGAGTGGCTAGAATCTAAAGTAGAGTGTCAATAATATCACTGGCTATGAAGAGATCAAGCAAACAATTTCATCTCAAGAAACAGTGAGAATTGAGCTCTAACCAAACTTTCACAGAAAAAAACTCGAGACTCACATGAGACCCATACTCAAGATTCCACACAATTAATTAATCTCATAAAATGGTCAACAAATTTGAGCTTAGAAGGTTAAGGAAATTAATGAAACATTAATCAATTAATTAAGGTTTGAGGAGCTGATGATTTGACCTGCTGTTGGAGGGTGAAAATGTGAGAAACGCAGCCATAGACAGGGTCTCTAACCCTAGCAAGAGCCTCATAGCAGAGGGTGACGACAGCATCGAGCCTCTTGTGGGGTGGTATGCGGAGGAGAAGCTTGGAGGCATTGCTTGCACCAAACACTTTGTGCACCGCAGCAAAGTGAGCCGTGCCTTGCTCTGAGTCGAAGTAGGGAGCAAATATGCACCCTTTTATGCATTTTCTCCTCAGAAACTTGCAGGCACCACAAGGCCCTCCACCTCCTCCTCCTCCTCCATTGTTGTTGCTTCCATTTGTTGATGATCCACTCATCTCTCTCTCTCTCTCTCTCTCTCTCTCTCTAGAGCTAGATATTAGCTTTTTCTTCTTCTTCTTCTTCTTCTTTTCAGGCCAGTTTAATTAGTTGTTGTGGGGTCTGAGAGAGAGCTTAGTATATATAAAGGAGGATGATAGAGGGAGAGAGAGAGAGAGAGAGAGAGAGGTTGGGTTGGATTATTGTTATATGTTTTTAGATTTATTTTATTGATGATAAATTGTGCAAGCTTTGGTGGTGGCTGGTGGGTCACTAGAAGGGACTGGTTGTTCCATTTTTATTTCCATCAGTTAAATTTTCTCTTTTGCTATGCAGACAAGTGAAAAAAACAAACACCACTGTCACTTCAATTTTGTAAGTTATCGTAATTAGATATGCGAATACAAAATATTTCAGAACTTTTCAAATACATATACTATGTGTACGGCACAAACCACTCTTTTGGGCTATATAATCTACATTTCATGATATGAATCATTTATGTTTTAAGACATGTTGCATAACAAAAAAAAATCGGCCAATGAGTATTCATGAACTTGTAATCGAATAAAAAAGGAACAAGTAATTCAATACTAAAAAAATAGGCTGATGATCAAGTAATTGGTCGATTTCTTATTTCAATAAATTTTTTTATAAGGATGATCTTTAAAGAACACTATTCAGACCATACCTACAACATGACGCATCACAATTTGTTTCGTTTATTAACATTATTTATTAACTAGCATGACTTGAGTAGTCTAGAATACGTGACGTAATTAGTAAAAATATTCCGTATACAAACATGAATTATATATATGTTGAAATTAGTACTAGGCTCCCATTTTTTCAAACTTGGCTTAAATGACTTGCAATCGGACATACTTCAGCCCTAAATTTAAGTAATACTACGAATAAGACAAGCTTTTATTCAATTCATAGTGGCATATATTCAATTCTCTCCTGTTTATTTTATTGTGTCAGAGAGAGAGAGAGAGAGAGAGAGAGAGAGAGAGAGGTTGATATGTGGCTCAAACTTTAAAATCACGTCAAAACAGAAAAGAAGTGGAGTAGTTTGCGTTAAGCAAACAAAAACATGCGGTTATCAGGTATCAGCTTAGCTACTTGCAGAAGTTTATATACATTCATTCAGATATATGGTGCGCAGGCCTCTAGCATTCACCTCATCAAATGAATTGCTAATCTAGCTCTACACCTAAATATTCTTGTGAAATATTTGGTAATCGCAAATAAGTTTATTGTGACTGGAAATATCAAGCTAATGAGAACCATGGTATGGTATATTCCAGTGGTAAATATTTCAAGACATAACCCAACGGTGATCTGGTAGGGTATACAGATATAGGGTGAGATGTAAACTCGAACTTACTTTATCGGCACAAAACACTTTCTTTACATGATTCGTGTGTTTGTTTTGTGTGTGGACATCTGTCTTGATTTTATTTATTTATCGTGAACTTGTTTTTTGGTTAAAAGAGAATATGAGATTCGAACTTGAGATCTCTTTCAACATCAACAGCGAAATCCCGTGAAACTAAGAGCTAATTAATTCCTTATCCTGATGTCTTTTGTCCAATAGAAAAGTTATAATAAGCACTTCTCAAATTATAGCAACGAAATTATGTTATAATAAGAACTTCTCAACTTATAAGAAACAATGATAAATTATTTGGGCTGGGTTACAACCCACTCACAGTGTAGCATTCCAAGCCCACGCACAGATAGCTAGCGTTTTAACCCAATTTGAACTGATTCCAATCCACTTTTCAGCTCATAATTTTTCTTTTAGGGAGGGTGGTCAATTTTCAGCTTGTAAACCTACCCGTAATGCCACATGACTCGTACATTTTCATGAATGGCTAAGAAATTGGTATGGTTTAGTTCATTTGAAAACACTAGCTTATACTTTAATTGTCTTTTATTAAAGTAAAAAAATTATACTAGCATCAGTCGCGTATAGACACGCAAGATTTACAAATTTACAACGAAGCACACAATCATTAACAATTGTACCAACGCCACGCACTCAAACACAACTGATGCTAACGTAACCCCGAGGTTAAGAGACTAGTTTGTGTAGTTATGCCCCATGTTGAAGTGATGGAATGAGAAGAGTGTGGTAAAAGTGAAATTCATTTATGGTGACGTGGACTGGTAGACCGTACAGGCAGAAGCGCAGGCTAGTGAGTGATTCAGTGAGATTAGTCAATCCGTCGTTTTAGTCATCAGCCAAGCCATAACACTCACACACACTGAGTCACTGACTTGACTGTCATGGGTTTATTTTTTCCAGCACAGAAAACCATGCAAGGTTGGAAAAAACAAGTTGATGTAAGCAATCAATTAGCAAACCACACACCCATACATCGTATCATGGCACGTGCAACTTTCTTTTTATCACCTCTGGGACCCACTGCCACTTGTCATCTTCTCATCCGTCCTCCCTCTCCTACACGAACACCCTTCCCCTATCTCCAAACAGCAACTCAGGTCAATCAGTGTACTGTACAATTTACACATACTGTCCTTTAAAACCCTAACAGGAGCAGATATATGAGCTCAGTTATTATCCTGCGTGCATAATGAACGTTCTTGGTTTCTAATTTAGACTTGGTTGAATTTATATATTTGCAAACACATATAGCTCTTGTTCAAACTTAGGTCACTTTATGTCACATTAGCAAGGCGATCGAGGTGAGGTAGGATATTATATATCATGTTTCAGTACCTTAGCTCCTCTTATTTGGAAAGTCACTTTCTCGGACTTTTCTTTTTTTGGTCCGAGGATATATACACGTCATTACGTGCATGTTTATTTTGTTAAAGTTATTTATCGATAACTAGCTTTGTATTTACTTTTATAAATCAAACTTTAATAGTAGGTTAACCGATAATTAGGTGTTGTCGTGACTGATATCATCATAAATCTAATTTAAGTAATTTACTGCCTCATGCTATATATCTTGACTGCTATAACATTTAGTAAGGTCATTTTGATTGATAATTTACACTTCAATGTGAGTGCAGTCTTCGAAGTGAAGTTTTCTAAAATTTAGGTCTGACATATACCGAAAGGGACATACCTCTATGTGATGATTTGCAGAAAAATCGATTTTAGATGGAAACCAATGATTTTTGGTTTACTTTATATATTTTGCAAAGACAAGCCTTAAATGAATAGTTAAAAATTTAATGGAGATGATCGTATCATGACCACTAAATAATGGTAAGGGACAATAAGGTCTAGTTTAGTGAAAAAGAATCTTGATTTGCAAACAAGTGTTCTCATGTTCGAACCCTCATGACACCATAATGTGTATGAAAACCCCTTTCTTTTCTTGTAGTTTAGACTATTACTTTTATTTTTTAAAAAATATATTAACAAGGGAAAAATATTTGCATAGTAAGGAGAATTAAGGCGATGTATGACAACTTAATAAGTTGCTACCATAGCGATGATAAAATTAGATGATCAAACTCAAAACTAATCGAAAAAGAGGTTTGAAATCTTTTAAACACTAGAAATGCAAGATTTCATTTTCCAAATGTGGGAGAAACTCTCAACATGCATATGATCGATATGTATATATAATTAATCTCGTTATATGCATTATTTTATAATCCACAAAATCCGGGCTGGATTATAGAGCAAACCAACAAAAGATTATTAGGGCAAGGACAATTGAACCATTAAGAAAATAATTAAATCCGTAGGGTATGTGACTGGTGTATGGAAATCCCTTATGGAACTTATATAAAGTTCACACGGAATGACTAGGACAGTTGTGAAGAAGGGAAATTTTTTATTTTAAATTTAGAATATCTGTTCCCTAGAACTTGTATAAGTATGTAGTCAAAGGAGACCTATAGCCGCACAAGCCTAGCCTATAAATTTCTACATAACCTAAAATAAGTTTAAGATATGCAAAGGACCCACTGTGTAGTAGTTTGGAAAAATTGTTTTTCGAAAAAAGCTTTGGGTTCGAGTCTAGCATATGTGTAGTGTGTGTGAGTTTAGCAATTGCTTTCCGGAAGAGAATGCAACAAGGAAAACCCTTTTCAACGTCTCTACAACTGTATTACATTAGCATAATACATCATCATTAGTGCTGAATAGTAATTAATTAGCAGATTAGTCAACAATATTACAGATGGATCCATTTGTAGTTTGACTAACATGCAACTCTAAAACCCTGATTAATAATAATAGTTCCATGATTAGCCTGGTCCAAAAATCTTTTCTTTGACTAGTTTTAATTCTCCCTTTGTTGATTAAATATAATTACTCTTAGGCTTTCAATTAGCAGCTAAGTTGCCGCATGTTGGGGTGACATGCTGCAATTTAAAACACATTTCTTCCTACTTTAAAGTGGCAAAGCCAAGCCAGTGCTAATTAATCATAAATAATTTGTACATTTTTAAGATTTTGAGGGTTTTGACCGCACGGGTGGGGGACTCGTGGGGCACCATTGCTGCTGCCAAAAGTTTAGGTGAGCCTCATTGCAAGACACTAGTTAAACATTGAGGGACAGTCTTGAGTAATTATTCAAAGACTTTTGTCCAAATGTACATTCTAGAAACTTTTTGGCAATACAAGTGATCCCTTTTCAAATAATCTTTTATTTGCCTGAGCTTCCTTCATGATCAAAGCAAAATAACGAGATTTAACTTGTTTAATTTATGAACGTGGATGTTCAAGCACGAATCTATGTGTATAAATAACTTATAATGAATCAGCATACTCATAACGAGCTATATGATCGCAATTGTCCGATTAATTAAGTTTTTTAAAGAGTATTCTAATTGCGACTATTGATATCGTAATGATGTTAATTAAGTTACTAAAAAGATAAATAGTTATAGTGATGGTAAAATATGACCTCAAAATGAGCGATTTAGATCATAAAACTTTACGAGATATAAGTGAAATACAAATTTGGTGCTTTAGGCACATAAAATAACACTACAAATTGCAGCACATATATATACAGATATCCACAATGTCGTAATTCCTGTGCACTCCCACAATCCATCAAATAATTATAATTATAAAAATAATAATAATAAATAAATAAAAAGATAGAGAACGCGGGAGATGTACTCTCTCTATCTGTGTGCAACTGTGACAACGTAAGCTAGTGATCATCAACAACCGTAGGACCACCTTAAAATCAGGACACGTGTCGAACATCAGATGGCACTCATGGAACTTTCTTCCTCTTCACAATCACAGCACATGGATTGGACAGGAGCAGCAGCTCGGCGATGCGCCGTTACCAACTGTTGCAGATACAATCACATTCAATTTTTATATTATTTTTTATACGCGGAAATTTATTTATTTATTTATTTGTTTATTTTACAGATGTTAAAATCCAAGTTGTCTTTAAAATAAAATTTAAATTGGGACGTTACTTTCTTTTCAAGTGAAGAACGTGTGGATCCCACTTTGAATATGAGGTCATCTTCTTACTCGACCGTTACTTTCGCGGTCACCCCCTGCCCACGTGGCACCCGGAGTTCGGCTGGCTCTTGCTGGGTCTTTTTGAGCACCGAACTTGCGGCTTTGACCTTTGATAGCCTCGCTTACTGTGTTAATAGGTTAATATAATTTGCATGGAATGGGAGTTATGTAGAACTGATCAATGATCAAATGGTTCAAAACAGTTACTTTTGTACTCGAGATCTTGCGTTTAATCCTCCTCTTATAATATTATTTATGTTTAAAAAGAAAAAATATCTGAGTCGAATGTCCACCTAGTATTTATGTGCAAAAGTGTATAGCTTTTGCTTATTTATCTCGTTTTTTATCGTCTAATGAATTTTTGGTTCTAATCTTGCGTTTAGTTATGTACGAAGTTAAGTCATTTTGGGTTCAAGGTTTAAGTATTGTAAACTTAGATGATATTTGGTGGGTGGGACTGAATTGGACTATTTCAATTAAAATGAGAAAACATCATGACCGTTGTTTAATACGCTAAGATTGGACTTGTTAAAATGGATAACAGTTCAACATATTGTGTCTTACAAGTTCCATCTAAAGAGATGAGACTCATAAGGACTAACTTGGATTCAACTCCAATCCAATACAAGTCGGGCCGCCAAACGCGACTTAAGGTTTAGTATTTAGAATTTATACACGGATAGTTACGGTCATTTTTAGATGATGTGGATTTAGACGTAGGGCTTGGCTCCTTACACGTAAGGAGCCACCAATAACAGTCTCACACATAATTTAAGCTGAAACAATGAGTGAAAGAGCAATTGACGAAAGAATGAACTAATTTTCAAGCATAAAAAAATTTCCACAACAAAAGGTCACGTATGATGACGAACTTTTTTTTTTTCTGTGTGCGGTCTGTCAGTTATACAAGAACGTGGAGCTCACCATACAAAATTAGGCCCCACATCACGTTTTATGGGCGTCTAGTCTGCACACATGGAATAACTTTTTGGTGCTTAAGAAGGATCTTATTCGCAAGTCTTTGGATAAGATTATATCTTTCTTCTTCCTAAGGTGATCGGCTTGTTTTTGGGTATAATTTTTTACTTCTTTCTTGACAAACGATAAGATTTGATCCTACCTAAGACCTCAATGGAAGTCTAATAATGAGGACTTTGAACTTGACCTAATGATGACGGTAAAAGATGGAAAAATAGAAGATATAAGGCATATATGGATTAGATGAGTTAGTAGTGCGCTCACCTCTTTGCACCGAATTCAATAGTTTAAAATATCAATTTATTAGAAGAAGAAAAAAAAACAAAATATTATTGATCCTGTTGTTATCGTTCACATTAGCATCAACCCTAAAATAATCATCATCATTCATCACTCATCAACCATTATAGTTTCGTAAGCATCCTCGTGCCATTTTATTTTCTTCCATATCGAGAATAATGATTTTTCTTAGCTAAGCTAGTTAGCTCGAATAATTTACTTGAATATATAATATATTATATGGGTTTCTATTTATGGTTGATTGCTTTCTATTTATGGCGTATAAATACGATTAAATTTGATCATACACATTAACTCAATTGTCATCAGTGACGCATACCACTACTTCAATTCCCAGCTTTCACAATTATATTATTGCAATTAGCTTCTCTCTCTCTCTCTCTCTCTCTCTCTCACACACACACACACACCCACACAAAATGATCGTATTTGGTTTTATGTATATCTCTACAGGGTTAGGGCGTATAAACCTTGGCTTATAATAAGTTAAAATGCGAGCAATCATTAGCAAATTAACCAACCAGTGGTAATTAGTAAAAAGAGATAAAGTAAATTACAATAGCTAGAAGAAATAGAAAAAAACCATCATTTATGTCTCACTTTCAAACCCAGGCTTCTTTTTGGCTTTTCATATAGAAAAGGAAAACAAATGAGTCATTTTCAACGTTGAGAGAGAGAGAGAGAGATGGCGTCTTTTGCCCTCCACGCAGCTTAAAACACGCAGACTGGCAAATATAGGCAGTCCCCTCGACACGTTTCGACCTTCCAAAATCCCATTCTTTTTGTTCCATCCCCAACAAACCAACCCAACCCACCCCCATTATATATATATATTTCACGTACATATATACTCTACATCTACACACACTATCATAAATAAAAAAAAAGAAACCCCTTATATATATATATATATTGCATATATGGCTTGGCTAGCTAAAGAGAGAGAAGTAGAAGCATGAGTTTTGCTAGATAATATTCAGGAGACCAAGGAAGGAAGGAAGGAAGGAAGAGAGAAATGAAATGAAAAAAGAAAGAAAGCTAGGGCTTTATCGTATGGTTGCTTCACGCAAACAGCTAAATGTGGGTATTAAGCCTTTTGCTTTCTCGCGTGGCTTTAAAGTCTCCTTTCTTTCAATCTCATCAGCTACAAGCGTTTTTTTATCACCCAACATCCCTTCCCTTTCTCTCTCTCTCTCTCTCTCTCTCTCTCTCTCTCTAAATAACAACAAAAATAAAACCACACCCCCCTCCCCACCAAACCCCAAAATCTCCTCCTCCTCCTTTTCACTTCACAAACATTAATGGCACCACCTCTCATCATCGTCATCATGACCCCCTAAAACCCCAGACAATCTTCAACCTAAATCAAAACAAGGAAATCATATCCACCAATTTAATTAAATCACCATCAAGACCTCAAAATCGAGGTCATCGTCATAATGAATGCAACAAACCCTAGTGGCTCCGGGGGAGGCGGTGGTGGCGTCGGCGGAGGAAGTAGTAGCAGCGGCGGAGGAGGAGGAGGAGGGGGCCCATGTGGCGCGTGCAAGTTTTTGAGGAGGAAGTGCGTGCTGGGTTGCATATTTGCACCCTACTTCGACTCGGAGCAAGGCGCTGCTCATTTTGCGGCGGTGCACAAGGTGTTCGGAGCCAGCAATGTCTCCAAGCTTCTTCTTCACATCCCGGTCCACAAGCGGCTCGACGCTGTCGTCACCATATGCTACGAGGCTCAAGCCCGGCTTAGAGATCCGGTCTACGGCTGCGTTGCTCACATATTTGCTCTTCAACAACAGGTGTGTGTGTGTGTGTGTGTGTGTGTGAGTGTGCATGATTAATTAACTTAAAAGAACCAATAATTTATTTTTTCTTTTTGGGTAAATTAGTTTTAATACCCTTTTCTAATTGAATCCAAAACCCTTTCCTTTTTCTTGTGGGTAGCCATAGGCCAATGATTTCCATAAACTCCAAGTCGCATTGACCCAAAAGAGTTGTTCAATGTAGGGCAAACCTCGAGCTTATTATTTTGGGTAGGGCGGGCCTATGGGATTTGTTGGTGCGGTTTTTAACCAGGAAAAGAATAAAATGTATAGGAACATTCATTCACATGGTGGTGGGAAGAAACAAGTACTGAAATCTAGAGGCCCTTTTGATTAAGAAATCATGTGGTCGGCGGTTACTATATGCAAATGGTTTCTGTGCAATTTGTGCTTGTTTGGTGCTGGTATTAAGGAAAATGGTCGGTTTGCTGCTTCTTCAATCATCTTTTTTATTAATTAGGGATGACGATAAGACTCATTTTCCTTTGTCTACGTAATTCCTGGGAAAAGTGGAGAGAGTTTTAGTTTCTTTTCCATTTTTGTTTTTGGTTCCATCTTATTTTCAGAAATTGGTTTCCTTATTTTCCAGCTGCACATCACCAAAAATAGAATTAAAAGTACAGATGAACATTTATAATAACTATTATTATTCAAGGGTAGATCTAGTACTCACTCACTGATGATGGCCAACTTTTTGCGAGTGTAGAAGTGAAAATATAGATTTTTTTATTTTTCTGTTTTAGGAGGGCGCGGCCTATACCTATATACAGAAAATTATATGGGATATTCTGATGTTAGCTACCATGAATTTGACCCCTAAAAAATATTATATTAATATTTACTAATTAAAAGTGAATAAAAATCCTTTTATCATAGATACCAAAACAAAAAATAGTTATATCACTTTTTAAAAATTTATATAAATAAAAAAACAAAAAAAACTAGCTACATTAATTACGTTCTCTCTCTCTCTCTCTCTCTCTCTCTCTCTCTCAAGAACTCATTATTTCACTTGTTTTTACTAGCTACATTTATTTCAATCGTATCTCTCTCTCATGTAAAAGTCATATCTGAAAAGTGAGCGTCTCTCATTTTTAAGAGACGTAATAATAAATACGAGAGATTTTCTCTGGAGTGCATGAGACACGTATGTGAATACCGTTTAGACCTATGAAGGACTCGAAAGAAGAATCCTATGCTTTAATATGTTATATATGTTGAACTAACTTTGTTATTAGATCTTTTTGTTTTGAAAAATTAGTAGATTTAAGTTACACTACTTATAGTATTGGTTTTATGATGATTGAACTGATATGAGAAAAATTAATTAGGTAATTATTTGGAAATGTGAGAGAGGTTACAAAATTTCATTCTAGAGTAGAGTCCACGGTTTGAAGCTCCAGTCAAAAGTTAAAACTAGTTTATCCTTATTACCACATGGATGATACTACATCCAAATTCAACAGGCTTCGCCAACCCCAAGAACAAATATGTGCAGAAGAAACTTTGTTCATTCTTCTTCCCTTGCCGTGAGAGAATCCTTTCTTTGTTCGCAATCCCATGTTCTGATACACATAGTTCAAGCACCCTTTAAGTATAAACAAAGACGAGAAGCCTTAAATTTGTCTCAAACCAAACCACTAATATTATACATTATCAATTTGATCAATCTTACTCTCTCTCTCTCTCTCTCTCTCTCTATATATATATATATGTATATATATAATCTCATTATTAACTCATGTCATTTTCCTAATTCTTTCTCCAGCTAAGAAACCTTATTATGCAAACTTCATCTAGTCCTTTTGTTACTGGAAAAATACTCAAAACAGACACTAAAAAACATGTAAAATCTGTTTATTTTTATATTCAATCTAAGTTATTTTAGATTAGTTTGGATAATTAGCTAGGCTGAGTGGGATTTCTGTTCCTTATTTTAATTTTTTGTTCACTTATTTGCATTATTTATATAAAAATAATAGTGTTTTGGACAAAAGTAAATACAATATGAACAAAATCTAGAGTTTGAGAATTTATTAAGATGATAAGTAATTCTTGTGCCCTCTTCTCTTTTTCTTGTTGGGGTTTACTGTTTATATATAATGCACATACATACAGGTGGTGAGTCTACAAGCCGAGCTCTCATACTTACAAGCCCACTTAGCAACATTGGAGCTTCCATCGCCACCTCCACCCCCTCCTCCGCCATCAATCATAACTCCACCTCCACTCTCCATCTCAGACCTTCCATTAGCAGCCTCCTCCATGCCTGCCACATACGACTTGTCCTCACTTTTTGAACCCATGGTCATCCAACAACCTTGGGTCGTGCAACACCGGGCGCTGCATGATCCACGCCACCATCAGTTCGGAGGAGGCAGTAGCGGTTCGGGTTCATCAACTGGTGGCGGTGGCGGTGGCGGCGGTGATCTTCAATCTTTGGCTCGGGAACTCCTTCACAGGCATGGCCAATCTCTATCACCTGGGTCTTTGCCGTGCTCTGAGGCCTCACCATCTCAATCTCCCTCCAAATGAGAGTTTGAGACTTAGCTGATAATCAATTGATTTACCAGTACTTGCCTGATGAAATGCATGTTGATTATATGTGATATATATATATATACTAGCAAGGGAGAGCATAGTATTAGGGTTGTTTCAATGGGCAAGTAATTTGAATGACTGATCTATATATCAATAATTTTTTTTATTTAACTTGTTACTTTGCTCATTTCTTTCATTTTCAAAATACTTTGTGACAATTCAAAATTAGGGCTATATCAATATGGAAAATGCTAGGCATATCGTATTTATATATCATATTGTGTACCACTTCTCTGTACACAATGTGGTATATAAACGTGGTATGACTAACATTACCCTATGAATATAGGGCATGTTTGGAAATGTGAATCAAGTACAATTATTTCATGTCGAAGAAGGAATATATTAAGTTATAACTCCTTAAATCGCCCCTATGTCTTTTGAGATAATACATGTATTGTAATTAGCTTTAAGTGAAAATCTGACAAGGAGCAGATTGATCCTAGCTAGCCTAGTGGTGATAAAGAGTAATGATATTGGGTCTGTTAAGGGTAAGGTGTTGGAGCATGGATTGTCTGCCTCACTGTTGAGACATGGGATTTGCCAAATCGGGGAAGTAAAGCCTTGCAGAGTATGAAAGTAGTTTTGCGTGACCATGAAGATGAAAATAATCTTTATAATAGTTAAAATAATTTTTTTCAGAACTCATTTGCAGTGGTTCAGTTCAATTTGGGGCGTTGATAAACAGTAGCATACGCATAGACTGATAGTTTCATGGCGTTTTGTTTTGGTTTTTTAATTATTTTTAATTAACTATTTATAATAAATGTTTTAAATGCAAGCAATAGTAATTACAAAGGAAAGATAATTTCTCACCCACACTCTCAAAGTGTCGGATGCGAATACCACTCTACAAATCAAAGTTCTTTTTAACTGGGTAGACCTGTTGGGTTTTGGTTTTCAGTTTCTTGTTTATGGGTCTAATTCTTTGGGCTTGTGCCTTCCCTTGGTGTCTTGGGCTCATACACTTCTAAACAAGATCAAACCAACTCAAATTATGTCATTCTTACGAATATCAACCAAACCTTACATCCCTTGATAAAACAAAATAATAACTATATCAATAATGAAGAATCCATGTTGGAGAGCCAAGTCCATGCTTGCAAAAAAGGGCTTCATCATGATTACAGGAAGAAGGGAAGAATTCTTATTTTTTTTTCACAAACCAAAAACATGGTTTTTGAGTGTCTCCGCAGGCAAAAACCAATGAATGTCGTGCATTCGTCCTTTTGCTCTCCATCCCCCCTCTGTTTTTTAAGTAAAATCATAAACGTCACCAGATGGACCTTAACGGTCGAATTTGTATGTTAGGCCAGTGAATGCAGAACAGAGCTTCCGAAGGATCCATACACAATTCACATGAGGAGAATAAACAAGAAGCTCCAAGGATAATGACATCCCATTCCATCTAATTGTTACTAGAGCAAAAGATTTAAGCAGCAAAGCTTAATTGGAAGCATTCATGATTCAAGATACAGTACCCGTTTAGAGGTGAGTTGTTTACCATATTCTTCAGGTTTTATATGCTGCATCCACACAAATGAGGTCAGATTACTAAACGTAGTAGAGTAGTTGCTAATCATCATCCAAAGTTGTAGTTGACCTACTGGTATATCGAATTTCTGTGTAGGGAAGCAAACTCAGATATATGATAAATAACGTCAATGCTATGTGATTCTAATACTATAATGTGAAGAAAGGAATAATCAGATCTTACCCCTATCATTCCTGGCAAACAGAAGGAGTAATATACTCGTGGCAGTAGATAATAAAACTGGGAGATGGAGCCTATGTAGCAGGAACTCTGGAATTCGCTTCCGTTTCTGCAAATTCTCTCAAGATTGTATCCACCTCTTCCACAACTCCTAGTTTTCTAAACCATGCCGCCAGTGTTTCTGCAGCTTCTTTCCCAACCATGATACCATCTCTCTCCAACGCCATCAGAAATTTTAATGCCTTCTGAAGTTTATTCTCTTTTTCATAAGCAGCCAACACTAGAGCTATACATTTATCAGTCGGTTTAATACCCGCCGTCCTCATGTTTTCAAATGCAACACGTGCCTTTTGACTTTGACCTGATACACCATATGCATTTATGAGAAGTCCACATAGCTTATCATCTGGAGAAATACCAGCTAGCTGAACTGCATTGAACACTCTTTGAGCGCCTTCAGTATCACCAACCATTGAGTATGCTCTTAACAACGCCTTGTAAACTTCACTTCCAGCATAAATCTCTTGGGCATCCATTTCTACGAGTAAACTCTCTCCTTGATCTGGCACTCCAGCTCTAATGTAGGCCATGATCATTGAGCCATACGATCTTTTATCCAAGGGCTGCCCAAGGAGCTTAACTTCTTCAAAAGTTTCTTCAGCCAGCTTAACATGTCCAGCCTTGCTATACATGTCAATCATGGCAGTTAGAGTTACCTGATCACATATGAAGCCTCTAGCCTTCATGTTTGAAAGGGTTTTAACAGCATCCTCAATTCGGTTTTGCTTCCCATAACCATGAATTATTTTGGTATAGTCACGAAGATTGGCTTCAAAAGATTCTTCTATTACAGCAATTTCTGCCACCTATGAACAGTTCAATAAGCCATGGACTTCAGGTTATAAGTGGCTAACAATTTCAAAAAATTTCACTCGCATGTGCAGGAACATAAAGTTTCAGGATATGATACAAGTTCCTTCAAAAACTGTAACTTTTAGAAGTACAAAAATTTCGAAGAATTCTGATGCATTGGCTCCAACTAAACTATGTCAAGTACAAAGGACATTTCAATTTGCTCAAAACTTCATCAATATAAAATGCGATTATCCCACATTTTCCTTTGCCAATACCTGTTTATTGGTGGAGGAACTTAAAAAAAAATAATTCTTTGTGTGCTATAAGAAAAGCTAAGAACTAGTTATTTATCTGTTAACAAACACCAAATCCAAGCCATAAAATTTCGTACATAAGCAGCGTAGTTTAGTTACAAAAATATGAAATTTGTAAGTGAACTTGTTGATAACAATAAAGCATATAATGAATTAAAGTGGGAAGAGGATAAGATCTTGAAAGAGATGGAACACTTCCAATAGCATTGCCAACATAGCTCTTTCCCTAACACCCATCAGTCTCACAAATTCAGAAACAGGGCACCTAAGCCATATTTTCAAACAAGAAATCATTTGACTTCAAGTTTCAGGGTTTCAATTACAACTGCCAATGTTAGATTTCATGACAATGAAACTCAAAGCATACATTTTGAACACATTACAAATCCCAAAAGAAAAAAACACTCTAAATAAGAAATTAAAAGAAAAAATAATACCTGAAGATAAAGTGGGTGATCCCTTATCCTCAATTCTTTAAGAACCGCAAGCCAGTGAGCTCTGCTAGGCTTCATAGCCCTAACCCAAGCAGCTAATAACTCACACAAACTACCCTTCTGAGGAGAATAGCAAATGAGCTGCCTCATCAATGCCTTACAACGTTTGGCCATATGATATGGCAATTGAGCTAAAGCTTGTTTCTGGGCTTCAGTAATCTCAGGGTCTACCGCATCCAACTTAAACCTTGGCTTCCCTTCTTTACTCTCTGTCTTTGCTGTCTCTTCTACGCTTGCAGCCGCTAAGGGTCGGTGAAAATGGTGGCCATTGGAGCAGAGACTCATTGGGATTGCCCAGAAAGTGCTGCCCGTGAATTGGAGGTGATGGGTTTTTCTCAATCCATTGATTACTGGGTTTGCTGGGTGTGGATAGCAAATCATGTTGGAAGCATAGGTGGCCATGGAAAAAATGTGGCAAGCTGCCATTGAAATGAACAAAGAAGCAAAGGCAACTTTTTTTGGAATTGGGTCAGAGTGAGTGAAAAATTAGGAGTTGTTTAAGGTGTGGTTTCCATGGCTAATTTAGGCATATTGGGTTGGGATATGGGAGCAAAAGAAAGGAAAAGGTCCAGTCGCAGACTGGGATTTTTTTCCGGTTGCGCAATCTAACAGCCAGCAGCGGTGGTTTTCCCGGCTTGTTAGGCAGGTTGGGCTCCCTGCCCATTATAAAGAAAGGCCTTGGATTTTAGGGTCCAAAGTCCATCCATTTTTTAATGGGCCAATTGACTATGAAGAGTAGATCTCTCTCTTTATGTCACCGTCATACCGATATGTAATGTTATTAATTCAAATTACAATATGAGTAGACAACGTGTTTATATTGTAAGGTATTATGTTTTATTTTTAGAAGAAAAAAATTTTTAATTACTAAAATATCAAACCATTAAGTTAAGGGTCCAAATCAGGAGAACCAATATCCACATTATCAAGAAGCCATTGATAAAAGGTGACCCCCTCTCTCCCTACAAGCCATCAATATCCACACTATCAAGCTTATTGAAAGATTCTCTCCTAGTGCTGGGATCAGACAAGGTGACCCCCTCTCCCCTACATCTTTGTTCTGTGCATGGAAAAACTTTCCCATATTATCACTGATCATGTTTCCTATGGAACTTGGAAGTCTATTAAAGTTGCCAAAAAATGGTCCTGCTATATCTCACTTCTTCTTTGCTGATGACCTTATTTTATTTGGGGAAGCCTCTATCCACCAAGCTAAGCTTATGAAGCATTGTTTGGATTTATTTTGCGGTGCCTCGGGTCAGCAAGTTAATTTTGATAAATCCAGAATTTGTTGCTCTCCTAATACTGATTCTGGGATTGCTTCTACTATTGCTAATATTTGTGGGTCTCCCTTTATTGATTGTTTTGGAAATTATCTTGGTGTTCCTTTGATCCAGTCTATAATTTCTAAGGATACTTACTCTGGATTGTTGACAAAGTGTAGAGTAGATTGGCTTCCTGGAAGAGTCACACTTTATCTATGGCATGTAGATTAACTTACTTGCATGCTGTTATCTCAACTATTCCAATTTATACAATGCAAACTGTTGATCTTCCCATGTCTACTTGTAACCAGCTTGATAAGCTTAACATGAATTTTTTGTGGGGTTTTACTGGTGATAAAACTAAAATTCACCTTGTTAATTGGGACACTGTTTGTCAACCTAAGAGCTTTGGTGGTCTAGGCATAAAAAAGATTCATTGTATGAACCAGGCTTTACTTGCCAAGACTGGTTGGAAAATTGTCCAAAAGGATCAGGGTCTTTGGTCTCAAGTTCTTAATGGTAAGTATCTAAAAGATCAAAGTTTGCTTGCTGCCCCAAATCTCAAATTCCTTAATTGCTCTAGTACTTGGAGAGGTATTCTTTTTGGTTCTTAAATTTTCTTTAAAGGGCTTAAATGGAGAGTTGGTAATGGTGACAATATCTTGTTTTGGAAAGATAATTGGGCAGGTTGTGGGCCTCTTGAGAACTTCTTCACTATTTCCCTTTCTGATGATTTGCTTGAGTGGACTGTGAGTGATTTCCTTACGGAGCAAGGGTGGAACACCAATTGGCTTTTGGGTTGTCTCCCATTGGATGTGGTGCAGAAAATTCATTGTATTCATGTAGGGTTTAATCATACTGAGGTGGACTCTTGTATATAGTAGCTTACCTCCAATGGTGAATTTTCAGTGAAAACAACTTATCTCTCTTTGTTTACTGAAGAGACTAATCATACTTGGAATTGGGATACTATTTGGAAGCCGCATGTTCCTTCAAAGATAAAAACCTTTGTTTGGCTGTTGTTTCAAGGTAAGCTCCTAACCAATGTCCAACGTGTAAGAAGGAACTTAGCTTCCAATCCTAATTGCCCTTGTTGCAATGTTTCCATGGAGTCCTTGGACCATCTTTTTCGCAGGTGTAGTCATGCGGCTAGAATGTGGAATTCCATTGGTATTCCTAATCAAATTGCTTACTCTTTCTCTATGGATTTTAAGGACTGGCTTTTCATCAATATTAAGGCTAGTTTCAGCTGCATGCAAGGTATCCCTTGGTCCTCTCTATTCTTGGGCTCCTTGTGGTTTTGTTGGAAATGGCGATGTAAGAAAGTGTTTGATGTCAACTTTACTCCTCCTCATTGGCCCCACATTTCAATCATTCAATTTACTAGGGAATGGCTGGTGGCTAACTGCTCCAAGAATTCTAAGACTTCCAACAAATTCTTAAGTTACATTGGTCTCCTCCTTGTGCTGGCTGTTTTAAAATTAATGTGGATGACAGTTGTATGGGTGAGATGAGATCTATTAGTGCTGGAGGCATCATAAGGGACTCTACGGGTGGATGAATCAAGGGTTTTATTACAAACTTGGGGTGTGGTAAAATCCTTGAAGCTGAATTATGGGGTGTTTTCAGAGGTTTACTCCTTACGTGGAACGAAGGTATCCGAAGAATTAAAGTGGAATGTGACTCTTTTACTGTTGTCTCCTTAATTAATGGAGAGACTAGACCTAGTCACCCTCTCTCAAGCCTTATCCATAGTTGCAAAGACATGCTCTTGCGTGACTGGGAGTGTTCCATCTCTCATATTTATAAAGAACAAAACATTGTTGCTGACCGTATGGCTCATATAGGTCAAAGTTCCAATTTGGGTTATCATGTTGTTGATCTTCCCCCTCATTCTATTGTAAGCCTCTTGGCAAATGACTTTGTTAGGATGACCATTGTTAGGCTTGTCCCAGTGTAGTTTTCTTTTTGGTTTTCTCTTGGGCTTCGGCCCTCCTTAAAAAAAAAAAAAAAAAAAAAAAAAAAAAAAAAAACGATACAACTTCTCACTTTCACTATTGGGAAAGTCTCGGTGACAAACATGCCACAATCAACCACAAAGCTCTAAAACACATAAATATAAAAATTTGGATGAACTTAAAATAAATTCATTTGTATTCAATATTAATTTACCAAATAATATTGAAACCACCTCTTCACAAAATTCTTAAAAAGGTCAACAACAAAAACCCTCAAATGCACACCAGTATCTTATTTGTAGCTTATTATAGTTTAAGGGCACCTCCACTCTTGTATGTTGAAGACTACAACAATACGTTTGGATAAGGGAAATAAATTTAGGATTTTGACAAAAGTTAGAATCTCTAAATTGACATAAAACAATTCCCGTATTTGGATAACAAAACAAAGAAATTTAAAAATTCCGCGTGGGAAAAAAATTATGGAATTTGAAGGACATAAATTCCAACTAAATAGTCGTCATTTCTAAAATTCCTCTTAAATGTGTTTATTGGGTTTATTGAGTTTATAATATATATATATATAACACTATAGAAATAAACATTAAATTCCATGTTTAAATCCGTCAGCCAAACAATAAATTTGATAAATTCTAGAACATTAATTTTCGTCATCTTAAATTCCATAATTTATGATGGAATAATCTCCACTCATCACAGGTGGAGGCGTCTTGGCGTCGGATCTCCATCTGCGTTTTGGTGTCAGATCGCTACCACCATCCTTTATGCGGTTTCTTCATGTTTGGAGTAAGTTGCAAAGACTCTTTGGGTTTCCTGTGTAATTTCACCTCTTATTTGTGAGAGCTTTCCACCTCTATTATGTGAGAGTTTTATTTATATTGTTATGACTTGGTTTTTTCAGGCTTTATCTTTTTTTTGGTTGTTCTGACTGAGTTTGCACTCTTAGTTGCAATGGTGAAGCCAAAAATCTATCAATAGGGATCAACCCTCAAGTGACAAGATTAACACAAAATAAATTAAAAAATTCATCTAATATTATTAAGTTATTACAAATAAAGAAATAATTAAATAGGTAAGTAGCATAAGTTAGGGACACGCAAGACAAAAAATTTCATCTTCTGTAAGTCATCATTCTACTTTTTTAGGTTTTTCAAAAGGTAAGATGATGAGAAGGGTCAAATTTCAGAAATAGTGTATAAAAAAAATCAAGTACAAACATGTAAAACGAGAAAATATGCTAAACATGAGAAGGGTCACTTGACCACTGTGAGCCTTCATGGGCTCCGCCCACACTTAGCCTATGCTAGAGTTTCTTAGATCATGCGTGAACATTAGTGGAGGCGCTCCAGATTGTCCTAATTTTAATGTTAGATAGCTTTGTTATTGTAATGGCCCTTTGTGGCTAGTGGTTTTTTTGATTGAATTATGAATGCAATTCTAGAATTTCTTTATAAAAAAAAAGTTCCCATCATTTATAAATTCCTTTGTACTTTTAAATTTTCTCATCCAACGCACTACAAGATAAAGTGAATTACACATAAAATAAAATAAAAAAGTATGAGGAGGGTAGTTGATGTAAAGAGGCAAAGCATCAATCTTTATTATGAAAATATGAAGGCCAAATTTTTATTGTAAATATGATAAAAACATAATATTCTTGTTGTAGATATATACAATACAAGTGTATAACTATTACAATTACATAACTAATTTTGATTCTAAATTTTGCTCTATAATGTTCCCATCAATTTAAATATGCCAACATCAAAGAATAAAGCATAAGATAATGTCAGCACTCGCCACATTAAGAAAATGATTTTGGCATTTCGATCATCTACAATATAAATAGAATCATATATTTTCTTTCACTTGTTTATCGTTTAAATTTTAACTTTTTTGGTTATAAGATCTACAGAGAATCTTCATTTTAATTTTGTTTGTACCAAAAAAAATATATTTTGTTTCCCTAATGATACTCAATGTGATTGTATTACATTATGCCTGAGAAATGAAATTTATTTAAAACAAAAGCTTTTGTAAGGGTTTTTTATTTTCCCTTATACGACGCCATTTTTAAGATCCAAATTAAAAGAAAAAAGTGAATTTATGTGTTTTCTATTTTAGAAGCAAGACATTGACTCATGGCCCATCAACAATCATAGGAAATCGATAAAATAAAGTAAAATAAATTTAATTTAATGGCTTGCCTTACAAGCTTCGGTTGTTCTTGAGGATCTCACATTGCGAAATTTTACTTTTGCAAAATAGTTTATAAAATCTTGAGTTTCTTTATCTTTGTAACAAACTTTTAAATTCCAGAAGTGTCAATTTTAGATTTGAAAGTAACGGCTCATATATTTCCTAGATTTGAGAATTCATTATTCGAAAAGAAATTATAATTTATTTATTTTCAAATTTGCAAACAAAAAAAGTAAAAAAAGTAAAAAAAGTAAAAAAGTAAAAAAAGAAAAAAGGAAAAATTAATTTTGGATTCAAAGTTCAAAGCAGAACATTTTATTGGATAGAATACTGAGAGCTTCCACAGAACAGCATTGAAAAACAGAGTAATCAATCTCATTTCTCAAACGTCCAACAAAATACCAAAAACACCCATCAAATTCAACGATCCTGCCACGCCATTCCCCTCAGCTATCAAGGCCATTTCCGTCATTAGAAATCCAACCATTGGACCTCCCCCCTATGAGAAAACGCGATCCAAATCTTAACTTCTCCTCCTCCTGCTCCTCCCTCTCACTGCTCTCTCTATCTCTTCTCTCTGTGAAGCTCTCTATGCCACTGGGTCAACCCGCTCACCGAGCCACGAACCATTCTCAGCTGGCTTCACAGTCTGAAGCTTCAAATCCCTAGCCATTTCTCCAGATCCGGCTCACTGAGTCACCAGTCGTAGCCAGCTCGGGAATGGCTTCTTCGGAAGCCGATTCCCGTCTGAGGGAGGTGGTGGCCCCAGCCCTCGATAAGATCATCAAGAACGCATCATGGCGCAAGCACGCCAAGCTCGCCAGCGAATGCAAAGCCGTGCTCGAGCGGCTCAGCAACCCCTCCAAGTCTAAACCCGACTCCAATTCCGACCCGGACTCGTCCGGGCCGGGTCCTCTCCACGACGGAGGCTCCGAAGAGTACTCCCTCGCCGACTCCGAGTCCATTCTCAGCCCCATCATCAACGCCGCCGGCTCCGGCGTACTGAAGATCGCTGATCCGGCCGTCGATTGCATCCAGAAGCTTATCGCCCATGGATACCTGCGCGGTGAGGCCGACGCCTCCGGCGGCGGCACCGAGGCGAAGTTGCTTACGAAATTGATCGAGTCAGTGTGCAAATGCCACGATTTGGGGGACGATCAGATGGAACTTCTGGTGCTGAAGACGCTGCTGTCGGCGGTGACGTCGATATCACTGCGAATTCATGGGGATTGCTTACTTCAGATAGTGAGGACCTGCTACGACATCTATCTGGGAAGTAAGAATGTTGTTAATCAGACGACGGCGAAGGCGTCGTTGATCCAGATGCTGGTGATTGTGTTCAGAAGAATGGAGGCAGACTCTTCGACAGTTCCGATTCATCCGATCGTGGTGGCCGAGCTGATGGATCCAATTGAGAAATCCGATGCGGACGGGTCGATGACAATGTTCGTACAAGGGTTTATCACCAAGATTATGTCAGACATTGATGGAGTTTTGAACCCAACAACGCCTACCAAGGTGTCGCTTCGTGGGCACGACGGGGCATTTGAAACGACCACAGTGGAGACCACTAACCCTGCCGATTTGTTGGACTCAACAGATAAGGATATGTTGGATGCCAAGTACTGGGAGATTAGTATGTACAAGACCGCGCTGGAGGGCCGCAAAGGTGAATTGGCGGATGGAGAATTGGAGAGAGATGAGGATTTGGAAGTTCAGATTGGGAATAAGTTGAGAAGAGACGCGTTTTTGGTGTTTAGAGCTCTGTGTAAGCTGTCCATGAAGACTCCGCCTAAGGAGGCATTGGCAGATCCGGAGTTGATGAAGGGAAAGATTGTGGCTTTGGAGCTTTTGAAGATTTTGTTGGAGAATGCCGGTGCTGTCTTTAGGACCAGCGAAAGGTACCTCACTACCACCTCTCATGCTAAAATGGTTATGCTTAGATGTTTCTATTTTGGGTTTACTGTTATCTGTCATGCTTGAGCTGTACTGGTTGTAATTTTGTTATGTTTGTGAAGTACAGCACTTATGACGACTGCTATGTTTGCTATTTTGTGGAGATATATATTATATAGGAAATGTAGGCTTTAGTGTTTGGTAGTGAACATAGTTGGTGCAAGAGGATTTGATCTCATTAACAGTTAAAAAGACTGATGTAGTACTGTTATCAAATGAAAATATTGCTCAAAATCAAGATGGAATGTAAATGCTTAACAGGTATGAAAATTTATCATGAAAATAAAAAATGTCAAATCTTCACAAATT